TGCATTTTCACCCAAGCATTAGTCGATCTAACAAATATTCCCAGGTTTTCTCTTTGACATTGGGCTGGATATTTATCTGTTCGCGAAAAAGCAGCTTAAAAAAGTCACGTTTTTTCAAGCACTTCTGCTTTTGCGCACCATACTTAACCGTTAGTGCAGTTCCCCTGTTGAAGCTATTAAAAAAGAGAGAATCGGTAAACCTTAACCTCGCCGATCGCAACAATGTGGCACTTCACAGATTTACACCGGTCGCCGCGATCGGAAATCAGAAAGCAAAGAAATTTGGCCGTATCACATTTCTAAGACTTTTTTCGTGTAATCAACAGTCTTTACTACCCGGAATCAAATTTTATTTGTTTACAGATGTGCTATAATCTGAGAAATAAAACTCCATTTCCGCTGTTTATCTTCAATCGCATTAAATGTACAAAGTTTTTATTCAGCGTCATCCCAAAAAATAATGAAAAATGCGGATACTTAAAAGGTGTTTTTTCTTTTTGTCGCTAAGCTTTGAAATTCCTCTTTAAGACATTTTACGCTTGAGCTTTAAAAATTACGTCTTGTGCTTTTGAGACAAGCTTTAATATTTTCATACACTTTATAGTCTGTTAACCCTTTCAAAAAAAAATACAAAATTCTGAATTACAAAGATCGAGGAGGATTGAACAAAGATATTGATATCTCCTTTTACACGTTCCATAACCAGCACAATTAATTGCGCTCCAGTTATACCATTTTGGTCTCGTGCCCAAGTCTTCCCGATTTCAGTCGTTCTTGCTTTGGTTGAATTTGATCCCCTGCAGGAGAATTCTGTTCGATTAAACTTCCAGAGCCTAGAGCAGGAGGAAAGGCCGATAAACCTTTACTACTACACGTAGTTCGGATCCATCAAGTAGACCTGCTGAAAGTTGTGCGGCAAATAGCGCTTGTCGATTTTGAGGTATTTTCCACGCGTATAGAAATTTACAGCGCAGCTAACGCATAACGTCGACATTGATAGAGCTCTTGTTATTTCAAAAGTTAGCCCATCACACACATTGCTTTGTTCCTCGAGACACTGTTCCTCCAAGTTAGTAACAATTAGGTAGGGCGTAAGTGATATAAACAGCACGATTGTGATCAGGATAATTGTCAAAACGATCTTTTTTCCCAGACGGATGTTCGGAGGAAAAACGCGTGATCTTCCTCCATTGTCCTGTTGCAGGAACGTGACGTTTCTTGAATATCGGCGGAATTCAATGTAAGTCGCTGCGTTGATAACGCAGTGGAGCCGTAGACTGAAGATGAAGATCCACTGTGTGGAGTATTTCCTTTGATGTACTTATTGAGTGCCATGCTTCAAACACCCCACAAAAGAGCCATATCAAAATGTTACATATGACGACCTTTCGCACTGTTATGAGCGCCCTATACTGCCAAATAAGCTTTATAGCCAGAAATCTATCCACTGATAACGCCACGACAGTTGAAATTGATATTTTGGTGCTAATATGCGGAGAAACAGTAGAAATCTTGTGTAGGTTTGGTAAATTGACTTTACATGGAGGGCAAAGCATGTATGTTGAGTAGAAAGGTTGCGCGAAACTTCCTCTAAGTAAATCACTTAACGAGAGGCTTGCCACGAAAAAAGTTGTGGGGCGCACTCGGAAATACATGTACGGATCTTTGAAAAGAGTCCATAGAAGAACACTGTTTGTTGCGAATGAAACGAAGCCAAGAAAAGCGCTACAAATTCCTGCCAAAAGCGCGACTGATGCTGTTGGAATTCCTTCAAAATGTGCTCAGTCCGTGCTCAACAACAATAGTCGGTCTTGACATCCTCCTGATGAATATGAAATCGTTTGCATTAAATATTTGGACAAAATTCTGTTATCAGGATAAAAATTGACAGTCATTGAAAAACTTTCCTGAATTTCTTGAAGAAGAAACTCATTTAAATTCGAGTCATTTTACTTAAGAGATGTAATCACTAAAGCTCCCTTGTCCTATGGAGTGTCCGTTGCGAAGCTGATGACTATTAGAAAATTTGCTAACAGAAAATATGAATACAGCCGAGATAGTAAAAGGAAATTAACTATAGAATATTCATCCTTGGGCAGAGCGTAAAACAATTATGTTAATTATAATCTTGGATTAAAAGGATCGAAAAACTTTCGTAAACGGGCGCACCACAGTAGTTCTATTAACTGCTCTCCTCAAACTCATCTAAAAACAGATTTCGGCACGAGACTACGATATGGTTCTTTCTAAGTTGGTGCGTTTTACAAGCTGACACAAAAAAGCCAATTTATCAGACATGCCCTTTTTAACTCGTGAATTGCGCGCATGCGCAAGAGCGAGTTGTAGATACGATTTGGGGAATAGCACTCGCTCGCTCGATTGGTCGATTCCTGTAAACTTTTTTTCGATTTTAGGCTTTTGAGTGCATTTGATAGTTTTTGGCGAGCAATAAAAAAACGAAATGGCGACCTTTGTTGCTAAGAATAGTGGTGGGGTGAAAAAGAAGCCAATGATAATCTTAAAAGAGTTTTTTTTTTTCGTTTTAGTTTCAACAAGCGGCGCCAGCGACTGGCAGGCATGCAAGGATTCACACTGAAATAACAGAACAACCTTCGTTTTTCATAAAATTGTAATTTACAATCCTTGAACTTGAAAACAATTCGAAGATTCATTGAAAATATCACTTACTGTGAAGCGCTCAGAGTTTACAAATGTTCAAAGGCTTTTTCTGCTATGGCGTGAGATTGAGGACAAAATCGATCATTACGTTTCGTATCGTGTGTTTTTCCTGTGTGAAGCAACACAAGATGCCGGCGACTGACGAAATTACAAGTTAACACGAAAATCAAATAACACCTAAACAAACAATTTTAGCTACCGATTTTCAGTGAATTTTTAAAGAAAAAATTTTCTTTTAAGTTTCAAGACAATTTGAAGATTCAAAATACATATTATGTACTAAAATGCGGAAGTTATACATCACAAAATTGATAAATAGGCCTGAAATGAAATTCTATCTTGTTATTGATTATACGTTGCCTAGCACGTGACTAAAATCTACCCAGGCGGAGCCCAAAATGACGGTGGCAGTCTTGGCTTAGTTATATCACTCAAACCTCGTTCCCGTTTGTCTCATTTGATAAAGAGGGAACTGTTAATTTTTTCACTAAGACAGTATTGCCTTGATTTTCTAATATTTACAATGATAGACAGTAAATTTCACTTTTCACCCACATTTACTTCCAACCTTTTCTTTTGAACCAGAAACAAAAATGATATACGTTTAAAACACATTACAGCATCCACTCTTGTCAAATGTAATAGCATGATCATTTCAATTGTAATGTCTTCATATACCAACGTTACTTTGTTTCTTTGCTACATTAGCGAACACTGAACTACTGCTCGTACTCTAGATATGACAATCAACCACAAAATTCCCTAAACCAGATAACATTAAACATAATCCAAAAAATCATGTGTCAATTCACGAGTTTGCTCACAGAGCACTTTGATTTGTTAGTAGTCTGCTTTCACTGTAATCAGACTCAGTGATATTGTCAGTTTTTGACCGCCAGTAGGAAATGATAAAGATACTCAAAAACAGCCATTAAAGTCTCCCAGCTTTGAAATCCAGTATAAAAAGCAGCATTGGAATCTTTTGACCTACAGTTTTCAAAGTTAAACAATCTTTTATTAAAAGCATCACTTTGCCGCTGGGTATCTTGCAGTTGGCGCTTAAGTTCCTCAATTTCCTGTTCGAGTTTATGAATCTTCTTGATATTGTTGTCAATAATTTCTCTCAAGTAGGCCTCCTGCTCGGTAAAATCAGTTTGTGTTTCGTCTTCGACTTTTAAGCTACAATCTGGTAGATCTGGGACCATTTCGTATGATAATTCGTTTGACGATTCATTTGATAATTCTTCAAGAACAACTGCAGGGGTAGACAATTTTTGTAATGCACTTTTCGAAGCTGTCAGCTCGAAGTTTCTTTCCGCCGGCTCCTTTCCTTTGCGTGGCGAAGGGACAACTCCATCTCTTAATTCATTTTTGACCGCGAGACATTTCTAATATAACCTTTCTGAAATGCTGGGAGCATATCTTTGTATCTTCAGTTACCTTGAAGTGCTTTCCTGCGTCTCTTCTTATCGCGTTGAGGCATTTCTTCTTAACGGGTTCTCGGTGCCGTCGAAGACATGTTCTAACCTATACAAATTTTGGACATAATGCAATGTTTTCTGCGGTGAGGCTCAAAATCATAGTGCTCAGATTTTGAGCATTATTTTTCCGACCCAACTTTTGAGAGTTTTTAAAATAAACAAAGGGGACAAGAAAGCTTGTACTGGCGCACATTCAATTCAACGGAAATTCAAATGATAATTGAGTTTATCCTACTTCGGAAAAAGTATGCCCTGTTATACTCTCCCACCGACGCAGCACCACAGTTTCTTTAGAAACTTACCCCCTTGCCAGGAAATCAAGACGAATACGTCGATAACCCTCCTTATTTCCAGAGCGACTGGGAACTATACATAACAGATAAAAATAACAGTAAAAATTGTGGTTAAAAGCTGAAAGTAGTTCAATATCCTATACATATCGACAAGAATGAATCTGATAAAGTTTCCTTCAACCGGGTTGATAGTAGAAAACTTAGTTGTCTCAAAGGACCGACAAGTCAGTCATGGCAGCCAATGAGCTCCCAAAATAAACTGATATGACTATCTCATCTTATTTATCAACCTCACAGAGATCAAAATACCGAACCACAGATGTGCACTGTGGAAAATTGTTTGTCTTTAGAGGTTTGCAGAGGTTTTGTCCAACAACAAGATGATAAAATCTCACTAGTGTCACTTTTCAGTTTTAATGATCTATCCTTTGTGGTCAGAAAAGTGATATGCCAGCAACTATTTGTTTTCTTTTTCTAGTCTATTTCCATAAAATGACAAAATACTGTTTGCGTGACTCGGCAGCATCACTTAAAAACTGACGTGAATCTTATATTGTTCATGGAAGGACATTAGTAAGTGCTGTTGAGCACCAAAAGCTCATTGATCCGAAATACTTCATCATGGCATTCAAACCCTTGAGTTTATTTGCTTTCTTCGTCATAATTCTTCTTCCTCTCGGTAGGTATTGCTATAGTTTTATCATAATTTTGTAATCCATTGATGGCTTGAGATAGAACAAGTCATTCTCATTGCAATTTTTTCCCGCCAAGTGTTTCGTGTCTAGAGTCACATATCGTGTCAAGCCGATATAAAATGTTTATTGATGAAGGACTAGAAACATCATTAAAGAAATGTTCAAAAAAAGAAAGGATAGGAGTTAAACAGCTTTACCTCGGACGGGAATTAGAAAAAATACGCTGAGCCATAATTAGCTTACTCGGTTCCAGTTCTAGTGATCTGGTAAAATGTAAAAACTACAAAACAAGACCAGTCACATGATGTTGGGTTGTTTAACCGTCAATTGTGCTCTCCGCTGTATATCTTGGTAAACCTTTCTTAGTCTCAATGAGAAGTTATACAAAGAACGAAGCAAGTCCTATTTTTGGTAGTTAATCACTTAAAATGTCTGAATTAACTTTTTAAGTCAACACAAAAGAATAAATTCTTGTGACGTTATCATATAGGTTATGCAAATCCATCGATATCTTGTCAAACATAAAACCAGGGAAAAAGATAGTGCCATGCGAATGCATATGGCTCACTTAGGTTAAATTTAGGAGTTTTACGTTTCACTTAATAGTCATCTGGTCATTTCTAAAATTCATGACTTGACGCATTCAAATTTTGACATAATACTGCTCTGTTCCACTTCATATAATTTTTTTCATTTCATTCATAGAATATTGTTAAACTGGACGCTTATCATCGTGTTTTTGATGTATAAATGTATTTAGCGTGGTTCCACAAAAAACTGAGTAAACTCGAGCCCTTTTTACCAAATCCTTCTGACAAATTCTAGAAACATCAACCGTGAAGCATAGAAATTTGGTGGCTTTTGATTTTTTTTTGCGGATTCAAGGATTGTCCTCGATGTGCATGAATGGATTCCGCAGTCACGGCATGTCTCTATTTTTGGCGGGATAAATAGGCTCTTGTTTTACGCATGCTCATGGTTCAATCAAGCATCACTACCGGAAGACAAAAATTTATCAAGTGAGCTGAAAAACATTTCCTGTTCAAAAGCTTTTGTAAAGAGGCTCTACCCGCTCATGGGCTCCTGACGGGGAGGAGTATCATTTAGAAAAACAGGGGTGACCCTCAGATCTCTTAGGTTAAAAATACAGATATTGAACCGCGTTAGGGTCAACAAAGAGAAAAAATAAGCACTTGTCAAAATGCCCTATCAAGATGAAACGTGCGAATTTGTGTTTCCATCTAAGTAAAGTATTTTCTATTATTAGTTTTATCAATTATATCTGAGGGACCTTTTATAGACTTTATAGGTCAATACTGGTCGGAGCCACACCCCGATGGCTAACTCTCCGAGTTTTGTGAGCCGTTTCATTGATCATCCCGTGATACGCGTGATATTCCCCCCCTCCCCGGAAAAGCGCATGTCATTCAGGTCATCGTGACGAATGTAACTACTCTGAAAACTTTGACTATAAAGAAATATGTTCTTAGTTGACAGTTGCCTGTGTTATTATAATTGAAATAGTATTCTTATTTTTGATATTTTCACTGTTATTGTTGTAACTATTATTACTATTTTAATAATTAATATTATTATCATTATTATCATTATTGATTTTGTTACCTGACAGCCCATTCATTGCGGTGTTACTCCTGTAATAACATGTACAAGAACATAGAATGTGCGCCTGACTCTCCTGAGACCTGCGGTGGCTCTAGTGACAGATGCGTCACGGCAAAGTTTTCCTACAAAACAAACAGCACCGAACGTGGTGAAGTGGAGACATTTTTCAGAACATGTACCACTATGGCGGTATGTAACACTGCTACTGCTCCGTGCAAAGATATCGAAGGCGCCATCTGCGAATACAAGTGCTGTGAAGATGATCTGTGCAACAACAGCCCTCGTTACACGAGTCAAGTTTTTTATTTGCTGGTCCTCTCTTTTGTTTGTTTAATGTTCACAGCTTAATACTTGTTAAAAGAGTATTTTCTGGGTGTGTTTCATGACATCTTAGAAATAAAAAAATTTCAATATTCCATCTAGGTTTTGTTGAACTAATGCACCATTTCCGCCATGAAATAAAACTGTTTTATTTTTTTCAATCATCAGTATCTAACTTTCAGGATCCCCCCCCCCCATCCCCCGGTCAAATAGAAATATTTTAAGCTCTTGAGAGGGATAAAAAGGAGGCCCTCCTTAGGGGGAGAACAATCATCTCGTTCAGTGGTGCAAATCAAAAATGTTAGTTTTACTTAGGTTTGTTCGGAACAATCATCTCGTTTTTTAAAGGCAGTTGGTCTATTGTCTCGATAATCTTTTTCTGTCAACTCAAAATCCTGTTTTATAAATTTTGGTATCTATTCGGGGTTTGTTCGACTAGGTTGGTCTCGTTAGTGGCTCAATTCAAACATCCTTGTCCTTTTGGATATGGGAGTTCCCTCCTGCCATCCGCCCTCCCCTCCCCTTCCTCATCCTCTGAGCAAAATCTTACCTTCCAATCATGAGCAGCGTCGACGTAACGAAAGGCGATTATCGTGGCCGCAACGGCGAAATAGGAAACAATAGCACGCGAAAGAAGTCGCTGGATAACAGAACATAAATAATCCTGAAGGTAAAAGGTGCATAGATAAATAACCATAATATCAGCGGGGTGCGACACCGGAGCGTTTGACTATGGCAGAATCATTGTAGCTTCTAGGTTTGTTTGTGTTCGCTTTATCTATGGTCATGACGTAACAAAGGTCCGTTATGACGTGGAGATAAACGGGTGCGCGCTTTGTCCCAAACCTCTCTCGTTTTTCCTGGTTGGTTGGCTGCTGTTGAATTTGGGAGGGGTAGGTGCGCAGCTGCTTAGGTTCTGACATTGATCCGAGAAATTTCGGTCATTCGACGGTTTATGTTTAGTTTCTGTTCATGACAGTTTATCATGAGAAATCAAGTCGGCACATTTAGATTTGGTTTTTCGTAATAGGATAAAATTGTGCGAATATATTAATGACCCAATTTTTTTCTCTAAAAAATAGAAAGATTCCCAAGGTATAATTGACATTTCATCTCTAAAACTGTGACCGGTCAATGCATTACCAAAGCACTGCCCCTAAGTAACTGCCCGCTTCCTCTACGCAGACCCCATTTAGTTGTCGACAAGGAATGTCTGGGAGATTTCACGGCTTCTGTTAGTTGACTTTATTGACGGTTGACGGTTCATGCTTTGCATTCTTGGTCGGCGGTCAGGATTTAGGTCATTTGACGGCTGACCACTATTCCACTGAGATCCTCCGATTATCCGTTCAATTGAGTTCAGAGTTCATGCGTCGATCAATTCGAAGTCTTAATATCAAAAACATCAAAAATTGGGTTCAAATGCCCCGCCCACGTGCCGGATTTGATCGTTAATTTTGGCGCAAAAAAGATCTAAAAGAGTTTTAGATACACATTTGGTGCGTTCACCGCAAACGTCAAACCGCGGTTAGCAGTTTGTGATTAGAAGTTAAAAGTTTCGAGACTCAGCTTTTCAGATCGACGTCAGCTTTCACCTAAAAAAAAAAATTAACATGTGAACCGCCATCTTGAGTTACACAAAGGTAAGAGGTACTTCACTCCAAACACAAAATGTGGCTAAAAGATTGGTTTTCTAGCGTCCCAAACAGATTGGTTATAAAGAAAAGACTTAACCTCACATGTATTTATAGGGCATACGTGAGAACTCTCGAACAAGGAGAAAAAAAGCGTCGAGGGAGTTCAACTACCCAAAGGTGCCTTGCACGAGGTTCAAACGTGTATGACAAACGGCGAACGTGACCGCTGAAGTCTGGTCACGTGACTCCTAGACGTTTTTAGTCACACGTATTCAGAAACAAACGCGGATCTAAAGCTCTCTACTCGCCCGTGATTTTCATTTAGACCTTTTCTTCTGAACCACCTGCTTGCGAAAGTGAACTTTTCCCTTTTTAACATTTCCGTATTAAAAGATAAGACATGTTTATTCATCTGAAAAGACTTGACAGTTTGGATTCAAATTCCCCACCCAGGCAAGGCTCCCGAACACAAACAATATTCAATGCCGGTGCGTTGCCTGGAGCAGAGGGGGGGAATGTTGAAGCTTCGAATGCGATCGGCGTATTATGCGAAAAGTATTTCTTTGATTACCTCCTGAAATAGCCTTAAGTCACTTTTCTCGGTCACTTAAGCTGATCAGGAATTCTCAAAGGCAGTCTACCAACAACGCAGAATTTGATTTCTGAGAACCAAATCTGAAATACATTTAGAACCGATGAGAGATCGCATGGTTGGAACTTTCGAGTTAGGCTCAGGAACTCTGCAAGTCTCTCAAGCTGCGAAAACTTTATGAACACTTTGGATTCTTGCCTGGCGTCAATTAGGCTCCCTTTTTTGCTCATAAAACAGAGAGGAAACTCCTTAGCACTTGAGTAAGTTAATATTTCATGTCATAAGCATTTCCTGCCTAACATGTACTCGACACACTCACCAGAATGCATGTATGTACTTTTCAGTGGAATGGGGAGAGGTATGGCCCAAACTGCGCAGTCTCTTTACCCACAACTCTTTGCAGTTAGCTTAAGCCAAATGTCACAATGGAGGACGAGAAGTAGTTGTAGCGGTAGAATTTAGATACTTTTCTTTCCATTGCGATTGACGATCACACACTTTGTCGTTAGGTTGTGAAACTGTCGATGCAATAAGAAATAGTCGCCGTGTTTCCCGGCTCGGGATTTTGGGGCGCAATTGGCCGCATAGCTAGTAAACACATTAAAGTAGTAACGGGGACTCGCTCGTCGAAAAGTCGTCCCAAGATTTCAAACTGCAAAGTGGAAGAAGAAAGAATGAAAGCGACGGAAAATGAAAGTGATCAGGAGGAAATGGATACAAAAGAAGGTATTTCTTCTATAAAGGCAATTTAAGACCGCTCTTAGAATTGCTTCTCGTTTAAATTTTGCACATCACGGAAGCTACATTGTAGCTAGTTTAAGGTTAGCTTGTGATGAATTCAAATGTTTTGCTCGCGCGTTTTCCGTTAGATGCTGGTGGAGATTCTACAGTGCCAAATGGGCTTTCTTCTCCGAGTGAACCGCAAGATGTTGTGATGGAAGAGGACACGGCGAGACCTGAAGGAATAATTCGTTTCACTGTGCTCAATTTTAGCAAACTAGACAAGACAACTCTTAGTGACCCCATATACGTGAGGAATTTACCATGGTAAGGCATCAAAATTTGTTAGCGTGTGACGAAAATTTATAGATATGGCTCAATAAATAATCGGTTGATCGTTGAGGAATTATAGTTCTCAAATTTCTTGAGATACCATGTCTCAGAGCTCTAAAGTTTTTCCCCGCAATCGATTAAGTTTTATGAATTATTCATTTAACCCTTGTATTTTGTTGTTTTATGGTTTTTATCAATCTGGTTGTTACATTGCTAATGATTTTTCATCCGCGAGAATTTTTTTCATTTATCTTTTCTAAGTACATTGAACACCTGTGAGAGAGTGGAGAGTGTGCTTCTATTTACAATTGTAATGTTTTATGTTTACGTTCTTTCCTTACTGCTACTTGGATGTCTTCTGGATCTCATTCTATATCTATACCCCTAGTGTTCGTTGAAGTGAGGTGATGAAAATGACATTGCTTTAGGCATTCGATAAACTTCTTAATTTTTGGGAGTCAGGATTGCATAAAGCATTTTTGTAAAGAATAATGCTTGGATGGTGACTATGCAAATATAATATTGGTTGTCATTTTGCTTAAAAATACACGTCTAAAGTAGTATTATGTACATCTATTATTTGGAGTTGTTAATTTGATTTTTTCACCCAATTACCTACGTTATTTTTCCATATTGTCACTTTGTACTCTATATTCCACAGTAGATTTGGAGGAATATGTTTTTTTGTGCCTTTTTTTTTTTTAATTGTCTGTTGCATCTTAAACAAGCTAATTCCTGTAACTGATAACTAGGAAAGTAAGAGGAATGAGGGAAGGATTTGAGTCATGGCTGTGGGGTGAAAGTGAAAGTTTATAACCTCAATATTGTTTTTCATGTACTAGTATTTCTCAGTCAGTTTTGTTTTTAAGTTAGGTATTCTATCACAGTAAAAAAGTGATATTCATGTGCATGTTTTTGTTTGTTTTATTTCATCTTAGTATATTTATCTCTCTCAACTGTTAGTATTGCAGGTTATACTAGAGATTTACAGTGGAAATTTAAAAACAAAATTTCCATGACTTTTTCTTCAATCAACAAGACTTTTCTTTCTAGGCGCATCATGTGTATGCCAAGGTATTCCAGTAATGACAAAGTCAAAAGTGTGGGATTCTTTCTGCAGTGTAACCCAGAGACAGAGTCACTGTAAGTGTGTCACAGCTTTTTTGTCAAAATGTACACTATCATTAGATGTTTCCAGCCAACTAGCATTCCCTCTGTCACAAAACATTATTCAACTTCAAGTTTTTGTTGGCAGGCAGCGAAGCACTCAAAACATTGCAATATTCAATTGTGGGTGACTCTATATAGTTAGACAAGGATGTCATTTGTGTATTTCTTATTCACCACAATGCACAATAAGCAGATATACTTTGAACAGTGCATACATCCTTTTCCTCAGGTTGTTTGAAACAACAGCTGCAGTTATTTTCATGCCACATTGTGTGTTATTCTAACAGGAAATTTTAAAAGCAATGTTACGACAATTTACCCCTTGTATTTATTGTCTGAGACAAAGGATATTAAACTACTTATGCAAGTATTACTGGTAGTTAAGTTGCAACAATGATTGTGTTGTTCTAGTCCTATAGTATTGAAAAAAGTACAGCTTTTTTTCATATTTGAACCATATATGCAGGGACTATTTAAATTTTGACATCTGTAGGTGGTGTTCATTTATTACAAATGCATATACATTTGCCCAAGGATATTGGTTATGTCATTAATGAAATGAATTCTATTCACTTAGTAAGTACACAATTTATATTTAGTTGAAGTAGTTTGGCCACACACGTATGCTAAGTTAGAAAATTAATGTTATTGATATGTGTAAAAGTTTGTTTGCTGAAAGAGCATATTGGTATTTTATCTTTATTATATTACACTCAGGGCTTAAATTAATACCTGAAGCAGTCTTTTATGTTGTCTTCTGAAACGCTTGCCTTTTATTCTTCAGATCATGGTCTTGCCAGGCTTCAGCAAGACTGACTCTTGTCACTCAACAAGAAGGTGGTGAAGACTTTTCAAGAAGTGAGTTGTTAGATTGTAAAATTTTAAAAGGAAATCTTGAAACTATCTGGTTTGTATTCTTGGGGAAAAAAGGATAGAGCTAGATGAGTAGAAAGTGAGAGTGTGATTTCAAAAACAAGGGATGGCTGCAAAAAATGAGTCACTCACATTTGATTTTAGGATGTGAATCACAGATCAGACAGAACATCCAATTGCCTGTAGACTTAAATTTAATTTGCAGTCTTGGAAAGGAACCATCATTTAATATGTGCATATCTCTTCTTTTAACTGTGGACTCTTTCTCTTTAGAAATCTCTCACCTCTTCTTTTCAAAAGAAAATGACTGGGGATTTAGTCACTTTGTACCATGGAATGTAAGTCATTTTACCACTCTGATCTAAACTCATGTATGCTAAATGGTTGTTTGTATTTAGCCATCCATGCACCTGTAGGTGCCCATCTTATATTACATCTGTATGACTTTCATGGGTGGACTGTAAATCTTCAACAGTTGCGGGAAGGAATGAGACAGGGGGTGGGGTAGGGGTTATTACAAAGCTAACCTTTGGATGGAGGAGGGGGGGGTCTGAAGGGGGCATTTCAACTATGAATCCAGAAATGACTCAATATCTAGTGTGTTACATGTGCACTCAAAATTTGTGGAGAGTTTTGTATTCTGTGATCTGTTGATGTATTCCATTGTCTGGTTTTTTATAATGCAGCTGTTTTACAGGTTTAAAAATACAGAGACAGGGAAAAAATAAGAAATTAACTCACATTTTGTTATCTTCATGAAATGCTGGTCATCAAGTTATCAAGATCCAGCTTCATCCTGCAAGCTGACACCACATGAGCAAAATTATTTATCATTCAATATCTTGTATTTAGGAGGCATGAATATTATTATGATGTTAATTTGTTCTACTTCATAATTATGCTAAAACATTTTCCTTAGTTAGCTTGACAGATGTTTCTCAATGATTTCAAAATTTTTTAGTTTCCTTTTTTTCGGTTGTTATATGAAAGCATACAACAGGTGTAGTTGTTTAGAAGTTATCTCAGGGCTCCTTTGATGAAGTCTTCAAAAGACAAAGCTATTACTCTTAAATATTTTTACAGTCTACTATTTATTTATTTTCATGCAGGATGCTCTTGATCCTAACAAAGGTTTTATCAAAGATGACTCTATCATCCTAGAAGTACATGTAGCAGCAGAAGCTCCTCACGGAGTTGCGTAAGTCTCGTAGATGCTATACTCTTTTCTGCTTCAGCTTTCTAAAGGTATTACTGGAGCAGACAAAATAGTTTAAGCCTTAAAATCTCATGGATAACCAAGACATACATGTGCTTCCTCTTTACAACATCAAAACAATATTAAGCAGACAATAAGAGTAAAGAAAAGAAAAATATAAATTGGGAGACTATTAGTTGATCCAATAACAAATTCTCTGAAGAGACATAATAAGAACTGTATAACAGTAAGGAGACTTGCGGATAATATCTTAGGAATGATAGAGTTTAAACAAGTAGCACATCAACAATACAGATATGTTGTTAAGTACCTTCTAAATTACTTGTTGGGATTAAGAGAAAATGCAAAAGGTTTAAAATACTTCCAAGCCATTATAGTGGAAGTCATTTGTGTCAAGTGGAGCAGTATTCATAAAAATTAAACACAGCAGCTGTTTACACATGTGCACAACTGTATGTATAGGGACATGTATGTGCTGGGGTAAGCTTTCTAGAAAGACCATCCTCAATGAATGGTATCTTCTTTGATGCTATCAGAATTTGAGATGACAAAGCATTTTGAAAGTAGTGTTGAAATATCAGGAAAGTGTTTGTATTGATCAGGTGTACCAACAGCTTAATTAGTATGGTGTAAAAAAGTTTGTCAGAGTGCAGGGTTTGAATTTGTTAATTGGAGAAATGTTTCTTTCTAGGTGGGATTCAAAGAAACATACTGGTTATGTTGGACTGAAGAATCAAGGGGCAACATGCTACATGAACTCTTTGCTACAAACTTTATATTTTACGAATAAACTAAGAAAGGTAAGAGAATAAAATTCCTTACTGCATATGAAGCTTTTCCATAATGACAAACAGTATCCTTCCTCTCAGCCTCTGCTTTTCACAAGGATAAAACAGTCTTTTTGTGCTTCATGAAAACTGTTCATCTTAAATATTCCTTTGTGGTATTCATATGGAAGTATTACTCATTTGTATGTACCAGCAGTTCCATTTTGAGTGTTGTTGTCTGCCATTTTGTAGTCTAGATACACGACAAACAGACATATGCCAAAATGGGAAAAAAGCAAGTCATGATATGTTTGTGACTACGTGGGCAATTTAAATGTGTTTGCAAAATATCTTTGCAGGCTGTCTATCAAATGCCCACAGAGAATGACGACCCAAATAGAAGTGTGGCTTTTGCCCTTCAAAGAACTTTCTATGAGCTACAAAACAGGTCAGTCTTGAAAAGGAACTTCACGTTCCCTCGTGTTTCAGACTTCCTTTTTAGGAGCTTAGATTGTGCGGAAAGGCACTTCCTGCTATTCACACTAGCAAAACAGGTTAAGTAAGTTTTAACTTACTGTATATTTTCATTGTGCTAAATTTGAAGTTGACAAAGATCAGTGTAAGCAGCTTCTATCAAGAAAGCAATTTCAAACTGAGTTTGATAAAACAGCTTTAAAACATGTTTTGATGTGAATGGGGTATAAGTTGTGATTGTCATGTTGGTACTAGTAATATTTTATTATAAGAAGTGGCTCTTTTGGTGCATTGAGATGTCTTCTATATTTCACACATACGACATACAAAGTAGCCTTTGTGTAATGGTCTGCATTTTCTAACTTTTATCTGTAAATGTGACTTTTTATTTTCACAATAGTGATAAAGCAGTTGGCACAAAGAAGTTAACCCGATCATTTGGGTAAGTGTATTACAGACATATTTGTATCCTTGAATTAATTTTAATACTGTTTAACCTAAAATTACATAGTTTGCTGCTGACTTTGGCTATTGATTTTACATGTAAAATCTTAACATTTTTTAGAAGTTACCTTTGGATGTTTGATATTACATGTAGCAAGATTAAATAGATACATAAACATCCAGAGGATTGTTTCACTGACCAAGGAATGTGTGACTGTTTTTCCCCTCTTAGGTGGGAGACACTGGACAGCTTTATGCAGCATGATGTTCAAGAATTGTGTCGAGTGGTAAGACTGTGATTAAGTACTGGCCCTGGTTATTTGAAGTGTAGATAACACTATCCACTTGATGAAATACTATCCAACAGATATTGTAGTCTGGTAATTATTAAAATCACACTTATCCACTGGATTATGATTTATCTGGTGGATAATGCTATTTCACAACCAAGCCTGAAGTATAACAGTAGTCAATAACTATATGTACAAGCTGAGCTGAACCTCGTTTATGGTAAACATTAAGTGGCGATCTCTGCAAGAGCAGTCCAAGGAATTTTGCATCAGAAAAAAGTTTTCCCTCAAACTTTGCCCATTAAAATATCTTTGGCAGTAAGTAAATAAAACCACATTGGTTTCTAGAAATACCATAAAAAAATGTTTTGAGAGCTCTCAATAATCAACTTTTTTGACCTCTTGCAACTTTGAAAATTTCAAAAGTTGACAAGGTGGCTCCTTGTAACACACTACATGTAGCAAGACATGTGTATTCCTAAATTGTGTGATATATAAGGGGTTTGGAAAGCATTTCAATTTTGATATGTGTCTATTCAGAAGTTTGCCATAATTTATTTAAAAACACCCGTTAGAGGGCTTTCTGAAATTCCTTGGGTGACCATTAAAAGCAGCAGTTGATTTCTTCTAATAGGATGTTAAAAGCATAGAAATGTAGAAACATCTTGCACCTATTAATTTCCTTTGCTTTAATGACTTCAAACTTTTGGTGATTTTGCTAGGATGACAGCAGAATTATGCATTCCATTCCATTTGTGTTTTGTCTCACTAACTGATAAAGATGAGTAAAGGAAAAAATGAAGCATGGTGTAGTTGTCTTTCTTAGAAGAATCCAAAATGATTTTTTTAAATTACAATTTAGCTTCATGAAGTGTTTCAAACATTTGTTTTACACAACCTTTTTGCAGTTACTGGATAACATGGAAAGCAAAATGAAGGGAACTTGTGTTGAGGTGAGATGTAAATCTACTTTGATGTCTATCAACGTGCCATCAATTGACAAAAAAGTTTACAGGTCTGTAATATATGGCTATAGTCCTTTTAATTGCTGGAGTGAGCAGGATGTACAGAAGGATGTGCAAACAAAAATATCATCAACTAATCTTTGTTCTGTTTTTGTAGGGCACAATTCCAAGATTGTTAGAAGGAAAAATGCTGGTATGTATAGTAGTGTCATGGTGAACAAAGTGGTTTTTTTTTAGTTGTAAGATCTTGTACTTGTACTTTAAGATATTACAGCTCCACCTTACCCTAAAGTACTTAAAGACTAATGAACTTTGATTTATAGCCAGATAGTTGATCTGAAGTAATGTATGAACCTGGCACAATTTAATTGAGTTTTTGTTTTTTTCACTCAGTCATATATCAAGTGTACAAATGTGGACTATGTGTCACAGAGGTGGGTTGTTTAAAACATACTCCTTCATAGTAGGTTATCAATGGTAGCTTCAAGTGTTCTAGTGTTGTCTCATTCAGCAGTACCCTTGCATTTAATAAACTATTTCTTCATATTATACATGTTAATGTCCAGACACATACACTGCAGACTGGCTTGTGATTTATAATATTTATTATGGTTCAGTTTGGTCTTTGAAAAGCCCTCATATTTTCTTTGCACTGTCAGACTTAAATTTTGTGTGTACATATATTATGAATTTTGTTTTAAAATGTAAGTTAGGTTGCAAATTACTATTGATGGTTACTTATATTTCAATATTGATATTTTACCTAACTCTAGTAATGATACTGATTCTGATTTCAGAGAAGAGCCATTCTATGATATTCAACTGAATGTTAAAGGCAAGAAAGACAGTAAGTTTTGGCTGGTTACATGCATATTGAATAGTATATAATGAAATAAAATTTAAAGAAATAGTAAATGTATATAAAATAATGGACCTCGCTCACTGTGGAGTCTCTGTGGCTCAGTGGTAGAGTATCAGAGTGCAGAATCCAAAGGTCTGAGGTTCGATTCCTCATGGGGACTCAGAATTTTTTCTTTGTCCCACACTCGTGACGAGATGAAAAGCATCTTTCTCTTTGTATATTAAATGTTGTTATTTTTGCAACAATGCCATCATGGACAAGTGGCATGTTAGTCATTGTTTTTATGGGCAAGATGCCTCACTCTTAAAGTTTCTTGCTTCACCTAGGAGTGTTAAGGTGTAGTGGTAAACTCCTAGAAAATCCTGACAAAATGCTAGGGAGAGGAGGGCAGGGGGTGGGGGTAACCTTTAATGAACAGGTATCCCATTCAGGTGTAGATACAATACTCCTAGTCCCATCATGTCCTAGTCCCATCATGTCCTTGTCCCATCATGTCTGAGTCCCATCATGTCCTAGTCCCATCATGTCCTAGTCCCATCATGTCCTAGTCCCATCATGTCCTAGTCCCATCATGTCCTAGTCCCATCATGTCCTAGTCCCATCATGTCCTAGTCCCATCATGTCCTAGTCCCATCATGTCCTAGTCCCATCATATAATAAACCCTGAGATATGTCATGGCGCTTGGGGTTTCTTGGCTTGAGATCAGACTTTACCTTACAAACTTATGCCATGGTTTCATTGTCATATCATTTCAGTTTATGAGTCATTCAAAGAGTACATTGCTGTGGAAACTTTGGATGGAGATAACAAATATGATGCTGGGGAATATGGTCTTCAGGTGTTTGTCTTACTGGATAAAATATTTTTATTCTGAGTTTGTTGTGTTTTGCTTTGTATACCTTTCATATGCTTCACCTCTGAATTTGATTTCATCCTCTTTTATCAGGAAGCTAAAAAGGGGGTAATTTTTGCAAAATTGCCTCCTGTTCTCCATCTTCAGTTAATGAGATTTCAGTATGACCCAATGACAGACACAAATGTTAAAATAAATGACAGGTTTGTCCAAGAATTGTAATACTTGAACAGAATTACTGTGACTAATTCATCTTTGATAAAGGATTGTCTGTGGTCATCACACATAATTAATTGTGGTACACACCATATATGTAGCCTTTCTGTTAAGATTTGCCAATTAGCAAGACCAGTCCTATCAGTTTTGCTGACAAATTTGGATCATTTCCCCCCTGGATCAGTGCTCCAACTTCAAAGTTTTTTAAGTTATTATTTGGGAACTGAAAATCAGGAAATGGTTGCTAGAAACGAAATTTAATCCTCAGTGGCCAGGAATCACTTATTTAAGGCCCACATGACATCTCAAGACACTTGCAAAACCAAGGAGAGAGGCACATTTACTGAGCACTAATGATATTAATGCAAATGTTTATCTCACTTGAACTTTAGATCATGGTAGTTAGAGAATGAAAGCATTGCAGCTTGCTACTTGACTGCGAAGCACAGGTTACCAATTTAAGGACTTTTGCTTAAAATTTGATCACCAAAGTTTTTTGCTAATGGCCATGATACCAAACCAAACTTGGAGCACTATTCATTGTTTTTAAAAAAATGGCACTTTTAAGCTTTAAATTTTAGGCTTAGTGAGTAGATCAGTTTCTTATTCCTCAGGCTATTATTTTCTTGTTTAAACAAAGCTATAACTGCATTTGATTTTTTCTAGGTGTGAATTTATGGAGAAGCTTGATTTAAACCAATTTCTTCAAGATCCTGAAGAGCACCCAGGACAGTATACATTACATGCTGTTCTTGTACATAGTGGTAAATCCATTTTACATTTAATTCTTAAGGGTGAAAGAGCTTTCTTTTCAGCACAGTTGTATACCTTTCCAGTGAAGTTAAAATCTCCAATTTGTCAAGTACACATTCATTTAGATAGCTTGTTGCTGTAAATAGTTTGTAAATAGAAAATGTTCATATTCAATCTGGTAGTGGAACAAAGAAAGATTTTACCATGGGGGGTGGAACAAAGGAAAAGATCTGTATCTCTAATGAGGAATTGAACAACCAGACTAAGCGACAAGAAAAGTGTGGGTGTGCCAGGCCCTAAACTTGGTTCAGATACTGTACTTCAAGTTTCCTGCTTGCAGCAAAGATCAGAAATGTTGAGACTTGGTACTTATAGACCCTGTATGCCTACCTCACCAACTACTTTTCTGTAACTCAGTGGCAAAGCTTGGTACAGCAAAATCAGAAGAGGGGGAAGGGTTGAATTGCTTGTTAGGGACTCATATTTTATTTTCTTTGTCACACCTTTATGCCAAAAATCAGTTTAAATGTGCACCTGTTAAATTAACTCTTGAGATGTAATATTTCAGGTACTTCAAAAAAAGGTAATTTAAACCACACAAGGGCCCCAAAGGGTGAAAGAAAGTGTTTTCACCTTCACTGTTTTGTTGTTATATCTCATCAGTTCTTAACTTTTAGAAATTTGTATTTTTAGGAGATAACCATGGTGGACATTATGTTGTGTACATTAACCCCAACGGTGATGGAAGGGTATGACTCATAGTCTCTGTTTTTGTTATTTTCATCATTGGTTGCCAATGAGAGCTGGGCAGACAACTGGGGATGTTAAATCTTAACAGTGGCTTGTAGGACCCTACCATGATCCGCAGTATTTTAGTGCGTTGTTTATGTCTCAATTTGTACCTCTAGCAGGGCTGGGAACAGATGGTTAATTGCAAAAAACAAGCATGGCTGTGATTTCAAACTTTGAGTATATTTTGTGTCCCAGTTCACACTGGTGATAGTTTTGATCATATGGAAATACATGTAATACCCATGAGAGGTTATAAAATCATATAAACATTTGGACAAGGGTAGACTTTTCAGTGGTGTTAATAGTGGTTTCAGTTGCCCATGATACAAGAGAATGCAAGTGATGTTCAAAGACAATTTTTGTTGTTTAGAACATTTAAAGGTTACTTTGGGGCATAGAGTTCTGGCTGTATGCTGTATACATGACTTTGTATACATTTTAGTTTGGGGTGTCAAATGTTTTCCTTATTTAATGACCATTAAATCACACTACTCCTTTAATTTTCAGTGGTGCAAGTTTGATGACGATGTTGTGTCACTGGTAAGTTCTGGATATGGATATGGATATGGAATAACCAAATCCAAACTGTAAAAAAAAAAGGTTCATAGAGGGAACTTTATGCAGAGATACATATCTTAATTCTTGAGCAGTGTTCTTTAAACATTTGTGTGTTGTTTTAGAGCTAGCATTTATATTTTTTCCTAATTCAAAGCCATCATTAATTATTGCAGGCTACTAAAAAAGAAGCAATTGACAATAACTTTGGAGGATACGAGGTAGGCAGATTTACTTTAAATTTCTTATTTTAGCTTCACCACACAACAGACAGGTCAAATATTGAACTATTAGGTTTATTTTGCACTGTTTGACCAAGCACCAACTCAAAGAATATCAAGAAGACCCTATGTATACAATCCACGTATGATGCAGAATCATCACATTAGCAGTAATCACTGTCACTGTGCATTCAAATCAAATAACTGGAGAGCTGAGCAACCACTTACAATCACTGTGGTTAAAACGGTGACCAGAAAAAACCTGTGGAAGAAAACCCCAGTGGGGGAAAGAGACAGGCTGGCAGTCTAAAGCCAGAAACTACATTTGATACTAAGATGTCCAAATTGACTCTAGTATAATTCAGTAGACGAAGACGCACTTGATTTTACACATAATTAAACAGTTATGATCAGATTATTCCTTGGTGCACAGCATTCTTAGACCATTCAGTTCTTGTGTGTGGTGGAAATTGACCGAGCCAATGTTTTGTTACAGGATGACATTACAGTAAAGCATTGTACGAACGCGTATATGTTGGTTTACATCAGGGATAATGAAATGAGTAAGTAGCCATTTCCACCTTACGTGTTTAATGATGACTTACATTTGATGAGCTTTGGTGTAGGTCAGAAAAAACTGGCACTAATAAACGAACTTGAGGCCAACAGTTAAATTTGTGGAGAGAAATATTGTGAGAAAGCTTCCCTGCTAGGAACTTGTTAAAATAATTAAAACTCAAACAAAACAAGTTCATGCATTAAATAAAAAAACTTGTCTCATACTTTGGAGAAAAATTAATTCCCAGTAGCAAGTGTCAAAAGTTTTAGCTTGATGAGCAGAACTACGTTTATTGACTCAAATCCACATTTACTGATTGTGGTCCTGTCAAATAAAGACAGTTTCTAATATCTTCCAGTTAGTACGTGCGCTATGATTGATCAATTAGGCCGGTCTTAGGTCACGGAATTAAAATCTTTCCCCTCTATTTGACCCTAGAGATATGATAAATACATTGCTATCCCCGTTTTCTCGGTCCGTACTGTAAGTTACGGAACCTCGTTTTTTTCAGCTCAGATTTATGGCTTCGCGCTCGGGCCTCGAACTCGGTTGGTAGAGGTATATACAAACAGTTTCTGGCAAACCTATAACTAATGCTCATGTTGGGATATTCTGATGAACTTCCTTCTTTGATTGAAAGAAGAGTGTCGATGGCACTATGTGGTGAATAATATTGTACTTTTTATTTTTCACAGAGGATATTCTTGAAGATGTAGATGAGTGTACAATTCCTGATACACTAGTACAAAGACTACAGGAAGAGAAGTAAGAAAACAGCTTAAGTAAAGTTTTTGGTTTTTAAAATGATAAAATGATCGTTGATTAATGAAGGTGCTCTGCGGCTGAAAATTATGAAATTTTAGGGTTAGTAAACAAATTTCTGTCAATAAATGAAAACGTTATTATTGACTTGCAGGAGACTTGAAGCACAGAGAAGGAAGGAGAGACAAGAAGCACATTTGTACATGACAGTGGATGTAGGTTTATTACCAAACTTATTTCAAATTTGACGACGGAGAGAGAAAATTTTTGTATAATCTAATAAATCTCCGTTTTAAGTAAATAACATCCCTATAGAACTATTTTGTGGCTTACATACCCACACAGCTATTGCTCTATTATAATTACCGTAGTCTGTATAATAGATGTGACATGTGTGCTCGTCTAATGCAAGCTGATGTAAGCTCGAGACAAGTGCGTTGTGTGGGTCACGTGTCCTTCCTTCGTTTCGCGCGTGATTCGCCCTTTGCACACGCCTCGCGTTTACCTCCACTAAACTCTGATGGCATGAAAAAAGGCCCAAATACAACACCTGGGTATAAATATCTTGTATGTGAGGTTAACTTCTACTTCTTTATTGTTCAGATTGTGACTGAAGACCAATTTGCGGGACACCAGGGACCTGATCTTTTTGATCCAGAGAAAACCAAAATAAAGTGAGTGTCGATAGCATGCAATAAGTTCTTAAACAGAAGGAGTACATTGTAAATCGTTGGATCATTTCCTCCCCTTACCTCCCCTTGGTTGCCCATTGCAGTCTACCTCTAAATGATATCCACTTGAATCTGTTTGAAAAGAACCATTTCAGAAGATTTAGTGTCGTGCTAAGTAAGAACTGACCTACAACTCCATCCATGAAGAGTTCGTTTATGAGACAATTGTTTCAACGTTTTTTTCTCCCTCTGTAGGAGTTTCAAAGTTCTAAAATCAAAGAAACTTCACGAAGTTTTGGCTATTCTTGCTGATGGTCTGGTAAGAAATTCAACTTGTTGAATTAATCATATTGTCCATTTTGGCGCAAACTCTGCTCATTTTCTAAATTTTCAGTTTTTCTCAAATGATTCTTTCATTGAAATACGTTTTTTCTCATCAGTAGATCAGTTTTGAATGAGTACTCTGCGGCAAAAGAATTTGCTTAAAGTACGCAACGTAACGTGAACTTATTTTAAAGAGTTGTCTCCTAAACTATTGTGCGTTTGTAGCATGTTTTCGTGGTCGAGTGTTTCTTATCGTTGTAACAGGTCAAGTTTCTTTATACCCAAACTACCTTGTATAACCTTGTCTTTTCGCCTTACAGGGATACCCAGTGAATCAAATTAGACCGTGGCCACTTCAGCCGAGAAGTAACGGCACAACAAGGCCCAGTTTATTTGACATAGAAGGAAGTTTGGATAAAACGGTAATTTGGTTAAGCTACAGTTTCTTAGCTGCCATAATTACATTTCATTTTGAAATTTTAACAAATCCTGAGTAGATATTTAACCGAGTGTTCCTTTTTCGTTCTTTCGAAGTTGGGCCAAATTGTGGACGGATCACAGTGGTGTGTATTCCTAGAAACAATTGATCCTGGTAAGAATATTTATCTATTGTATAGCCTGACGTTTAGCTTTTAAAACGTAACTCCCTGACTCGTTTTAGATGGTGAATTATACAGCAATCATTCAATGTTGGGTCGCGTGAGATTTTTTCATAGGAGCGTCTCACGGTATAATTAGGAATTCAGTTTAGATCAATGGCGATTCTATACAATTGATCCGTCGTTATCAACGCATTTGACCTGTTGATATTAACTCATTCTATTCTGTTCTTGTAGAAGAAGGAAAAGTGTCACTACCAGTCTTTGATAAGACAAGTAAGTTGTTTTTTATTACAACTGTCTAGATGGCATAATGTAGCTGCAACATTTTCCACTTTCATAAAAATTTCTTTTTAATGTCGCTCTTTTAGTAAAATGTTTTGCTTTCTTTCGAACGAATACTGTAAATCATCACCCAAACTTGTAGTAACGAAATTTCAGATTATGTCATATCGAATCAGGTTGATTAGATATTAGTAAGTCATTTTTTGTTTCTTATTTTTCCTGCTGCAGATGACGTCCTGTTATTCTTCAAACATTATGACCCAGTACAAAAGACTCTATCCTGTGTGTGTCATCTTTACACTCCTTTGTCAACAAAATTTGGTAAGAAAATTGTTGTCAACTTGCTTATCGGGTTTTGGCCGTGTATTGAACTTGAGGAGGTGGGGAAGAGAAGGAGTCGTTTTCATCAGCCTGGACAGGAATTGATTACTCAGGCTTATTGGTTCTTATTAATAACGAAATGTTCTTTTAAAAGATGGTCGCTTTATTGGCCAATTGATTTACAACAAGCGTCCTCAGACTATAGAACTCTGAATTGCATTCATAAACAATGTGCGATCTCGTCGAAAACACTTGTTTTTGCTTTGACATGTGCAACGTTCTCATCTTTCCCCGGCATCTAACCCTATAGAAGGCCTCCTTTGTCAAGGTATCACCCTATTGTCGTTTGCAATACTTAACTGATCCTGTTTTGTTCTTCTCAGTGGATCTCATTCCTATGTTAAGTGAGAAAGCTGGGTTACCGCCTGGAACACCAATAGCCATGTTTGAGGTGAGAGTGCTCGGCTTGTTTTTACCTCTGTATTCGTTGTTTTTTTTTTCTAAACCATAGACCGGATTCCTGATTCTATGGGCCTTTTTTGTAGGAAGTGAAAACAACTTACGTGGAGCAAATCAAGGACCTAAATGTCTCGTTTGAACGGGTATGTGTTCCCGAGCTTATACAAATTCTTTTTTTTCTGCCTTTTGGGAGAGCTGAAGAGCGAAAGTCATTACCTTATTGCGCCTTCTGTGAAAATAACATATCAATTATACTACATATTTATCATTATTTTGATATCGTCACTTTCTTTTTTTCAACAGGGAGTGGAGGAACTCATGGATGGCGACATCATCTGTTTCCAAAGGTATGCAGGTGTTGGTATAAAATGGAACAATGGCAAAATACTTCTCTTTAATTGCAAAATTTTTAATATTACTACTGTTGCGTCATGTTTAGATCTGAACCTGATTTGCTAAGCGCAAGTGAATTACCCACAGTAGCAGACTATTTCAGGTAGGGTGTTGCCGTGGTGTTCAAAGTAATTTTTGAAACGTTGAAAATAGTATAGAGAACATCTTTTGAAGTAGTGTTCGGAAATATTGGTCGAAGGTACTGAAATAGTGTTCTTTTCCATTGTTTTCCAGGGATCTTCACAATAGAGTGGAAGTCATATTTTGTGACAAGAACATTGTAAATGACCCTGGCTTTAGTGTGACACTCTCGATAAGAATGAACTATATGCAGGTCAGTATGATTTGTTGATTTGACTACTTAAAAGAAATCGGACTGTGCATCGATTTGCCCGTCTAGAGAAAAAAAGCACTACATGCCAAAACATGTATGGGTACTTTGAGACCCCAAACATTATCCAAACAAGTGACAAGTTCGCTCTTGGAGGCAAACACATGCACTCAAACTTCCTTTTTCTCGGTCGTCACTCGATTAATTCTCCAGGCAAAAGATTTTTACAGGCATTCGTATAATATATGAGTTATAGAAATTGACATGAAATTGCCTTCCTGTATGTTGTATTTAACCAGTCTGCAAATAAACGATCCTTTTGATCGAAATTCGTCTCGTTGAAGTGAACACACGGTTCTTTCCAGCTTTGTAGATAATGTAGTTTTACAACTATTTCTGCGAAAATCTTCCGTACGGACCGCCTTCTTGAGTTGACAGAGAAAACAAATCTTCCTAAGAATCGCGCGCGAGCATTCGAGAAAATACTTACTTGATTATAGTCGTCGACCCTCGAACCGCCTTGGACTGAGGTGTAAGGAAGTGTTTTGTGTTTACTTAATGTATACCGTATTGAACATAGTTACATAATTCCCTTACTTCATACACTTGATGAGGTCACTAAACAATGGGTTGTCTGTGCGTTTCTTGTCAGGTTGCCAAGGCTGTGGCAGCAAACCTAGAGGTTGATCCAATGATGTTGCAATTTTTCAAAGGACAGGCGTAAGTTGATCCAATGATGTTGCAATTTTTCAAAGGACAGGCGTAAGTTACTGTGACTTGAGTAAGGACCTTCAGCAAACCACGACGGCAACGAGGACGTGGGGAAACAAAAGAGCTAATGACTAGAGCTATAACCTAGCTCGTGAATTTCAATTTATGTTCTGACATTTCTAAATCGTCCTGCCAAACAACGACGTGAAATCACCAAAATTTACGTGGTCCGACAACGGAAACCGCGATGGCAAATTATTTAAGTTCAAATCTGGAACTTAACCCTGATCATTAATGTCATGCTGAAGTTGAGGTGTGGCGCCGTAAGAGACGGTAAACTTTCAACCTTTCGCGAAATTCTGACTGTGAATTTAAATTAATTTTTTAATCGACGTTTCCTCGACGTTGTCGTCCTGACTGCTTATTTAAGGTCCCCCTACTATCCTTTTTTTTTTTTTTTTTTTTTTTTTTTCACGGTGTTTTGTTTCCAGTTCACGCCAATTTATCTTATGTCTCTCAGATATCGCGACGCACCAGGGAGTGCGCTAAGATGTACATATGAAGGAACTTTGCGGGATCTTTTGATTTACTATAAACCACGGGGACCAAAGAAACTCTACTACCAAATACTAAGCATACCTATCGACCAACTCGAAAACAAGAGACAATTCAAATGTATTTGGGTTGCCAACCAGTTCAAAGAAGAGAGAGAACTCGCTCTCTTTCCAAATAAAGATGGAACGGTGGCAGACCTTCTCAACGAAGCTCGGGAACAAGTTGATTTACAGCCGAATGGAACGGGGAAACTTCGGCTTCTAGAGATTATTAGCTCCAAAGTGTTTAACATTGTTAACAATGACGTTCCGCTGGAACATCTCGCCACCCAGTCACAAAGAACGTTTAGAATAGAGGTAACGTATGTGATGTTCCAAGGAGGATTGAAAATGTTGAAAACGGTCTTTTAGATTTTAGTCAGACATGAAGTCTTTACGACTAATTAACGTTCAAAGCAATTTTCATAAGGTATCCATTCTTATGTATCATTAAAGTGCAATTTTTGCCACTTTTGAGAGGTGTGTGGGAACCAGTCACAAATTAAGTTTATTATTTTTTCTTTTTCTCAGTTTTTTTTGCCGCCAACCTCTGTTTGCCATCTTGGTGTAGTTTACTCTCTCAACGCTGTACACAGGCTCTTTCTTTGGAGACTATATAGTAAAGGAAATTCATTTCAAGCTTATCTGTAGATTTACTCTGTTTTTCTTTGTTGTTGTTTTTCATTGTTGTTGTTGTTGTTTTTTTTCAGGAAGTCCCCGAAGATGAAGTAGAACTAGCAAATGATGAAATTTTAGTTCCTGTGGCTCACTTTAATAAGGTAGAACCTTTTAAATCGTGCTTTGGTGTTACTATGTGATTTGTTATCGCCAAAAATATGTTATTTTGTGGCAAATTTGTTTTCCTTTTCTGTTCTTAACAGGAAATTTATCAGACGTTTGGAACTCCATTTTTACTTAGGATAACTGATGTAAGTACATTCAGATGAAAAGAGAGTAGCATCAAACCATGTCTGATTGTCCGCCTGGTTGCCATGTGAACTTTAACATAGAGAAATTCTTGTTGCACAAATTGATCTGAAGGTGTTAAAAATACATGCACACCTAACAAGGGTGAGGAGTTCGATCCACTTGGAATAAACCTGAAAGGTTTGAAAAATCAGTAGAAACTGAGAAGAATGATGTCAACAGAAACTCAAGTCGAGAGTGAATAGGTAATTGGGTTACTTGTAAAGAAAATGGTTATTAGTTGTAGTTCGCGGAAAGGAAAAAAAACATTAAAAAGCAGCTTGTCAGTAGATTAGTGTGGCATCCATTCTGAATGTGGCTGGTGTAGAAAGGAACCAGATTACCTGTGTTTTCTATTTGTACCACAATTTCTAAACAAGAACACGTTCATTTTATTAACAGGGAGAACCCATCAACAAGTTAAAAGAAAGAATAAAAGAAAAGATAGACATTCAAGAAAAAGAATTTGAAAAGGTAATTTACAACCAATACCAGTTGAAAGAAGGTTAACAAACAAGATAGGCTAACAGGGTTCCAAACAGATAGGCAAAGACAAAGAAATGGTCAGACAGTCAGGCAGGCAGGTAGACAGACAGACAGGCAAAGAGGTAAGCAGGCAGGCAGACAGACAGACAGACCGTCAGGCAGGCAGGGAGGAAGGCAAACAAACAAACCGACAAACAGGCACACACAGAGACAGCCAGGCAGGGAGGTAGGCAGGCAGACAGGTGGACAGATAAACATGGAGACAGACAGACAGGCAGGGAGGTAGGCAGGCAGACAGGTGGACAGATAAACATGGAGACAGAGAGACAGAGAGACAGAGAGACAGACAGGCAAGGAGGTAGGCAGGCTGGCTGGCAGATAGGAAGATAGACAGATAGACAGGAAGCCAGGCAGACAGGCAGGGAATTGAGAATATGGACAATAAGGTAGACAGTATGAAAATAGGTAGAAAGTCAGAAACAAAGACGATCAGATGTGCAGATATAGTCAGGAACAACCACAAAAAGCAGGCCGATGATATAATTTATTACCCGCTTATGTTTCATGTTTTCCCGTAGGTTAAATTCGCAGTTATTCACATGGGACGAGCGATATACCTCCCAGAAGGTAACTTCATTATTGTTGATTCCTCTTCTGTTTTAAGAGTTCTTACGTCATTCATGCTTTTCTCGGTTTCCGTGTATTTGTCTTGTTTCAGAATCGGACAAAATCGTCTCAGTGAAAGACTTTCTTCCGCAGACACCAGGTAAACACAACCGTTCGTTGCTCTAAAAAATTGAAAGAAGTTTAATAGAGTTGAGTGAACAAAAGAATTTGCCGTCTGCATAATTTTATTAATGCCCGAGACGTCTACACAATGCTGATACTTGCACGACGCGTGTTACATACACTATGAACCTAGTTATGGCCCTAGCTCACCGTAGAGATCCCTCATGGGCACTCATAATCTTGCCTTTGTTCCACGCTCGTGGTAAGACGAAAAGAACCTCTTTCTTTTACCTTTTCACCCCCAGTATCTCAATGTTGATCATCCATACTGTTTTTCGTTCATTTTGGATTTCATCAAACGTCTCCCTAGTTCATAATTCTTTCACTCCTCATCACCTTTCGGCTTTAAAATGTATTAAAGTTGTGCAGAGAAATAGGCTTTGTCACTTCAGGGAGTCAAAGGGTTCAACAGTTTCTTGTCTCTCACACAACTCTTTCGGAAGGAATTCATCTTTTCTTGGAAGTTACTTCATCAGAACTCACGTTACTGTATTTTAGTTTTCTAATTCTGCCTTGGTGTAACAGAATTAAGAATAATCCACTGGCCAAAGTCTTAATTTTCTTATAGGGTTGAAGGGAAATGTTAGTATATTCTCTTATTCTGCGAATAAGAGAGAGTTTTAGCCACCATAAAAGAGACTTAACTAAATATGTGTTGGTTTTTAGGCGCTCAGAGCATGAGCAGACCGTGGCTGGGACTGGATCATCTCAACAAGGCTCCCAAGAGATCACGGTATAGCTTTCTTGAACGACCAATCAAAATCCACAACTAGGGAATGCATAGCCGTCTTTTTAAAAAAACACCGATTATGTTTTTTTTTTTAGTGTGAGGAAGAATTCTCTTGTTTCACATTAATAAATAATTATCAAAGGATTTAGTCAGTGGCTCAATTGACGTGCTGACGTTACAATTTGTACAGTTGTAAAGACCTTTTTTGCGCGGCAGTTTTTAGATTGACTTCGGGAAAAGTTCATTTCAGTAAAATGCTTTCAAAGCTTGTGTACTTTACGTGTAATGTGGTATCTTGTTGGTATCAATGTTCTCTCTCACGCATCTTTTTTGAGAATATCAAATTAAAATAATGCGTTTACTTATGTTATGACGGCTCATAATGAAATCTTGTATGCAATAAAAATCACACGAACGTGTTTTAAGTCGCTTTCCTTATTGGCGATTTTCCCATCCTTATGTTAAAATAATGACAAACGTGGGGCCAGTTCCATGATATTTTTATTTGTGACAAATCTACTCCAACCCTTTGGCCGTACTCTCTTTCTTTGATTCGTGACAGCGTTTTTGACAGAGAATTTTCGAAGGCAGAGTAGAAGTGTTGACTATCGGTCCAGTCCCTCACTGGGAGTTGAGACATTGTATAGCACAGAACGGAATCAAGACAAGTGGGTACTGTAAGAAACAGCTAACTTTATTCTTTATTTGATGATAACTTAAGCGGCTTTTAGTGACAAATTAAAAGTAGAACGACTGACCTTGAAACTAACCTAACCAAGTATAATTCACATGCAAAGATTAAAGAAAAATTTTATGTGACCAACATTGTGTAGGAGGATCTCTGTGAAACAGTCTCCTAGGCTACCTATCGTGACTATTGCTGTCTTCGTTGCCGATACGTAGAACTTCTGGAGACTTTGGTTCAACTGTCCAGGTGCAATTTCCATTCTTTTCTTTTTAGTCTTGCATCATTAGTTAAAAACGTTGTTTAAAGATGTTGCAAAGGTTGAACCAAATGTTTCCACACTTGCGCGTTTTCTGGAATGGCCACCTCGTTTACCTAAATGATTTCCCATCAGGTAATGGTATCAAAACAAGACACTCAATTTTTCTCTCCAGTTATTTGAATATGAATGTAATTTTTTAGCCAATAAGCGGACGATAAAAGCAATATTTTTTACCAAATAGAAATGTCATAGTTTAAGCTTTGTCTCGGTGAGGTCTTGTTTTATAAAAGATCTTATCAACAAAACGTGCAAACGATTCCATAGCTACGAATATTTAACAAATATTCACCGAGGTGGAGGTGAATGGTGATGGATATTTACTGAGTTTCGAAGAGGCAAGGTTAATATTCACTGCTTTCACCTACACTGAAGTGAATAATTGTCTTAGTATATACCACAAAGATACTAAAACAGGTTTATTTCTTTCAGTATACGGGAAAATTGTCGGATGAGGTACTTAAGATGTTTCATTTCGTTTTTGTTTTTTCTTTTTTTGGCCCGCCTCGATTCGGAATCATTAGAGGGAAGGAATATGCCCGGTTCTAATTAAGTATAAAGTTGGTGCGATGAAAGTTATCGAGCATCAAAGCTGTGAAATCTTCCAAAACGGCTCTTCAGTGATCACGAAATTTTTAACTCAGTCGAGAATAAAAACTTGATGTCCTGAAATCATACCAAGCATCTATATTTTGCTATGCAACCTTAATTCCATTAGTCCTAAGGTAAAGGAACATTGTTTTCCTTTCTAACTGCGATATAACAGCTGCTGTTTATGTTTTGAGAATTTAGGAGTATATCAAGACAGTATTAGATTTAAATTTCAAGTTTTCGTCACCTGTCTGCTCTACGGTGTAATGATAACTCGGAGAGAAGTTACAATGTGAGCTCATCTAGAAGTCGTACGGTAAACTCAATTCCCTTTAAGAGGTGTTAGGGAACTGTTAGTGTCGCCATTCATACCAGAAACAGCTCGTTCTCTCTGATGTCGCTCAAGCATTTTCGTACGTTTTTCCTGCCAGTCCCGGCGGAAATTATTTAGCTCTTCGTCCATCTTCATGATTTCCATGCTGTGTTTGGAGACAAGTTGCTCAGAAGGTGCATGACCAAAGGACAGCCGTGGGGTCGGGTGGGTCCCTAAGTCCTCCAGTACAATGGCTGTGGGTGCTGTGATGGAGCTTGCTGATGGTAGAGAGCAAGAATATGTTTAAATATTTTTACCACAATTGGCAGTGATGTCGCATTCTAATTGGCCAATTTGGCGTTGTCGATGAGAGTAAAGAGAAATCCGCTCGCGTCAGCGTCTCACGCAATGGTCACGCATTGAAAGGATCGTCTAGTTTGACGTCGATATTGTGGTAAAAAACAAATCGACTGTGGTTAAGCGTGGTCTGTTCTTTCATCGACAACGACAAATTTGTAACGGACTCACGAGGCGCACAGCAATTTGACTACTGTGTAGACGAATAGTGTTGTCGATAAGACAACAGATCACGCTGAACTACTGTCGATTTGTTAATTTGCTGCTCAATATTTATATAAATTCTCCCTTGTGTCGTTCAAAGTGGTTAAGCTGGATCGGGCCAGAAGAGACAACAGAAGGAGATTTTTCCTTACCTCCGCTTTTCCCGCTGTTTTTCATTTTGTTTTTCTTGTATGCTTCCCAGCCAATCCCTGCGGCCATGAGCACCACAAACAAGGCCAGCCCACCATATACTGTAATGCTGAATATTCCTCCGCTTCCAAAGTAATCTTCTGCAACGCTTATCTTTTCCTTTTGAACAAGAAAAGGACCTCATTAGTTGCCAGTAGTGTCACCAAGGCTTATTACACTACCCAAAGGCGTGCAGTACTCTTTTCATTGAAATAATAAGTTTTAGCGTAAGGGCTGTAGCCTAGCGCGAGAGCTCTACTAGGGAATATTGGCCTGAGGTCGTGGAGTATACGGACCGAGCACGGCGTGGTCTGTACAAAAACAAGCGAGAGCCAATATTCCCCGGTACGGTTTTAATAAGCGAGGTTAGTGAGTAGTTTATTAAATGGTACCTAGACCAAACCTATTTGTGTGGAATTTGCTGACTTTCGAGTACAAAATTTCACGGCTTGTAGCCGTTTCCTTGGAGTCGATCCATGTGGCGAAATCCCGACCAAGTAGGAACCCATCAAGACGTATGGATTTACCTCGAGACTTCCTTGCCATATAATAATCTCTTTTGTTTAAAATATAGTTGTCGCTTCCTTTGTCAAACCTACCTGTGTGGTTCCGGTATTTTCGGCCAGAATGTAGTAAAGCCATTGCTCTTCCGTTTGAACGTATTCATTGAAGCATTTCAAAAAATCTGTCGAGTTGTGTGCAAGGATCGCTCCATATGAAACGTGACTCGTTAGAATGTTTCCAACCTGTAGGACAGTGATCATATGTAAAAGTTTTGGTTCGATCACGGCAGAATAAGCCTGCCTTATTTTTGGGAGGAACTATCTTGCAATTTTGCAGCGAAACAAGAAAACGAATTGCCTAAAATCAACTCAAATTTCAGGTGTGTCTCTAAACCTCTACGCAGATGTATTAAAAATTTTGTAGAAAGATCGGAATTCAATAACGAAGTGGGGATTAGCAAACTCTTTTTCGTGTAAGTTAAAGAGCGCATAAGGCTGAAAATTAAATGCGCTTATTTTAAGAGACTGTAGCGTTGCCACGTTAACCAATGATGTAAAAAAAAATCAAAACTTTAATCAAGCAAAAATTTGGCATTTCCCTAAATTTTTTTCGAGGAAATGGACCTCAAATTATGGTAGGATTGAGGAATCAGAATTGGTGTTAACTTAAAACGACACAGATTTGAACCACCGAATCCTCACCGTTTTCACGATGGCCACTGGGATCGTTCATATCCTACTTTACAGGATGGAAATAACGAAAGACAACAGACAAGAGACAACAGACAGAATTCGTATTCACTACTGATTTACCTGAATATTGTGTTGATTGAGGGCATTTATGTGATGCTTGAGTCCGTGTACGTCCACCAATGCACCTTCCACTCGACGGTCCAGCACATATTGAAACACTTGGTCGCTGTTACTCAGAGCTGCATAAGTAACAAAGTCACAATGCAGTTACAATTCACCTTTTAGGCTTTTGAGTTCACGTGTAGTGTCACGTGACTTTTGATGTAAACAAACCTCGAAAGTCAACCTCCCACTATCCGTGTATTTTTTTGTATCATATGTTTGATTATTTAGTACCTTAAGAAAAATTTTCAGAACAGTGTGGAGAGAATGAATACCGATGTCAGGAATGTTAGGGTCTAAAGAGTTAACTAAGTCATCTTCGTGTGTCAACCATTAAGTCTAATCAAATACCACATGACTTTCACCAAGATGAAATTTTAAGTCCAGATGATGTCCAAATGTTAACTGACGAATAGGTGCAATAGAGTCATAGAACACTCATTGTTTAAGCCATAAATGACGCATTTCATTTTCTGTATTCAGATTTCTACTCTTCAGTTACATATCTATCAACAACACGTGTTTACATGAATCAGGCCGAACTTCTAAACAATTTTAGTGCTGATTATGTTCCTCTCGACCAACTGAAGCCACAATACAGTTTGCTTTCTTCTTCTACAGTAATAACAGTATCAATTTTTCATTAAACTTCAGTGTTACGCCATTTGCTTGACTAGTCATTAATATGCAAAAATTAACTAATGTCATACTTTGGACAACACTCGGATCTACACCACGTCCTTACCAATAAAATAATTATATAACTTGCATATTGTGCGAATTGTTATCGAGACTGCTGGGATACTGTGGACTTAGCTGTTTTTTTAAAACATTTCGTTCATAACGGCGTTTACATCAATTTTGAGTCGTTTGAAACTATACTTCTGTATTGAGAGAGTAAAAATACGCAGTCTTCTTAGCTACAACTAAGCCTTCGAAGAAAATAAATTTCACAGTCTTAACATCTTTTTCAGAGCTTTCCTAAACCCTTTTTTTCTCACAGAATAGATTATAGGATTACAAAGCATGCTGAAGGAATATATGTAATGGATTGATAGAGTGGTCTTCGCCGCAGTCCACCCACCAAGGGAACGGTACAAAGCCATGATCCATAGGGGAAGGTAACATAGAATAAAAGCTCCAATTATAATCATGACATCTCAGGCGGCTTTTCCCTCTCCAAGCAGCTTAGCAAGTAACATCACAGTTTTTCCTGGCTTTTCTCTTTGTTTGGTTGCCCAATTTTTTGCCGGCGCTTGTAAAGTGTGGCAATTTGAAGGACTGCCATTCATTGGCATTTCTCGTTCCTTTGCCTGCTCATCTTGGAATGTTCCTCGATTGATGTGCGGTGTTAGGCAATCTTCTTCACGTAGATGCACAGGCAATGCCTTTGCTTTAGTGACTGGGTGACTGACTGCTTCAAAATCACATTCGGGGTAAACCTCTTTTTTCTGGCTTGGAATTTTGATTTTGTGCTCTCCTAAAGATGGTCTTTCTCTTTGGGATCGATTGACGTCAGTTGCTACGCCAACAGCATTTTTAGTTGTGATTTTGTAAACAGTTCGTCTCCCAGTTTTTCTTTCCTTTCTGAGACTCTGACTCTTAATACCACCTATCTGTAATCCATCGTTATCTTGTATAGTGCCAAAATTCTGAGGTTGTCGTGACGACTGGCCTTTTTGAGCAAAGACCATCTCGATAGTTATTTCATCTAATTTGTCGTGTTCGCGTTCTGCCACGGCATGACGATGGGTTTGTTGATGGTGCCTCTGAGATATCTTCGCATTAGAGCATCCAATTTCTACTGCTTCATTGCAATTGTTGCTCTGGCCATTGAAAAAGGACTGATTTTTTGGCACATCTACTAGACTATGTAAATGTTTTGGTGACGAGTGCGATCGGCCTCCATGGAATCGGTGCGGGGAACCATCATTGGATCGGTATTGGGCTGTAAGTACTTCTCCTACCTGGTGTGCTTGCAAAAGAGTTGTTTCTGCAGGATAAGGTCGATATAGGTCATTTTCTTCATCTTGCATTTGAGAAGGGAGAAAGCTCTTCACAGTCGCATTCTGTATTTGAGACAAAGGCCCATGTCCTTCGCCCTTGGTATCATCTGGACTCTTGCATTTCCTTGTGTGCTGTTGATTGGGATTCTGAGATTGGTTATTACTGAAGCATGATTGCTGCCCGGTCAACTCATCTGCCGTCTTGTTTTCTATGCTGGATAGGCCACTTACAACTTTGAAACTGCTTTGAATCTGACAGACGACTTTGAGAACCTTGTAGTTTAGGAAGCTTATTAAGATCAGTGGAATAAGAAAAGAAGATATCAGCAAAGGAAAAGTTGTGTGTCTGTCCCAATGCTGCTCGCAAGTGAATATTCCTGGGTTGTAGGTAAAGTCTCCCCATCCGATGAACGGACCTTGGGATATAGCCGCCGGTAAAAACCATAACAAAGTTAGATAGAGAAATATTCTCATCTTGGTGAAGTTGTCAGTGTAGGTTAATGGCTGCCTGACGATGGCAGTGTATCTTTCATGAGATATCGCACAAAGATGGAACATCGTAGTTAAGTTAAGAAGTCTGGCAATAAACACGTTTCCGTGGCACCAAGTGGTTCCAAAAGGCCATTGCTCAAGAGCATTGGCGGCGGCGCGATTGCTGACCACCAGTATGGCAAAGAGCAAATCTGAAAGTGCTAAGCTGGCCAACAAAATGTATCTTTTTTTGTGAAAACGGTTGTAGATTGCTACCACAAGTAAGACGAAGAGATTTCCTACAAACGCCACTACTGCATTTAAACCATAGATGATCGCAAACAAGATCATTATTTCGATACAAACGGCACGCCAATCTATGTTTTAGGTTCCCAGACGATGTCTCGTTCGATGCACTGCTTGTTTTTTCATCATTTCTGAAACAATGCCCAACAGCAAACATGAATGATTGGTTGAACCCGAACAGTTGAAACACCTTTTTCCTTCCTATTCACTTAGAAAGGAAGGATACCAACAACGTAACAACAGCTTTGCGCAAATCTGGTTCAAAGATTTATTTTGATTTCGTTCATCCGGTTCCTTTGTACTTTTTCTTTTTTATACTCTGTACTAACGTAACAAACAGTCACCATAGCAGTAACGCGATTTTTTTCGGTCTTACAGAGTGGAAAGAAAAGAGACAGAGATAAACTGAGATAGAAAGAGCCTAAGACCTATGCAAAACATGAATAGATGAGAAACTTTTAAAAAAATCGTCTGTGCGCTTTATTTTTCGAGTTCATTATCTTAATTGATCTTTTAAGAACAGTGATGTAATTTTCATTTGTTTCGGGTCATGGTGTCGTCAAGCCAGCGTTTCGGTCTCTGAATCTGATTCTTTTAAAGATCCTGATCACATCACCTGGAAATGTCATCAGCAGATAGTTCTAATATTCAGAGTTCTTTGGCGGAGAAAAAAATTAACGAAGTTTAATGAGGTAATTTTTGTCGCTTTATTGTTTCAACTGATTATTTCCGTCCTCTAACCCATACGTGTTAGTTTTATGACAAAGATTCCAAACAAAATAAAAAACTGAATCGAAAACGAAAAGCAACTAAGTTATAGGTAAACTTATGAACGAATCAGAATAACACACGCGCATGCTCCTTAACTGTTGCGGATGTCAAAACTAAGTGCGTCATCAAAGTATTTCTAACAGAAATATAAAGAAGAAGGAAGGAATCGATTGAAGGCAGCTAGTATCTGTTAACACTAATTATTTTGAAAATATTAAAGAGCCGCAGCCAGGGTAAAACATGGTATTTTTTTAAGAACGATCTCTGGCCAGAACGATCACGTTAAGAAAGTACGAGCTTTCGACTGCCTGAACTGCAGTCTTCGACGAGTGAACCGTAAATGCGGAAAAAAATTTGAGTAAAAATACGTGAACTTAATAATATAATAATAATAATGCAAATTATTTTGAATGTTTGTTAAAATTAATGTTGTATCCCTCGATTAGACAGCGATTGTTCTTACGAAAAAAATTTACCATTAATTATTTTGTTCTTAACACGCACGATTTCAGTTTCGTGACCTTTTACAACCGTCTCCTTGAAAACTGAGGGGCAAATTACAGGAAGTTTTTTTTAAGATATGAGTTAAACACAAGAATTTAAAAATGATAATAGAGAAATACAGAGATGTTTCAAAGCCCTATAAAACAGATAATTAACACTGTTGTTTACCTTCAACATTCGCAATTTCTCGAATTCCAAGCTTGTGTTCCTCGCTGTGATTAACGACTGAAATCTGCCACGAAAGTCAATTAAGGATAAATTAGTTTCATTAGTCTAACTTCACTAATTACCAAAAGGCATAAAAACTTCATAAATGGTATTTTCTCCCAACTTATTTTATTCGACTTCTACATTCTTGTGGTCTCGTTTTTCGATGCATTGTGTCATGAACAATCCAATTTTCATGACGTGGTCTCCCCTCTTTTCAAAAAAATATCAATTAACATTCTTCTTGATACTCAACGTATCAATCGTTGCTGCTTCATTCTAAAACTTCACGATTCTTGATACCTTGGCTCACCACACAATCAGCCAGCAAACTAAGTGTATAATGTTTACTTTTCCAAAACCTGGCTACAGACCTTTTTATCGTGGTACTGTCCGTCTTAGAATCCGTTGGGTATCGTTTCAAACTTAATGGTGCTTTCTATACCGATTTGCCCGACATTAGGCAGTTTCTTGAACACCTTTCTACCGCTACTATACAATTTATTTGATGTACAGTTGAATGTTGTTTGGTGATCAGTTAGCATCCGGCAGTGTACTGGACAATTTTAACATTTGAACTTAGTATCAATAACAGAACTGACCCTGAAAGTTCCAGGTTGGTCATTAGTTTGTCATGAACTTCTGAGCAAAAAGTTCCCTACGTTTTTGTTACGTTTAAATAAAAAACCGTGGAGGTTGCAAAATGATAATACCAGTCTCTGAATCATTTTGAAGTAATCTAAAGTTTTTAAGAATGATGCATTTAACTGCGTGGTTGTGAGGGTGAAATTTGAGAGTGAATGGAATGCGATCGGTATTTTCCTTCTATTATGTTTGAAGGGCTGACTATCGATGAATTTATTGGACGCCCTATCTTTTCGCAACCTCCACTTATTTAATTCAAACGTGACTAAAACTTAGGTAACTTTTTGTACAAAAGTTCATTACAAAGCAATGACCAACCTCAATGGAACTTTTAAATGCGCACGCTCACGATGCAAAACTTGTTCTTCATTCATAACGTTGAGAAAATATCCGAGGACCAAAGTGATCCATTAAGATCACTGATCACTTCACGTGCTCCGCTGCCGATGTCAGCTATTGCATAACTTACACTTATTGCAAAAAGGTATACATTGGTGAAACAGGAAGACGACTTGATGACCGATTCTGAGAACACCACGACGTAGATAGGAACGACAAGGACGCATCCAAACCAATTGCAGACACTTTAATCTCCTTACTCATTCTAAGCAGCATATGGCAGTTTGCGGCCTTTCCTTACATCCAGGCAGTTCGGAAAGCCTCCAACTCTTTCACAAAATTAATATTTCAAATCGGCACTCTTAATCCCCACGGTATCAACGAACGCTTTTCATTCAACTAATTTATTCTTGTTTTTCTCGTCACTATGTTCCCGCCAATAGCGTAGCTCCATTTTCTGCATATAAACCCACACACAACCCACAATTTCTCCATTGGTTCTGACGAGAGGGTTTACGCTCGAAGTGTCAGCTTTGAAACTCTTTACGTTATCATCATTAATACCAAAATTATCTTGTTATACCCCAACACTAACGCAGCACCACAGTTTCTTTAGAAACTTCTCCCCTTTATTCTAAGTGTTTCAGTTATTAGGGAATATGTCGTCAAAATCGGAAAGTCTCATCGAGGCAAAAATCCTCATTGGAAAGACTCAGGGTTCTTCTTCGTCTCACCCTCTTATCAAAAGCTTTTTAAACATCTTTATCTATAACCAATCTTTTCTCTTCACTATTATTGTAATTGAATAAAATCCATCTTAACACGAACTCTCTGTTGAGCTACAGTTTAATGCAGCCGTAGTAGTTGTAGACTTTATTTAACGAGGGTAACATTTGACAGTAATCAAACTGATTAGCTCATGGCTTTCGTGTTCAAATAAAGTTAATTCAATTTTTCTCCAGTTTTACCGAAATATGATGAAGTAAGAAAGTAATTTGTGCCATCTACAAAGAATTAGCCTCTTCTTACCGAGGTCGAACTCAGTCCCAGTACTTACCGTGACCCCTCGAAGGTTGGTCCGTCCTAGCAGACTGACATTGGTCAATGCTGCTGTGATGATACTGATGAACATGGTAATGATGATAAGACCCGCTAACATCCATATCAGACCCAGAAGCTTCCCAGGAATTGTTTTGGGCGCCAAATCTCCATACCTAAAATATAGATTCATCATTACGCTTTACAATGTTTGTTTACCTTAAAATTACGGCAAATAATTAGCTATTATTTCAGGGGTCTCCATAAATTTTTCCATAAGAAGGTGCCAACAGTCCTTTTCAGGACTACTCTCACATAATTGGCCACTAATAAGAGTTTCTGAGCGGATGTCAGAGCAAATATTTCGCTTTGACGAAGACTTAACACTCGAAACCTAAATAATTCTAGTTAATTTGAGTGTCCTTATGACAAAATATTGTTGCAAGTATGCGGCATAAAATACCAGGCTCTAAGTTTAAGGGAGGAACATACTAACTAAACACATGAACTGATCCCAACGAGCGCGCTACTAATGTTCTTATAACAATGTGTGCATTTGGGGTTGTCAGTTACTTCGTGGCTTTCGAACATGTAACTGCTCGTTTTATGTTGGAGTATAAAAATTAGCTTTTTTAACCTAAATTCATCGTTACAGTCCTCACATGCAGTGTCTTATTATCGACTAATTAAGAAGAGTTTGGGAAAAAAGCGCATATTTTAACTCTTTTACTCTTACGATTGAGTATTCTTATCATGGATATGTAAATATTATATTTCTTTGTAATTTAGTATTATCAACTAAGTTGATAACGTAAATTGGTCATCGTAAAGAGTTTAAAAGCTGACTTTTCGAGCGTTAGCGCTTCGTCAGAGCGATTAGAGGAATTGTGGGTTGTGTTTGGGTTTACATGCAGAAAATGGAGCTACGTTATTGGTGGGAATATGGTGACGAGAAAACAAGAATAAATTATTGAATGAAAAGCGCTCGTTGATACCGTAATTTAAAGTGGTTTCACAATCACTTAACTGTAAAATCCATAGTCTTGAAAGTGAGATATTTCAGTTGCAAAACAACTTTGCTGGCGAAACATTATAAACTCTTCGTTAACCCACAGCATTTTTGCATGATTCACGAGCCATGATTTGATGTTGGATTCTTCGCCTACTTTGTTTTAATGAGAGAGAAGCTATTAGGGTTTTATTTGCTTGAGGGAAAATCCTGATTATTTATTTAATCTATCCAAGAGATTAAGAACTGTTTAGAATCTCTTGATCGATCTTGATACGAAATATTGGACCAACGTCGATGGTAAATTAAAAGCGTTTCCTCTCTAAGCGCCATCCAATCTGCATTGTCATTATTTTATGGTATGCTTGAGACAGGTTTTTCATCATTCGGGTGCCCGGAAATTATATGGGTGTTGCTTATTGAGCGATCAAACCCGGATATACATAGCGGGAGAAAAGAGCAAATAAGCGATATTATTTAATTATTTACCGATTGTTATAGTCTGCTGTAAGTCTATTATGTTGCTGTACATAGAGAAAAACTTTTTGTTTTGATTTCGTTTTAGGCGTTCTCAATCATTTTCACTCCGATTTTTGGCTTCACATTGAAAATTACGCTCACATTGTTCAATATAAAGCACAGAAAAGATAAACAGCGTCATTTCTATTTCAAATTGGCCGTTCAGTATTAATTTTTGCAAACTGAACCTTGTCAGCTCGAAACATTCGCGTAGTAGTAACAACAGTTTAAGATTTGCCAGTAATAACCTTCTCACTGCATGTTTACGGTTCTTAGGATAAGGAGAAAAACAAGATTCATTGCTGTAGGCGAGTTGCTTGGTTGCATCAGTTTTACCCTACACTGCTTTAAAATGGCCATAAACATATCTTCTGAGCTTCAGTACAAAATATAAGGCAAAACGCTGCGACAGACATGACCAAACCATGTCGTAAAAGTACGACTGTTTGACAATCTGTTTCCTTCAACCAAAAACAGCCACAGAAGTGACGAGAAGTGACCGTTAAGTCTAAATGTTCAAGTATAATAAATAATTTATTTGGTGCAAATATTTATTAGCTGAGCAACTTCTTATTACAGAATTACTTTTTCAAGCTATGTTGAGATGGCCCACCGAAAAAAAGCATCTGTGGTATGTAAGCTTATAACCGCAACCCTTCAGTCACCAACATCAGTTGGCGGATTCTCAATACTGTTCTGTATACATTTCCTCTGCTATTGTAAAAGAGTATTAGGAGAAGAGTTTCTTAGGATGATGATCATTTCCTTTATTCTCAAGACTTGAGCTAGACTCAGCAGTGATACTGTGGGGAGACATTAGATGCTTATTACTGTTAGGATTAAAATACTTATACTATTTTCTAGCGGTACATCTGTCTCACTGTGGCCTTGACTGTTTCTCTCAGTTCTGTGATCTTCCAGCAATACACAACTGGATTAAGCGTAGAATTCAAAAAAGAAAGTGTAAATGTCATTACCCACGCAAGCAGAAGATTCGGTACCCTGGTTTCTCCAGGGTGAATCACAACCAAACCTGTAACTATGCCTGCTGGGAGATAACACACAACTAATGTAAAATATACCCACAATGCACTGGACACTGTTTTTCTGTATCGCGCGATGTTTAATGGTGCAGCTCTGCCGGGAACACTGCCTTGTAATTGAACTTGATGATGAAGGAGCTTTTGATATATCTTTGCGTAACAGCAAGTTGAAACTGTCAAACCTAATGTGAAAGCCGTAACGCTATAATATCCAATGATGTCAAAAGTCCAGTATACCGAGGCTGATGCACAAATACTTGCGGTCCAAAGACAGAGAACGGCCAACGCCACGCGTTTAGAAGTGACTATTTGTCTGTACCTCACACCCAGTGACAGGGCAAACAACCTGTCCACACTTATTGCGGTCATCGTTAGTAAAGATACTACACAGGAAAGCATTTCGACAGCAGCCGAAAGGTGAACCAACGGAAAACACACTTTCCAGTTCCCATAATGTACCGACATTAAGTATGCGACAAATACTGGCTCCAAAACAAACCCAACACACAAGTCAGCAATCGCTAAGGAGCGTAACAAGATCTTAGAGGGTGGATGAAGGGATGAGCTCTTGTGTAAGGCAATAAGTATCAATATATTACTTGACGTTGAAGTTATGAAGAGGAAAATATTGGCAGCCACAAGAAACCATAATGGAAATGTTCCTGCTAGAAACGTTTGACAAAAGAACAGAGCATCTTCAATGTTATCCGCCATTTTAGTTGTCATTGCTCAACTTTTACTAACGAGTGCTCTTCAAGTGTTATAAGGACCAGTCAGGGTGAAGGTTCCTAACGGATTCGTCTCTGCAAGGTGATGAAGATGAAAGCAAAGTTCTTTCCTGTCAGCAAATTTTAAGTTCGTGGGCGTCGAGTCATTAAATATGTATATATGAAATAGATTGATGACCTTTATTGTTGTTTCCTGTCATCTCTAAGATGCATGCTGGAGGCTATTACAAGAAAGAATAGCATTTAGAGAAAGTAAAATTGTAATAACTTCTATACAATATTGATTTTCTTTTGCCTTTATACATATATGTTCCTTGAGGTGTGTGTGGGTTATTTAAGTCAGCCTTGAAACAAACCAGCCTATACTGAATTTGCTTTGTTAGCAAAAAAAAAAAAAACCGAATTCTCGTTGTCATTTAGCCACAATTCGCTTAAAATGTGTCTTATCAAGGATGGAAAGACAAAAATAAACAAAAAACTATTGGCTTTTTATCAGTAACAGAAATAAAACATCTGCTGTTGTCAAGACCTTTCTCGTTTCAAAGTACCGAGTAATGTATTATTTTCATTTCTGTTATGTGAACTTTACGCAAAAGTGACTGAATGTCAACAAGGTGGTAGAATTTAAACTCCTTCTACTCTGTGCCTACACAAACTTTCCTCTCTGTCACCCGGTAATTAACAAGTGGTTGGTGGCCAAAACATCCTTACACATCCACAGAAAATGATTATAATTGTCTCTGAGCCATTTCCAATGATTTCAAGTTTCGCGTTGCGACATTCAGCCAAGGGTCGATAGTTTAAGCCTATGTGTTCTTAATAAAAGAGCATAATCCCTTCAGATAAAAGATATAGCCACAAATGGTGCACTCGTAAGCTTAATGTTAAATCTGAAACAAACCCAAAGTTTCAGATGATAATGACGGTCATCAAACTGTTAACCGATAGGAAGTATGGTCTATTGCTTAAATAAATAGAGATTATTCCATGGAAAGAGCGGACGAACGATTTTTATTCACGAGTTGCAATGCATCAACAAAAAACGAACAAGTGAGCGAAGCTCACTTTATCGTTTTGAATGAAATTTCGAATCGCTTTAATGAAATACTGACGACATAGGAAGAATATGTATAATGGCAAAAGAAAATCAATATTTGTACAAAAGCTATTACAATTCTACTTTCTTTAGATGTTATTATTTCTTGTAATAGCCTCCAGCATGCATCTTAGAGATGACAGAAAACAATAATAAAGGTTATCAATCTATTTCATACCTACATATTCAGTGACTCGACGCCCACGAACTTAAAATTTGCTGACAGGAAAGAACTTTGCTTTTATCTTCATCACCTTGCAGAGACGAATCCGTTAGGAACCTTCACCCTGACTGGTCCTTATAACACTTGAAGAGCACTCGATAGTAAAAGTTGAGCAATGACAACTAAAATGGCGGATAACATTGAAGATGCTCTGTTCTTTTGTCAAACGTTTCAAGCAGGAACATTTTCATTATAGTTTCTTGTAGCTGCCAATATTTTCCTCTTCATAACTTCAACATCAAGTAATATATTAATACTTATTCCCTTAAGCAAGAGCTCATCTCTTCATCCACCCTCTAAAATCTTGTTACGTTCCTTGGCGATTTCTGATTTGTTGTGTTTTGTGGTTGAGATGCACAAGAGGTATAAGGTCTAAGGTCTAAGGAGATAGAAAGTACTTTTTTGCAGTAATGGCACAAGACTCGCACAATACCTCAGCCATTTTATCATCATGACATAGCAGTACTTCAACTGTATGCATTTCGTCTGCTGAGCGGCAAGAGTCTTAAATTTGCTCAGCTGAGGGCGGTATCACTCGGTTCCTTGCATCTTAACAATACAACTTACTCCCAATGTTAGGTCTCACTTACGCCAGCATGAGGGTTACGAGATTTGTTGACGGCTGACTTACTTGTAGATGAGCGTGTAACTATAAATGGCCATCAAACGCTAAAAGAAATTTGGCTCCTAACTAACTTTACTCAAGTAGCTTTTCCTCTCGTGTCAAGCCATAGTTTTATCAAGTAATCTTATGTTTTAGGCATGGATGATGTGGTATACATGTTTGGGCTTCTGTTATGGAGAGTGCGTTGTGTTACGGAATTACTAAATATAGAATCGAAGAAGTTTCTAGAACGCTTAGTCATGCTGACTCATTGAGAACTCTTAATGGAACTTCCTAGAACCCTCAGTCAGCATGATTTCTTATTATGTAACAGCAATGTAATGTTACTAAAAATAGTTGTATTACAGATCTCTGGAATGTTCTAGAACTTTTTGTAAAACATGTATATGGAGTCGCGATTAGTTAAAGTTAGCCTTTTCTTGAGTGAGCCTTTCTTTGAGAGCAATGCAAATGCAGATATGCAAAGCACAATGGATTCGCAATAAAACTGTTTTTTGGTTTAGTCAAAATATATTTCGTGTTGTCCAAACTTTAGCGCAGGTCATCAATCCGTTGTAATTGAGCTTGCAACTATAAACGGCCTTCAAACGCAAGGAAACTACATGATGGTGTTTCAGCGAAAGAACGGTTCGCGGATTAAAAAAAATCGCCTTCTCATGATTTAACTGCGTAGTGTAACAACTAACAAAACAAAGGTTCTTAGCTTTTCAATTGCTAACAATATTAATCCCGTTTTCCCCGTTATGATAAGTGCACCTGGTTGATTTGGACGAGGATTATCTATTCTGTTCGCACTAGTACTTACCCAACGGTTGTCATAGTTATGAAAGCCCACCAGAATCCTTCAAACACACCATGGGAAAATGACTCGGGAAATTGCTCTGTATTCTCCTTCCGTTCCTGAGAGAGGAAAATGTGGTCAAACTTTTTATTCATAACGATGAAACTAAATATGTCTTCTTCAATTTAACGTTTAGACAAAAATGTTCGTTTGCTTGAGTTGTGCGTGGATTGTCAGTTGAACAAAAACCACCTCGTCCAGTAAACAAGAAGAGAATCGATATCTGAGGCGAAATAATAACGAAACATCGAGCCCTGGTTAGATGACCTTAAACAACTGAGTTTTGATTTGATTTTAAGTGAAAAATCAAAATTTTGTACCAGAGCCAATGACCGAAAAAATCGATGATCCGGACTACCCCATGATATGGATAGTGTTAGTGCGCCGTGCTGGGCCCACGCTTAATGGATCATCAAAAAAAAGGCAGCTTGATTCCAGTCACTTTCCACCCGCCCATTTTTTTAAGTGTCTACACTAAACCATGATCTTTAAAAGGCAACGGCGACGTTTTCTACCGCCATGTCAGTTTTGCACGAATTATTCGGCTTATCAATCAAAGCAGTAAGACATATTGTTACTTACAAATAACCAGATAACCACTCCGGCGAGCGAGGCAGAAATGAGAATGAACACAAGGATGGGCCAGCCTTGAAGAACAGACAGCAATAACTGAGCCCCAGACACGTTTCCCTTGATAAGCACTGCAACTCCAGGGGACTCAAGCAACCCAGTGAACGAGAACTGACGAACAGTTCCTGCTCCAACCTCTGCCCCCACGGGTAAAATGAGATCAAAGTCTTCGGCGGCCAGAAGTTGATCTAAGCCAGCAGGACCTTCAGGGACCTGCGTGTAGTTCAGTGTTGTGCTGCTTTTACAACAACGTTCAAGGGCTTTGTCCAAGATTAATGGAAACATCCCTGATATAGACGCCGGTGCATCTACTTTTGATTTAAAGTTATCTTCCTGCTTGTCCCCAGATTTGTAAATATACGGCTCCTGGCCCCACCATAACACAGTCAGCCGCCCTCCTGTGCTGCACTTGTGGTCGACGGTGACAGCGTTCGCTAAGAAGACGTTGTCTATAAACAAGAATATCACTGCAATATGTTTCATCATTTTTCTCTCTCTGATCATGGCGTTGCGAACTCAATAAACACGTCTTTCGATTATTATTTCACAATAGGCGTGAAGGGAAAAATTCAATTGGAATGAGCGGTACCAACGAGTCCGATTATGTCTGAAAATGTCCTCTATTTTCTTTTGATATTTTCCTCTCTCTGTTGTCACTTGTACAATAATGACACGTACAATAATTACTGTGTCGGAGTAAGTTCAATGGGATATCATGGCATTAAAACCTGTTCTTTTGATTTCTTCGCAGTTTTGTAGACAAGAAAAGAAGATGATCTATCTACCATCCTACTGTTGGATCGCATTTTCCAGTAGAGTTACAATATATTTTTGGCGAGTGATTTGTATTCACTTACAGTCCTATACATCAAGAAATTGTGGCGAAAGTATCACTTTCTCCATTGGATAATAGTCTGCTTCATCATTAATTTTTCATAGCTGGTTATCATAGCGAGGAAAAGAAAAATCTAGCATGCTGATACGTTTAACGCTAACGGAGACATATTTTAAGCTATGCCAAATTTCAGCATGGTATCTTTAAGTTGTAGTATCTTTTCCCCCTTTGACAACGAAAGTAAATGCAGTGTGATTCTTATTTATATCAAATATAAATCTATATATTTTTTTGTTTTAAAAGTTGTTGTTAGGGAAGTCTTTTGGTATTGATAACATAACATAATCAGTGTATCTAAAGTCCTTCTTAGCAATGAATATTATTACAGACTGCGGCGTGTGTAATTAATTTGATATGACAACATATTCAATAAGAAAAAAAATATGGAAAAAAAAGCTCTTAAGTGTGTAATTAAGCTCAGCCTATTGTATACTTTGTTGAAAGACAAAACCACAATTTCCTCTAATCAAGTCGACGTCTGCATATGTTGATGGAGAGAAACTATTGTTTAAAATCTCACAACTACACGAAAAAACCTACTTAAAAATAGGAAATCAAAGGCTTGCACTAAATCAAGTGATGAAATGATCATTTTTTTATATTAAAAAATGCTACCTTACGTCAGAAGTTCCAATTCTTCTCGAGAGGTGAAGGTGAAATTAAAATTGTTTGGAATTGTTACAATTATTGTTATCCTTTAAAACACCACGAAAATACGAGAATGTAAGGTTAAAACAAAGATAATATCTATTGAAATGTTAAATGAAGGATTTGTTTTTGTTTTAAACGAAAAACAGCTGTGAAGAGTAATTCATGTTCACATTTTCAAGTATTGGCATTTACCCCAACTATATCGTTTTGATAACTGTTAACATGATGGGTTTTTCTGATCGTTTGACCTCCATACTCTCAGTTTTCTCTTTATTAAGAATAGGTTTGGCAACATCTAACGTGCAAAATGCATGTTCTACAGGAAAAACATCATTAGATCTTGTTTACTGGGAACAAAAGCCTTACGTTTTCGAGGACAAGGAAAGAGGTGAAATCTCTGGTGCTATACCAGAAATCCTTCGCATCGTTTTCAAGGCTTGTTGCCACAAGAGTCCCAATATTTCGGCCAAGCTTATCGAGTATCCTAAATCACTGAAAACTACGATCGATCAGTACTCAGAAGAGATCATTATTCCTGTGGGACGGAGAGTCGGCCTCGAGAAATCGATATTTCTACGTCCTTTTGTAGGTTCAGTTCATTCGCCTGGAATGGCTATTGTGGTACAGAGGAGTATTCCAGGCGAAGAACTTCTAGCCGCCATTTTGGATTCTTGGCCAATTGTGATTTTCATTGGGATGTCGTTATCTCTCAGTGGAATTGTCATGTGGGCTCTGGTAAGAGAATTGGCCTTAATTGGCTCAATTAGTTTAACATCAAGGGCAAATTATGTTGCACAGCAACATGGACATTTCGATCAGATTCTTAAGAGTAAAGCTAGTTTTGAGTAGAACTAAGTAGCTTTTTGTTGATCATACAGATGATCTCGAATCTTTACGAATCTACAAAAAAGCGAAAAACAAAATAGAGTCCACCTCAGCTGTTCGGCTTGCTGTGGCAAAATTATTTTTATATCTATTTTGGTCACGTGAAGTTTGTAACCGTAGGAAAGTGCTGCTTAGCTGCCATAAGGTATTTAAACAGGATCTGCTCGCGAACTATCAAGTTCTGTAATTCGTAAGCCCTTTGAATTGAATTATGAATTTATAATGAGTCGTCTCTCAGTTCATTTACTAATGACTATAACTTTACTGTGCTATATCAACTCAAGTATGTTTTAATGTTGGTCATACATTATGTATCCTCCAGGACAATCGTAAAAACTCTGAGGAGTTCCCAAAGTTTTTCCCAATGGGCGTATTCGAAGGAGTCTGGTGGGCTGCTGTCACCATGACAACAGTTGGGTACGTAGCTTGCAAGAGTATGCTAGGCAAGTCAAAGAATAAAAAAGTATGAAGGTACAATTTGCTGAGGTAGATAGAGATGAACACCAAAAGTATTTGTGACGAGACAAAAACTTGTTTGTGCTAACGCAAGGGCATTTTATTTGAAAGTGATCTTACTCTGTTTTTGGCAGGACTTTCTAACCCACCACTTGCCGCTGATTGCCACCACACATTGTATCTCCTCGTTATGATCACCAATGTACAACAGCAAGTTCCCTGTGTTCTTAGGGTGACCCATCTGGACAGGTCCCTCTGCAAACGGAGATTACTTCATAAGTGTCTTCGGCCGAGTGGATACACGGCTCTCAATTTTATACGAAGTAGTGTTAAAGAGGCCCCTGTTTTTATTGGATTCATAGTCTTATCTGATTAAGTTTCTTAGGCATACATGCCAAGCAAATTGTAACAGAATAACAACTAGCTGAGGGTTTATTTAACATTATAAAAATTAGCCCCATCACTTGGTTTAGTTTTAAGCCACAAAGTACAGGTAACTATCTTAAGATAATGACTTGGCGATAGTCTCCTTCATACGTACATTTGTACATGAAATTTACTCTCATTTCATTTCTTTTGCTCTTCCTTTTCTAGTTACGGTGATAAAGTTCCTCGTAGTATTTCAGGCCGCCTCTTTGGTGTGGTATGGATTAATGTTGGTCTTGTTATCCTCGCTATCTTTATGGGAATAATAACAGCATCTCTCAGCAGTAACAGTCTTGAACAAGTTAACAACCTATATGGAATGCCAGTAAGTAGGTGTTCCGACTCTTTTCTTTCTCACACCAACGTCATTACGGATAACTTGTTAGCACTTGAAAGTTACACATGATGGCGTTAAATAATAACTTTAGACAGGGTCGCATTACAGGTGTTAACTCTTAAACTCCCAAGATCTGATTGTTGATTCTCCCCTCTAGCTTCTGCACATTTCATTGTTAATTAGTCATGAGAATTGCTGTTAAATCAATATAGCAATTTCAACCTGATCAGTTTGCGTATTCTCATTACTCGTTTGCTGGATAATGTATGGATGATATTGGGAGAACTTACGTTTTAATTACATCTGAGAGTTAAGGGGTTGAAAGAGTTCGCTCACTGACTGAATATATTAATGGGAAGTACTAATTGGTCAATCAGTTCATGGTCACTGGAATGCTTGAATGAGCGTTTTATGCGAATTGAGGTCCGAAAAGGCTGCAACTTCTTGAGCGAAAGAGCACTTCCAGAATGGAATAAAACTACAGTAGTTTCATTGTGACCGTGAATAGCTATGCGAGGAAAAAAAGAGGCAAACAAGCAGAAAAGAATGGCGTAGGAGAATCAGTTTCAACTTTGCAAATCCTGATGAGTATTTCAATGGTTTCTCAGGTGGCGGTTTTGAATGGCTCTGCTGAGGAACAGTTAGCTATTTTACAAAATGCTGAGGTGCACGGTAAGTTCAGATTTCTTTAGATTTACATGTTTTGCAATCTCGATCGATGCACAGCTGCTGTACCCGAATCTTCCTCTGCAACAATTTTAAGAGTGATTGGTTGTCATGTTGTTTGACCATTGCGTACGCTGCGCAGTTTTAACCTTTTCAGTTCTGAAAAGCTAATGAAGGATAAATGAATACACGGTGACAACGAGAGATATCTGGGGGCTGATCTTTTATTGAGCTGAAAACAATAAGCTTAACCTAATTGTTGGAAAGTTGTCTTCAAATTTTGGTAAATTCGGTGCCACTGTTTTGAATCCTACTCAGCAATCTGGCCTGTCACCTGTGACGTACCAAAGTTTCGTTACTCCTTTTTCTACTTCTACTTCTAAGCAGTGGCTTAAGTAATGTAAGAAGCTACGTGAAGGGGATTCTTGGTCAAATAAGGTTTTTTTGTTACGATCGGAGCAGCAGTTGTTTGTGAACCGTGCGTTGTGGTTTTGCGAGTGTGGCTAGGTTACTAAGCTGTTTCTAAAAATGGCGGCGTCTGTAGGCGGGTTTTTGGATACTGGAATGTAATATCAAAGCGCATTAAACATTAAAATTTGATAGATATCTCTTGATAGCGGTGTTTAAAATCAGTCGGGTTTTAGAGAATACTTATAAAATAAAGCCGAAAACATGCGTTAAAATTGTGATGCATGGTAATAACACTGAAAACAGTTGCCTAGATGATGGAAGTGAACGAACGATCGACTCAATTAAGGATACTTCTATGTATTGTAGCAGCATCATTTGTCCTATGCTTAGAGCATTTTCATCAGGAATAAACTGTCTTGTTCATTTTAGTCAAACCAAGTTACGACGAGTTGTACAAGAGCGTCAAGAACGAGGAGACCATGTTAGCTTTAGTAGATATTTTCAGCACTACTCAGCACAGTGAATATTACAATACATACAAGTTATATGTGGCTACAGTCCTGGGTGAGCCTGTCATTTACGGAGCAGTGTTACCCAAGACTAGCGCGGCCCTAAGATCGTGTTTCCTGAGTTACCAAGAGAACCATCAGTTGGAAATACACGAGATTTTGGAAAAGTTCAGCAAAACAAAACAGGTATTGTTATTAAATTCTGAGGAGTACTTTTTTAAGGAGAAAATCAGCAGAGGTTTACGTTAGATAGGTCGAGCGCCCTAATGGGGAACATGAATAAATGATAATGGTACGTGTATATTCACGATTAAACTTAAACTCTCTGGAGACATAGAGAAATAGATGTTTAAAACTTTGCATGCAGTAAGATGTGCCTGGTTCTGAAATGCTGTATGCAACTAAACTCAACAATAACCAATGGACGTCTCAGAATTTCGTTTTTGGGTCACAGGTGCATAAAGACAAAATATGGGGTATTTTGCTTAGGATACACAGTGTCCGCAGTAACTTCGCTTTTTGCGTTGGGGAAAGATCTTAATTCATTTATACCATTATTAAGGCAATTGATGAAAATCTGTTGTTCTATTGATCACGAAAAGAAACTACATTGAGCCTCGTTAAGCAAAACAATAATAAGAAAAGGAAAGTGTTACAATTATTTGATCAAAGCCCGTTAACGTTCTCTATAGCCTGGAAAAACAAGCTCCAATTATCTTGAATAACTTTCAAGTAAAATTCTCCAAATTCGAAGAAATGCGTTCGGCTGAGCCGTAGTATTTTTATCCCTCCTCTTTTTTTAGTATGGCGGTGACAACTCAAGCTCTGGTGCAGACTACTTTGATGGCAACCTGTTTGGGTACGCAGTTTATGGCATGTTTGGGTTGTTCTTGCTCGCCTTAGCTGTTGGTCTTTTCTGGCAGTATTACCCGCGGGAAAAGAAGGCGCAGGAAATTCAAAATCGGAAAGGTAAACTACTGCAGTTAAATATTTGTTGTCAGTCTTTACTTCAAGGTTTCAAATTTCTTCCAACTTTTAATAGACTGATTTATTTTGTCTCGTAGTCATCTAACATGGGTTAAGAATCTGCGCCAACGTAAACATTTCGAGCCGACAAAGAACGAGCTTTTTATTCAATTCACACAAATTGACCATTGCAGAGAGATTAGGACAACAAAAATGTTTGTTTGGAATCGCATTTAGCGTCAGCAATTTCCCGCATATACATACGGGAGTTGTCTACATATATTTCTTTATATAGTTTTGGCCAAGAACTTTCCTTTTTTCCGTAACGTAAATAAGTCTACAGACCGAGCATTGAATCTACAAGTTCATTTTATAGAGAAAGTTGAAAGCCGTTCCTTGATATCTATCTACTAGGACATCAAGTCTGCGCGCGTGACGATCCCACGCTTTCTAAATAAAATCACGTAAATAAAAGAAAATTATTTATAAAAACGTACAAATTTATCAGACGCTGCTTTTCATGTAGCTGTTGGGAAATGAACATCTTTAAAAATTTTTGCGATAATTATTCGACTGTGTAGTTTATATTGATGGATAAAATAGGTAATTTTAACCGGTTGCTCGAGTTCTGTAGGAACTTCACACCAACTAAACCTGGCCGAAAATATACAAAAGCCATTCTTGTCCTATTCTTTTGTCAGCAAAACAAGACGTCTCCAAACCTGACCAGAAGACAGTAAAGACAAATCTGGAAGTGAACGGTCACCAGAGGAATACTTCGTCAAACTGTGGCGAGCACACGGAGCGACTCATGGCCGCTCAAAGTGCAGAGCTGTTAGCCATGGAAGATGAGCTTAAAGCTTTCCGCAAGAACTGGGAAAAGAACTTCCGAGCTCTACAGGAAAGGCACAAACAAGAACAGCAACGTTTGTTTGAGCTAGACAATTTGGGCTACGAGATGTAAAAGAAACGAAACATAAGGACAAATAATGAAGGCGCAGACTTTGGCACAGCACTTTCTTTAAAATGTTTGCCATGATTTCGATTTAGTTATCTACTCAGTTTCCTAATAAACATCATTGAAGAAGTGTTAAAAATACTGCCAACAACTCATTACTCCCTGACTGCCAGCTGAGGTTTCAGCTCACATTCTTCGTTGTCTATAATACGTTTATAGATAAGTCATACAATTTACATTATCAAGATCAGTTGTAAATATTGCACATCAAACTGTACTTTTATTTCGGTAACATTTTAATGATAAAAACACCTTACTGAGCCACTAGAACGTTTGCAAGCGATATTGTGTTGGTTATGGAAACCAAGTTTCCAGTAAACTTAAACACATACTGAATACACTGTTCCTTGCTTGAAAAATGGCACTGGAAATGACTGCTTCAGACTACAGAAAGGAGACGGAAGCCCAAACCAATATTCATAGCGTGCAGAAAAGTTACGTTGTCTACTCTTAAGATCTCTGCATTAGTTTTTCAGCAACAGTTCACGACTCTATGCAAGAATCGGTTTTTTTTTTATCTTGTCAAGTGCAATAAATAGGTTAACAGGGGTATTGGCTGTGTAACACTCATAAAAATCTTTTCATTTACTAAGAGTGACCACAAATCAATTCAACGAATAAAAAACAAACAGACCAACATTGAAGGAAGCGCAACTCTAAGGCGAAGAGCGACATAATATCTGTCTAACAATCTCTATGGCTTTTCTCCTTACCTCTCTTATATTCCAGCAATACAGAATTGGCTTAAGAGTGGAGTTAAAAAATAAGAAGGTTCTTGCAAATGCCCATGGTTTAAGAAGAGGTGGAACAATGCCCTGAATTGCCATACAGATTATAACTACTAACAAGGGAATGTAGCAGATAAGGACTGAAAACTGTACACAGATTGCGTTAGACACTGTCTTCCTGTATCGTGCAATGTTCAGAGGAGGATGGCCATTTGGGTGTCCTCGGCCGCGACTTTGTTCTTGTATTTGAACTTGATGGCGATTAAGCGTCTGAAAAATATTGATGTAACAGCAAGTTGCGACGGCTAAGCATAGCGAAATTGTTGTGATGAAGTAAAAGAAAAGGTGGGCAAAGGTGCCCATGACAATCACGTATGCGGTAGTGAGGAAAGTCCAAAAACAAACCACAGTTATTAGGACTCGCTTAAAAGTAACCACTTGTCTGTACCTCAAGCCTAACAGCAGAGCGAGAAGTCTGTCCACACTTATTGCACTTATGGTAAATAAAGATAATAAACCTAAAATTCCCGCTAACGTGCCGGCGATGCCAAAAATCTTTGCACATAGACTAACACCGCCGTACTCTGTTAGAAACAATAACGCGACATAAAAAGGCTCTGCGAGAATCCCGACAAACAAATCAGTGATCGCCAAGAAACGCAGCAAACTCTTGGAAGGTGGATGAAGGGATGAGTCCTTATGAAAAGCCACCAGGATGAAAACATTGGCTAAAGTAGCAGTAATTGCCAGAAAAATGTTCACGGCTTCCAGAAACCGAAATGACTGCTTTTTCATTTGTGAAAGTCCTTGACAACCTCGGTATAGATCACTGATCATGACGGTCAGCCTACAGTTGGTCTGGGAGGAACGTTTTGTGCTAATAATTCTAGTCGACTCTGCTCACTGACAACAAGCACGTTGTTTAAGATTTTCTTTCACAGAAAATAAAACTCATAAATTGCAAACACGCACGATGTCTTTGGTAAATCAAATTAAGACGTAAGATAATTAACAACCCTTATATAGTGTACATTAAGCGAAATATGCCTGCGCCTTAGCGCCGAATTCATTCTATATTCATTTTTATTACATCCGTTTCAGCTGAGTGTCAGTTTATTTGATTATTTTACGAAACAAAATTGTAGGTGACAATTTTATAACTGACATTTTATACTTATAAATTTTAATGAAGCGGAGGTATGATTCAATAGTTATATATTCCATGCTTCATCTACCATTTGCGTTTTAATTCTGTTTTATAGATTTGCTGTAATGAAAGTTTTTGTTGTTTACCAAACTAAAAATTTAATTAAAATAGCAATTTTTTTCATGAGGGTGCTTGATTGATTTTGCCTCCTGCCATGAGTGCTTCTGTGAGGTCGTAATATAAGTCATTATTTACTCCGTACAGCTGCGTCAACAAAGACCTGCTTGAGGAGATTCCTAATTTGGATATGATGATACGATTTTAGAGCTGTTAAGGACATCTCTGATCTTCCAAAGAATCGGGCTTCGCTGGTTTGAATCAGAGACGCATACAAGTGACAGAAAAATTGATTTCAGACCTGTTGCAACGCAATTTATATTTGCACAATCTACATATTTCGAACTCATGACCAGCCCCCAATCACCGTGATTGGCGGGTCAGCTGGTTGGAGCGTCGCCACGGCATCACCGCAGGGCAGCATGGTTTCGAGTCTCGTTCAAGGCTAACGTTATTCGAGACATACAACTCCTTTCGAGAATTGCTACTACTTTAGTACAATATTCATCTTCTCAGCCTTTTAAAATAATTAGCCTACGGCTCACCTCCGTTGTCTACTCACCGCATTTAACTTCACAGCATTACTTACTTAACCGCAATACAGTTTTTAGGAAACTTTATCATTCTCAGAAGAAAAAAGCTTTCGGCATTGATTTGCGAGAGCAATGCCATATTTTTAATTGCTGTTGTGCTTCAAAACTTAAATGAATGAAACAATCAAACTCAGTTCTTCTTTTATGATAAACACCGATATATTTTTATGTGTTTTGTCGTTTCTATTTTGTCTCAGTGAATCTGACTCGAATCTGCCACACAAGAATAATAAGGCGATAGCACTTAATTTTATTAGGAATATGTCTCCTACTTTATGCTTAGGAGCAGAAATGTTTATTCATCGTATTGCCTTATTTGACTACGTTTGCTCGTTTAGATAAATACACTTTTTCCAGGCTACATTTGCTCTCATTTGTTCTTTCAATACTAAAACCTTGTTCACTTTCTGAGCGAGCTTTGCGCTAGAAGTACTTTTACATGATCAAAACATGCCTAAGAGGGGGAGGGTTTGTCTAAGTCCCAGGCCCCAATGAGAGTCAAATGGCTTCTGGGACTGGTTTAGTGAGGGACTCTCTGGCCCCCCCCCCTCACCCCTTGGTCTTCGTGGATGGTTTTCAATTCCGTACCATCGGTGTAGGTCAGTGGTGACACCCTGATGTTGTGACTTTGACGAACAAGTGTAAATGGAAAAAGTAACCCTAGAAATTAAGGAAGACATTATTTTTAAACTTGAACAAATCGTACTCACCATATAACGTCTTTAGTTGCTTGTCTCGAATAAACAAAGGATACCACGTGACTCATGTGTTCACCTTGTATTTGTTATTTAAGGTTGAAAGCTGCAGAAAGGGATCGTTTTCACCTGAAAGAATTTTTTAAGCTGAAGCACTGCAACTATAATAGTACATATCATCAAACCAAAAAACGGAGCCCGTAGTGTTTCTTTGAATGTTAGTCCGATTCATGAAGCTAAATCCTGAGGGGGAGGGCTCTTATAAAGCGAAATCGGATACTAAAAAACCAGCGCGCTGTGAATTTGTCTTCTTTTTCCTTCCTCCCTTTTTTTTTCTTTTCTTTTTTTTTCTATTTCGGCTTATCAGTAGGCCTACCAAAAGTAATAAAGATAGCATATAAAGAGCTGTAGCCTTCTCAAAAATTGGAACACATCATTTCAGGTCTGCGAAATATTATGAGGGATAAGCTAAGTGATCCAGGGCAAAAATGACGTCACGACCCTCTTTGCTAATCAGTCGTTTTGAAGATAATTAGATTTTGTCCAAGAAACCAATTGAAACAGTAAAAAATGAAAACAAAATTTAAACTTATGACGTCTCATTAAACACATTTCCGTTTTTTTTCTAATTTAACGATAAGCCGCTCCTTGCTGTGTTGCTCAGTTTCATTTCTCGCAAGTTTTAATTATTTATACACCGATATTCTTTACTGATCTTCATTGTATGAGAATAAAACACAGTAAAGTTTTAGTGTTGATTTTTTTCGAAGTTCATCCATAAAATTTTTTACAGCACTTTCCCGGTGGTGTTACAGGAAATTCAAAGTTTATTAACGAAGGCTCAGTCATTTTTTTTTCGTAAAAACTTAATCTGAAAGTTGGGTAAGGCAAAACTTAATGACAAAGTAAATAAAATTTTTCTTGATTTTACCATCGAGCTCAAACCTCTGTCGAATCAAACGACGGTTTCGATCCTACTGATCCCTGTAGAATGCAGAACACTTGTCCGATATGAACCTTGTAATGACCCAACTCACAACTGATTTCTCTGTGGCTCAATGTCAGGTCATCGAAGCGCAGAATCCGAAAGGTGAACGTGTTGAATTTTGATAGAAAAAGCGTTTTTATCCCCAAATTTCGTAGGTCCCAGGCCCGAAACCATATTTTTTTCAATCCCAATCTGAGGAACAATTGCGCGAGTCTAAGTTCAAACACTTGCTCACTCTTTTTAATTTCCTGAAATTTTATCGATTCATTTTAAAATTATCGGTTTCTCGATCCAGAATGTAAAAACCAACCAATGATTAGCTTTTCGGTCCGTAAAGTGACTGTAATAAGTTAACGGACCTTTCGAGAAACAGTGTTTTATGATGCCGCCTAACTTTCACGGGATGTTGACGCGATGGCTTTGGATTTCTGGTGATTATTTGAATCCAGGTCGTTTCATGCTGACGTAACCGTGATTAGCTCGCCCACAGAATGGGTCACTTGGCTTTAAAACAAATATAATTCACAGTATCTACAACATTACAATGCGATTTTTATTGGTCTTATTAGCATGAAAGATATAGATTATGTTATGGATAAGCCTGAAATATGTACATTTGTGGAGTAAAAGAAAGTCGATGGCTCCTTAATTTGAACTTAACCGCACCATACTCCTCGAATAATGCCAATAGCTGCTCGTCTGACTTCTGTGATCTTCCAGCAATAAAGGATCGGATTCAGTGTTGAATTAAAGTTGACAACAGTTTTAGAAAATACCCATGCGGAAATAAGATTTGATGTGGTATGGCCATGCACCATCAATAATACAAGAGTTACACCAAAGGGCAGGTAGCAAGCCACTAATGAAAATTGTATCCATAATGTACTGGACACTGTCTTTCTGTATCGAGCTATGTTCAGTGGCTCGTGTCCGTTTGGTTCACCTCGATGAAGATTTTCTTGTACTTGAGCTTGATGCTGAAGAAGCTTTTGATAAATCATTGTATAACAACAAATTGACACCATTAGAAAGAGGAGAACAGTGGCCGTGACGTAAGTGAGGAGGACTGTAAGGATGTCAATCCAATTCACCGTGATAATGCAACCGGCGATGACAGTCCAAGAACAGACCACGATAATTGCAGTTCTCCGTAAGGTGACCACTTGTCTGTATCTGATGCCCAGGAACAGAGCGAGAAATCTGTCCACGCTTATTGCGGCAAGTGTGAACAAAGATGATAAGCAAAGGGCTGTACTAATGTAACTGGTGAGTTCCGTTGTGAAGGTAACAATTTCCTCAATTTTATATTGGAATGCCATCAGTAGTGTGATGAAAATTGGCAGTGAAATAAGCCCAGCACATAAATCAGTGATCGCCAGGAAGCTTAACAAGATCTTAGACGGTGGATGGAGAGATGACTGCTTTTTCAGGGCAGCTAGAATAATAACATTACCCAGAATAGAAGTGATCGCGAATATGATATTAAGGAATATAAGAAACCATAGTGTAGGTGAATGAACTCCCACCAAACCAACGAAAACGTGCTTTGTTTCATCAGACATGTTCTGTGTTGGGAATCTGCTATCGCCTACTTACGGTTTACTTCGATACTGTATTGAGAATTTGAAGTCAGTCTTTGAGGTCAGTAGTAGCAAATCTAAATTAGCCCAGGTCGCAAACGGGTATGAGCTGATCCAACCAGCTGCTGACAACTAAGTTTGGCAAAATGTCGCCCGTGAAGGTCAGAAATTTACATTTAACTAAAAGCCGAAATGTCATCAAACTTAATCATTGAACAAACCGGATTTCGAAGTCGCTCGAAGTGACAGTATGCTTTTAGAAGAGGTGTTCATGTTTGATTTGTGATAAAGGAGGGCATGTCAAAATATATTTTTAACTCACTAATGTCAGTATGATTCTGATAATTGAATTTTCTTCATTGTTATCGTTGAAGCGAATAGAAAACGTCTAGGGGGAAACTATTTATTGTAGTCTGACTGCTGTTAAATTTCGTTCTTTTTTAGTTCGTGAAATGAAATTAGCTCATTACTACATTTTGAACATATTTTTAGAAATGAAGTGGGCCGATAACTGGCCATAAAAACATGCAATTATTGGTTACATCATGGCGCTACCCACGTAAGACCTACCTACGTTTGCACGTACATACGTGTCTCCAAGACCATATCACACCACGTATCTACTTGTGAACATACGACAAGGGAGCATCTGATAATTCCACGCACTCTTTCATTAATCGAAAACAACATTTTGAGTTTTTAATAAGGTACAATACTTTTGCTAAAGAACTGTCAAAAATATGCATGGAAATGTCAATTTCACGGAAGTGAGTTTTCTACTCCATTAAGCGCATTACAATCAGAAAATAGTTTCCGACTTAAAATGAAGCTTTCAGAAATTTGGTAAAAGACTCGGAACATATAATTTTTTAGTAAGCGTATAAATTTTCTTTAACCTTTGACTAAACGAACTGTTGTGTAACGTGGATCTGTTACGTCATTTTAAATTTTGATTTTCGGAATCTTGAACGTATAATGGAGCCAGCAGAAAGGTGGTTGATTTTTATGGATCACAAGAGCAAAGCAAAATATATAATTTTCAAACTTAATTCGCTGACTTTACTGAAATGAAGCTTCTCAACATTTCATTGAAGGATGATGGGGCCCAGTACATTATTTTGCAAGCTGTTCTTTTTCTTTGAACATTGACTTCGTTCAAGAATTATTATCAACCCAACGAATGTATAGATATATTTTAAGTCTATAAATTGGAGTTTGGATGATTTTTCTCCGACGAAATGTGTACTTGTATGGGCAACCGAAAAAATTGTCCTCGTTGTGAACTTTTCCTCTAGTTAAAGTTTTCAGAAATTTAAACACTTGAAAAAAATGACTGATTTTAACCCTTGTCATCCAAATTTGGAAAATTTTCATCCCTAGGTGGCAGATTAAGTGTTCAAAGTCGCACGATGTAACCAGCTTTAATTTCCCCTCGTCGCAAACTTCTCTTATTTTCCTACACCGCAGGTCAACTTTTTTCAAAAATTCGAAAGTCAGCATGGTCAGTTGGGTTTTTTTTCCAAGAGACGATCACTAATCTCCCTTACGGATTATTCAAGGGAAGTAAATAGATATTAAAGGGAAGTGGCTCTGACAGTTCATTATTTATACGGACGACTTGATGTCTTTCAGATAAATAACTGTTAAACCAAGTGATGCCAAAGGGTAAAATGCCAAAATGTCCTGCAATCTATTCAGTATAATTTCATGGTTTATGCTGTCAAATGCCTTACTCATATTCAGTAACACAACTGCAGTTAATTTATTTTTGTCTATGCTGCTCAGGATGGCTTCAGTGGTGCGTACGCGTATCAATGAAGTCTCTGTTAAGTGGAGTTTCTTGTTTCCACTCTGCGTTGTAGATAATCTTTTATTCGACTCTAGATAAGGCACGAGCCGACTTAGAGCAACTCTCTCACACATCTTCGACAGAATGGGCATGGGAGAGATGAGTCTGATATTGTTTGGTTCCTCGTGGTCGCCATCTTGACATCATGACATTGACCGAACAACTTCTGCGACCTGTGAGCATTCCACTGTCATGAATTGAATTGATTGGCCCAGTCTGGGCGTTTCATTGGGACAAAAACTGGCTTTTAGAGGTCGTAATTACATTTACTAGCGAATGAATTAATTTTGTTAACAGTGGCTTGTCCAACCGAGGTAATGGAACGATTAAACTCTTTAGCTACCGTCTTATTAATGATGATACTAGGCGATTTTCACATTAATACACTTTCTTAGAGCACAATATCGAAAGAATACCGTAATCTGATCCAATCAGAGGGTTTCAACCCCTTGGTATTTGAAGCAACACATGTAAGTGAGACAAAAAGTAGCTGCTTAGATCATATCCATTCGAATTTTGTGCCTTCAAGAACATGTGGAAGTATTGCAGCAGAAATTGCTGATCTTTTGCCTGTTTCTGGCCTTGTGTACGATCCAAAATGTAGCCCCATTCCTTACACAATTGAAATTAGAGATTTAAAAAAAATTTGACAGGACTGCTTTTCAAAATAAATTAAGGAACGCAATCTGGCAGCCCGTATATAGTAATAGTGATCCAAATGAAAGTTTGTCGAGATTCCTTCACATTTTTAACAGGATTGGCAACAGATGTAATCAAAATTAGAAACAAGTCGAATAAACCCTGGGTAACTGGAGGTTTAAGGAAATTTAAAAAATTCGTGGTCAGCTGTATAAAAATGGCTAACAACTCGTTACTCTACAAACTTGAACGCAACAAAATAGTTGCCATTAACAAAATATATCGCGCAGTTTATTGCGATAATATACTTAAAGATTCTACAAACAATAAGAAAATGTGGGACACCACTAATGTGATTATAATCAAAAAGGGGCAATCTTTTAGCATTGACAAATTGTAAGTAAACGACAACAACCATTCTCAATACCAAATGCTATCAACAAATACTTCTGCAGCGTTCCAGCTGAACTTGTATCTAAACTGCCCCAAGCAAATCACCGTCTCCCGTCTTATATGAACAGTGAAAAAGAATCGTTTCGCTTTTCTAAAGTAAATGAAGTGTACTTATTATGTCACTTAATTACAGTCCATGTTAACTTTTTAAATTTATTTGGACATCCGAAAAACAAAATAAAGACATCGTAAGTACATGTATACATTGTATTTGGACAAAATTAGTCTGAATGAGTCGCGAGATTGGTCAAGTTAGACAACTGAAAAACGCTTCTCTTTCAGTATTTTTCCTGTTTATTGTTATTACTTTTACCAGTTTATTCATTTCATCTAGTTTCTTTTTTCCGTATGACATTAGTAAAGAGTGATTAGTAAACTTTGATGCGCAATCTACTCTCTCGAAGTGAAAACCTTTCCAGAGTAAGATACAAAGAAAACTCTGTACAGCGTAGGGTAATTTGGGTTCATTGGCTACATTTTACCAAGATGGAAACATTTCAGGAAAAACCTACAGCCAGCTTCGAGGCAATTGAAGACAAATGAACGGAGGAAGCATATCGAGTCTAATACCCCATGCCGCTGAAATGAAATTTCTTTTGGAGCGAAAAGGTCATTAAAACGAAATTAAGTATGTTTATTTATTATTTGGACCCAACACATTGAGCAGCTCCCAGTTGGCTTGTTAGCTTAGTTGGTAGAGCGCTGCACCGGTATTGCAGAGGTCATGGGTTCAAATCCCGTACGGGCCTGAATTTTTTTCAGGTCCTATTTTCAACTATTCATTTCAGTAATGTTCTTAGCTGCGAAATCTCTTAATTTCGTTTCTTCACCGCAGTACAAATATATGAATTTCATATATCTAAAATCATCAAGTCATTAAAAGTTATCAAAATACATATTTCTGAAAAAAATATACACATCTCTTAATAAAAAACACATTTTTCTGAAACAAATATGATTTCTCTGGTATTGAAAAAAGAATCTAAACATTGCATAATTATTTATTTTAAAGGATTAACTCAATAAACTTTGAATAGCACCATCAGTTAGTGGTGACTGTTATGACAGGGCTTCCATGCATTTTTAAAACTTCATTGAACCAAAAAGTTGATCAAACGGAAATCTCCTGCCTCAATAATCGACAAACATAGAAAAACATTACTCGTTTCAATTAATATTTAAATCATTGCGAGTATTAGATTATAAATATTTATAAACTCTTGCTGTGATTAAGAACTTTTGATAACATAAAAACAGAAGGCGTGTGGGGAAAAGGTCTCCGTGTGAATTTATCAGCATCATAATCCGCTTTTCTGTTAAGCTAACAATAATTTTTAACAACGGATGAGAAACCGATCGACGAAACCGACCGCGAATTGCTACGGGACCGGGGAAATTGGTTCGTTGTATCGAGGGTTAAAGTAAACTTTATTCACACAGGGTAGCTCATTCAGCTCTAAGGCTGGTATCCATAGGGGACCCTGTTTCTTAAAAATAATTTACATCAAAACTTTTCAAATATATGTATACATGACTAGAATTTTAAAACTACATTAACAGCCTAAGACTACAAAGCCAAAACACAATTAAGACCTAAAATAGTAGATAAAGATAGATAAGAGGGTTCGTTATTTCGCAAACCTCTATTTAACGGATTTGCGGAAAAACAACCAAAATGTTCGTTATATCAAGGGATGATTAAGAGATTTTAATATTTTTTGTGGTGTGACGTCGCGCCACCCAGCATATTGGGATCGGAACGATTTCCATAAATAACATTTGTGCTTTAATTTCAATATGAAGCTACAGTACACTGCACAGGTCTGTACATTGCTACAGCACCTTGTTTTTAAAGCACGGAGGACAAATTTCAGTGGAAGTCACTAGAAAACGGAGAAACAGTGGCATTGGACTGGAAGGTCCTATTACACCTTTTACAACAAGAAGCCTTTAAAACTTAAATAAGATAAAGAGGTTGAATTCAACTTAGTAGAACTAATAAGAGACAAACAGGATAAAGCGGATCGTTACATGCGTCAATAGTGTCAGTGGCCGGGCTGAAGAGTATCGTTCGTTATACCAAGGACTTCGTTATATAGAGGTTCGTTAAATCGAGGTTCCGCTGTGACTCTGTTTCTTCAACACTATAAATGACGTTCAGCAGATTTGAATGAATCGATCGATGTAAACTAAATATTTAAACCTTGTCCTTGGTTTTCTTTAACACCCTACTTTTCTTGCTGTCTTTACAACCGCCTTTCGAAGTTCTCGATGACGCCAACAATATAAGACTGGATTGACAGCGGAATTCATAAATGCCACCGTGTCGGTGAATTTCCATGCTTCTGAATAGGAAATGTTAGGGATCTGTAAAGCTATAAAGCTGATAAACAACGGCATATAACACAGAATCATCGCAAGGTAGTAAATAAAAGTGTTAAGAGCTGTGTTTTTTGATTCTTGATTGGAGCTCAGATTATTGTCTAGGCTTGCCACGGCCTGTTGTTGAGCATGAATTTGAAACCGATGCTGTAGAACAATCCTATAAATTCTGATGTAACAGTACATAGAAACTATCAGCAAAATTGCTATAATAACCGGTGCACAGATAAGAAAAATGTACGTGCTCCAAAGAGCCAAGAATGACGTTAAAATGGTGTTAAACCACAAGACTACTGATATAAACTTGGCGCGCTGTGTCGACATCAAGTTTGAATACCTCATGTGATAATGCAAAGCTAAGAAACGATCAATACTTATAGCGGTCATTGCAGCGATAGAGACACCACACACGCTATACGACATTATTGACGAAACTTGTTTGAGTAGGAAGTTTTCCGTTAGTTCATTAGTTATGTACAACGGTTGAATGATGTAGCCAACCAGAAGATCTGATACAACCAGACTGCAGAGAAAAATCATGGACGGGGAACGAAGCGAAGGAGTTCTCAAGATGGCGGCTAGCACAAGTGTATTACCAATTATGGATATAAACATGAATGGTATATTGATAGCGCAGTTTATAAAAACCAAATTTTCAAAGTGAGAATGGTTTCCTCTGTTGTCTGGAACGTGTCCCATGTTACAACTTCGAAAAACCCACGGATTCTGACGTTTGGTTTAGCGTAGGAAGTAACACGGCTGAACGCAAACACGGCATGAAGTCAACTGATTTCAAAGGATGAATACACCACACGCAGAAAACGCCATTATTGTCAAAGCTTGTTGGAGCAAAACGTTTTTCTTTGTATGCTGTAGTTGCTTTCGTAACAAAATATAGACACGTTTTTTTAGGGCTGTTAAGAGGATACGAGGAAAGAAAACTTTTCTTTAAAATGAGATTTTTTTTGTAGCTTGAAACGCTGGTTTTTGCCTCATCATTTGCATTTAGATAACTTACTAGAACTTTTCCGAAAGAATATTTTACTCAGGTATAATTGAATATAAGAATAATATATCATTACGTTAGGGGATGAACCAATAAAAATTATACTAATTTGGAAGTCGTCCCTTACTGATTTGCATTTCTCAAGCCTTGTGTTAGTTTCTCCAGTCTTCTCATTATGTAGGCACCGGTGATGGTCTTTTCTGCATTTGTCGCAGGTTGAGCCGTCTGGTTTCTTGCAATCGTTTGTGTGATGCGCTCTCAGACACTTGCGACATCGCCAATGTTGCTTTACAACCTCCCACCTTTGATTGACTGTTAGAATCTGAAACTTAGGACATGCAGCCAGGTGATGTTTGGTCTTACAGCCAAGAGGACATGTTTCATCGTCAGAATCCTCGCTGTTAGCGGCGTTATTTTCTGTCTTTTTGGGACTTTTGTCTCGGCGAATTTCGTTTCTTTCCACTGTGTTGGTGTTCGCTTTCCCTCGGGAACGAATACTCGCTTCTTGATGTAACCAGGTGATTAGATTGCTCACGGTTTCTTCTTTTCCTTCTCTTTTCATTTCTCTACCAAAATCTGAATTGTCACTTGGATCGAGTTTGGACAGAAGCTGGGACATGAGGAACGGCGCTTCAACTGACTCCAGCACAGGACACCCAATATTATCTTCCATGTCACTTACATAACAGGCTATTGTCGTAGCGAATGCGTTAGGGACTTAGAATCTCGTTTGACTGCTTTAAGATTATTAATCTCGGTGTGCAGTTCGTCCATTAGTTTTCGTCTGTCTGCGAACTCTGTATCCAAAATGATCCACGCGCTGTCAATGGTTTTACAAGTTTTTACTTGGTCGGTCCAGAACGATCCTTTTGGCATTGCATTTCGAAAACGTTGCAATTGTTCATCTTTATCCTGACCGTATTTCTTCATCCAATGGCTGAACTCCTTTTTCCACGTGGCATAGGTTCTGCGAGTTCCGTCCCATACTGGTTCAGGTAATCGTTGTAAACTTGAGTTTGACGGTTTTGATCCGATGTTATCGGCCATTTTCTGCACCGCCGGCGTCATGGACGACATTGATAATGTTAGCGCTTCCAGAGTTGTCGCATTGTTAGAATTTTCTGAGGAGTTTTGTTCCTTTTGATATGCAGCAAACTTTAAAGTGATTTGAAGGAAATCAGCTTTGGTTTTGTCTCCAGCTTTCTTTGTTGCTAACACGAGTTCGTCTTCTGGGCCAGTGCCTTCGTCGACCAGTCTATCCAGAATTGTTTCCTGCTGTTTCTTGACCAGCCTGTACTTGGTTTCTACTAAACTGAATGCCGCTTCAAGTGTTTTTGGTTCCGATTTTACGGAGAAAATTGTTTCGAATTCTTCCATTAATTCGTACAAGAGTTTGACGGCATTGTCCAGTTTTCCCGCGAGAGTTTTCACGTCTACCTTCGGCGGCATTGTGAGCGGAATTTAAATGCGAAGCTTGGCGGTAGTTAGTAACTCGGCGTAATCTTCTGCAACAAATTTTGACTGATTCGCTCCTGTGATTGAAGGGCTACTTTATGTTGAAGATTTCAGATTCTAACAGTCAATCAAAGGTGGGAGGTTGTAAAGCAACATTGGCGATGTCACAAGTGTCTGAGAGCGCATCACACAAACGATTGCAAGAAACCAGACGGCTCAACCTTCTAAATTCTATTTAATTATCTTAGCGCAACGCGGCAAAAATAGATCAGGTGACTAATTATTTAAAAACCTAGAAGTTCGTTACGCAACTTACATTTCAAAAGTGTCACCACAGATCGCACTTCGAAGCTTACTAGCCGCATATGGAACACAAATTGTAAGTATAATATTTTTCCCGTCGCTTCAACCGAAATCGACATGTGTAATAACCTTCTTTGTCATATTAATTTAATTTTTCAGTTGACTATACTACTACAAGTGCAAATAAACTCCATGTACGGTCATGTACGCAAAAATCAGTTAGTGGTGAAATCTTCAACATAAAGTAGCCCTTCAATCACAGGAGCGAATCACTTACATTTTTTATGATGCCGTTGGTGGTGAATTCATTCCTACATGGGAATTCCATGCAGAGCTACTTAACCTTACAGGTTGCGAGGTGAGCATCTAAAGTTTCAGAAGAAAAAACTCAAACACAAAACAACAACCGGAAATACAAGGAAAAACTAAACCCTCTTGCAGTTAATGTGGCGACGTGATAACAACCCACAGTATTTGCGCCAAGAAACAATTCTTACCGTAAGTATTTTGAAAAACATCATTCAGTTTGATTAAAAATAGACCAGCTGTTATGGATTTCAACGAGAATCAACAAAAGTAATAGGAATACTTTCAACATGTCGTGTCGTGTACTTAATGAAGACTGTTTGTGGAAATTATTTTTCTTGTCATAACATGCAGATGTTTCAGTCCCAAGAAACAATATAGCTCCTACTGCTTCAGTTCTTCTTTTATTTAATAAATTATTTATTAAAATTGTTTTATTTAATAAAGCAATAATTTGAAGACTTTCGTTAGTATTTCTCATCAGTGTTCACAAGCGTTGGTCGTCCTGTTCCAAATGCAACAGGGCTCATCTTCGCAGTGTGACAAACACGTAGAAAGCATGTTTAATGAAGAGGTAGCTGAAAACCGCACGATTCCACAGAAGTTTTATACTCTATCTTCAGAGGATATCCATATTTTGAGATTTCTCGTAATTTTTGGGGTTTTTCTGAGCCTATCGGCAACATTTAGTAATATACTGATCTTCACCGTTCTTCAAAAGATATCTTACTGCCATTCACCCTCCAAGATTTTACCTAGCTCTTTGGGGCTATGTGTTGGAATCATTGTGGTTCCGCTTCATGTTACAAACAGAAATCTTTGTTACCACACAGTGACCGTCAGGTCAAATGTTATTGTTACAACGCTTAAAGTTGTCACACTTCAAAAATACTTCCGACCATCTCTCGAGATCTTTCGAAAGACAACATCTTTTACGAATGGCGTTGGTTTCGGGATTCAACAAAACAGAAGTCGAATCTGATTCATCGTGAGTATCTGAGTGTTTGTATGACCAGTTTGTCAGCTTTGGGGTGCATATCTTATTCAATTTTTGGTAAGAATATGTTGTCATTAAATCCGTTAGCTAATGTGTCCATAGTTATTACAATAGTATTTATTTCGAAGTCTTCCACTACATTTTGAAAGTCACAAAGTTTTGCGTGTAAACTGATTTGTCTCATTCAATGTAGAGTCAGCTAGCCAAGTGACGTGATGAACACTGGAATTTTTATCACGAGATGAACAGGGGAAAATATAGTATCAAAGCTGTTAGTGTGTAATTTGGAAAAAAAATTAGCTCTTCGGATTTGGAAACTCGCGATGAACCCTATTAAATTTAGTCGTGTCAACCAGTGCTCAGGGCCAAAGATTGCCAAAACACAAAAAAATTAATAAAATTGATTTCTCGTTTCCTGTATTCATTTTAGTTAGTGTGGTGTTAGTGGTCGTTGTGTTGGTAAACAAATAGACAATTGACGTGTAGATTAATTTTAAGGGAACACCGCTTTGAAAAGAGGACAATTGAACCTTCCGCTCCTTTTTCAAAATACTCCTCCTCAGAGGAGGAAATTTACAAACATGCGTTCAAAATGAGGATGTAATAAAAGAGACCTACGGAAATTAAGTAGTCAATTTCACTTAGTACTTTACACGAGCAGATGTTTCAGACACAAAAAGTCTCCGGCATGCACGGCTCTCCAAGGGTCAGATGTTTTGAATTTCGATCTTGGTTAAGTGTAAGCCTTTTTCACCTTAAATAGGAGCTTAATATTTCAAGCAGAATACTTGAACTCCGTATCATATATCTCTGCATTGTTTAAAAATGTGCTGATTGACGACAGATCTGAAAACCTAACAACTGAAATGTTTTGTTCTTCGCTTGTAGGAGGAATCCTCATTCCGCGATTTCTCATAATCATTGGCATTTTTCTTGCCATCTCGTCAACATTTGGAAATATTCTAATACTTGCAGCCCTTCGAAAAGCTTCGTCCCTCCATCCACCCTCTAAGATTCTATTACGCTCTCTGATCCTTACGAATTTATGTGTAGGGATTGCTGTCGGTCCACTTTATGTTACATTTTTATTCACGATTGAATTTAAAAACTGGAATCTTTGTTGCCAAGTTATTAGCGCTGTGCTTCTTTCAGGTCAAACGTTATGTTCAGTATCTTTGCTCACAATGACTGCAATAGGTGTGGACAGACTTCTCGCCCTGTCACTGGGATTGAGATACAGACAAGTTGTTACCTCAAGGCGTGCTCAAGGCACTGCCATCTCACTTTGGTTCATAGGATCTGGAGGCGCTATTATGGAGTTGTTCAACTACAGAACTGCGTTAATTTATGGTTCCTTTCTTGTTTTACTGAGTATTACAGTCTCAACTTTCTGTTACCTCAAAATTTACCGAAAACTCCGGCAACATCAGGGGCAAGTACACGGAAATATTCACCAAAGACAAGCAAACCGACCTGAGCCACTGAACATAGCACGATATAGGAAAACAGTATCCAGCGCAGTGTGGATACAGTTATCACTGATTGCTTTTTACCTGCCCGGGATTGTTATAATCACACTGGTGGCCTCCAGAGGACTCGACCCAATTCTTCTTTTGGTTTGTATCTGTATAACTACTTTTATACATTTTAACTCCACTTTAAACCCAGTTCTTTACTGCTGGACAATGAGAGAAGTGAGACAAGTCATGAAAGATATTCTGCGACAGACTTTTAGATTCTAAATTGTTTCCTCTCTATCAAAACTCGAGATGCATTTGGATCGGCGGTACTGTTTTATTTTAAACTTATTTGGAACTATAAGAGTGGAGTGATCGTTGCCTCAATAAACTATTACCAAACAGTTCCGCTTCCTGGATATACAAAGCCTTACTTTCAACTGCCCGTTGTCCAGGTTGTTTAGAACCGCACCATCCACGTTACTGGCTCTCACAAAGTTGACTACAAACACAAACGAGACTAGACATCCATTACCAATCCACGAAAGGATATGGCTATGTTCCACTGAACAACGAAGACCAAGATCTCTTTTCTTTATTATGTAGCCGTGCCGAACGTCTCTAACCTAAGAGGAACTTCTTGATAGGTTCGGAAACTTATCAAGATGTTTCTTCCTCGCTTAATTGCAAGGTTTCATTAAGAGTAAATAGACAAAATGGAGTTGCTACTGTCTTGTTTTGGAAAAAAAGTTAACTTAGATCAAGACACCAACTTCTAACATTCAACTTGCTCCAGCCCAAATTAGTTTTAAACCATAGGACACTAGGCGTATTTTTGAGGATTTTTCCTTTTAAGCTCTTCGTCGCAGAATATCCCGGACTCATTACTTCGTCCTAAATGTGATTGATAGAAGATCCTCGCAACGATGGTGGCTTAATGTTAAATAAATTGAATGAATATTAATTTGAGCAATCTTCAAGTCCTTTTGAATAACAACTTTGGTTTTTCTAGGATTAAGTTCAGTTTTGAACGGTAATCGAAGATCTCTCGTTTATAATGTCACTTGTTGTTTCTCCTTGTATCGAATAAATGAAGTAAATTATGAGATGTCTATTTTCACTTATGTAGTCAGCTCGAGATGGTGGTAATGCCGGAGGGAAAGAGGGGGAAAGGGCGAGAAAGAGGATCAATGCTTGTTGATAGCATTCTGATAGTCGAAATGCGAGAGTTTCCTTTATATATTAACCCTTCAACTCCAAAGATCTCATTAGTAATTCTCCTTACTGTCTGCCACACGATTGCTATAATGTAAAATTGAGGAATTTGGTATTGGATCAACGAATAATCCCGCAACTGATATTTTACTTTATTCTCATCACTCCTATGCTTGATATTGATATTGTAAGGAGAAATTCTCTCTTAGTCACTCATGGGTGGGAAAGGTTTTAGGAGGCACATTTAAAATAATTAGATTCTGATGGATTCAAACCAAACTTTATTAAACTCGTAAACAAATTTACTCTGCACCAGCAGTAAGCTCCCTCTCCCGGTCTTTTTTGAGGAGACCCATGAATGCTCTCTTCTCCGCTGGATGCTGGAAGCGTCCATGGCCAAACTTGGACGATGTATCAATGAACTTAAGTTGGATCTTCTCCAAGGCAGCACGGTTTGTTTGGACAAGCAATGACTGTGAACGAATGACATGTCAAAACGGTCATTGCTAGAATTAATACACCGGCTTCTGGAGTTCTTTAATTCATGTTCACCTCCAATTCTGAAAAATATTAGACCTCTGTACAACTAACACTTACATACTACTTTAACATTGCCAATACCTACTTCAACACACTGAAACGCAAATATTGAGGTGCTTGTTGCTACAAGATCCTCGTCTTACCTTACGCAGAGTAAGGACACGTTTCACTTTGCCTACAACACATCCCTTGACCATGACATAGTCTTCATTCACTTCACCGTAGTGAGGGAAAGTACCCTAAAGGTAAGCCAAAGAGAGAGTTACAGCATTGTTAAGGTGCAAATAACACACACAAAAGTTATTTGTTTATTAAGTTTGAGAAAGATTTCACAAGATTTTGAACAAACATGAGAAAGGCTTAAATTAAATTCTGCTCTCCTTTCCTATGTTCAGATGTCAATCCCACAAGGTAAGTCCTCACTCAGAGTGGAGTGGGCCTTCACTAAGGGTGCATTTGGGTGCATTCCCTTTGACCTAAGCCCATGAAGTGTCATGATTTTTTAACAGAACTGCAAGATGCAGTTAAGCCACTCTTGCAGGTTGCACATGTTGCATTGCACTCCCTATTTTCTCCAATTTAAACTGTATCTAAAAGATGTTTCTCAAAATCATATCCTTTAAGATGAACTCACCATTGGAGTGATTGCCTTGTCAGTCAGATCATACTCAGTACTGGCATTGTTCTTCACCACCTTTCCATCTTTAGTGTGAATACCACGACCAATACGGTAGATCTTCTTGTTGATTTCAGTACGATGATGGTAACCAAACTGACCTGCACGTGCAACAGAGTATGAAACACGGGCTGGATGCCATGCCCCAATACAAGCCACTTTACGCAAACCCTTGTGAGTCTTGCGTGGCAACTTCTTGGTACCCCATCTGTAAGTGACACCCTTAAATCCATGACCCTTGGATACACCAATGATATCAATCATCTCATCCTGTGCAAACACTTTGCGAACAGGTGCAGGGTTTTCAAGGCGCTCACGTGCCCAGTCAATCTTCTCTCCAACATCCTTACCACCATTGACTTGGATCTCCTTAATAATAGCCTTCTTTTGGCCAAGTTTCACAAGTTTTTGCTATCAAAAGGTTGAACAGATTACAATAAGAACACCTATTTTTCATGAACCACATAATGTTTACTTTAAAGAATTACAATGAAATGAGGTGTCAGGGAAAAGCAAAATTAAAGGCACTGGCCACTGGCTGAATGAAAAATAGTCAGTCCTCGTTTCTGGGTGCCAATTGATTAAAGAAAATTGATAGAATTTAGCCCTAAGGGATTATGCTCTTTCAAATGTATTAATATTTATAACCTTCCATAAAAAAATTTTATGTGGAATCTCTCCTTACTTAGTCTACAAATCAGTTTAGAAATATCCTGAAAATGAAAATTCACTCATGGTTATGTAAGCTCATTTGCTCTAACGAAATAAAATCCTATTTTTTTTCAATGAATTTCTGTCGCCCTCATTAAACTTCTGGAATATATCAACTTTCCTTGCTTCCTTTAAGGAAGAAGAAATGAACTTGCATCAAACATTCATAGAGGCAAAGAATACACTTTATTTTGATAATGGCAGGCATAAATAACATTCTTTAATGTCCATAAAATTCATTCTTCTTGAGCTCTCTTTTGAAGAAATATTCTATTGCTGTCGTTGTTAAGGCTGGAAAGGCTAATTTACATGAACATAAGAGGAAAGCAATTTGACCTGCCATGCCCTTCCCCATGTGACTTATACCTAATAACTGACAAAAGTTTATTTGATATAGTAAATGACGTTTGTCTGTATCATAAAACAATATCCACACTAGCTGGGAGCCAATCAAATATGAGTAATAAGGAAATAGCCTGAAATGATATTTTTCAAAAACCTATACGAGATAAATACCTGTGTATGGCAAATAACACGGATGACTTTGCAGTACTTCTTCATGGTGTTGAAGTCATTCTCAATAGCAGTCTTGCCATCCTCATCTCCCCATCGCTTGGAGGCCTTGGAGAATGCCTTCTTCTTGGACTTGCACCTTTATGTACAAACCAGCATGGGCATGGTTGATGAAACAGAAGAAGGAAAAGGGGAGCCAGATCTCATCGGTAAAGGTGTACCGAGCGGAGAAAAGGCACTTCATGGGAAACTCTGGTTAGAAGTGCTCCACAGAACACAACGTTACAATAGTATAACAGTAATAATAAATGAACAAATTATCTTCAAAAACAAGCCCAAAAAAATGCTACACTATACAATATTTGCACTAAAACACATGCATAATCCAAGTATTTGGTATGTTGTGCATTCTAAATGAGTTTCCTTAGTTTATATATCAATACCTTATCTTTGATCAAAATTATTAAATTACATTTTTTTGGGTTGATAAATAAGTAAAATCTCCTAGTAAATGTCATGTCACTGAAGGGCTTCTTTGAACATTACACAGTACCGTTTTTATGATTTATTAGATTAAATGAATAACATGACTGCATTCAAGATGAACACATACCAATTCTTGTAGAAACGGCGCTTGCATTCTTCACTCAGATGTTCAGCCCAGATTGTTTTGAGGACACGAAGTCCTCTGGGAGTCTCAATGTACCCAACAACACCAACAACCATCAGAGGTGGTGTCTCAATAATTGTTACTGCTTCAACCACTTCCTTCTTATGGATCTCTGTTCAGAAAGGAAAAGATAACAATTGAAGATTCACTTGTGTACACAATTTCACTGTGATAAAAAATACACTAACATGCTTCGATTGGAAGACAGCTGTTTGAGACAAATTCAAAATTGTGTCCCAAAAAGTATGTATTTCAAATAATAACTCAGTTTAAAGTTAAATTTATGTTTCATTATTAAGACACCAAATGTGTCCAAGCCTGCTGAACTTAACTAAGACTAGGACATTCCTTGATGTTCAGTGATTATCATACTATCAAAACAGGAATAACAAAAGGAATGTTGATAAGTTATACTGTCTAATGTTACTAAATAGACTTAATTTAAGTCTTGAAAGCAGTTCAAGTCACATACTTGATCCTGGTTTCTCCACTTCTCTCACAATGTGGGTCATACCAGCTTTGAAACCCACAAAAGCTGTCAAATGAGGTGGAAGGGTTGGGTCATCCTTGGGGAAGGACTTTATCCTCCCATTATGATGCTTGCACCTCTTACGAGGCAAGAAGCCGAGGGAACCGTGTCGTGGTGCTCTGAACTTCCTATGAGACTAAAGAATGCACAAATGTACACAATTAATCAATCTGACATGCAACCACAAAACAACAAGGAAAGGCTAAACTTGAAACTAAAAATAGAAACGAGATACTGAGAGGAGGATTAAGTTTTAGAAAGAGGTCTTTACACCATGGACCCGGTATACGTCACTGGGAGTACTGGCACAGTTGCCCATCAAATAAGAGGAATGGATTTAATACACTGAACTGCACCCACCCCAATTCAAACAAGATCCTACAGTGTACCTACAACCATATCCTCAAGAAATATGTAAGAGGAATTGCCTCATTTTCTCGGCTGGCAAGATTTTGCCCCAAAGTCAACTTCGTGCAAGGTGAAATGTTCACGAATATACGATAAAATTATTCAGTTGTTCCCTTACTAATGTCAACAGCCCAACTTAGCCTTAATTATAAAATCGGTCACTAAAAGTTTATTTCTGAATATTACTAGGTAGGAAACCTTCGATTTGAAGAAGAGGAAAATGGCATAGGAACCAATCGACAAGAAAGATGATGGGGGATACGACCTGACGGGAGTGAGATGGATAAAGGTAGGCAACGATATTTGAAAAAAAAAAAAAAAGCATCAACTCTCGATCTAGGGACTGATTTACTTTCCATGTTACATTATGGGGGTTTCGTGCAGTCGAAGATCTACTTTAGAGTACTACGCTCATAACTCTTCCATTCAAGCTTGTTAACCACACGCCACCTACGATATAAAACCTTACGAGAAACGTACATTTTCGGAAGAAGTAAAAAAAAATATGTCAGTTTCCATAAGCTAATAACACTTTTTGAAAGATCTAAGCACCAGTCTGGACAAGATGATCATAAAATTACAGTTAAACCGACTGATTTTAAACACATCTCTCAGAGAGGCACCCACCATTTTCTACGAGCACAGGGAAAGAGGACGAAACCACGTGATGCATTAGCTTTGTCTTTGCGCAAATCGGAGGGGGTACCAAGTGGGGTACCCTGATTAATTTTGTGAGTCCACGATATCTGCGGAAGTACACAATGGTGATACTAGACTTGCTCTTACATGACGTAAATGGCTTTCTATTCCATCGCAATCAGCCATCTTGAATCCTGAGTGTTTGTTGATAGAGGTTTTGCTGAAAAAAGGTGGCAGACTTGTGTTTTCCTCATCCCACGAGGAGGTGAGAGTTAACTTGTAGGCTTAAGAAAGATCTGTAATACCTCGTAATTATCCTATTTAGCTCTGAATATCTATAATAGCCTGAAACATCCAAAACCACCTTGAGTTCTCAGTATCCTAATTCCTTTTCTGGCATGGTCCTTTGCAAATCTTATTCGCTGCTCTACTGCGACAAATAATCTTTTTTGAATCGTTGATACACATGTAATTTATGTAGTTTATTCTTCTTGCTTTATTTTTGATGAATTTTCTTATATTTCAGCAAAGATTTCAAGATGTCTGAAAAGTACATGACGAGGTTTGATGAGAGGATGAAATCTCCAACATTTGATGAAATCGACCGCAGCGATCCTGTGGCATTTCATAATGCCCGAGAGCGTTGGGCTTTAGAAAGACTTATTGAATTGGAAACCGTGAAGATATACCAAGAAAGAGTCAAGGAATGTTACAGAAGAGAAGAAGTCAATGCCAAACAATACTGCAGAAAAGAAGTAAATGACTACAGAAAATATTACAACGAGTACAAGAAAAAAGGTATATTAATCTAAATTTTTGATAAATGAGATGTTTGATTTAGTCAAAATTTCGGAAATGAAATGGTACACTTTTCTATTTAAATACATGGCATGTGACCTACAAGATCAATTAAAAGTGGATGTCCTCAATCAAATGAAATAAATACTCCTGTGAATGAAATACAACAAAAAGAGGGATGCTTTAGGTAGGCTGCAATTAAAGAAATCACAGAAAAGAAGCTGAAAAATTGAGGTTGATATCTTGATAACAACCTTAAAAGAAAAATACAATTTGAATTTAGGTAGAATGGAATTGGCCATTGGGAAACTTGTGCAGGACAATTTATGCAATAATGCATTCAGTGAGCAAGACAAAGAATTAAATATTTTAAATAGATGGTATGGAAGGCTAGATTGCTTCATTATCACATCAAAGACAAGAAATCAATACTTTTCTTCCAATTAACTCTACAGAATCAAAACTACTTAACAAATAAACCATACTCTCCCTATGTCACATTTCCTTTTTATAACATGCAACTACACTTTCATTTTCTTTTAACTAAATGAACTTGGTTAATCTTAATTAAATAACAATTTGGAATCCATAAAACATGATTTAACGTTACTGTCAGTCTACATCAATAATAAAGATGTGTGCAGCAAAGGGAAGTAAAGAAATGAAGTGACCTTGGATGTTTGTTTATCTCCTATTACAGCTTGGTTTCACACTGAAGGTGGTGACTGGACCAAATATAAAGTGGAGATCAGTGGAGAATGACATTTTATAATTGCTCACATACTGATGGTAATGATGCTCTGTAATGTGTGATATCTTTTTAGTTCCTTGAATGGAGAAGAAGTGATTTTTGAAGTCTTCTGTACACCTTCCTCTTCTGTGTTTGCACTGTTTTCCATTTTTCCAGGCAATTTGGTTGTATTGTAAATTGTATACATTAAGGGTGATGAATATTTTCACAAGGTAAATTTAACCTGTTCAGATCCATGAACCAGTACACACTGTTGTCAGTGTACCTGTTAATGTTCTCAATAAAGCAATTTTTGAGAAATAATTACATTGGATGGCTACTTTTTGTCTCATTTAGAAAAAACTTGATACATATTTAATTTGCTGAATTGATTTGGCTTGTGTGCAGAACTCACCTACCTGTTTAGTTAAGTATGGCTCTGTACACTACCATAATATTAATCCATCACTGAAATTTAAGTAGGATATTTCTGCTCTGAGAACATTCATGATTAAAATAATATCTATTCAAGACCATAAGGGCATGGGTGAAGTGATGGAAAAATCCTTGACAGGATTCTTTTGGGTTCTTATATGGCAAAATACCCTGCTTTGAGCTCGTCAGTAACATTCCTGAGTGACCACATTCCAGAGAGGACAGCTTTATTTCTAATGTTTGTCAATCTATGAAAACAATTATTGGTGTGATTACACATTTGTGAAAATCTTAAATGAGAAAGCATTCAAATCTGTGAACTGCGCACTGTATTATCATAGGCTACTGTGTAATGTTACACCCATAGCCCATGCAGACTATCTGTCTCTAATATTTATGACTTAGTTAGCCAAGCATAAATTCTAGGTGAAATTCTTGTCACTGGCTCTTGATTTGACAGTCAAATTCTTCCCAATCTATCACTTGGCCATCCAAACCACAATGTGCTCCAAACCTACACCCACGGCTATTAGTACCTTCAAAGACACCAGTTGGGTACCATTTCCCCTCATAGTAACAACCTTTGGGCAGAGCTGGAGGTGTGGGTGTGGGTGTAGACTGTGATGTACAATTGAAGTCATCCCATAGCTGGATTTGACCATCATCTGTACAAATCGCCCCATAGCACCAACCTTGCCCATCTGTTCCCCTACTTATCTCACTGCCTGGGGCATACCAGACACCATTTTCGAGGCAACCTAATTGTGTTGTTGATGGGGGAGGTGGTGGGGGAGCTGTAGAAGGAGCTGTAGTAGGAGCTATCGTGGGAGCTGTTGTAGGAGCTGTTGTAGGACCTGTTGTAGGACCTGTTGTAGGACCTGTTGTAGGACCTGTTGTAGGAGCTGTTGTAGGACCTGTTGTAGGGCCACAGTTCCAGTCATCCCATGTAATAATCCTTCCATCACTGGTACAGTACAATCCATAGCACCACCCCATACCATCTGTCCCTTTTTCTATGTCACTGTTCTCTTCGTACCAAATGCCATTGTACATGCACCCGGACTTTGGAATGGTTGTAACAGGGAGACTAGGTGGGGTGGTGGGTGTCATTGTTGTTAGAGGTGTGGTGGAAACTGGACCACAATCAAAGTCATCCCATGTGACAACATTACCATCATTACATAACAGCCCATAACACCATCCTTCCCCGTTTGATCCATGACTTATCTCTTCTTCGTGTGCATAGCATTTGGAGTCATACAAGCAGTTTGGAGTTAAACATGCTGTAGTGGTTGGCTGGATTTCATTTTTAAGTTCATCCAGAGGGCGTGACTGAGTCCTGGCCAATAGGAGCACTAACAGAACCAGAAAAATTTCAAGTGCTTGATGCATGGTCCTGCAAAACATCGTGTGTTTGTAATAATAATTAATTGGTAAGGGTGGTTTTATCGATGACCGCTGTACCCTGTTCCCGCCTGAAGTTACTGGGGAGGGTAACCGGCGATCATATGTTCTTTTTGCGAGAAACGTGACGTGTAGTGAGGCGGACTTCACTATCACGCTCCCCGATAAAAAAAAAAAACCGAGCGCCTGATCGCAGGTAAGCGTCTAGGTGATCGACCAGTCGGGTAACCAAAAAAAACCCTAGTCTTTGGTGAAATAGAACAAACTTACTTGCTTATTTTAAAATCATTTAAAATTCATCTTGCGCTGATGTTTTAGCTCGACGGAGTAATAACTGTTTTTGGTACTGGGCACATATCCCATGGAATGCAATACATGCCTACGTCAGTCAGTGAAAATGGAATTTTTCATTGTCGTTGGATCTGACCTTTGCTAAACTCGCGTTTTTATCTGATGTAAATGCACTAAGAAAATTTGCTAGCACATATTGAAAACCTAGGAGATATTTAAAATAAATGACCCAACACAGCTTTTTCTACACAATATGGAAATTTTCAGTTTAAAAAAAAACATGTCACCCATCTGTTTTATGTTTTTGACAGCAATTCTGCAAATGAGAACTTTGATCTCTAAGTTATCTACCTCAATATTTGTGTTGTATCTCACGATCCGCGCAGTTATACATTATGTCTATTTAAAAGATATAGTCTTAGGATTTTCGCTCTTCCTTAACGCACTTTTTCATGTTTTTTTGGCGTTCAGCGTGTTAAAACTCGTAAGCGCAATCTGATGAAGGACATCTGAACAGAATAAGATCTACGCAATCCGGATTAATCGTTTCAATAATCGTTTTAACATACTAATCAGTCGTAATCTTGCGGGACGAACTGGATGCTCAATAAAGCTATAAAATCGAAGTAACAGTACCTTTCCGTCCGCTTTTCCTTTGGTCAAAGACAGAAAGAAATGCAAACCTCCGTCTGGATTATTCGCGCCGGGAGTTCGCGATTCTTCTAAATACAATAGGACCCAACTATTTTTTTTTTCGGAGATCGGATTTCTTGAATAGACCTTTTATAATCTTTTTCCCAGACTACTGCGTTGTAAGCTGTTTGCCCAGAAATAAAAAGTTTTAATTTATTTTTGCAGTATGCATGACCTCGGACAGCTATTCCCTAACAATGTTTCACATAAACATCATTTTTAGTTGAACCCTCCTCTTTCTTTGAGGAAAAGATATGTTGTCTTATAGATATGCTGATAGACTGTTAACAAGGGTCTAACAAATCTCCAAATTGGCAATCGTTCAACCAGCGTCGCAATTAAAACTACCACGTACCGGTAATTGGTGAATGAAATATAATCATCGGCTCTTAGTGGTTAAGAGAAAAGGCAGTATGATTTCCTGTTCAAGTAAGCGCGCTGGATCTCAAGCCGTCTATCTCCGCGAATCGTCAAGAGCGTACTCTTCCAACTCAATTTTTTCGTCAAGAATGAAGTGCATTGTTCATGCTTAGAGGATGCAGCATTTCATTCACACAGTGTCTAACTCATATTTATCCACTAAACATAATTCACAGATTCTACAATATATTTGGGAACAAAATGAAATAAAAGAATGAAGTGGGTAGCGCACAAAAGCTTTCGATGGATTAGCATCAAGCAGGACTACAGTAAGAGCAATCTGCCAAGCCGCTTTGTAGGAAACAGGAAAAGATTACACTTATGAAGACCCCTGGGCTTGTGATTAATGTCCCCCTTTTCATTCCTTACTGATATAAAACCACATTATTGTATAATTTTCTAGGCTAATTGGCAACTTCCCTAACTCGGGTATCCACTCAGTGTCTGTATGCTGGCATAACATGGCAACAAGGGTAGGGTATGAAATGTGTCAAAGTGAAGCACGTGAAATGTTCACGTAATGTATAACTCTTGTAATAAACTCTTATCATCATAGATTGGGCTTTTGTGTTAAAAAGAAACTGGGTGATGATGGGCTTTTACTTCTTTTCCACGCGTGGATCCACGCTCACAAGTGTTGCTGCCAATCACTCACCACGCTGTTGGGGTGCTATCCTAGTCAGTGAATTTAGTTAGCAAAGCTAGGGATGAGATAACCTTGCCTAAAAGACAGGGTTGATACCTGATAACCTTGAAAGAACTAAGGATGTTTTATTTTATTCACTCTATCAAATGTCTCTTTGGTTCTCAACAGTAAATGTTGAGTTTCCTACATTTCAAAGCCAATAGACTGCAAAAGAGCATGCAAGTTCATCACTACTACAGTTTTAGAGGGGGTTGTTCCCCATTTGTATGAAAAGCATATTAAGATTCTCCAAATTTGAAGATTGAATTCAAAAGAAGTGTTTTACATTGTAGACTGACACTCCACTTTCACAATACATTCCAGCATTTCCGTAAGTAGTGTCTCTGTAAATCCCACAAGGAAGTAAAACTTTGGCAAGTTCATAACCGGAGGCACAAGAAAAACAATGTTAATGCGGTTTGCCTTTCTCTTGATGACAACCTCAGAAACCAAATATTCATGCATGACTCCTTCCACAAACTTGCGAATCATAATGTCATCCATCATCCTTTCTGATGCCCACAAGCTTCCCTTTAAATTTCCTAAATAAAAAAAAAAGAAAGAACAATGGACTTGCTTTCAATTCAAATATATTTGTGTATATATATATTTTATTCTAAGAAAATTAGTGTTTCGAAATATCGCAATTTTCTGATAAAAAACCATTTTCATTTGACCTACAGTTGAAAATTGAGCAAATCTATGGTCAAGAAACCTTGCAGTTGGAAATAGAAAGGAGGGAACACAGAGAACTGCTACCCTAAACAAAAACACTGCCACACTATAGTGCAGGGAACAAAATGCAAGCACATGGGAAAACAATGCGTGCACTGATAAGGAATATCGCTGGACAGAGATGCCTGTAAAATGCTGTTCAGTTTGCTCCTGTTCATTAACTATGTTAAATCCCATTTAACTACAAAATATTTAATGCCTCCCATCAAAACATTGATATCTTGCTTTAGATTTATAACTTATGCACTAAAATGGGAGTAATTTCAAGCACCCTAAGCATTTACAATAAAAAAGGGAATATTTTATTCAGTGTAGTTGAGCTTAACTTGCCAGAATTAAAAAAAAAATGAATGCCTAACTTAAATAGAAAAGAATGACAACCATGGGATTATTGGTTGATCCAATACCAAATTCTCTGAACTAGCATCATAAGAATTTTATGGCAGATAGTAAGGAGAATTACTAACTAGATCTTAGGAGTGAAAGGGTTAAAAAGGTGTTGTATCATTTTCAGTGGCTACTCACATGGTCCAAAATTAGATCATAGAGAATGGGATTGGAGAATGGTTCATTAGAGATCAGTGTCTCTTTTCTGAATGACTTTTGTGGTCTTATACAAGTAAAAGAATTTCACAGTATTGCATGGGACAGACTCACATTTCCTATTTTTTAAACTTTTTATCAATTTGTCAATTTTATGCACTCTGAGTGCTAATGCTAGAACTTCTCTTTCTGATGCAATGTATTTTCATAAAGGACCTGTGTGATGTGAGTCGTGGCCTTTGGTGACACCAATTTTGTGGCTCGGTATAATTTTGGCCTTTTTCTGTAGTTTTTCTCTTGTTTGATATGCACAACTGACACCAAGAATCTTTGTGATAGGGGGTGTTGCCGCCATGGCAGGAAAACATGACACACCATGACCACCTAGAACTCCTATTTGTCCAACATGGCCAACACCCTGTAAAGATACAAGAATAAAACCATCAATATCCATTCAAACCAGTAAAGTTATGATTTTGGTTTCGAAAGGAAACATTAACAAACTATTGTCAATGCTCTGGTAGTCCCATGAGTGGGGTTATAAGAGAAGTGAAAACGAGTGTCATTACCTGTTGTCTTTTAACGTAAAACTTATGCAGTATATCGTCTGCTATGAGGTTAAAAACACGTTTTCATGCTCCAGTATAGTAACAACAGATACATAGGATATTTTAGGAGTTTTAGGATATTTCTAGTTTTCCTAACTGATAAAGGCCTACCTGGATGCTGGCCAATCTAAAGAAGGTTCGGCAGCTTTTAGCCGCCATATCAAGTTAGTTTTGCAGAAAACCTCCCCAATTTCTTCACTGGCTACTCAATACGGGCTTCTTGCTTCTTGTCCGCCATGATCTATTCTTCTGCCCACAATGCATCACATTCAGCCCCAGTATTACACCTTCGTGATGATGTCAATGGTAAACAATATGGCGGTCGCATACATACGTGGATAGCGTTTTTTTCCAAATCTTTTTCTGTTTCCCAGGAAATTTTATAAAGTATCCCTTAGACAAGATGTACATGCTGTAAAAAACTCCATATTATTGCCATGAGCTGGTTTGATACTTCGGGGTTTTCATCTTTCGCTAAAACAGCTTTATCTCAAGCACAAAAATCCATCGACAGGGTTTTGGATATCGAACAAGATGAAACAAACAGTGCCGCTTCAAAATCTTCGGGTAATTTTATCCTTAGTTATTTATTTGATAAGTTTGCATATACTTTGTATACTGTTGTTGGAACGTTGAAGCTTGGGCCCAATGCTATCCTAGACTAGGGGAGTGAAAGGTTAAGAACCTGCATGATGATCATTTTGAGATATATTATCACATTCTGTCGATAACGGCAATTTATATTGTGTTCAGTCTTAAACCTGTCACCGAGGGCATTGTAGAAAAGGGTGATATTAGTGCATTAATTACCGGTCAATTCGCTACTACAACAAATTCGCCACCACAAAAGTTGCCATCACTGAAAGTCAAATCGCCACCGGTGGCGATTTCACTTTTTCGTTATGTGTAGCTTGTTGAATGTAACTTACATTAAATGGAAGCTAAGATGTATTAGTACATTGTGAAAAGGGAAAGGAACACAGAAGTTATGTGTAGCCTCTCGATTATGGAACGTTAATCATTAAGTGGAATAAAACTTTAGCATTTTGCAATGTACTACTACATCTTAGCTCTCATTTAATGTGAGTTTCACATGACAGGCTACATATAACGAAAAAGTCAGAGTGAGAGTTTGTTATGGTGGCAAATCAACTGTAAATCTGAGTGAGTAATGATAAACCCTCAGAGGAAACATTGTATTTTGTTCCCTGAGACCTCAAATGAGCACTTAGGGCAACATTAAGGGTCAAGGGAAAAAACTACCTGAATCCTCTGGAACCCATAATTACAAATTTTGTTTTACCTCTCAATTAAAAATAAGACATTATATGTGAGTATTACTTTATGGTTCAATTGCAAAATAATACAAATCTTGATTGAAATTGAAAAATCAAGTTCTCGAGAAAATTTTAGTGAAAAATCATGAGTACACCTTCTCTTAATCAGTAGATTTTGAGGTCTTGTCCTGTCGAATTTCTCTTTCAGCACTGGTTTGGAAATTTGCAACCTGCAATTTTTTTATCAATGCAAGCTGACTCACACTCCTGTGAATCTGTTATTTCCCATAGGAGTTAGTTCGTTTTGACCCACAGTACACAATACATTCTCCTTTAATCAGGAAACAGATTTTAGTTGGGAGGTGCAGCTGTAAAGTCTTTCTTGTTTCTAAGTTATGTTGCAATTTAAGTAGTAAGAAAGAGAATTTGTTCAATTACTCTAATATACATTGTTTTCATTGTTTCAATTCAGCCTCAAGTGCACCAAAGTCTTCCCCATCATTATCCTCAGGCATGTCTTCAAAGGATAATTTAACACATAAAAAATCATCTTCTGCTTTATCTGGGCATTCTGCCTCAAAATCAGCAAGGAAAACATCTTCAGATGTGGACAATTCAAAGGATGGTGAAAGTGATGGGAATTCATTTTGGTCATCCTTCCTTGGCGATTCCTTTTCCTCAGCTGCAACAGAATCCAAAACATCAAATCGTAGAGCTAGTGGACAGAAACTTGGTTCCCGAATAAGTGGTGGAAAAATGAAAAACAGTGTTGACAGACAGGACAGTGAGGATGCTAAAATATTGAAAGATGAAGACAATTTGCCAAGGGCATTAAAACATCAGAGTAAGAAGAACAGTGTGACTGTCACTAGTACAAGATCAAGTGAGCAATCCCAAGCACCCCAGACTTCATTACCTGTGAGGGAAGATTTGGCAAATGTTGGGTGGGACATTTCTGAACCGGATAAAAGTAGCACTATGGCTGTCAATTTTCAAGAGGCTAAGGAACTTACAGAAAGTCCTGGAAAGGAAGAGTTGAATACACACAAGTCACCTGTTATGCCAGCTCTAAGAGGGAGCAAATTGAAATCACAGCAATCAAAACGTTCATCTACCAGTAAGAGTAGAAAAGAGAATAAAGAAGTACTTAGCACTGAAAACAATGTGTGCAAGAACAATATTGAAAATGTTGAGCAAGATGCATTGATTGTTGAACATGACAAAACACCTGATGATAAATCAGAGTCTGTGAATGAACACCTTAGTACAGAAGCTGTGCAGTCTATTCCACTTCAGAATAATACAGATTCACCTGATGCAAATGAGAATGAACTGGACTGCTCTGAAAAGACAGATGGTTTTACTATCTCAGTTGAAACTGGTGAAAAAGCTCCTGATGTGGATAGCTCTGACATTTCTCAGTCATTGCTTAAAAATTCAACAGGAAACAATGTTGTGGAAGAAATTAAACACGAGGAAGCTGTACAAAATCTACAAGAAAGTGTTAAACCTGTGGCTAGTTCAACACCAAAACACTATGCTAAGGAGCAGAAATTCACATCACTAGGTACAGCAATGAAACCTGAAATGGAACCTACTGATGAACACGAAGAAGCTTCAAATGACGAGGGAGACCTACAAGCGTATTCATGTAATCCAGAATCTCCAATTCCGCAGAGCAAAGAAAGCAACACATTGTCAGAAAATGTAGTAGAATTTTTTGCAGAAGCTGCATCTGTTGTTCAAGATAAAAGATTGTTGGAGGACAAATCACAACAGGAAGTTCAAGAACATACTTGCATACATCCTGAAACAGGAAAGGTGGTTGATATGTTGTCATCACAACAGCCAAGAACAAATGATGGTAAGTGAAAAGTACACATTGATTAGTGAGCAGAGTGTTTTGGAAATGTCAGTGGTATCTTTCTTGCTGCCTTTGTCATCACAGATTGTTGTTGCCCAAGAGACAGCAGTAATTAGTACATCAGAGGTACCTTTGAACTGCAAATTACGAGTAACTAATTTTAGGGCTCTCTGTAGATTAAAAGTACATGGTAGGTGTACAGTAGATGAGGATGTTCATTATTTAACCAGCTGTCCAAGGGCATCTTCCTTAGTCATTTTTACCTACTGTAAACTTATTTATATGAACTCAGGAGAAAGAGAGCATTAGGTCTTTTTGTTATTCCTTGATGATGATTAGCACCAGTGAGGATTTAAACTTGTTTTTGTTGACCTACAGTAGCCAAATGTTAATTTTCCAAGTGATCAAAATTCCTCTTTGCTCATACAACTAATCATTAATTTTGATAATTATAGGAGAGACAGGCTATATTTAGTTACTTACTGGTTATGGTTATGTGAATGTAGCTTTGGGCCAATCTGACACCATGAAACTATTCTTTTGCTGTTATTTTTTAATTCCAGATGAAAAATGGCAAGAGAGGATTTATGTGATGGGAGATGATCCTAATTCTACTGAAAGCACAGAAGACACAAAGAGGAAAATAGAAGAGCTGCAAAATGTGAGTAAACTACAGATCCAAACTTTGTTTATATAATCATTTATTTTAGTTAACCCTTTAACTCCCATTAGTGACAAACATGTAACTTCTCCCCATTATATCTAAACATTATCCAGCAAACAAGTAATGAGAATACTTAAACTTATCAGGAAGGAGTTGTTATCTTGATCTAACACCACATTCTTGTAACTAATTTATGTGGGATTGTATATCAGTCTAAGGGGAGAATTGACAAACACATCATGGGAGTTAAAGGGTTAAATACTTTATTGTTAGAATTCTGTCTTAATTATTGGTAATAACCTTCATCTGCTTCCCAGCAAGATGCCTTTGATTAAATTAGGGTAATTCCTCTATAAAGAAGGATAATATTTTAATAATCTCCAGTCCTGGATATTTGTGGAATCTTTTTTTACCCTGTTTACAGGAAATTTGTAGCCTCAAGCATGTGATTGAAGTACGTGAGAATAAGCTGGTTGAAGTTAGCAAAGAAAATATTGACCTTCAAGAAACATGTGCTGTACTGAGGAGGTTTGCTATACTATCATTGTATAGAGTACTTTTCAGGGATGAGACTCAGAATTAAGAAAAAGATTGTTGGAATGTTGAGGATACCTAGGAATGAAGGACTAGCATAAGCACAAGCAAAATATTTGCAAGCAATTATACACAAATAAATGCAAACTATCATTTCAGGTTTTGACTTGTTTTTTGCCATTCTCTGAAGCCAAAGGTTTGGGGTAGTGCATATTTCTTGCATGAATTGTGTGTCAAGTGAGAACTTGGCTTTACCTAATGGCAAATTTATGGTAGATGCCATCTATATGATGGGTGGTAAATACTAAAATCTGACACTTACTGAGATATCAAGATCTTCTCCTCTTGGACCCAGGACTAAATGGCAAAGTTCCTGGGAAGGATAAAACTGGAAACAGAAGACACTATGATGTCAAGGAAAGTCTTCCTGGATGAAAACTCCATTAACCCATTAACTCCTAGAAGTGAATAATATCCATACATTATTCAGCAAACAGATCATGAGAACACTCTAACTTATTACGTAGAAGTTATTCCTTTGATGTAATGTCAAGTTTGCATATGGTAGGGTATGTTGTAGCATGTATTAAAAAAATATAATGCAACATATTTCTTACCCTCAGTCAGCTGAAACAAGCTGAAGATGCATTCAGGGAAGAGGATGAGGAAATTGAGGAAGTGAGAAAAGAGTTCACTGTTCGAGTTGCTGCCACAGAGAAGAAATTTCAAGCTGCGGCAAAGGTATGGTGACTGCTCAATCTTTAGAATTTTTAACTTCACAATGATGTTCCTTCATTGAACATGTAATTTTCTTATTCTACAATCCTTGTAGAGAGTAATTCATTTTGTTTCATTTCCAATCTTGTTCTATCATAATAAATTGCTTGTAATGGTGCATTCATGTTTGTACTGAACTTGGGTACTGTAATGTATCTCATGTTAGTAGCTAATGGTTCGATGTGTTTTCTTTCATTTATTATCAGGAACGGGATCAGTTAAGGGCACTTTTAGAAGAGACTGAAAATTCTTTGTCCTCAAAGTCAGTTAAGCTCTAAACCTTTTTTTTTCTATTGTAAATACTGATAACACAGGGATTAATATTAGGGTGGGGAGAGCCCTGACATCTCTGTTAGGTAATGGCTGACTTGGTGTAGACAATGATTTATAAAATATTGAAAAATGTTTTTTTGTTTACAAGTAAAACTGTAAATTTCAATTAGATTTTATTGTAAAATTTTCTTGGTTCTGAATAGTCTGTTTGAAGTTTTCTGAGCCATTTTTATATTATTCATGGTTTGATGATAATTATGGAATGTTGTAGCACATTTTGAGAGAGTTTGTCATAGTTTTTGAAGAACTCTGATTCTGTATTTTGTACTACAGGAATTGAACACTTGTCCAACTTATAAATGGTTCAAAATTTTCCTTAATTGAAAGAAGCCTGATTGCTGGTGGTTTTGTTTGCAGCAAAGCCACATGGTTTTTCTTGATTCTGTAATTAATGGTTCAAAGCCTCACACAAAACTTTGCTCTAGACACACTAGGTTGAAAATTTTTCAAACCAGTTTGGTTACTATTTCCTCCTCTTTGTTTAGTCACTTTGACTGTCCAAAATGGAGGCAAACACAGATTAAAAAGGATTTGAACACTTTAATCCAAGAGAAATATTGAACCAAAACATATGCACTTATTGCTAAAGCTTTTTGTTGGCTTCATGAAATAGGAATGAGCAGCAATCTGAAGAGTTTACAACCCTACTCAAGGAAAAAGATGATCAAATTGCTCAGTTACTAGAAGAAGGTGATTTTTGCATACTTAAATGTAGCCAGTATTTAAGGTAGAGAAGTACATTGTTTTGTAACTGGGCAACTGAGTGTGAGAACACATATGAGATTGAGGAGAATTATAAGAAAAAAAATTGAAAAGTTCTACCCTTTGCATGATAATTCTTACTGACAGGTACTGATCACGTAAAGCCCCAACCCTGCCTTTTCATCTGAGCAACTACAATTCAAGTCTTTCCTGATGGTTATGGTAATGATAATTTTCCATTTGTCCAATATATGCTCAAGTGTCTCTATTTTGAAGCATGTTTCTGGTTTCAACCAAATCATTTGAATCTGAACACATTTCTGGCAATGGTTTTCACAGAAATTCACCCAGATTCACAAACTTTTAAACCATGACATCTTATGAATCAAAGGATCAGGCCAAGACATAACAAAGTTTGCATTTTTGTTGTTTAACTAGTTGTAGCCACTGTTCTTTTTTGTTTATCTTTTCAGTGTACATTCAGTTTAAATATCCCCCTAGCCTGAGGTTTGCATCTTGTAGTCAGTTAGTAAGGAGGATTATTTTTCTGGAATTTCAACAGGTGAAAAATTGTCTAAACAGCAACTTCAAAGCAACAATATTGTCAAGAAACTGAGAAGTAAGGAAAAGGAGAATGATGCACTGATCAAGAAAAATAGGTAAACAAGTGTACTTGAATAATCAAATGATTTAACAATCCTAGGGGGTTTATAAAGACGAGGAATTGCTGTCTTTACTGCTATTGTAACCCTTCAGTTCTGCACAGACCTTTTTCCAAGCTATTCCATGTGCTAGTCTAGAGAAGCTTGGTCAATTATATAATTTTTTTCACCATCATCATCATCATCATCAACAATCAATTTAATACTGCTCAACAAGAGATGCAAGACTGTTTACCTAAATTTCTGCATTAGCACCTAGGAGGCTAAGTCTCCTCTTTTAGTAGGTTTATCCAAACATCTTCATCTGAGGACAAATCACAATTTTGTCCAGAACCTTTTTTTTTGGCTATCCTTTTCTGTTAGCCCAATTGTCACTCATACTTCATCTCTCAATTTTTTGTTTACAGCAAATTATTAGAGGAAATGACAGCTGAAAATACCAGACTGACTGAAATCCTGAAGGTTAAGGAAGAAACAGAGAGAAAACAAGCAGGTACTGCTTGCCTCTTGTGACACTTTTCACCTCTCTAGACTGCCTTAACCATTACTCTACCTTAAGCCGTCATTAAGAACCAATCTTTGCATTTAAGGTAATTATAGGCTTCTAACTGCAATGTTCAAGAAATTTCACTAAGGTAATTCTACTTTTCAGATGCCATAACGCAACTCAATAGCTATGTTGAAAAGCAAGACACACAAGTTAGCAAACTGAAGGTAAGCTTTCCAGCAAAGTCAACGTAATGCGACAGTCAAAATAGTGCAGAGGAAGGAACTTCCTAGTAGATGGAAAGAGAAGTTAATCATTGCGTGTTGGGGTAAAATCTCTTTAGCCTTAGAGCTGATTCCTCGGGGGAAAAAAATTATCGAAATTTTCTATTTTAACTTCCTTCAATGTTCTCAACCAATGTCTCTTTCGAATAATACTTTTAAGAAGATAGGTCACTGTGCTTGTTTAAGAGATACGATGGGGCCAAACTTACCCCATTTATGCCTTTACTGGCATTTGTCACGCGCGTCATTTCATCGGTTCATGGTATATTTCTGCGGTAGTTGGAAGCAAGTTTTTTTAAAGAAACACTTCATAGTTAGAAAGGAATGCGTGCGCACTTATTCCCCTGATTACGTGATTTTTATGCTCAGGATGTACGGTGCAATACTGAGCTTTAAGGTATTTTTGAGGGTTTTTAGACATAAAGAGAGGAGGACACTAAATTGTTTTGGAGGTTGACATCAATGAGAAATTTTTGGCTGTCTCAGCTGTACCCTTATTTTTTCTAAGTTTTTGTCATTACATGTTATTTCCTTTTCCATTAAGCACATAATGATAATTTTCAGTAGTTTTGAAATGATAAATAAGGATTAAATAAATTTCAATGAAACCAACTCACGGCGGTTGTAAGTATAGGTTTCCAGGTTTCCTCTCAAAAAAAATCATATGATCCGACGACAAATGTAGTGGGCGCCATGTCAACGAGAACATCTACCATACCATTTAAATAATAAGTTTCTAGCTGTACCCACATTGGTTTCGTCTGGGGTCTTCAAGCACCCAGGCCCTATTTATCATATAGAAATCCCCTTGGGCATCATAATGATTGTGATGTCTCTATTTCCTATACTTTTTCTCATTATAGTCTGAATTAGATGATTCAGCGGAGAAGATTAGAAGTATGCAAGCTGCACTGGACAATGCGTACAAGTTAGTACCATGAAAACAATTGGAGCGAATGATAATTCTTTTTACAATCGTGCAAACCTGCCATTTCAACCCACTTCCCTCCTCTCCCAATGTTTAGGGGAGGCTATGTAATTATGGTAGAATTCCTCTTTTTTTTAAAAGTATTTGGTAAAATCTGACACCTGCTAGTTTGAGAGATTCTTGAAACCTATGAAAATCTCAAACCTTTCTTTGAAACTGAGGAACAAGTTTTTTTTCTGACATTCGTAAGGAATACAGAAAAAGAATCTAAGTTTGGATCACAACTTTCAAAGATTCATGATTTGCCGGACTAAGATTTTCAGAATTAACTAACAATACCGTTTGAAGCCCTTAATTCAATTCTGGAAACTATAAAAGCACTCGTGATATTTGCATACGTTTATCTTTTGGATGCAAACTAACCAGGGTAATATATCATGTCAATTTATTGAATATTTCATTGTGGAATGGATAAGAGGAAAGATAGCTATTATCACACGCTTCCAGCAACTTTTGATTATTTTTTCTGCAGGCAATTGGCAGACCTACACAAAGAAAATGCTTCAAAACATAGCGCAGTACAGGTAAGTGGCGCATTTAGCCTCCTGTCTTACTCCAAATTCACGTTTTTATTTCCGGCATTCTGCGCTTCAAATGAGAATCTCACAAGAATACGAGAAAGTTAATTTCAGAAAAACTAAGTATGAGATATTTCATTCCAATTGTTTTTGTCTGGAAATTGAATGATGTGTAACGTGCTCTAATTTTCTTCATGTAGTTTGTGTAGTGTGATCTTACAAACGAAAGTTTCGAAACGAATGAAGGCTGCAGCTGCCCAACAACGACAGTCACTGAATTCCAGATGAAGATCTGAGTCAGAAAATAGACATTCTTATTAGCAGTACTGCACTGATAAATATACTGTTCTCTAAAGATAATCAGGAAAAGCTCGTGATTTTCATTCTCAGGAAGCTGCTCTCAGTGCTGAAATGACTGCAAAGGAAGGTCTACGGATTGCAATGGAGAAAAAAGAAAGACAGTTTAAGTGTGAAACGGAGGCATTAGAATTCCAGGTATTCAAATCATTTATGTTAGGTACATGGAGGGTGCTCTTCACTGATTGAAAGATTGATCCATGGACCGGTTTATTAAGTAAAGAGGATAAGTTTTGAAAGAAACTGTGGTGCTGCGTCGGTGGGGGAGTATAACAAGAGAATTTTGATTTTATTAACTAAGTTGATGATGTAAATTGGCTATAGTAAAGAGTTTCAAAGCTAACTTTTCGAACGTTAGCTCTTCGTTAGAGTGAATTATGAAGGGCTAACGCTCGTAACGTCAGCTTTTAAACTCTTTAAGGTGGCCAATTTAAATTATCAACTCAGTTGATAAAGCCAAAATTATCTTGGTGTACTGACCGATTGACTGGCCGACGGACGGACAATTGGAAGGACCGACGCACTAACTCATTCACTCACCCACTAAATCCACTGACCGACCATTTGATAGATTGATTGATTTTTTTACATCCATTTTGAAATCACTGGTGATTCTTGTAATCTGATTGGCTCTCATTGGTGTGATTTATTTACGAATCCCACCATTTTTTACCTCTTAATGGCATCTTTTTCCCAGCCATTTGAGAAACTTTACTAGGATACAACAACCAATTGCTTGATTAAAGAAACCAATGAAATCGTAGGAAAATAAAAACAGCTTCAATATGCAACTTTCTACAAACCTGCTCACCACTGGGTCAACAAAACATTTTTACAGACTAAACATCCTGTGTCTGAGCAACTCAATTTTTCGATTTCAAAATGGATGTAATGAAGTGGTAATTGAGCCAAGGGGCGTACAATTTTGGTCCGAAATGATGCTTGTTATTTCAAATCAAGTATTATGATTTCAGACCAATTTTCACTTCTCTAAGGTCAAATACCTTTATTAATTAATTTACCGACTGTCTTTCTGCGTGGTTGCTGTTTTAGATCAGTGACCTTCAAACTGGACTGCGTCGGGCTGAACAGCAAGCCAGTAGAAGGGAAGACAATCTACGTCAAGAAATAAGTGATCTACAACAGGTTAGATTTAAGAATAATAACAACAACGACAACAAATTGTATGATTCAAGACTTATGGAGAGGTCTGCACTGAGCCTAAGACTTATCAATCTTAATTCAAGAATCTCAGATGGCCGGGAAGAGCTGTGTTATTGCATTTTAGCCAAAAACATGGAATCCATATAGTTTTAACGGAAATGTACAATGTTTGCAGAAATTTGTTTCTATTTGTCTACTGATATAGAAAAAAAAATGGTTTTGACCGATTGTGACTTAGTTGTCAGTGCAACTAAGCAAAACAGTCGGTAGAAGCATGGAAGTTTGTGGAGTCACGTTAATTCTACGAGATTAGAAAAACATTCACTTTTGGTGCTTTTTGATTTGTGGATTATGGGAAAATAAAGTTTCATTTTAGTGTTGATCTTAACCAAAAGGACCCCCACTTACTGCATAGCCTTTTTGAGGATCTTGAATTGGATGCACTTTTCCGATAACGGTGATGTTGTAAGTATTGTTCGCCATCCTGAAGAGAAAATACGAATTGGAAGAAGTAGGGGATTGTTTGAACACGTTTAGATTTGTATTTCTTGTTAAAATTCCTGTTGAAAACGATTCAAACAGTCATTTTTTCCCCTCTTACAGAGGTTACAGGAAGCAGAAGCTCGTAACCAGGAACTCACTGAAAGTGTCACTTACGGTAACTTGAATGTGATTGAATATAATTTTTCTCATAATATCTGCGTAAAAAGTTTTGGAGGGAGGAGTAAGTACAGAATGAAGCACATTTTGACACTAACTTCTTGTTCTTCCTTTCGACTTACCAACCCATAGCAACAAGACCACTGTTAAGGCAGATTGAAAACCTACAGAGCAGCTATGGAAATCACACGCAAACTTGGGAAAGAGTGGAGAGGAATTTAACGGAGAGGCTTAGTGAGTGAACCCTTTATTTTTAACCCTTCATTTATCATAACAGTTTTAACTTATGAAAAGTTGGACCGAGAGAACATCGCCTCTTACCATGCAAAGCTTTCGAATATGAAAATATATTGCTAGTTACTCATTGAGTTTAGTGTCTTACAATCAACGCCTTATCTATCACACAGCCAATCAGAACAAAGCTAACATCAATACGTGGCAAATACCGTACATACACTACCTAAATGAGAAAACGTGGACAACCTAGCTGGGAGCCAGTTTTCCCTAGGATTAGTCTAGACGATTTTGCAAGTTTTTTTTTCTAGATCTGTCATTGACACAACGTAGTGAAACAAACCTAATTCATAATTGTAGTACTTTCTTCACGCGATTGAAATTTCTCTACTGAAAATCGAACTGGAACTGAGGCTGTAAACACATTTTTGAGTATAATTGTTTCCATGAAAGAGGCTCCGCGTCTATCAGATTATTCTCGAACAATTACTTTTCCTACCAGATGAGGCTCAGGTTCAACTAGCCGAGGCCCAGGAAAAGGAGCGCGTAGCCACAGAGCACGCGCTGGAGTTGAACTCCCGCTTGACAGCTGTGGAGTCACAGCTGGCGACATACCGACAGGACAAGTCACGACTGGAGGCTACATTGGAGATGGAACGAACGAGACTGGAAACTGCTGAGGAAGCGAGAAGCAGGTACAAGTACTACTGAGAAGATTGCGAATGAAGTGTAATCTGGTAATTTCCTCTTATGGAAAACAACTGTAATTTTTGGCGGTCAGGAAACGTATAGTACCTAGAGTCACATTTTCAGGGTTGAAGTAAATTTTTTTGTGTAGATAAACTAACTTTGTGTTTATATGTTCAGGGAAACTGCTAAGATAGAGGCATTAGAGATTAAATACAGAAAAATGATGGAGGATAACAACTTGGAGAAGGTAAGAGTCGCTAGCAGTTTTTAACCATTACTGTACTACTTATGCTGGGCTTATCTCGTCATAAGTCACTCGAATCATTTTGAACACGTGTCATGTTTGTTCTTCAAGGCTTTACTTGAACAACAACTCGCCGTTGAGAAAGGCAAAATGGAAACAGAAAAGAAGAAGTTTCAACACGCCATGGAAGAGAAAGTAAGTCTTTGAATTTGACGAATTGGATGTCAAATGTTCAACTCCTGAGTTGCATGGCATTTTAGGTTAACATGTGGCTAACTGTTCGCATCAGTGTTATCGAAAGCGTCTTGTCTAGAAAATCGAGAGGAATTTTTAAGGATTTTTCGATTATTTCATTACATGTTTCTCCTGTAAAGAACTTCTCTTTTACCCACAGTCCCTGAAATTTCTGTAACTAGTGAAAAAGGAGATTTGTCTTAGATAGACCTTGACTGTCGACATCTTACTGTATTTCACATGTGAAGGAGATTTTTTAAGTCTTCGCAGATTCTCTATCCGTTATATCCGGTTTTTTTTATACGATGCTCTTTTTTAGGAGAGAAGTTTACTTCGACAATCTAGTATTTCAGGAGCACCTCCCTCTCCCACGGCCAGGGACGACTCTTCGCAGGTTTGTAATCTTACGAAATGAAGAATTTAAGACTTCTCTGTTTAGTGTAATCAATTCACTGTCACGAGTTTCCACATATCGTACATGGACTGTTACTCCATCCGCTAGAAATTAACCAACAGTGAATCTCCCTCTTTCGGTAAACGCGAAACATCCTCTTTGATTACTTATTCATACGAGGAAACGAAAACTATTGAGAACTTTACCAGTTCTATCGTTTTAAATGAAACTTTGTAGAAAGAGTATTACTTAACTTATAATTAATACACTTCATGCTGTTGTGTCCTGTTCTTTAGGACGAAAATCCCGTTACCTCCCCTCACAGGCCACGACAGGGTAGCACCAGTAGTGTTATTGATGGCATATCGAGGGGAATCATGGGAGCTGGCACCGCCATGGTCGAGAGACTGCAGGCTCAGGTCAAACAAAAAGATGGCGAAATTCTACTTTTACAGGTATCATTTTGTGTGCAACTGTATATTGTCTCTTATTGGGTGACCCGAAGTTGCCCCTAAGCACGAGACATTTCTTGCCATTTACATTGATAGTAGGTAGCGGTCATGTGTCGAAAGTAAGTAAGTTCATTTGAAAAAGGGTTGAGAACGCAATGCCGAGTCAATAGGAACTTCGATGCTTGGGAATCATGCATCCAGAACCATGCGCAGTAAAACAAGACATGTTTGAATTGAATAAAGGGGGTAGGTGCTGCGTCGGTGGAATAGTATAACAGGGTAATTTAGTGTTATCAACTGAGTTGTTGATTTAAATAGACCACCGTAAAGAGTTTCAAAGCTGACGTTTCGAGCATTAGCCCTTCGTCTCGGATTCGCTTTGACGAAGGGGCCGAGCTAACGCTGGAAACGTCAGTTTTGAAACTCTTTACGGTGGCCTCTTTACGGTGGCCTATTTACGTTATCAACTCAGTTGATAATGCTAAATTGCATGTTAGATCTGGCGAGTTATTTTAGCTTTTAGTAATTGTAAGACATCCGAGGCAATTTCACTGAGGACAGTACATGTGGATCTATTTTTTAACTAACAATGGGGAACGTCTTTTGTAACAGGAAGAGATAACTACGCTACAAAAAACACGCGATGCCGTTACAGAAGAACTAGCGACACTCACTTCGAAAATGGAGAGTCTGGAGGAAGATAGTAGACTTTTAGCTGACCTACAAACACGATACAAGGTAGGTTGGGTTTACCAAATCTACATTGATATATCCCCTCCCATCTTATCCACTCTACTGTTAGTTGATCCGCTCAGTGGCACATGGAATCCGTGAGGGTATAATTTTGTAACACAGTTTGTATGTAGAAAGCAAGAGTGCTTTTTAATTTTGATATCCGGGATACTTGGTATTTCCCTAGGAGCTCGAACAACGTCATAACGCCGTGCTTCAAATGTACGGTGAGAAAGCTGAGCAGGCTGAAGAACTGAAAATGGACTTGGAAGATGTCAAATCCATGTATAAACAACAGGTAAATATGCAAAATTTAACATAGACTCCAGTGATTTGTTGTAAATGCAACCTTCGAACTGTCGGAGAGTATTGTGTTGAACTCTTTGATCGTTTTGCTCGTGATTTATATTTCAATCTCGAGTTCTATAATCTTCAAGTGATGCCCGAAATCATTATGTTGTATTTTCCAACGAAAGAGAAATGTATTCCCTCGCCTCTTTCCGTCGAGGAATATAAATATGAACGGGTGCAGGGGGAATTGTTTGCCTGACCTTGCAAAAGGCTTTTTGGGGATGTAGGAATGACTACCATCCCACCTTGGAAAGTAGCAAGAATTCGACGTCTTTTTTTTCTCTTACAGAAAAGAGAGCAAGGGTGCTGGTCACTTTCGTCGTAATGCTTTGTAAATTATTTCTCTGATTTTAACAACACACCTTGTGTTGCACTGAGTTTAAGCAAGAATTTTGTTTATCTACAGATTCAGGAACTCCTGGGAGCCGCAAGATGACACTACCGTAGAGATGAAGAAGATTATTTGCGATAAGTCCATTCTGTCGAAGACGAAAAATTACATCTAAAGAGCGTTTATTTGGACTCATTATGGACTGAGAATGATTGGGATAGTGTGGCCATTCGGCCTTAATCGTTTTAATTACCACTCTTATTCGTCGATTAATTTGAAGCTTCAACATCCCCCCCCCAGGCAACCCCCTGCGCATTTGAACTTTTGAAGATTGGTTTGTCCAAATCCTCTCCCCCGGGGGCAAAAATTGAGTTCAAATTCTCCACTCCCTTTCCTTTTTTTGTTAAAAGTTAAATCAGGGACAGTGACTTTCTACACATTGACCAAGCTTTATGACTGAGACCTTGTAGACTTTTCATTTTGGGCTATTCGATTGCGAAAGTGAACTTCGGTATTTAACACTTTAAAACGCCTTCATATTTAAAAGATATAAGACTTGTATTCCGCTAGAGAGACTGGATACTTTAGGTTCAATTTTCCCACCCCAGTAAAGCAAGGTTCAAATTCCCCACCCCCGAGGTACCGACGACGGATGCCCGTGCGTTGCGCTGGAAGGGGGGGTGCTGGTGGAATGTTGAGGCTTCGAGCTGATCGGTGCATTATAGTAATAGGAACAGAAATAACATTATCTACGAGCGAATTAATCTTAGGGTTTTGGTAAACCATACGTGTTTTTTTTAAAACTTTTTAAAATTCCCTTAGTTTTCCGCGGGCACAGTCTGTCTAATTTTAGAACAATAAATCACTGACAACCGAAAATACTGTCGAGGGAAAGATTTAAAAGTAAAAAATATATACGTTAATTTAAGGATTTTTAAAAGTTTTCTTTAGCTATGAAGTGGTTGGGAAGGGGAGATGAAACCACCCAGGCATGAAAATCGTTGGTTATAGGCCAATAACACACTTTGGTTAACCAAAAATCCAGTTCGATTATTGTCGTAGTTCCAGTTGATTCCAGTAACAGGAAATACGCTGGACTAGGGAAGGAACCTGTACTGCATGCACTGATGAATTTTATCAGAGTTTGAAGGCAGTGTATTGGGGGGAAGTGTACAACATTTCGCTAGGAATAATTAAATATATATATTTAACAGCAAGATGTGGAGGGCCCATTTTGTAGAATAAACATTGATAACTGTAACAAATGAGTAGTTGTGAACCCTTTTATTCTTTTCTCTCTTCTTCTCCACACCACCATAAAATCAAGAATCTTACGCCACCATTCGTAACCTATTCCAAGGGAGATTTTAAAAATGGTAAGTTGTGAATTGAAACATACTTATCGTTGTCGGTATTCGTGGTTGGTTGAGGTTCCCTTCGTTGTTTAAGAACTATTTTAACAATAATCATGAAAACGCACAACATAAGCCTTTGAAGAGGTTGCTATCGAAAGGACCAATAACAGTGGCCTCCACCTTACTCCAACTCCTTTCCTCCCCTGCTCCTTTTCTTCCCGCTTTTCCCGACTGCTTATTGTTGACTAACGAGACCGACTCGCAGGCTTCACGTACCAGTCAACCTTATTCCGTGGAGATCCACTAGAGGGTACATCTTAAGGCAAACGATAAAACTTAACTATGAGTGTATTAACTATGATGAATAACCATATCCTTTTATGTGAGAGGTAACCTTTTTTAGTCACACAACGAAATAAATGGCGAGGAGACTGTTCACTTAACCGGAAGTTGTGGCTCCTCTCCGGAAGTTGAATGAAAAAAAAAAACGTGCGGTATCTTATCATTACCAGTCCCTCTCCATAATTATCAAAGAGGTAAGGGGTCTAAAATGGCGAACGAAATTTTCGAAGGCGAAAGTTTGAGCCTAGAACTAACTCGTTTTCTGGACAAAAATGTTGGAACTGAGAAATCATCGGCAGCTTCCATTAACTGTCTTCTAAAAGATGTTTTGAAGAAGAAGAAATGTTTGGAAACGGAGGTAAGCGACCTTGGTTAAAACAACATTTTTGGTTTGTCCTTCCGATCCACCTTTTCAATACTTCACGTGTTAAGAGTTTAAAACTTAGAGCCAATGTAAGCTTGATATGACTAAGGAAGGAATTCAATTTAGCACTAAAAGTAATATGTGTGAAAGGATGTCGTCTTCACCAAGGGAATTCTATTTCTGCGGAAATTAGAAATTAGTTATTGAAGGAAAATTGATTGCCGTCTTACATATTTTAAAATCTTGTTATAAAATAATCATATTTCCATGATGAATGGATAATGAAAGGTCAGTTGTGGTTTCGATGTAGCCTTTTCCGTGTGAAGGCTGCTTTATTCTCACATTTGTCAAAGAATAATTGGGTAAGGCCAATTAAAGGATATTTGTTGATATTTCCGTTTGTGTCTTTTCAAGCCGAAGCTGACCACTTAACCTAAATCAATTAACAATTTGAGGGAAAGTATGTCAATTATTCATAATGGCATTCTTAACCTACAACAGCTGTCATCAACAATATTATTTTGCTTTTAATGAGATCTATTGTATTCTCCAAACAGAACATGTTAAGCACTTCCAGTTTAGACATTTGCATGTTAGTCTTTGTTTTTGTAGGAAGTAGACTTCCAGGTTATAAATTTATAGTAATGAATATTTATCAAAGCTGTATGGAAATGACAGTATGTGTTAATTATCTATAACAATAGAGATCTTATTTTAAGCTCTCTGACTAAGCTTGTTATGTGTCTTATGTGATAATTGAAAATTTTTAACATTTAAGGGGAACATTCCATTTATATACTACATATTTTGGCCATACATGTTTTTTAGGAATGTTCAGAATTTCTTTTTCCCAATAATGCCTGTCTCTTGCTGAAAAAATTGATCATCTGCTTTCACAATCAGGTTCAAAACATGAACCTAAGTTAATGGTCTATATTAAGCTACCATGGGTTTTCTGTACAGCTTATAGATTGACCATTCAGACTAGCAATTACATGGTCATGGGCCCAACTCCTGTTGGTAGGAAAGGAAGTTACTTTCCAAGTATACCTGTATCAGTGATTGAAAATGTCATTCTATTTGTATTGTTACAATGGTGAACAAAGTATAGTCTGAACCCTCTTACCCAAGACTGACTTGCATCAAATTTCTCTTTCCAATAGCACCCCAGAATCACATCTTAAGGTCTTGAGAATGAAGGAAATGATTACCAACTAAGGATAAAGAAGCTCTTGATTACTGAACAAATTCCCCTTGTCAGTATCTTAGGAAATGTATAGAAAACAGTATGGAAATATATATATATTTATATATATAATATATGCTAATATAAGGGTGTAAGGGGTTAAATCGCAGACCTTGGTGTCTAATTTTCCATTTCCCCATAATTGAGTTTCAGAGTACTAGTATATATGTTAGACATTCTGCATATTGCAAGGATCAGTGGTATTGAAACCATAGTGCATGTAAATAAGAATATGAAAGGATTCTAGCCTGGCCATGTAGTAAAGAAAGGTGTTATTTGTTTCCTCATCCTTAACATCTTTTATTGATTATAAGTAGATTTCAGAAGTATATAATATTGTCTTGAGAACTACCAGTCAGTGAGAGACTTCAATAACCTTATGTGTGTCCTTGGATTACAAGGAATTGCATGTATTTCCATACAATGGCATTGTATTGTTTTTCTGAATAGTTACAAGAGGCCCAGTGTAGAACACCAGATAAGATCCAGGATGTGCTTGACAAAGGTTGCTCAGCAGTGAATGAGGTAAAAAATCTTCAGCAACAACATGAGCAGCTTACATCTAGAGTTGACAACCATCTCAAGAAACTTCACCCCCTAGCAGAGCGTTTGTCCAGTTTAGTAAGTCAAATTGCAGAGGTTGAGAGATTCCGAGCATATGTGAGTTGGATACAGAAGATTGAGTCTGTCAGGTAACTTTCAAGCTTTAATTAATTTTAATTTACATGTGAATAACAAGTATAGTACTCTTCATAACAAGATCTTCTTTATTACTTTTTGAACTGAAATGAGAAAACTTCTTATCAATTGAGCACAATATCTTTTGTATAAGATAGATTGCTTCTAGTTGTAAAGATTAACAGTTCAAATTTATTTCATGATTTAAGTAATTGGTGTTTTTGCCTTTCATAAAGTTGTCAGATTCACCAGTTTGTTGAAGCTGGGCAGTTGAACTGGGCGGTAGAACAGTTGTCAGTGCTGTCTGAGCTTGCACGGTTACTTAGTGAATCAGCGTGCTGTAATTTGACCAAGTTTGTGAAGGAAATGCAGTTACATTGGCAAAACATTCTTCTCAATAAGCTAGCAAGGTGAGTTAAACAAAAAGAACAAGTTGGTCCAAATTTGAACTAATCGCATTGAAAAATTGGAACCTGTCAATCAGCTATGTTCTGACACTTTGATGTTCGCTGATATTTAAATACTTAAAGTTTGAGTTGTTGAGTAAATTTGTGCCAAGTGAATTAAAACTAGTTCAAGTTAGCAGGGAAGTTGAGTTAACCAAGTCTAGGTTAGCCGATAGTAAATGACTGGAAAAATAGGGTCAAACCCAGGGGAAATTCAACCTTGTTCCCTATAAACACAATTAGAGTTAAACTGGGATCCTGTTGCCTGCAGAACAAATGTTCATAATATAATTAAAAGTGATTATTACTTTTCTATTACAGTGAATTTGATGAAATCATGAAAGCTCTAAAATGGCCTTTCACTTCTCTCTCCACTGCACCTCCACTATCCACAACATCAGATGATTACAGCAGACTAGAAACTGTGTTTATACTTTTGCTCAAATTACAACAGTTGTATCCTTTTAAAGCATTATTTTAAGAAGTCCATGCAAATTCAAGTTTTTCTTAGTTAGAGGGTGGTAGCATTAATGTAGCATACAGCTGCACAATTTTATAAACACTGATAACAGACAAGGAAATGATACATGTACATTAATTCCCTGTAGATGGATGCAGACCTCAAGTGACTTGAACAAGAACGGGTCCACATTTTTCAGTATTACCACAAGTTAGGTTTTGATCAAAAGCAGTGATACTATTTGACTATATAATATTTATTTAAGATATTGATATTAGACATGTGTTCTGCTCACTCCTAAATAGAACTGATGTGATCGTCTGTTATTAACAATTAGATATTGGATAAAAATTAAACATGGTTATTATACTTGACTTGAACATTTTACCCTATTTTTCAGCAAAGAAATATCTGCAGGAAATATTTCTCTCAGTAGAAACAAAAGTGACATCCTTCTGCCACTTGACTGGCTTTTGAAGCCTTTTAGAAAGAGATTTCGCTTTCACTTTTATGGGAATAAACAAACAAACAACCCTCAGAAGGTAGTGTATCAAAAAAATTAATTAAGAAATCTATCATGATAAAATGACTTAGAGACAAAATGGTCAAAAACCTAACCGTTAATTGTGGTACATACTGTTAAAGCCATAGCCATTTACTTATTACATGTAGTTACAAGGCTTTTCTTTTTATTGGTTTATTGCAGCTGTAATCATTACCATTACAATTTCCTCAAATGTGATTGGTGCATCACCTGCTTTATATTTCACTAGTCACTCTGTACAAATGTAATCGGACAGTGTAATCGGAGAGTTGGCTGTAATCAGGCACTAGTAATTGGACAGTTGAAGCAGCCAAGCACACTAAGTCCACTCAGCTAAATCCACCAATCACAGAATTGATCACAATAACCATAGCAACAACCCCTTACCCTTAAAAAAAATGGGAAATCTCCAAATTTTTTGCTTTGGACATTGTCCCCACTGGTGATATATGTCCTAAATGTTTTTTTTGTATTTTAATTTGGAAATTGTAATGGTTATGATTAGTTGGTATCAGGACTTTGTGTTGCCCAATTCTGTCTGCAATCATACTGTGATTGACAAATCGGACTCCTGCTTCATGGTCGTCTGATTTTGTTAATCACTTGTATGATTACAGACCAAATTAGTCTCCACTCGGTCCTATTACAATTATTAATAACAGACTTGGGATTTTAAAAGAACAATCCAGTATCTCCCACTTACTAGGAAGGGGGAATATCAAAGCTTTCAAACAAGACTATTATCTGTTCATTAAGCTAATTAAATGTTATTCCATATCAAACAATTACAGTCCTATAACTTTTTAAACGGGAAAGGATGACCCATTATGTGCATTTTTTTGTTCTTTTAGCCTGAGTGGTATTTTACACAAGTTTTAAATTGGATAAAGAATCATAGTGACTTTCTAGAGCACACAATTCAACCCATTCTTCAAAGGACAGAATATGATTTTGTTCATGCCAAGGTAATGTGCACAAGAACCATGCATGTTAGCAATTCAAAAGTGTCTATATAGAACACCAATCATATCTGGGTGTTATTTTTCAAAAACCTGTGTAATAACGAAAACCAATGACTACAAGAGGTAAAAGGTCAAGCAGATCGGGTAGATTTTTTGAACCAGTTAGAGAGAAAATTGGAGAAAAAGCATTGTAAGTAATCTCAGAATACTCAGGACACTAAATTTAAAATTGTTGTTAGTTTTTAGTTTTACTTGATCAGTAAAAATGAAGCTCCTGTTTTTATCAGTCAAATGCCAAATTTTTAAGATGTGTGATTTTGTATAAAAATACCCAATGTAACTGGGTAGTCTTGAAAAACAGACAAGTCTCTACTGATCCTCTATGATTTTCTTTAAATTATTTTCAGACTGAGTTTATATCTGGGCTATTAAACGTTGTGGTGGAGAAGTTGGAGCACAGCATCCAAAGTATAATCGATGATGATGATTCTTTTTCTCACTTTGTCGACGAATTGTTATTATTCAACAAAGAACTTCACATGGCTCACAGTTACAGCTCTACTGAACACAGCTGTTTGCACATCCTAACCACTGAAGCTTGCTTGCAAAGATGGGTAGAGTTAGAAAGAAAATGTTAGTATTGAGCTAAGCTTCAACTTTTAATTTTCTCGAAAAAAAACTTGGTTGGTGCTTACCCAATGAATGCTGAGGTATCACAGTTTCTTTCTTGATGTATTCCACAGATGCTGAGTCAAACATGAATTCAGTTTTGTCCTCCTTATCAGCATGGACACCAAAATACAAAGATGTTAGTGATGTAGATGACACACGAATTCCTGAGTGTGCAGAAGGATTTATGACCCTTCTCTCTGTTATAACAGGTACATGGCCAAGCTAAATATATTCCCAGTCATCTTCTGAATAATAATTGTATCATTGTGCTGTTCAGAGCTTACATGTATGGTTGGATCGGTGGGCATATTTGGTGGTGTAAGCTGAAGCTGTTAAAAAATCAGCCATAAATTTGTAAATGCAAATGATTTGGATCAAATCAAAAGACTGGCATAAGAAAGAACCACAAAATTTTTCTATCTAAGCTTGACCTTTATGGTATATCTGGGAATTCATTAAAATGGTTTCAGTGGTATTTGGAGAACGGTACACAACAGTGCTCAATAAGTCCTAGAACAAACTTAATACTCATTACCAGATGCAAATTATTTCAAAAATAGGTTAACTTATAGTGGCGCCACATTGTAGAGTAGCCTTCCTTGGGGGCTTAGCAGGCGGAATCCCCTGGGTCATTCAAACAAGAAATCAGCAAAGTTCTCAAAGGCATAACATTCATGGAAAGCAGCAATAAAGTGTTAAAAAAATAATTAATAGTTTTTAATCCTTTTGTACATAGCTGATGAATTTCCTGTGATTAAATAATAATGAAAGTATAGTAATAATAATGATGTAATCTTGACCTTTGACTGTCACATTCCAGTTACAAAGTGAGTGAAGCATAGTTGGCATAACTAAAGTGTTGGCTTGTTTTTTTTTTTATGCACAAAGAAAATATTATAAAATCATGAAAATAATTCTCCTTACCATCTGACATACAATTCTTATGATGTTATTTCAGAGGATTTGTATTGAATCAACTTATAATCCTCTAATTGATAATTTTCTTTTTTTCCTCATCACTTGTCCCCTTGGTATTGTATTGATATTATAAGAAAGAATTTTAACTTTGGTCACTTGTGGGAGTTAAAGGGTTAATCATCCATAAGTATCTCTGAATTTAGTTTTTGTTACTGAGACTGTGGTTGAGATGTACCTACCGACATTAAGACTAATATATAGATTTAGCCAAGCCTAAAAGCGGAGCTCGCATTTTTTTTCCCCACACGTCTCAAGGGCACAATGCCTTGCCCCGGCCAGGACTAGAACCTGGGTTGTCCAACTTGGAGCCCAGTGCACTGGCCACTGGACTACTGGACAAAACCATGGCGTTGGCGTGCCTGTGATACAGTTGACCACGCATGTTAAAAGTAGCACCTTGTATGGTCGTACAGTTGTATGGTTGTACATCCAAATTTTTTCAGCTTGATGGGTTACTACTATTTTGTGTAATTATGGGGCTACACTCTGCAAGCTCCGCTATTAAATATATGCATTTCTTAAATAAATAATACCAAATTGAGTTCACTCTCATTTATCTTGTCAACAGATCGATATAGAAAATTACCAAATGTGGAACATCAGGAGCAGTTTCTAGAAGTGCAGTTATTTCTTCTTAAGAGATTTATCTCCAGGTTGATGCTTGAGGCAGAAGAAACAAAATTTTCCCCTGCTGGACCTCATTACTGTTCAGTTCTCAATGCTGCTAATTATGTTAACCTAATACTTCAAGAGTGGAGTGAGCAAATGGTATTTTAATTTTCTTTTATCATTGTATGTGCATAGTGTATTTCAAGAGTGAAGTGGGCAAATGGTGTTTTAGATTTACTCTTATCAATGTATGTGCAGGGTGTATTTCATAGCAGCTTTTCTACTGTAAATACAAATTCTCTTAAACAGCTGTCATTCATGGGGAACCTTTTAATTGTTTTTGTTTCCAGCTTTTCCTTAAACTCTGTGAACATCGCAATCCATCTATTGGCTATGTAAAGTCTGAAGATATGTTTGGCTCCAAAAACCATGTGGGAGATGATGAAGAACAGGGGATTCCTTATATGAAAAGTGTATTTGAAGAAGTAACACAATCTTTACAAGATTTAAAGGAACATATGATCAGTGATCTTGTAGAGCATGTTGTAAAAGGATTTAGGACACTGAGCAAACCCTACAAAAAAGAGAAGTAAGTCTGACACGTTGATTGAATGTTGTATAAACCATAAGCTCTATTGAAACAAATGTTTGAAGAAGAGGTGTACAACTTAGTGTCACTATCACAGCAGCAATGTTGTGGTAGCTTGCTGCCTTTGCATTAGACTCTGTGCATGCCCAAAGTCCATTGCAGAGGCAGCAATTGCAGACCATAACATTGCATGTGTGTGTTGTTTTTTGTTTACTTACATTGCAGTTGTTGTATGCATGTAGTGTTTGGTTGTGCCTGTTGCCATTGCAATCGACTGTAAGCATACACACAGCTTGATTGCTACAGCTAAACTGCATGAAGTACACATCTCTGGGAAATTATTGGAACAATAACCTTAGACAGATATCAAACCCACACCCCTTATAGTGTGGACTTAATGTACTAACTATTGAATTAACAACATGTTTCAGTTAATGAAATTTCCTTGCACAAGCACCTAATAATTCTCAGATTTGTCAAAATAAGGAATGTTAGAGAATCTCTTCAATAACCTTTTACCTTTTTGTGCAATCTCAGAGTGAGGAGTATGTTAATTCACAGAGGATGCATCTAAACTTTTTCACTGTGATTTACTTTACAGGTGGCATGCATTTCCCTCTCCAAAGGATGTTATTCTCATGACCCTGTCATCATCAGCATGTGAGATGTTATTGTTCTTAAAGGGAAGGTTTCAAATTCTGCAGGAACAGCTGGCAAGCACTATTTTCAGTGCAATATGGAAAGATCTTGCAAAGGCTCTAAACAAGTTTATATATGATGAGGTAGGGAATTTTTTGTACAATAGATTTTGGCAGAATCATAGGCAAACCATATATCAAACATTGAACCTTATAGGGTTTTTTTGTTCCAAAACTTTTCCCAAAAGCACTTTTGAAGTTAATCTTCTAGAGCAAGGTATGGTTTGTGCCCAGTGAATTTTATGGTATCTAGACAAGCTTAAGATAAAAGTATTTTTCCTTCTAAGAACTATCAGTGGTGTTTTACAAGGATTATATTTCCACAGATTATCCTGGAGTGTCATTTCAATGAAGGAGGTGCAGCGCAGTTACAGTTTGACCTCACAAAGAATCTTTTCACATTATTTTTGGAATACACACAGAAACCAGAGAATTTCTTTAAAGAGTAAGTTACTAAAAGCATGGCCCTCTTAATTGAATTACTAACATTAAGCAACTGCTTGCGGTTAAAGTAAAGTAATTCAGCATTGATTAAATACTAGAGCTGATTACAGTGTGGACAGGTGATTTCAAAAGGTGGCTCATGATACCCAGGAGCCTGTCTACTTAAGGGTAACTTGTAATCACAAGATACCATATTCATGTTGGGATTTCAAACTCTTTGCTTTGCTTTGGAACAAACTTTCTACTTCTTGAGTAATAATTATTGGATTTTAGCATTTGTCAGCTTGGTTTTATTTGACTCAGCCCTGGGAAATAGAAGCATCATGCCTCATGGTTTGAGAATGAACTTGAAGAGTTACTTCATCAGTCACTTTTGGCAATTTTTTTTAGTGGACACTTTTAAAATGGTTGACTACTTTACTTATCCAGGGTCAAGGAAGCCTGTATCTTGTTAAATCTCTTGCCTGGATCTGCAGTATTGCTGAGGGATTTGCTCAAGTCTTCAGGGAGTGACAACAGTGAAGAAGGCATTTGTCCAGCAAGTGCTGCATTACAAGACATTGGGGTGTATAGATTAACGTCAGCAGATGCACTGAAAATTATCAACCTTAGAGTGCATTTGCCAAGTGTATAACACTTGGCTTTCAAACATATTCAGAGGAAATTTGTCTTGTTTGAAAATATCCATACCAAGAGATATCTCTTGCTCCATATCCATTTCTGGGAGAATTTGCCTGGTTTGAACTACACAAACCCCCCCCTCTCTCCCCCCTCTCCCCCCTCTCCCCTCCCACCCTCTCCCCCCCTCTCTCCCCCCTAGGGTTACATAGAAGCTAAATGAGCCCATGTTAAGACAATATCAAAGAAGAGGTTAAAGTTTACACTAAAAAGTGCCTTTGAGCCATCTGTTATATTGATATTTATTGTAAAACAAACATTTAAAAAAATTATTTTTATTGTATCTCAATTCACATACAAAGGTAATCTTGTGTCATGTTCCCTTATTAGTGAGCCACAAGGAAAGTAACCAAAAAATATTAAGGGAAACTATTTTCAATTTGTTATTACACAAGACTAATTTATGGCTTGACTATAAAATTATGAATTGAATTGAAATAAATTACATTAAGTCCATATTAGATAGAAATTAGTAAATATGTCCAGCCAAAATGTCAAAAACTGTTTTCAGATTAAGAGATTTTTAAAGAGATGTTTGTATTGTAAAACTACATGTATGAACAAGCTAATGTATCCAGAAATTATTCCTGTAAATTTGCAAATTTAAATTAAATTTATGTGTGCAATAAAGATTATTTTGCATTTCATATGACAGTCTTATTTGGAGGTTAATTTTTGACATGTTAATAATTTTTATTTGAATAATACTTTACTCATTTCAAAATCTGTATATATTTTTTACAAAGTACATGATCACACTTCACCTTGCTTTTTCAGTATAATTTTCTCTAAATAATAGTGAAAAATTGACTGTCAGTGATGATAAGTTCTCTATGAGCCATGAAGCCAACATGAGCTTCTTAATGGGTTTAATTAATAAGAGTTTGTTTAATCATTCTTCAAATTGGTGCGGTAATTTTTAAAATGATCATCTTCCATTCTTTCATTACATCAGATTACTCTACAAGTCCAAGACTTTTAAGAATATGGGAAACAGTACTTGTCCTCAGAACCTCCATGGCAGATGCAATACTGAACTTGTCTGTAGCTATTAGCACTGCCACTGGTACCACTTGATCCATTACAGTTCCTCTGGCTACATGCTCAGAAATCTGTAGATTGAGAACATCATCAATGGAATCTCTTCTGTATATTGCCTTGAGAACAGCATGCAAAGCACATTTCTGATCGACTCTGGCAAAAGTAGAAACTATAGATATGGCTCGATGGAACAACTTGTTGTTACTAACTTTTACATCAATCATGAGACCTCTTATGACCTTGCCTTTCAACACATGGGCTCCTGTTGAAATTGCATTAAGAATCCACTTGATAGAAATCTCCTGAAGACACTGGTTTAAAAAATCAGTGAGTAATATTGGAGTTGATGGACCCTCTTCATTGATGCATCCTGATGAATGATTTCCCTCCACATGAATGCAACTCTTGAAAAGGTTACTTAATTCACTTTCTTTCTGAAAAATAATGCCAATTAACTGTGTGCCTTTCTCTTTGATCAGATGGATCAATTGGGTAACTTCCTGAACGACCTTGTTGTCAGGCAAAATAAATACTACTGTGTCATGTAAAGTTAGTTCAGGCAAAAAATTGCTTTGAAAATCCTCCAATGAAATACAAAGCTTTTTGGATTCAGTAAGCATTAGCTCTCCTTCCCTGTTGTTAAGAGTACTGTACCCTTCCTCTATGAAGCCTCTCACATCATCAAAGTTAGCACTAAATGTAGGGACACACTCAGAGGCATCCAAAAGACCCATAAATCCTTTTAATCCCCATCCAATATAGAATACATGGCCATTAGACTTGAGGCTCTTAGCAGCCAGCTCAATGGCACAAGCAATGCTGGAACAACTCAAGTAAGTTCTTCTGTACATGTTCTCATACATCAGGAGAATTTCAGTCAGTCTGTTAAGCACTGATCTTGGCTGGGATATAGAGGCATGTGCTTTAAGTAAAATAGACTCCAAAAGTATCTTGGTGGCACTTCCTCCCTTCATACGTGAGGACCCTGTAATAGCCTCTGGGCCAACAACTGGATTAAGAATGATTCCTTTGCCATAGTCTGTGAACACAATGAGCAAATTTGATCAATACTATAACACAACAGGACTAACTAGTTGTCCAAAAGAGCTGTAGACATTTTTGTCTTGATGTGTTTTAGTAAATAAAGTTCAGTTTGGGAGAAGTATACAATCCTTCACATTTCAGTTTAACTCTTTGAAACTAAGAGTGACTGGCATCTAAGTTATCCCTACAATATCATTCCTGAATCAAACATGAAGGTCACAAAAATAAAGGAAAGGATCACCAACAAAAGCAGCTATTAATTTTTAAACAAATTCTCCACATCAGTGTCTTAGAAAATGTAGAGAGAACAGTATGGAGAATATGCATATTGATGTTAGGGTGTAGAGGGTGAAGCCTATAAACTCCACAACACAAGTACAATGCCTTGGCAGTGCAATACTACATTGTGTGAGCTAAAAATTGACAAGGTGAATGCATTGCTTCAGTTTACAAGGTAAATGTAGTTTCTTCAACTGTTTTAAGGCGTTCAGAAGGAGAGCTAGAGGATAAGATTTTTTAGGCAGTACCATTTAAAACCATGGCGGAAATCTCCTCACCTTCTAACGCATTAGCAACATCAAAAAATGACTTATCCCATTGTTCTATTGGGTTTTTCCTTGCCTGATGTACAGGATTGAATCCCAAAAGAACAGGAATGAAGGTATCACGGTGTCTCATGCAGTGGTCTAACTGTCCAGCAACATAAGGTGCAGAAAGACCACATGTTATACCGATAAATAGTACTTGTTTTTTACTGCGAGACAAGTGTATTAAATCTTCTTCGCCTCTTTTCCAGTCATCTTCTGGCGCTTCTTGTGATGTAAACAGGGCAATGTCTCCCCCTGCGATAAGATAATCGTAACACGCTGAGATCTGCTGAGCTTCGGCTAGCTGGGAAAATTTATGAGCCAGAAAATAGGCAAGCCTTCCAGATGTACCACAACCGCTGATAACTATGGCTTTGTCTCCACTGCTGTCTCGTAAAATCTCCTTTGCTTTCTCTGCTACTTTATCCATCGCTTCGATGGTGTTCTCGTCAAGGACACTTGGAAAGTCTTTCCAGCCTAAGAATATCTGTGCGTCGCATTGGCGAAGAGTTCTTGCAATGTCAGTTGCAGTGCCAACATCGATGTCAATTGTAAGCTCATTTCGGAGTTCAGTGATTGGTGTTGTAGCGTCTTTGGGATATTTCTTTTTGGCACTCATCCTTACTTATTGAAGATTTTTATTAAAGATCTCCCTAACATGCAACGGAACGATTGAAAAGGATATCTACTGTTACCTACTGCCTATAAGTAGTACTACCCGTCCGGGATTGGGACCTCGACTTCTATCCCAGGGATCATTTCGAGCACATACAGCACAGCGGCCATCTTGGAACATCGTTTACCCGTCTCGTCGGAGGTATTATCGCAAAATGGCAGCTAGAAGGATTGGGAAGTATGTACCAGATTGGGTTAAGCTGGCAACAAAATGCCCCGAGGCAGAAAGACCACATTACAATAGATTGAGGACCAATTTTGAGAATATAAAAACGCAGTAAGTTGTTATAACAAATGCAATATATCTCCTGTAACTTTAGTAGCATGAGGCGCATTGAACAAGCTTTAAAGAATTAAGTTGACATCGGCGGTAGTTAGTTTTAGAAGAAGCAGGAAGACCTACAACTTTTGATCGTTGTGTTAATTTTTATTCTGTAACACTACATACCGTTGCAAACAGGCCATTATGACATTACCATGTTCATGTACAATTTACAATATTGGTAGATTGACTGAGCCTTGGCATATATGATATTCCCTTGAGATCACAGTGACTTTCTTTCATTTTGTTTGTTTGGATCTTAGTTACCCAATTTTTATGTGGTGCGTTCCTCTTGATGGGAAAACATAATTATATAGTTTCCTCTTTTACTATGCATCATCATAGAAATATTGGGGGGTGGTTGTTAGCTTACAGTGGTAGAATTCCAATGCAGACAGCAATAGACATTATTACTGAAAGTTAGCAACCAAAACAGATGAATTTCATCCTAGTTTTTTAATTTTTGTAAGCTAATATTATTGAAGTGGAGGGAGGACAGTGCTAAAATGTTGTTAAAATCCAAAAAATGTATCAGATGTTATATATGAAAGATTGTTAGAGTTTGTCACAAACCATTTCGAGAGGAATTTTTCCAAAATTGCAAAAAAAAATAAAATAAAATCCAGAGAACACATTTGTTGAATCGAGAGATCTGTTTTGGTTGCTTGATGTTCCCTTATGATCAGTGTAAAACTGAGACCTGAATTCAAAGGAAGGACCACAGGGTACCAAAATAGGTGCAAGACATTGACTATAGCTGTTTTTATCTGCCATGGTCTTTATTCCATCACATGTCAATTCCCTGAACACAAAATGCCCTTTATCACTGACTTCAAACAAAGAATACAAAGTTCAGAATGATGTTACTGTTATAGAATGGAGTTTTGATTTTGGTTGTTGCTGATTAAATGTTCTCTCTTTTGACCCCACAGACTGGATGGAGTTGCACCCAAACCAGAGCCAATTAACTGGGACCTGTATGCCAAGAACATATCTAAACCAGGAATGGTTGAAGCTTTCAAGAAGGCTGTAAGTTACATGTAAATCAGTGTGCAGAGTTTGAGATTTTGCTAAGGATATAATCTGGTTCATCCAAATTTCCAAGCCCTGGATATTAGCCATCCTCAGGAATACTTTTCTTCATCTCTTGCTTGATTGACTGACTTACTAGGTGGTTAATTAACTGTTTGTTTTGCAGTATGGTGCAGTTACTGTACCCTACCCAATTGATACACTCACATCAAAAATAAATGAGGCAGAGAAAGAGATGGTAAGTAGTGAAAATATAAACAAATCTGGATACTTAGGGTAGGCAAATTCTAATGTTTTGTTTTTTTGGTTCTGTGAATTCTTGCCACTTCTAGTTTTATGGGAATTACCAAATGATACAGATTGAAGCCATGATGACAGTTTGCTTGAATATGAAAAAAATTAAGTTTTAATTGGATGGGACTTCTCTTTGTTCAAAATCATATTTGTGGGCTTGTGGGGGGTGGGGAATCAATCTTTGGGCATAATGATTTTGTACTCAATGTAAGGTCTTTTCAAGGTAATCAGGGAAGGAGAAATTGCTTAGGACATAATCCTGTTGTGTAGTCTTGCCTTATTTTGTTTTGTACTGTTTTTGTTTTATTTTTGTTGTTGTTGTTGTTGATGTCGTCTAACTGTTTTCCCATTGTCTGCTCTCATGATTAAAATAAAAGTCCGGTACTATTACAGTAACTGTATGTTTAAAGGCTGTTATCTTTCATATAATTTGAATAGCAGAGATATTTTGTGGCAAGCGAGTGTTAAATATTGCAATGAAATATGAAAGTCACTGGATTGAATCAGCAAGAACAAGGAGAGCCTGAAGGAAACAAATCAGTGTAAGGGAAAGGGGTATGGAAGAATTGAAAGTCCATCATTCTTGCTGAAACCTTCATCAAACATTTTTCAAAAAGTCCAGCCTTTCCTTAGTCATAGAAATCGAATATAGTGGCTTCAATTGGAATATTTAGTCATCACTTTCTCAACAATGTTTGTGCTAAGAAAGTTGTCATCATTAATATTATTTTTATTATTTACATCATTACCAATTTTTATAAAGTTTGTTTCATAGTTTACTCAGTTTCCTGTACTATTCATTTGACAGGAAACGTTGGCTAAGGAATCTATAGAGGAAGCAAATGAAGCTATTGCTCTGTGTGAAGCTGAGGTATCTCAGCAAGTATTTTAATATACTCTTTGTCTGTTACCAGAAAGAACAATTGTCAATTAACATAAGATATAAATTTCCTAACAATCTCCAAAAAGTGGTATTTTAGTAGTGCTGCAGTGGAAAAGGAGGGAAATCATGTTACATTTTAAGTAAAAAACCAAACAAATATTTCCCCCCAAACTAAAATTCAAGCATATGAGTCTCAAGGACAATGGAAATTTAATTCAAGTAGGTATACTTTACATAGTAATGTAGGCCCTCCTTCAAGATAGGTTTCATGATGACTTCAACATATTTTTTTATTCTAATCTTCAGCTTGCAAAAATCAGGAGCATGAAACCCTATGAGGAGATGTCTGTAAGTACAGTAATTGTAAATCACCAGGGTTTTCTTCTCTCAGCTGTAAACAATTTGTTACATTAAATTTTAGTTCACAGTTGAAAGAATTCCAGATAGGGGTGATAAACTAAGTAGAATAGAGTTACGCTCTGTTTCAGCAGCTTTCTCAGATCCAGATTTTGGGAAGAAAGTGAGCTCATTTTATAGCCCTGTATATTGCGCCTTGTCATATTATGTAAATTGAAGTGTTTTTCAAGGATCTCCAGCCTTGAGAAAAAAGCTGTAACTGCACATGTGTATAATTATGATAATTGTTTATGTGTGTTTGATATTGCCAGTCATCTGCTGACATGTAACTGGCCTTTCATGCCTCTATGTTAGGTTCATGAATTCCACTCGATATCTCACTTATTCACTTCACTCACTAGTGAAATATCAAGCTGAACACTCAAAGAAAATTTCCATATTTATGGACACCCATGTATTATCTTCTATTCACCTAATATGAAAAAACTTACAATAATATTTCATTTCCACATTTTGGAGGGGAAGAGGCATAATTTTTTATTTTACAACATTGTTGATACTAAGCATGCTAACTATATCTATATTTATTGTAAATATATTATCATTATCACTATCAGTTATTATTATTATTATTATTATTATTATTATTGTTATTTTTCTTTGTTTTTGCTCATAGATTGATGAGTTTTTAGATCTCCATCCAGAGGTCAAGAAATTTGTAGATGAAAAAATGCAAAGTGGTGAATGGCCGGACAGGACTCTGTGATGGTTGGCTTGAATTGGGTGTTCATGATTTCTGACTCTTGCCATTTACAACTGTTATTGTTCAAAAGGGAATGTGAACTGAGTTTGTATTTTTGTTATTGATCGCAAGTAAAGCTGGTGTGGTAATTTACATATGGTTTGTTCCTAGATGTATTCCAGTTGGCACGTTCAGTAGCGGTTGAATCTGATAATCTGACGATCTGAATCTTGAGACAATTATAGAATCTCTATCTATTTATAAAGTGCAGTACACTCTCGATCACTCAAACTGTTGCAAATTTAAACCTCAGCTCACTCCAGCCAAAATCGGTTTGGTGTGGAGTTCTCTCATATATTTCCATAACTGTATCCTCTTTAACTCGAACCCTCAATGACTTGAACTCCCATTAACTCAAACCCGTTTCATATCCCTCCAGGACATTTTTCGGCATGAATTTACTCTCTTAACTCGAACCATGTTTGTCATAAGCGGACAAGTCAAAACAAGCAGTGCTGCAGTCCAAAATATTGAATGACTTTGAGGTAGCAGAGTCTTTGTCTGATCTCCTTCTTTTTGGCTTTGCACAAAACCAGAAAGTCCAACTTTGTTTTAGATAGGATGAGGTTCATTCAAATCCGACGTCGTGTATCTTATAACTGTGAAAACTAGTGACGTTCCATTTTCACTCGACGGGTTTATTTCGTGGAACGTGCAGCACAGGCCATGGAGACTTGATGGGCATCTTCACAACATCTTGACGACAGTGAAGACGCCAATCCCCAAGCTGAAATGGCGTTTTACAGTGAAACACCTACCTTAAGCATTCACAGAAGGATGAAATACACATATGTAAAATTTTTTGGTGGAGATAACTGATAAAATGTGAAAAATTGAAACGGAGAAAAAATTGCTTAAAAAACCTTTATCAGAATGGACCTCTTCCCACCGAGCAGAACATTACCAGGCACATTACAATATTGTTGGTTGAGGCGATAATTATAATTGCCTCGACTGATGAAAGGCTGTGAACTTAACGAAATAGCAAAATCATGCTTAAAAACCATATAAAGAACACTCACATACGTTTTATTTCATTCAATTTTGGCTTACCCATTTCTTCGTGTATGGTCTGATTCCATATTTTACTGCCAAACTGCAAGATGTGCAATATGATGCGGCTTCTTTCAGACCCGAGAGAGGGTCAGGACAGCAGTAAAGTTTCCGACAGTTTACCTCAGACACAGGCCTGGCGCACGTTAGTGCGCTCTTGTTTGAAAACGTGTATAGTATTTATTCGATTAAACGCCGCTCTCGAATAAGCGCTGCATTTTAGAGCAGAAACATTAATAAACGCCGCATGATGATGCGTTTATTCGAATAATAGACTCGAAAAGCACACAGCGCGATTATTGCTTCGATCTCAGCTGGAAATTTTGAGTGAACCAGACACAAATCCTTTTGAATGTACTAGTCCTGATATCGAGGAATCATATCCGACTAAAGATCTCTATACACCTGATGTATTGCAGTAGTATTAACATGCAAATTGTGAAATTGAGAACAATATAAAAGAATTTCTTTTAAGACAAGCACTAAAACAGGTTTCTGTTTGAAATTAAAATGGTCGGTTACCATACTATCGTTTGGATTTTAAATAAACGCCTCCCAGGTATAAACGTCGCCCTCGAATAAACGCCGCACTCGAAACACGAAGAATTTGATAAACGCTGCGGCGTTCAATCGAAGAAGTACGGCACCCTTTGATGCGTTTTCTCCCCAAAAAGGTTTTCGGTACAGTTTCATTCGACGGAATTTAAAAACGCATCTTTTTGATAACGTCTCGCCTCTAATTCTAAAATAGACAGGTGAAAACAGAGTTGTCCTAGGACGTCGCTACCATCAGCGTTTTAACTTCTTGGTGCTAACGAAAGACAAAAACAACAAAAAAACGAAGTGAGGTGGACAATATTTCGCTTCTTTTTGATACAGATGAAAAACAGTACTTAAAAAAAAAAGATTCAGTGAAGCAGGATCCTACTGAAGATTTGTTTGAAATTTTGGTACATTGAATAGGGGAGACTTTGTATTTTAATTCTTATCAAGACCTGTTTTACTGGCGCCGTGAAGGTAAATGAGAGTCGTCAAACGACAGAAACCCGATCATCTTCGTCAATTCTGACAGCAAGACGCTAATACAACCTTTCATTAATTAGGTTGGGAGAGGATTCAGCTCGTGCACTCTCAAACATAAACCTTGGACTGGATTCTGAGTCATGTTGGAACTCTGCAGCTAATTTCAAGTGCCTTATCGGTGTTAATCGTGAAATAAGAGCAGCAACCAGACCCCTCAATAACCTCACGCTCGAATCCCTTTGGCTTATCCGATTGTGTCGTGACGCTTATAATGCTTATAAGAGCCAGCTCGCAGGCTAGGAAGAACTTCAAAAAAATTATTTCCTAGTTTATTTGATAATCTTAGCTGGAATTGAATGTCGCTTCTCTGCTGTGAGGTAAAGGGTTTTGAGTTTTCGTAGATAATCCCGATTTTCAGCAATGACTAAAGAGGTCAGCTTTAAGACTCTTACAAAGTAATTAAATTTTGTACGGTGTTGCCTGGTTGCAAAGACAGATAAATAAATAAATAAATAAATAAATAATAACAAATCTTATCGCCGTTGTCCGGCTTGGCTTTTGTCTTTTCACTTCAGACAATCACCTTAGCGGGTTGATTTATGCCGAAGCAGGAAAGACGTCACAACCGTGCACGCAACATTTATTTTTAACAGTAACATCTTATTGCTGGAATGAAGGCGGATGGCGTAGTTAAGAATGATAAAATCTAAATATCCAAATACCACATAGGAGAAAAGAAAGTTATTTAAGAATTCTTTGAATAGATTTCAAGATTTCGTGTCCCTTTTCGTCGCGTCGGATTCCGGTAGATTTGATTAAATAGCCACTTCCGTTTTCCAACCTAGTTGCGAAAAATTAAAAGCATTTTATTTTTTCCACCGTGTGCAGAGAAACTAAGAGAAAACAACTTTTCAGCCGTAGACTCAGGTAAATAGTTAATACTTTATTTAAATGAAAGAGGGATAACCTTTCGAAATCATTCGCCACCTGATGACCGGTCACTGATTACTTATGATTCAGCCCTCTCGTCTGACGAGAGCAGGCTTGAGTGTCGAACGCGGTTGCTTCTTTGGCACTCACTAAATAAGCCTCACGAAAAAAGAACGGCTAAACAAAGAGCATCGGTTGCCGCCAGCTTCAAAGCTAACTACAATTCTGGAGCACACTTTCAAATTACCCATTGTTTTGAAAGTTGTTTCAAGTCACGTTTTTTTTGGCACTCTTCTGGTTCTCATTTGGCGGGCATCGTTTATAAGCAGAAAATCTAAGGATTATTGTTTTAATGGAAAGTCCTTATTCGTCTCAGAATTAAAAATTATTGACATTAGAATTTCAGACATGAAGAAATTTCTGAGGAAGGAAGGTTTCGTCATGATATAGAATTTATGACGGATGTGTTCGTCTTGTGTTCACGTCCTATTGTTGCATAGCGTGCATGGCTGAAATCTGTGAAATATTCCATAGTGCATAATCTTTTATTCTATTTTATGTTTTATGTACCCATGAGTGCATCTTTCGCGTTGACATTACCTCCCTCCCTCCCTCCTTAACTTTTTTCGTATTATTATTATTATTATTTTTCTTTTTTTTTAAGATCAAATTCAGTGTAATAGCATCACTATAATGGGGTTCTTAATCCTATTGCTTATACCACTTACAACTCTTAGCCTATTAAAAGATATTCCCGTCCTTCATGATGTTTCCAAACTCACGTCAAGAGATCTAAAGTATTTCGCCACTCTCATGAATGTCAAAGGTTAATTTGGATTTCGAAGGTTCCAGTCGATCCTGCTACGTATGACAAAAATTTCCTAGCCCCTCTCCCCCAGGGAGATCAGAGTTTACCGACAGGAACCAAAACAGACGGCCCGTAAGAATTCTCATTGGAGTATTAATTTTGATCCTTTGTAGTGGCACAGCTTGGCAAACGGATAACAGCATGGTGCACGATCGAGGTGGGAATGCAAAAGCTAAAAATAAGAAGAAGAACGGCGAAGTTCGAAGATCCAGGTTAAGTATGTTCGATTCGGTAAGATCGTCGTCGAGCGCTGTTCTGTCGCAGAGTTCTTCAGGTGGAGATGACACAGGTTAGATTGCTGTTTCCTTTATTAGCGGACTTTTGTGGTTAATGTTAAAGTGAAGTCATTTGTTCCAAACAAAGGTGAGCTTTCTGAGGTATTCTGCTGGAGCAAACACGCGATTAGATTGTAGACCATGTGAAACAAGCAAAATATATTTAAAGCGCGCTTTTAGCGTAACTCCTGCGATCTTTACGCAACTTTTTTTTTTCTAAATGAAAACATTTTGTGACCGTAGAATTTGATGTCGACGAAGAACTACCCGACGATGAAGAAATCGAAAGAAGATTTTCGACGTTATTGGTAAGTTGGAATTCAACTTAATTCCAAAGTATTCGAGAGTTTCGATAGGTTATATTTGTGCGGTGCACGAAAGGTAAACAACTGCTGATTACTTTGTCAACTTTTTAATGCTTTGCCCTGTCCTTCTTGTAGGAAAAGATGACATTACCTCCAGAAAGAGCTGCGGAGCTCGCTAAAAGTCCGAAGGCTCACAAATGGAAAATGATCAAAGCAAAGGTATCCAGATTTTTCCTTCTTATTTAATGTTCCGATGGCAACACAATATTTGATCACTTAGCGAGTCAGACTCAAGCGTTTTAAATTAGTTCAGAAGGTTAAAATTTGAACCCAGTTTTGAAAACTTACGGGAATATGTGTTTGATATTGCCTGTAAAAAGGCTTGGTAAAATTATTTTGAAAAGTCTTTATTTTATGTCTGGGACGCCTAACATGGCATCCATAACACGTACGTCAGTCGAAAGTGACATATTATCGATGTTGGTATTAAACTTTAATTAATCCTTTTGTCGCTACAGAGAATAAAACTACAATAGGATCTGATTGCTTGGATTATAGTCGTGGCTTTTCCCACGGTTTCCCCGTCATTTATTTTACTTTGAATGCTGAGAAACTGGGGTATAAATTGATATCTTTGCGCCGTGCAATAAATGTCATCGGAAACCAGTAAAAAATTTTATTGTTTGACTTTGCTATAAATATCCTGCGGTTAATATTGAAAGAGAGTCTAATTGGGAAGTTTGCAGGTGGCACAGAATAAAATTCGTGTTTTATAGCAAAAAAGGGTTGCAACGAAGTTCCTAGCTCGTTTGGTCGCTAATACTGTAAGTTTTCGAAATACTTTGAGCTTCTGATCTTTCTTTTGTGACTCCTAAGTGTACTTAAATGAAACATTGTAATTAATTAATGCAGAACCTTAGTAACAACTAAAACTGTTGGCTTTCAGTTGATGACGAGGAATATTTGAAAGGTCTGTCAAAAAGTTAAGGAACAAAAGTTTTTCATCTGAGTCATTCTAATGTTATAAAGAAAAAGCAAGCTGCTAATTATTTGCTGTAAATTTACAAAAGAGAAAAATTCTATTCCCAATGTATTTTAGATGAAGTGCCTAATTTTTTGAACATCATTTTACATACTTTACCAATCTTTTCAAATTGTTGAAGCTTATTTGTACACACTTGCTGGTAATTTGATCTTCAGATAAAATCTGCCATTTTCTAAGACAAAATACTTTTTCAGGAAAGTATACACCTGTAACTACAAATGTTAAATACTCCTTTAAAAAAAAATTGTGCTCAGAGATTAATGATTTAACTTAAAACATGCATATGGGTACTGTAGAGTGGTATGAGCTATGAACACCTGCCAGAGCACCACATGTTATCCAGTATTAGACCTGTCATGCATGTTTTGTTGTAACTTCTAGACTCCCTGATCTAGAGGGGTATTTACAGGGCTGTTAAAACCCTGATGGAGCAAAGGACAAATATGTATCTACCTTGTCAGTACCTCATTTAAGATAGAGGATAAATTTTCATTAATCTTTTTTTTCCCTGATTTTAAAACTCCAACTTAAGTAAGATTTATATATGTATACCTTAGCTGTGCAGAAGAGAGTGGCAGTCAATGCCATAAACCTATTCCTCAGTGGCACACCACCAAACTGGCCATACTTGATGAGAAAGTGTTATTATTTTTTTTATGAAACAAAGGAAAGAGCTCTGATAATATATTGAACGTATGTAAGCTCAGTTTCATTAAAAAACATAAGCTCTACATAATGAAAACATGCAGCTCACTGCGTGGCCACCAACTTGGCAACTCAAGTTGCTAATTAATTTCTCTCCCAAATTTTTTCCACAATAACCTTGTCAACTGAAAGAGTGATAATATGACTTGCTGAAAATATCTTTGTTTAGAAGCAGAGCTCTCAAGTTTATTTTCTGGCAAAGAGTGAGATTTTTATTGTATACTTTGATTGATTGATTGCCACAGCAGGTATCACCTTCCTGGTTGTTATGGGGGCATGCTCCCTAGAAAATTGTAAAAACTATAGTAGCTCAGACATGCATTTCTTTGTTCTGAACAATAAATTCCATTGGTGGAAAGTGCTTAAAACAAATACAAGGGACACAAGAGTAGATAATATTCAAATAGTACTTACTGAACTGAAGCAGAATTTTGCTACCTCAAAATCAATAGTTAAAATCAGAAACCAAAATGTGCAAGAAATAATATTGAAGATTGACCTCATTTGTGGGAGACTTGAGAGCTCTGTATAAAAGGTATCTGTAACCTTATATTTATTCAAGTGAATGATACAAACTGTTCAATATATTTTTCCTGTGCCATTGAGGTTCAATATGATTAACCACAGATATGAATTTATCCTGTTTTTTATAGGAATTAATGCAGCCCAAGTATACTTCAGGATTTTATATTGATCAGTTAAAATCCCACAGGGATATAGCACTCAATAAAACACTGAACAAGAAACTCCTGAAGGGTTTGGAGCCTGTAGAAATGGTGCTAAGATCCCTGGAAGTGGACCTCCGCACCCATCCAAACACAACGTAAGCAATTTTGTAATGAAATAGAAGTTGTACAAGCCACAATTTTTTTATTGTTGATGGAGATTAATATACATGAAAGGAACATAAGATATTGGATGTGCGACCAGAATGGCTTCAAATTATTAAAACTTTTCATTCACATATTTGATGTCATCTACTGTAATAACTACACATTAGACTTCCTATGAAAAATCTGACTGGTTGAGAGTATTCAGTAAATATGTAATAATTTTTTAATTTGACATGACAAATGTTATATCTGGAGCAGATATTGCATTATCATATCAAGTTCAAAGCCTGCATAGTTTCCAAGCCCTCTGTATGTGTAGCGTTCTCAAACTTTTAATTAGAGTCTTCTTAAATTGCCGATTGTTTAAAAAGTGTATGATAAAAAATTATTCAGTTTGGCTTTTACTGATACAATGAATTATCAAACCTCATGTCAAGTTATCTCCCTCAGCCTTTGATTTCTGCAGATCACTCAGACCTCAGTTTTGTTAATTCATGATGTGATATGCAATTTCATCCAATAATTCTTAATATTGAGGTACAATAGCTAGTTATGAAATGCCCTCTTTTTCAGGCTGGATAATAATAAATTCAGCAGGGACACTTGCCCCCACTACACTCTTCATTTACTTTTATAATCTATTTGATTTGATTTCTTTCTTCCAGATGGCTGCGTGAATTTATCGATGATCCATTCAGGGGTCACATTGCATTGATTGAATTCCTCCAGTACCTTCACTTAAATCAACCACCAGCAGAAGATGAAGATGTACCAAAGAGGAAGGGAAAACCAGATGTTTTGGCTAGAGACTATGTAAGTGTAAAATGTTTTCTAAGATGTAGTTTAGTTTTGAATTGTCATTGCTCTTGTTAGATAATAAAGGACCATCAGTAGTGAGTTAGTCAATGATTTATTAATGATGGGTATGGCATTTATTATTGCAGTAAGTTGTTTTTTGATGTGAGGGAAGTTAGTGCAAAGTGTTGCTTGATTTTGTAATCACTCTTCTTCTCATTGTTTCATTCATTCATTCATTCATTCATTTCCTTGTCTCTTATTTACTCATTTATTCATTAAACTCTACACCTTACAGAAAAGTCTAATGTTTTGCTTCCTTTCAGATCGATGAACATCTCTGTCTGATGTGTATGAGAGTTTTGATGAGAAACAAGGTATGTCCAAAATGTTATGGAACTTTCTACTTTTCTGCAAAGTGCAATCCCTCCACAAATTAGTCAGGCTTGGTAGTTTTAATATAATTGAGCCATTGTATTATACCATGACACATATTAGCTTTGTAACTCAAACTTTCAAAAGTTTTCATAGGTTTTTATCAATGGTGTTACTATTTTCACTGATTGGTCAAAATCTTTCTCTTGAGTTTTATGAGTTGTACTTCTAAACCCATGGCAATTTTTTTGAAGGGAATATATTAGGGTAAATTTCTGTTAGATTACTCTTGGTGTTAGATTCCACTTGGAATGTGGGAGGAAAGTTTTAAAGTTTGTAAACCACCTGCCTTTGCATTGTCATTTAACAAACTTTCCCAATTGTATTTTTTTGACATTCCATGTGGATTATTACCAATACAAAGTTAAATTAATTTTATTGGTTGATTCACCATTATTGCCTGACTCCTGAATATTTTATTTTAATAACATTTGATTTTCTTTTTGCAGTATGGCTTTCAGTCAGTGATGAGTGTGGATGATTGCCTAAAATCTATCATCCTCTGTTTAAATATAAAAAGTTTAAAAACCCAGGCACTGGTTGTGAAGGTATGGAACTACACATTTTGCGCCCATTTATTTAACAACATAATAGTTTGGATGCCATCAGTTTAACGGTTTCTGCAAATATATTTTTTGTATGGAATTTTGCCCTTTCAATGTGAAACCTATGCACATTCCCCAAGATACTAAAGTTTTATAGTTACGCTATCTGATTAAATACTTTTCTTCACGTTAAAGCTACTATGTAATCTGAGACCAACAATGTACATTGTATTTTTCAAAATAATCATTTTAGCGCCAATTTGCGCGCGCTATAATGTAAAACTTGTATGCCCCCCCAATAAATTTGATGACGATGATGATGGTGACAATAATGATGATAAAAAATAGCAAGTAAGCAAATATACTAGGAAAACTAAAAAAACTTGTGCCAAAAAGTAATGCAGGCTCTGACAGTTAGAGGAAATCAGAGCTTTTTTAATCATCCCTTTTAGTAACTTGACGAGCTTAGATTACTGTCCATAATGATTATGTTGACAATCTTTTTCTCCTTCCAGATGTTAACACAAGCTTGTATGCAGTCAGAATACTATGAAAAAGTTATTGATGCAATCAGGTTTTATGCAAGAACAACGCGAGAGACGCGCACATTTGAAACACTGGTGAACTTGATTTACAAGAGGCCCATAACACCACAGTTCCAGGTACAAAATGGCAAAAGTGATATGCTGATGTATATGTATTAAATGTAGCTAAGCTCAGTTAAACCTTTCCTCAGTTGTGGGATAGACGTGGTTTTGGAGATGACGTTTATGGTGCATTTCGATTGATAGTCGGAAAACCAAATCCAAAGTAATATCTTATCACAACAGCCAATGAGAAGAAAAGAAACAATCACTAGGAGCCAATGAGACCATAGAATGAAAACAAGTAAACTGGCTGGCCCTGATTGTTTAAAGACTGAAGAACGCTATTCACTGGATAGATCTCTTTCTGCGTTTTGTGAACTCTGATCCGCTGGAGAGCGATTTTATCTGTTGGATAGCGTTATCCGCCCTTGAACAACAGGGCTCCGGATTGTGGGAAAAACACCGAAATCTTTAATCACTATCGACCCACAGTATCGAAAACTTCTCCATTTTGTGAACCTTCATTCTTGTGAATTCTACGCCACGTAAAGCGCGTCGATGTTGGGGCAGATTTTGCGCAGAATGTTTTAATTTCGGCAACAAAGCATTCACTCTGAGCACTGTTTACGTGAATAAAATGACTGTGCTATATTTTACTCAGTTTAGCAGCAATAGGAAGGTGTAAGAGCACAAAAGATAGTAAAAAGACAGTACATTCATGTGTAAGCTATATTATGCTAAATAAGATGTTATGATTATTTCTTTCAGACACTCTGTCTGAATTTTTTCAACTCGTTGATCGGTATCTCGCCAACATTCAACAAGAAAGTTTATCACCAACAAGAAATCGAAGATGCAGGATTTGATGTGGAGCGTTTGGAAAGGGTACTGTTTCATTTACACTTTCACTCCTGCTGTCAAAGTACACTGCTGTTATAGTGAACGTATTTATGCTTTTTTCACAGGGATTGGAAGGTATGGATGCTTCATCTGTAAGAGAAGCGATTAAAACCTGGCAGGACAACTACATTCACGTACAAGCTGTCATGGACGAGTTTGTGACTCTCAGAGAGCGTACTAAGTACCTAAGAGACGAGGTAGGAAATTGCACAAGACGTAGTGTAATTACTAACGATTCTTTACAACTGAATAAAGTACGAAAATAGTTTGATTCTGTAGGGCCATAACTTCCCTAAAATGTACACGGTTATACCTTTTTAAGTCTCTGGCAACGTGTTAAGAGGTAGCAAACCTGTAACTGAATTTTACACGATTCCTTCAATCGGTCATCGAAGGGAAAGCTTTTCTCCAGGCGCTCAAATGTTTTAATTAGCTTTTAACTGACCTTCTGCCTTAATTTGCGCTAACTGCGTCCGAATAGTTTCTCAATGCCAAAAAATCCCTGTATAATCTATTTGGTGATGAAAGGGCTCAAATTTTCAGTTCCTAAGCGATCAAAAAATGACCACACCTATGATCAACCCACATCCATGCAATCTCACGCGAATGGAATCAATGGATTTCTTAATTTTCGTTTTCGTGAAGCTCTTGAAAGAGACTCTGGAAATTTTCTTCTGTTTCCGCTGTTCCTTCTACAATGTGATGCAAAAATTATCAGTTTTACAGCATTACTTAAAATACATTCGATTACAAGGGTTTCGATAAAGCGCGAAACCAAGCAGAGCGCAGGCTCAACAGATGACAGTGAGAGGTCTTTTAACTGGCTATTATGGAAACCCCTAAATGAGCTCTTTAATTCCTGGTGGGCATTTAGTTATGTTTTCTTTGTTTTCTCACAGGTCGATCTTTTGCAAACTAAACTTGAGGTAAGAGGCCTGGGAATTTCTTCATTCGTATAACGTCTGATCAATAGCTCTGATTATTTCAAGGAGGGACAACTTGAAAACAGTTTTCTATAAATCAAAACAGTGGCTAAAGAAGGCTTTGTATTGCTTATTTGATGTTTTACAGGAATTTCAAAGGGAAAACAGTGAACTGAAAACACGAAACACAGAGGTAAGAGGTGTTTTTTTTTAATCACGGGACGTTACCTATACATCGTTTACTCACTGCTGTCAATGAATCGAAGTAAGTAGACGAAATGGCGCACTGAATTAACACCAGAACACGTTAACCGTTAATTGAACTGCGGAGATACTTCGAGCACCTTGATTGGTCAAAAACCTATCGTTCATTGGACCAGTAAACGCATAGAAAATCACGAGCCAGAACCGAGTGATCTACAAACTTTCTCGTGTTCTCTCAACATCCCAAAAAGGTTGATAAGTCGGTAAACTGAAAGAAAGTGCTGTCTATTGCTTAAGTAACCATATAAAAGTACAGTGTAGCTCTTGGTCACCAAAACACTTCAACAGTCGGCTTTTAGCTTGAACTTAGCTTACAACACTACTGACATCAGAAAATCTTTTTCTTCTTCTATTAGAATGGATAACCATTTATAACGGAGCGTGTGTATATCTCTATCATAGTTTATTCTGATCTTACTTTTACCTTAGGATTTGTTTCGAAATTTTTTACCGGAGATTTATTATAAACTTATTCAATCTTTTTAAACGGTTCTTTTTTTAACGTTTTTTTTAGCTCGATATGCGATCTGAAGAATACAGACTGCGAGCTACAGAACTACAAACGACCCTGGAGAACGTTGTGGTTAGTGATTTGTATTTTCTTCTTGGCAGTTAAAACGCGTGAATATAAAAAATAAAGAACGCCCTCATAGTACAACGTTTAGTTGTGCAGTTATTGCTAACACCTAGATATAACAAAATTAGTATTTGCTATCCCTTTAAACCTGGCATTTAGGATACATCGAGAAACTTTTATTCACAGTGAAGAATGTAATCTTACACATGTAACTGTCTCAAGCAGAAACTCTAATCTCCTCTTAATACAGGTTTTATATTTGAAAAGCGTCCCGGCCAATATTGGCGTCAACCTTTGGTCGATAGAGGTGTCCGCCGACTACATTTATTTGCAGTAAATATGGGAGGAAAATTTGAGGACTTGGGCAGGACTCTGCTCAGTTTAGGATTTCCCCTTTATGTGGCTTGTCAGCTCAGTATGTTGTCCGCTAAACACAGGGTCTTCTTATTCATATTAATTTTCAGAAACAAGTCAAGCACGAGGCTGACCAAGTTGAATTGCCGAATGAACTCGTTACCAGTGTAGCCGAGGCAGCTGCAGCAGTGGCCCCACCTATTAGCCCTCCACCACCGCCACCACCCCCTCCCCCACCAGTTCCGAATGGTAGGTTCTCTATGTTTAATATTAGCAAAGTTATTGGTTTTCTGCGTCGGAGAGGGAGCGAAACACTTTTTTCGATTGTAGACTTGAAGTTGTCAAAGATAGACCATCACAGCAAATTTTGCTAAGATGACGTTCATTGGAGCAAAGTTGTTTATTTACCTTCGAAAAGCGGCTTATGCTCGAAGCTTCAGCATTTAATTTCCGGTTTGTTACGGAGGTCTGCTGAAAAAGCTAATGACCAGCTATGTGTTAACAGGTGGAATGTGCAGACTTCTCTGCACTGAAATATGTTGGTAGGTGTCTGTGCAAGGAGGCACTCATCATGGTGTAAATGTTACTGTGAATAGTAAGGCTGTGACTAATCAAACAACATTTGTTTTGTTTCATCGCAGGAATGCTGGTGCCTCCCCCACCCCCTCCCCCTGATATAGGTAAGTGAAGGCAAGAATGGGGACCTTTAGCTCGCTTCCTCTGAATAAAAGAAAAGATCAAGAGTTTAATCGTAAATATATTGTAAAGTTTCGCTGTCAGTATAGGTATGTTTTTCCCATCAGTTGTGATGGGAAAATTCGTGTAGGGGGTTTGTACCTTTTCAATGAAAATGAAGGCGACGGAGCTTTCTTCTTGCCGTTTGGCCCCTAAAAAATTCTCCCCAAAAACTTTCGTGTTCAAGTTTCCGTTAGGAATTGTAATTGTTGTCTTGTAACGTTTCTAGACGGGACTCCATCCTTGAGACGACGTGTAGCTACTAACAAAGTTCGTCTCCCGATGCTGAATTGGACGCCAATATCATCTCAGTCGGATGCAACAGCATTCTTTAAGGTACGTCTATTTCTGACACATTTTGGCCAATCACAACCAAAATTTAAATATAGACACTAAAGTAACTCGTAATTGTTCCGAACCAGTTTAACCAGTAGCTTTTCTATAAGCCACAGGGCTGCTACAGTTTGAAGCGATTTAAAGGTGTCATTCCTCCCTGAGACAGAAGATCTTCTGTGATTTTGGAATTGACTGTTCCCAACAAAAACGGGATCCAATGAACGGTAGAAATTGAGCCTAGTTAGACACTAACATTGTGAGTAGAAAAATTTGTCAGGGACAAAGAGCAAAACGCTTAAAGGGGTTTTCAAAGAATAAGAACCAAGCTAATGAAATACACGTTTAGATAGTGTAATCTCTCGGCTTAGAATTCGTTACTCCGATAAACCTTCCTCTTGCTTCATTTCTGGTTTTTAATTTTTGTTTTCTCGTCACCTGTAACAGGGAATTAGCGATGAGGAAGTAATGGAAGTTCTTGACTTTGCCGATTTTGACCGAAAATTTGAACTGAAAGTAAATGAAACCTCTGAGGATCTCATCGCCAAAAAGGAGCAAGGTACTAAAAGAGACCTCGCTAAAAACAGTTTGACGATCTAATTATAACTTTTCGCAAATTTGAGATGGCTTGACTTTGAATTTTACTGTGATGACGAAATTCTAAGAAAAAAAATTATTACTTCAAGTTCACATAAAATTCAAAACTTAAAAGCAACTTATTACATCAACTCGGTGGTTTTCATTTACATGAAATATTTGGGGTTGACCATCTTCATTTACATCATCATTGCACAAAAGCATCACATATCGACATTTCTATCCTTGCAGTTTGCAGGAAGTTTGTTACCATGAATGTAGTTAAACGGCTTAGCTTGCCACGAGTCTCCCAAAGCTCAGTGGTACCGTAATAGAAAGGTCGTAGATCTGAAACCTATTGGGGGAACTCGGAGTTCTTTTTTCCGAGTACTCTTGTGTCACTCACCGAATAACATCATCTTTCACATCATTTTGTATGGAGGTAAAATTTCTTTCACGTAACTCAACAGCTTTGAAACGAGCCGCAGAACAGATCACAGTTATCGAACCTAAAAGGGCAAGAAACCTCGGTAAGGAGTTGTAAATAGCATTGCTTTTGTTTCACTCTTGTTAAATGAGGGGTTGAGGGGAGGGGTGTTTTATGCAATTTCACATCGCTTTGCTTTATATGCTCAAACACTGAACAATATTAAGTACCAATTTCACATTTCCGGATGAGGTGAGAAAAATTACCAAATAAATAACTGTCAGGATGGTCAATAATGATACAAACGTGTAAAGTTTACTTTATTTTCGTTCAAATCTCGTTTACTGTTTGGTTCTTATGCAGTTATCGCACGGCGCCGTATACAGCACTCTACAGAAACAATTGGTCATCTGATCGACCAATGTGACTTGGTTGAACTGCCACCTGAACATGCTGAGTTACTCCTCAAGTTTGTACCAACTAAAGCAGAGGTGAGCACAGCCATAACATGTGTTAGCTGTATAGCAGGTCAAACCATCTGTTTGATGAAAGAAAGATGAACAATTTGCAAATAATTTTTTTCTATTTGTTTTTTTAGTTATTTCCTCCATTCAAAAGTATAACAAGGTTGCTTCTGTTGATAAAAAAATAAGTATTGATATCGCGCATTGGAAAATGCAAATGAAGTTATTTGTAGCGAAAGATGTGGACACTTGTTGATGAAAAAAAAAATGAAATCTCAATGCAATCTTGCTCTTCTTTTTATAACTGAAGGTCTTCAATTATTTTCTTTTTTGTTATCCGTTTAATTTTAGTTGGCAGGACTGGCTAAGCACGCGAGTGAGTATTTCAAGCTGGCTGAAGCTGAACAATTTCTGTTTGAGGTGAGAGAATAAGTAGATCAAACTCTTTTTCAAGAACGGGTTGGTAGAGGGGTTTGCCACACTGCAATTAAGAGTCCAGCTATTGGGGCTATCTGGGCTATTGGGCTGTGTGTTGCTTCTTAGGTAAAATGATTCAAAATCACTGCACAAGGTTCTGATTTTATGCCTTGACTTTGGTACATATCATGCTTCAGTGTAACGCGTTTCTCTCATGATCCTTTGTAAATGGTCGTTCTCCCATGTGAAATGGTCATGTTCCTTCATGCAGTAAGCTCTGGTTAGAATCTCGACATCTGTTCACTTACTACGACTTTATCTTGATCAGTTCTTCTGAAGTGCCTCTCACACTAGTAACCATCACCTAAGATTTGCTTTAACTGTGCACATAATTTTGAGCAAGAAAAATCGCTTTCGGATCAGAATATTATGCCACCTTTAAACTAGTTTCCATCTATATCATTTTAGTGTAAATTTTTTCATGATTTTATTTGATGAACTGTCTGTAATAAAATTAGGACAGACCTTGTTAGTGTAAATCAGTTAGCTCTCTATTATTTGATTAAGAAGCTAAGAGTTTTTTTCCCCTCACAGATTGCCAAAGTGGAAAGATACGAAGCTAAGCTGAGTGTCATGGCGTTTATTGGTGTGTTTGACGAACTTATGAGAACTGTTTTACCGGTGAGCCATTATTTTAGATTGAAGTGACTCAGAGAAATTAACACTTGCTATAAGCAATTCAGAACTCGTGATATTCTGTAGGTAATTAAGTGTTAACAACTGGGTTGAAAACGTAAATTAGCCACCGTAAAGGGTAAAAAAGCTGACGTTTCGAGCGTTAGCCCTTCGTCAGTCGCTTTGACTATACTCTCCCACCGACGCAGCACCACAGTTTCTTTAGAAACTTACCCCTTTATTCATTCGTGATATTCTGTACTTGACACGTCATGTCAGGTTTTCAACACCGGGCGAATGTGGGTTTGTCCTCTCCCCAGGTAGGCTCACCAAAAACTGATAGATATACAATATGCATCATGCACATGGCGTTAAATTAAAACATATGGTACATGAGAGTACATAGCAATTCCTTTCTAGATATTATAGTTTGTTTATCAGTGGATCATGCTTAATCTATCTTTTCATTTTCATGATTTCTTTTCAGCAAGTGGACGCAATTTTGAGAGCGGCGACGTCTATAGTCAACAGTGCGAAACTCAAAAAGTTATTTAAGGTGAAGCTTTAGTTATAGTTACATACTTCCTTCTACAGATTTTCCTGCTGTTAAATAATGGAGAACTAGTGTTATAACATCGTTATTTACTTCCGTTTCAGATTATACTTATATACGGCAACTACATGAACAGCAGCCGAAGGGGATTGGCTTATGGCTTTAAACTGGAATCTTTGAGCAAGGTAAGATACGGGAATTCTCGAAATCAAATCGACAATTTCTTTCACAGTTTCCTCTTTTTTAAGTGCCATTAAGACTGGCTCAAACGTACGACGCAAATTAAAACGCAAGGAAATATTCGTGTGAATTGCAATAGTGCAAATGTAAGTGCACTTGCCGATGTAAGAAATGAGGAAAAAATAGAGAGAATTTGATTTGAGAATCGAAAGTCCTCCTGTATTGTTTCAGAGGTACCTTATTTGTTAATTTCAGCTGGAAGACACTCGTACTACAGACAGAAGGCAGACATTCCTCGCTTACATAGTGGATGTAGTGCACAAGAAGTTCCCGGAAATAAAAGATTTCGCCGAAGAATTGTTTCTGGACGGAGCAACCACAGGTAAACATTACATTCAGTCACCAAGCTACGAAGCCTTTCCAGCCCAATTAAATCATATTACATCCATCCCGCCTTCCCTTGGAATTCGAAATTCCTCTTCCAACAACTTAGCTGTGAAGCCACACTTTATGTTTCAAGTCAATCAAGATCTCTTTTTCCCGGCCTTAGAAAGAGTGGAATAACACCACATTCGAATTGTTGATTATTTCAAAGACTGTTTATTTTTCTCTTCAGTCTCCATGCAGACCCTCGCGGCAGACGTGCAGGGATTGCGGAAAGGCCTGGATCTGACAAAGTCAGAGAGAGACAAACAACCAGATAATTTCATTATATTCGTATCCTTTGTCTCCATCATTGCTCGTGATTTAATTTGCTTTGGCCCTTTATAGAAATACTTAACCCTTTACGCCTTAACATCAGTACACGTATTCTCCCTACTGTTCCCTGTACATTTTTTACGGTGCTATTAAGGAGAATTTTTTCAACCATCAAGAGCTTCTTTGGTGATCATTTCCTTTATTCTTGTGACTGTAATATGTGATCCGTGGATAATATTTCAAGGAGAAATTAGATGCCAGTCACTCTTAGGGGTGAAAGGATTGACCTGACCGGAGTGTGTGATTCAGTACGATAGGAAGGAGCTTACTCTCACGTGGCCCTAAAACGACAAATGATAGTTTTTCTCGCCCTAGCAGATCACTTTAGAGACCAAAGCTCTCTCCATGGCCTACCTTTAGTACCGTGACAAATTTTAATGATTGATTTCAGTGACTAATGTCGATGCTGAAATTAAAAAAATTACATTTGATTGCTTATCCGTGTACTTGTATGCATTTCTTAACATGCTTGATTATTCAGACATTCTACAATGCGGCTTTCAAGAAAGTCCAGCGCGTTACTGAACGCTATCGTAAGGTGGAAGAGGTTTATGCGCAGGTATGCACGCTATTTGGAGAAAATCCTCGAGTGGTAGAACCTTCGGACTTCTTCAAGACCTTCATTGATTTCATTGCGAACTTCAAGGTATTGGAATATCAAAGAATGACTTTTATGTTCAGTTATGGGTTGTAATGGAGAAAGAATCCTAACTTTATCAGAAGAAACAATTTTTCGAATAAGGAGCTAGGCAGTAGAAAATAGAGAGGTATATTTTAATTGCGCAACAGACGTTTGTGACAAGTTTAAATGGCTTAAAGGCATTTGTGAGTCTGTCATCAAAGCCCAACGTGAATAAAGTCGTACATAATTATTGTAAAGATTCGACGGATGAAGAATCCTTCAGACAACACCTTTATCGGCACAAATTTAACTGGGACCATGTACTGTCCACCAACGCTTTTTTTTTTTGATGATGAGGTTGTTTGACGTTATGATTACTCATGTTGTATTGCCTCTTATAAACTTTCTTTAACATATTTGAAAACCTGAAAATCTAAGATTTCGAAGGTAGATGGGAACTCCAAAGGGGTAAAACACTACCAAAATTCGAGATCGCGACACACACAGTACTAAGAATGACGCACCTGAAAGCGTCAGCTGTAGACACTTGTGGCTAATTTACATTATCAACTCAGTTAATAAAACCAACTTATCTTGTTATACCCCTCACTGACGCAGCACCACAGTTTCTTTAGAAACTTAACTCCTTTGTTAATTTGTCTGAAATTGGTTGAGTTAGGATGACTTTAAGCGCGTAGGTTTATCAGGAGCCTTGCAGCCCTATGCTATGACATCAGTTTTCTTTCAAGGGAGAGGCAAGATATAACACGCATGTCCTTTCGTCCTATCAATTTTTTCATAACACCTCTCCGAAGTTGTTAGTGGGTCCTCTCCGAACTTGATAGCTGCGTCCAAATGCTCAGCTGATGTTGCAAAAAAACCACATGGCTTACGTTGAGTAATATATGCTTCCCTTTTTATACTTTGTATGCTTTGATTTCTCCTTCTCGTAGAAAGCTGTGAGGGACTTGGAAGAACTAAAGCGACAAGAGGATGCAGAGGTCAAGTTGAGGCGCATGCTCAGTGAAGAGGACTCAGCTAAGGCGCGTCTCAAAGTTGCGAATGCAGCTGCTAGTGAAGGTCAGCGGAGATCTTTTTACAACCAAAACAACCGGTTTTTGTTGACGTGAGACAAGCTATAGCAGGAGAAAGCAACGGAAAGGAGATTATCAAGACAGAGACGCGTTGATGTGATTTTGTACAGTCATTTTCGTCGTTGAAGAAAACTATGACTGCGATTAAAATTGCTATGATAATTTATATCTTTTGAATAATTTATACATTAAAAATAATCTATTCTATCGGGAGAAAATATTTTGTTAAAGCTATAAGCGTTATTTTTAATGCTGTTTAAACATTTTTTCTTTCAACTTTTATAATTTGATATTTTTAAATGCAAGAAGTTACAGTATTTATAATTTCTATAGTCGTCAAACAAATGCCCTAGCGTATTACTTCGGTGGATGTTGCTGTTACGTAATCCTGCCTTCTTTAGAATTAACTCACAGACAGTCTTTGCTAAAAAAAGGTCGCTTTTTCTAAGGGCTATTTTGACCATTTTGTTATAGTTCGTGTGTAGGACTCGCCAGTTAAACTTGGTTTTCACTAGCAACGGAAACACGAGCGTAACCACAAACGTAACGATGTCAGCTCTTCTTTCAACGTGAAAACAGCCGCGACGCAAGCACAAGGATCGCAATTTTTTTTTGTCTCGCGCTCATGGTTGCGTCGAGGCCGTTTTCACGGTGAAATAGTACGTGTTATTCTTGCGTTTGTCGTTAGTGAAAACTAAGCTTAGGATAACATTGTTCACTGTTTGTATTCACAAGATGTAACTTTTTTTAATCAAATACCAGATCGAGTTATCCTCGGGTTTGTATTCGAATAATCCCTTTTGTAGATATTTTAAAAAACATCCTTTGAGGAAGTTTACACATTCGGTTTTTTCTTATAAAGAAGTAATTTAATCATGAACGGTCTTCCCTTTCATCGGAAGCATTCGGCTTACATAAAATAACCGCATTGTAAATAAAGGGAATTGGTGTGGAAATCCCTGACTTGGAATTAAAGTTAAAAGTATCTCGTATGTCATTAATGGTGTTCTGAATTAGTAACGTTGTTATTGAACTCTTTAAGTCTCAAGAGAGACCAAGACAAAATTTCTCCTTTTGGGAATGAGATGGTTAATGACTTTTCCTTCTTTACAGTTACCGTAACGTCTGAATTTGTCTTTGGAGAATGTATCGATTATGGGGGACAACTCTTTAAATGGGTATCGGAAAGATTCGATAAGTTAGGCCAGTTAAGCTCATCTCGAGAATCCTGTGATTACAAACGCAAGAGCTTTGTTTGTTTTTCTCGCAAGTTCCTGAATTGTCTGCTGATCAGCTCAGTGCTGCAACAACCACCAAGAAAAAGCGGTTGAATAGACATTGAATTGCTTCCTTGTGCCTTGCTTGATGTTTTGAAAATATCCCAAGTAGCGGAACGTACAGTGTTTTCAATCTCTCTATGTCAATTATTTGCACATTCCAGGATATATTCAAGCATAGTTACGATATATGGCTAAATTTACCATTAAAACATTTTCCAAGCAGGTATTGGTTTTGCTGAGCTATTGTAATTATTAGGCATCACTAAGCAAGGAACCAACTTCTTGTTGCCAAAGAGAATATTTGATTTTTTTGCCGTGGTTACAATAACAGCAGAGAGACGAAAAGAAGAACTTTGCTTTATTTTGCTTAATTCTTGTTCCACTTGCGAATAAAAATTAATGAGCACTGGCAACTCAGTAAAATGATCTGAGAAATTCCTATAACAAGCTATAATGCGCGCCTGATGGGAGAGGTTATAGTGTTATCCCATTCTGATGACTGTTTCACTTTAATTCTTCCTACATGTACATCATTATACAATACAAATATTTTCAACTAGTGAATAAACTTACATCACAACACTAGTATACATATTCTCCATGATAGTCTCTATATCTTTTTAAGGAAAATTTGTTCGACAATCAAGAGCCTCCGAAGTTTGTGATCATTTCCTTTATTCTCGTGACAAGTGTGCGATTTAGGGGTGATATTGTAAGGAGATATTAGATACTAGTCACTGTTAGGGGTTAACGGGTAAACACCGTTACTTTGTGTGTGATTCAAATCACCAAAAACCTTACAGTTGTAGTCATCGACTGCGCTTACTTGTGTTACTAACTACAGTTTCTGAAAAACTTTCTCGGAAAAGACCTAGACCTGTATCTTTCGTGCTAAATTGAGCAAAGGAAATCGCAGCCAGTGTAAAATGAAGGTACTTAAAAGAAATAACACTGTTCAAATGAAGATATCTTTGAAGTATCAATTGGATTATAATTGTAAATCAGGGCCTTTTCTTCTGCCTCCTCGCTTGCAAAGTGATGGGTGTTCTGTCGAGCTGTAAATATAATAAAATAGGGAACATTTCAACAGACGGAAATTACGCGCAGAGATTGGGGGTGGTCTAATTTAGCCTCATCTTAAGTCGTTTGGGGCAGAAGTTGATACCCTCTCCTCCCCAACAACTCCTGTTTGCTTGAGCACAGCATTTCCTATCTAGTATTTCACACTATTGAATCACCGTTAAAAAGATAGCTGTTACTAGAGGTCAATAAAATCTACCAAGTATCTACGTACCTTGCTTAACGAAAAAATTTGCCATATACTGTCCAACAAAGACAGCGTCTGCTGAATGGTCAATCACTTCTTTTGGTGTCCACTCAAACTGGCATTTTTCCGGATGCCACTGTGTTCCGTATATGGGATACTTCTTGCCTGTGGTTTTAAAAATATCAGTTGTCCATGACATTTAAAATCTACCATGATCATAATATCTGTTACCTCTCTGGTAAGATGTGACCCTGAATCCTGCCCTATTTTCTATTTTCCTATTTCCTTCGCTTGTAAAATTTATTCGTAACGAATTCCTACTTTGGAAGGCGGCAATTCTCCAGCTCTATGAGACCTATGAATCAGATTTCAAGCGTAGGCACGAGCATGTGAAAGTACATCATGTATATCACGAGCATGCCCCATACTTGTTTCTCCTTTTGTTTGTGTTAGCGTACAACCACTATGTAACAAAGAATACTATTTATAGCATTGGGAAATAAAAGATTTACAAAAGATTTTGAAATGAAAATTCGGTACCTTCAACGGTGGAGATAAATTCCACTCCTTTCCGGTCCTTGTTGGTTGAAAGGATTTTGAAGAATCCAGCAGTGTTATTGTTTGCATAGAATTTCTACGAATCAGAAACAAGTGTTAACAAATAAAGGAAGTTAATGAGAAGGAGAAATTAGAGGCTGTCTTGATTGTGATCATAAAAAGGGTGTTCGGTTTCTTCCAATTAACAGCATGAAGTTGGCAAATCCTGAGTGGGGCAGCAGTTAAATATGCAAAAAATTAAACCAAATAGCAAACGAATAATACCGAACAAGAATCGATGAAAAGTCGTTTGGTTATCAATAATTTGATTTAGAACGGCCTACCTCAGGTGGCACGCATTTCTGATGCATGTTAATTGTTACAGCTTGTTCTTTGAGAATATTCATAACTCTGTCCCCATCTTGAGCAGAACTAAACATGCGACTTGTATACGCATCTGTATTTAAAAGGAAGAGGAAACGAAGTCTTTATGGTATTATGGGGGGCCTCTGATTGACATCCATCAAATAAATTGGTAATTACTAAAATTGTCATCTCACAGAAACCCCTCGAAGTGAGCTGCAAAGATTTTTAAGGGAAGCAAGAAACGAAGCAAGCATGACTGACGACTCAATGTATCAGTCAATGAGTGAGGCATTGGATCATAACCATATCATGGTATACTGCGTTATATAAGTATTAATTTTTTAATGTGAACAAGTCTTTATTTTAACTTAATAATTGACCATTAGAAACAACCAATCATTTTTCAAACTCAAAGCACAAAATACATTCATTTAGTTGTTTTAAGCCGTAAACATAATGGAAAAACAAGCTCGAAAAAATGTGAGTTTTTGACTGCGAGAGAATTAAGGTAAAAAAGATATATATATATATATTCTACATGAAGATGAATTGAGCTTTTTATGAGAATATTTCTCATATTCTCGTATTTTTCAACCGGAGGTCCCCTTCAATCTTAATGATTTTGATAATAATTTGTCACAACTCTAGCTCCCTCTTGAGCAGCCTAAATCTCACCAAGTTTTGTAGTTAACAATTAGTTTGACTTCCAGTGTCAGATTTTGGTAACAATTGGCTGATCAAACAATCGCCTTTTCTTACCTGCAGTGAATTCCAGAGGAATAGAATAATTCTCTGCGTCACATGACACCAACATATCCTCCTTTTTTAACCCTGATATGATGATATGCAGCATCTCAAAACCAAGGCAGGCTCCCCACAAGGGAAACGGCTCCTTCGCATTGTCATTTTCCTGTTACAGATATTCAAACAAAATTACTTTCCAAATATCTAAGGAATAAGAGTATCCAGTCCAAATAACTGATATTGACGCACGTAAGTCTTCTAAGTGTCTATCAATCGACGCCTTTTCCAACTTTTAACACTTTCAAGGGTAACATGCATGGTAAAATAATAGTAAGAAATGGAAGAAAAGTCCCCGCAATGAGTCGAACATCAGATCTTAGAGGGGTTCGGATAATTTTTGGTCGAGATCACATGGTTATCAGGGGCTACGGAGGGGGGATCAATGCTAACAGAGGTCGAGGAGAGGACCTTATAGAAAAGTGGATGCTAAAGAGGAGGCATCATAATAGTAAAAAAAGGGTTAGGGGAATTGGGTAAATTTTATTGGGACATAACCGAAATCCTCCGATCCTCCCCCCCCCCCCACCCACGGGCAAATAATGAAATCACGACAACAGATTATAACCAAATTATAATCATTAACTCGGTCTGCACAAAGCCCACTCACCTTTATCGCCAAATCATAAATCATCTTGCCAGCGCTGAAGTAAGCTGAGTCTGCTAGACTAGCTCCCCCGCCTGGAAATATCACCCTGTTGGAAAGAAGATGAGCAAGACACTTATAAGAAATCTCACCCTGTGCAATTGTAATAACTAATGTCTTTCGTGCTGTAACCTACCCATTGATGCTATTAATGAGAGATTCCAATTCTTTCGCTGGTAAATCGTTACTTTTGAATTGTTAAGGATGTGAACTTTGAATGTAACGGCGAAAGAAGGTAGCCTTAACTAGTTGAGTGTCGTAAAACCATTTAAGACCATGACAGGGAACCAGTCAGATTTCGAAATAAGTAAGCGTTTCCAGCCCGAATTGCGGGAAAACGCAAGTACCAAGTTGCGATCGGTTTTATTTTTCCACCTGATAAGCCGTGATGGTGGTGAGAGTTTTACACCAATCATGAATGATATTTATGAAGGAAAACACACCCTAATTACTTTCGTGAGTTTATCAATAATTGCTTAACATTCCTCAGAGAAATTTTGCTCTTTCGTTGGTATTCTCGCAACTAAGCTTTTCGTAAAACCGTCTTTCCCGAAAAATAAACCCTTTATTGAAAGTTATGCAAAGCTAGAATATTATAGCTCTCAAGCTCATAGAATCAGTCGGATCTCACAGGCTTTTCTACATACTCCTGTCAAGCTTGAAGGAATAACTAGCCAGCGAGTAGAGTTTTCTTCTTGGAAGCTAACCAGTTTGCCTGGTCCCAAAGAGAGGAATTTACTTCATAGTGTACGCCTATATTGGCACAGTGTTAGTTTCTAAAAAGGATACCGTATTGGAACGACGCGGGCACCAGCGCTCTCGATATTCTTGACGTATGACGCAGCTATGTATGACTTACCATATTCGGCAAAGTGACCGTCACAATCCACTGACAGAATCCCTAGGGGAGCAAAAAGTCATGTGACCCAGCAAGAATGAGCTCGTTAGTAGAGCATTTGAACAACGTGTCGGTGTCATTAACTAAAAAACGTCGTCTTTCAGCTTCATCAATTTAAGTTTCACACACCTAAAATATTCAATGATTTGCATGCTAAGCCCGTAAGATGAAAGAAGCAAACGGACAAGAACAATTGCCAAATGGACCCTAATTAGGAGAAATTTTAGCATAATTGATAATTTGAAAAACCAAAATTTGTCGATTCAGTATAATTTTATGGAAGAGTAGGACGCATATTGTAGACTGAAAAGGTTTTTTTTTTACTTGAGAAATAAAAATCAATTTGGCTGCAGGGGAAAATAAGCTCACAACTGTCTTTTGAAGGTTGCTGTTTTGTAGAGAAACACACCCTCGATAGTCCTTTTTTCATCACAATAAATTTCCAAATTACACCACTTCATGAAGAGCATCACATCGAACAAAAATTGAAACTTCGTGGAGCGTCAACATGACCACGTCCCCTGTAATTTGTCTTAAGAATTACGACGCCATGTCTTTCCCTCATAAACATCCATAAGGAAGACGTGCGGCCATTTCTAATTTAGGTTACTAGTTCAGATGTATGTCAAGTACACTGTTTTTCGATAAGAATTACCGGTTTTACTTTACCTATAATTGGTCTGTTGTTTTTTGGAACCAGTTGGCATTCCATTTTTCTTGCAGAAAAAAGGTTCCCCATGACTTTCTTCAGATATCTTGCCAGTTGCTGTAAAAAGCACATTTCAAAGCACCTTTTAACTAGATCGAGTCGAAGTGATTATATACTATAAGAGACAACTGTTTGAGCAGTTTCTGCCAACAGCTCTTCAGTAGGGACAAAACTGTATGACTGACTTGACAGGATTTAATTTGAAAAAACAAATTTTCTTATTTGTAAAAAGCAAACTACGTTTCACAGAAGAAAGTATAAGTTGTTGTTGTTTTTTTGTGGAAGAAAACGACAAAAAGCGGCCTCTGGGGTCTGCAAAAGCCGCAGCTCTAAGCTTTTGAAACAATTTTTTTGTTACCTCAAAAAGTCCGATTTCTTGCGAAGGTGTTACTGACCAGTTTCCTTACCTTGCGCAGATAACATACCCTTTCTACAGTTCTTCGCAAAACGTTACCTGCTATTTGTAAATAACATTTCTTGTAATCAATTGATTATTTATCATGTTACCTTGGAATTGGGTGGTAGCCAAGGCATGAGACAGAATTTTAGCCATTCTTCTTGTCCATTTGCTACTCTTGTTATTTCCACTAAATATCTGTCTGGGAAAAGTGATTCCTGGTGGCTTAAAATTAAAACGAATAAGCTTAAATTGCAGAATGTAGATAAATGAAATCAATTCCAGATAATTATGAAAACATCTTCACGTTCCGAGGTGTTCAATTTCCCATCCATTAGTGTAATTAAACTGTACTGGTACCTGTAACCTGTACAAAATGAAACATGACTCCTGTCAAAATAGTAAAGAAGAAACGTGACATTGAAACCGCCTCACTCCCATGCGTACCACCAGTTCGATTATGCGTAACACGAGTTTCCGAGTAGAGTTTGATATTAGCTGAGTCTCATCGATTGAAGTTAATATCCTAACAAGCAAAGTTCGATTGATCCTTAGAGTTTGTAACAACTGAGAAATATTGCATCAACACGATACTATAGAGAGAAATCTTTTTATTAGGGGAAACGTGGTTGACAAGACGAACCTCTAAACTGCCAAGATAGAAATGAGTTACTGTATTGCTTTCTTTCTCATTAAAAATCCGCATTCAGCTAAACACAAACTAAATATTTAATTTTTTATAAAGTTCATCACCAACAGTTCTGGTCAGTATTTAAAAAATAATCTCTCTGAACCTAACTACACATGATGTGTGGATGTTCGGATCGTCATGTTTTGAATCCACCATTTTATTAGTGCGAAAAGGTAGGGAAACTGATCTCTGAATCGAAGTATTAGTTGGAAATTAGTTGTGAGTTATGCGTGGCCGTGTTCAAGTGGTCAACCAATCACCTGGCGACTTGTAAAATTGGATAACCTCTGCTTACTACATTTGTGAAATAGGTTGCCAAGCCACTTCACAAACTACAGAAACTTTACAAGACCGCCTGCGGCTGAAAAACTCCGAGGAGTCTTATCATGTAGTTTACCTTTATGTCATGCCAAAGGCCACATGAGAACTTCGTTCGTACGTGTTATGAATGGAACTATTTAAGCCTCATACCAGGCAATTTCCAAAAGTTTTGTGCAAGTGCCAAACCGGGTCACGTAGACTTTCTCAATATCTTTTCTATCTAAGTTTCCAGCTTTACCAGCTTTTTGGAAGTAATTCGAGTATCTCGCTCATCTCGGTAGCTTCTACCCTTCTGATAAATTTTTATGCTAATTTCGAATCTGAGGCAAAAAGAAAATTTCAAGAAGAACTCCAATTTCAGTTCTAAATTAAAGAATTAAAATCGGTTTATTCTGATGCGTCGAGGATTGTAAACATCGACTTGCTTGCTGGCGAGCCTTTTACTTCAAAGCGATAACACTTTTGCTGACCATAGATACGAATATCTGATTGGCTGACAATAGAACAATGTTAAAATAACATTATCCCAGAATGCATTACTCACAGGGGTCCGAGCCCGAAAGCGCGACTGAACCCTTTTCTTGTCTACCTCAATATGGCCCTAAGGGTCGACAGAAAAATCGACAAAATGTCATTTTAAAACAGAAACATACACCTGAAAATTTAACAGGAAGGCATGAAGACAAGTTTGATCTGTTCACCACTGAATTTTATCCATATAAGTATCTGGAAAAAGGCATGTTAACACGTGCCAACTTTGCTTTCAATTATACCAAAAAGTCTGGAAAGCCTTTGAGAACGTATCAACGATCATGTGACCTACGGAGGCAATTAGCGATGACAGGTAAAGATGGCAGGTTTTGTTTATTATTCGAACAAGCAGGCCACCAGAAGGTGCTAAGAGCTGAAATGTTGTCATTTGATGTTAAAGGAACTTTAGTTACCCTCACAAAATACTATCGGCTATATTTATCGATTTATTCATTCCAGACTAAACATTCAGATCGTTGTTATCGCTGGTGGTTCTTGCAGGGAACTGACACAGTAATTTTACTCACTTGACCAAGTATTTACCGAGGTAAGAAATATATTGAATGGAAAGTCTTACCTACGTTTTCAAATTTGTTTTAATTATTTTACAGGTGTATCTGTGGGGCGTTCATTTGGGGGGGTAATTATTTTCGCGGGTGTTGTTTTAACGTTATGTGCCACAACCTGCTGTATCTAAAAAATGCAAAAGTAGATTTACAGGTCACAAAAATCACCTAAATGAACTTTAGAAAGTATTTGACAGCTTGCACCTCACAGACAAATTTCAGTGACCGAAAAACAGCATTGACAGACAAAATTTGTGGCTATAGAGTCCAATTGATGCTCAAGGAAGATTGCTAGTTTTGACCAAGAAGCAAATTTTTTTTTATAAAACCAAAAACTCAGGTTGAATTGAGTCGGTTTAACAAACGCAAAACCAAATGTTTTGATTTTTCCGAGCAAAACTATGTCAGTATAAGGCTTTTTTGTCTCTGAATCGCGTGATCGTTAAATCGTTTCCTCAACCTGAGTTTTTCTTCCATCGTGTTCATTTTTTTTCTCAAAGTGCTGCATTATTTTAGAGAATTTCGCTTTCTTACTACGCCTTCCATTTGGGTAAAGGAGCCGATCTTACAAATGACTCTTAAAATTAGATCGCAGATCAAAGTTCTCTCTCCAGCCAAAAACCTAACATGCAGCAAAAAGAAGCTAAAAGACTTAACATGCTGCACAACATACTCACTCTTAAATTAATATTTATACAATTGTCTGAATTTCATTATACATTTTTTTGTGCACCTTTATTTCATATTCTCCCAGATCTAATTCAAAAGAAGCTTGGATTTAGCCACACCCGTTGGGATGCATCTCCTGATCTCGTTTCTCCTCCTGTTCGGATCACTATGTAGTTTGGGTGAGTGAGCAAGCATCCAGTTTTTTAAAAATCAAATTTTTTCAAATCCAGTGACATTTTCTAATGTTAATAATGGTAATAGGACCGAGTGGAGTCCAATTCGGTCTGTGATCATACGAGTGATTAACAAAATCGGACGACCGCAAAGCGGGAGTCCGATTTGTTTATCACGAGTATGATTACTGACAGAATTGGATGACAAGAAATCCTGTTACCAATTAATCATAACCATTTCAATTTCCGAAAAAGCAAATACACCTAGAACAAACATCTCCAGTGGAGACAATGTCTTTAGTTAAATATTCCTCCATTTTGGAAATTGCCTTGTTGCTATGGTTATTGTGATCAATTCTGTGATTGGTGGATTTAGCCGAGTGGACCTAGTATGATTGGCTGCTTCAACTGTCCGCTTACTGGTGTCCAATTACAGCCAACTGTCCGATTACAACTGTACAGAATGATTAGTGAAAATGGAGCAGCTGATGCACCAATCACATTTGAGGAAATTGTAATGGTTATGATTATGGATGTAATAAGTTACCTTGTGAGGGTAACTGAACAAAACAAACAAACGAACGGAATCAAAATAATAAGGGCAGAACTAGGAAGCTCTACGGTGCTTAAAATAACTTTTCTGTGTCTTCGCTGGAGAGTCATAGGTTGGTCATCTGGGCCCAGTTGTTCAAAGGGCTGATAACGCTATCCAACGGATAAGTGTCACCAAAAAGTACCGCGCTATCCACAGGATAGAGATTTATCCAGCGGATAACGTTATCCACCCATCAAACAACCGGGACTAGCTGGTATTTAACTCAAAGTAATCCATACTGAAATTGCATATAAATCGATGCGTTATTACGGTTCAGTATTGAACAGATCAGAACAGATGGAACTCGATAGTTTGGCGGTTATGGCTATTTATATACAGCTGTTTCGAGAAAGGTTTTTGGAAAAAAAGCGTAAAAGTGAACGCGATTACTCCGAAAGGTATTTGGAGTAGTTTTCAGGTCACGGTTCCTTGACCTCAGGTTTTTAGGAAAATTTGAGAAAATGGGCAAGGCATCGCGAGTTCGATGAATTCATTTATGAATTTACTCATTAAAATTCACCGATTATCAGATTTCCACATTATCTTTCGAGATTGTCGCGTGCACTTTTGTCCTTTTTACTGACAACCTCTCCTAAAACAGCTGTATACCAGTCCCTTCATTAACTTATTGAGACCACTAACTCTTACGTATTCCTTTAGTCTCAGGCAGACCCTCACCTCAGTGGCTCTATCAGCAGATCCACGCGCTTCCAGATGATGGTAATAAACATGCAACTGCTGAACTCCATACCAAGAAATCTGAAATTCCTTTTAAGAGGAAAGATGGCGTGAAGAGGCTGTTTAACTTCCTTGATTCTGCGATACAGGAAAGTGGAAGCGGAAGTGGCGAGGGATCAGCGGATGACCACGTTACTATGGCTACTGAACAACACGTTAGTACAACTGGCTCTAAAGGAAAGCAGCCTGCAGTAGTCGGTAATCCCGTGAGCCCCAAAAAGCAGAAGACAACAAGCTTTGGTGACTCTCCGCAAAAGAAAAAGGAAGCCCAGGGACATGGAGTAAATGAAGGCCAGCTTCCAATAAACGGGCGTAAAAAATTTTCTTACGATGCCAGTTCAAATCTCCAGAGCCATTATGCAGCTACAAATCAACAAGGATTGCAGAAATTCACAGTACCACAACAAACAGCAGGATATATGTCCAATGGAGGGCTTCAGACTGTAAAATGTAAGAGCTTGAGAGTAAAGAATTCCCATGTAGTTTTCGGATAAATTTCCTAAACTAGTTATGGTTTTTTTCTTTCCTCTTCGAATCAGATTCACCAAACATTTCTTTTCACTCTCGGACCATGCATGGTAGTCAAAGAAAAACAACTGGCTACTCGGTTGCTGGTCAGCGGACACAGTCGTATGGTGATGGGGTGTCGAGTAGGCGACCACCGGCTATTCCTGTGCGAAGTCAAGTCTCCGCAAGTCAAGGATTACCAGTGAAGGCTCTGCCGGCGCAGAATTTGATTCATGGTTTGTTTTCATTCACTGATAAATAGCACCCCATCCGGCATGACGGACCAGTCGATATTTATTGCCGGGGGGGGAGCTCTATGTAATATTCTCATGACCCGCCCCCCCCCCCCCAAATTCACTGACTGTCAATTTTCTATCATCCTACCTTATATTCTGATGTCGACGACTGATCCCCCTCTGCTCCTCCTGAATACCATGTAATCCTTCCCAATATCCTCCGCCCCCTCAAGGTGGTTCCTAAGTCTGCGTTAAACATTTTAGATTGAAGGCTTCAACTGCTCTTTCGTGGAAACGTTTTGTAGAAAGTGCACGACAGATTTTGTAAGTCTTCTGTGTATAATCTCCACGATGGTTACCAGACATCGTTACCGTGTACAAATTTCAATAATTTTTTTTGCAGGAGTGCCACACAGATCGAACATACAAGGACCATTTTACACTACGTTTACATTTACCTTCCCGAATTCATATAGAGACTATTACAGGTCCAAAGGCATCAAGTCTACCGAGCCGCTTCAGGGAAATGCATATGGTCAGCTACAGAGACAACGGAATCACTTTCATCAACAAGTGAGGGCACTTATCCCCGGGAGAGTACCTCTGGCACAACCATACAATCGTTACCCCTACCCAGCATCCCTTACGGGTGTTCCTGGTCAAACTAGAGGTGCTATTCAATCTCACTTTCAATACAATCCTCACAGTGTTGCAGTTTCTCGCGCTCGCTTTCCTGTTTTCCCACGTGTTGTTAATACTCCACCCAATTCAGCAAGTTTCCCTGGAAAGTTTTACTACAGAAACACTATTCCAAAGCAGCAGGCAAGTTTTGCACGCAATGCACAAGGTTCTTTTCACACCTATAGTTATCCACTGTTTCAGCGGGCACAGGTTGAGCGGGCTGAGATAAGCCGAAAACCACAGCCTCAAATTCCGATGTCGTCGTTGACGGCAGCAGCAGCCAGAGGTTTACGACAACTCAGCCATACTCAGCCATGGCTGAATCAGTCTGGTCTTCGTCTGCTCCACAAAAAAAGACACGTGCAGTGAGGAAGTCGATTAAGCTCCTGGATCTGTTCAAGAAAGAGAGATGAGTACCACGAGGACGTTTCGAACAGACCTTTTCGAGACTCATTCACGACAAATATTCATATATTTGGATATTTTTACAAGATTTAAAAATAATAAATATTTAGTCAAGACAACTTGCTCTCAAAACAACGAAGTCATGAAGGTCTGACATTCAACGACGTAACCCTGCAGTGTACTTTGTTTAGTTTTAATCGTGTCATATCTTGTAACTGCTATAACACGCAGAATTTGGGCTATAAAGCGGCTCTTTAACGAGATTTTATTTTCTCGTAGTGATTTAAATTGGAAAAGAGTCTTCCAAAGTCTGTGTAGAACACCACTGATCCTAGAAATGTCACACGCTTCGTCAATGAATGATGCCTGTAAGGAACCTTTTCAAACATTTCTATTGAAGTAAATTTTTTTAAATTAAGAAATTATATGATGAGTTTTGATTGGGTTTGGAATGTAAATTTTTACTTTTTGAATGACAAGGGATCCCGAAGAGAATTTTATTTTCAGCGATACAAGATCATTTTTACAATAAAAGTAACCTAAGAAAACCTAATTGAAAAGTATTGATTGATTGTTCCGCTCATAAACCCGGTTCTTTCTCCCTCAAACAAGCAACAACAGCTTTATGTGAATATGGCGCCTACTGAAAACGACTCCAAGGGCGAGTGGGTTCTTTCTTAAAATGTCAACATTATTAATATTGTGTCTAGTAGGATTGACTTCGTTTAACCTTTCGACTGGAAAAGTATGTATCTAAAAAATATCACGTCGATGACCTCTAGCCATCATTGTCATACGAAGAAGAGATTGGTTTAAGTGGTGTATAAGTTAACAGGAATGAAAATGCATAACATGCAGAAATGTACGCACACCGGAGATCAGAAAATGGTTGGTGGCATTTGGGGGTCACCAGAAGTATATCATGCCGTGCACAAGGGCTACAAGATTGTCAAAATTCATAAAGTTTGGCTCTGATTACCTCGACAGAGTCGTAGGTCTCTTAAACAACTATATTGACGCTTTTTAAAAAATCAAGCAACAAGCAAGTGGGTGGCTATCGTGGTGTACATCAAAAGAGCTCAAACGATAGCACATTGCGAATTACAAGAGCAAAGAAGGCGTACGGCTCGAGTGCGATCAAATTGGAATAAATCCTTCAGAACCCACTGGAGCCAAGGAACTGCTTAACAATGTCTGGGAGTTTTTTGAGAAAAAACCCAACAAACCGGTAACTGAAATTGTTCAGGACATAGCACGTTTTCACGAGTTGTTGATGAGCGAATCTTTCTCTGCTGATAACATCTTGGTGATACCGACTGCCAAAAGGGATTTTGTGGACACACAAAATAATACTCATCTTGTAGTACCATGTGGGCTAGACTTAAATTATATCGAGATGTTTTGGACAAGTTACAAGAAAGAGTCCGCTATACTGACACAGATTTAATCATATTTCGTTGTGATCCTGAAGGGTGGAATTCCAGGACGGATGCCGGATTTTTTGGGCGAGTTGACCCCCGAATTGAAGCCCAGACAACACATTGACGAGTTTGCCTTTGTTGGTTGTAAAAATTACACCTGCAAAGTGGCCAACAGGGGAACATGTTCACAATATCACAAAGGTTAAAGGTTTGATTAGTGAAACTAGCGCGCGTGCGAATTTTTTTCCCGAAGGTCACTCGTGAAGGTGGGAAGTAACCCGTGTCTAGCGACAGGTTTAGGTACGTCCTTGTCATTTCTTTCGCGAAGGTGTTCTCGGAATCTGTCACCTAGACGTCTTCCTGTTTCACCAATGTAAAATTTTTTTTGCAATGAAAACTCGTTATGCAACAGATGACATTGGCGGAGGTGCACGTGAAGTGATCAGTGATCTTGATGGATCTCTTGGGTCCCGACATTTTCTCTACGTTGTGTATGAAAGTACAAGTTTTGCATCGTGAGCGAGCGCAATTTGAAAGTTACAGGTTAGTCATTGGTTTGAAATGAACTTCTGACCAAAAAGTTGCCTATGTTTTTATCGTGTTTGAGTGAAATAAGTGGAGGTTGCGAAACTAAAGTACCAGTCTCTGAATCAAAACATTGTCAACAACACGGTTAACGCCCTTATAGCTAATCAAGAATTGCCGGCCACTACAAAAAGTCTCACCATTACCACTCATGGAACTTCGTGTATTTACTTTTTACCCAAAATCCACAAACCTAACAACCCGGGTCTACCCATCGTCTCTACCTTCAGTTTTCCCACCGAACTTATTTACAGCTATTTTTACAAAAGTTATGGCACCTATCGTAAAAACTTTACTATCACCTGATGATTAACACACACTTAAATTTTCGCGACTTTAATTTCCTTGGCCAAGACAAACTTCTTTTTACTATGGATATTACATCTCTTTATACTGTCGTTCCCAATGACGAAGGTCTTCTGGCCCTCAAACATTCTTCGATCTACGCACTGTTAAGGAACCAAGCTATGAAACACTACTCCGTCAAGCCGAACTAGTACCAACACTTAATTGATTTTCATTCGGTCGCAAATATCACAAACAAACTAATGGTGTAGCCAAGGGGACCAAAATGGGACCCAGCTGCGCTAATTTCACACATAGTTTGAAAAGAAACATTTACATGCATGATTTTCATTCATAGAAACTTGCTTTGAAGCTCGATCATTCATTACCAAAAAAGAAGATGCCATTTAAGTTTTTTTTAAATCGTTTATTTAAGCAAAGTTGTTTGTTCAATTTAGAGTAGACAGTCTCTTGATGGGTTCCATACGAATGGAACTATTGACCCAAGTTTACTGTGACAAAATGGAACACAAAATGTTTATAAATCTAAAGAACACAAGTGTCTAAATCGTACCAGAGGCAATTCTGCGATGGACATTCCTCTTAAAGAGGGGAGGGGGAATGATGACAACACCGACAAAATTCATGTTAAAGACCGTCACAAAGGCGACAAAAAACATATATATCCTGGTTCTAATACCACTCGAGTCTTAATTTCACACACCTAGAAAACTTTCTGAAGCCAATTCAAAGCCAGTTTCCTCGACATTTTAAGTGACCCGCTAGCTTCAATGATGTTAACAGGTGCCTAGGAAGCCCAGATGAGAAAGATGCACATTTCTGTTTCAGTGTCTTCATGGATGGTCTTCATTATTACCATCTTGTACCAGAAGTTCCCGGTTCTCATAGGTCCAAAAGCCATTCAAATCAATCAGAATACTTGTCACTGTCTCCCCTTGACCACTGTCAATTTAACAACAACTCAGTTAATTAGTGAAACCCAAAAATTCCACACTTGTACTGCATTGTATGGTCATCAAGAACAACAAAGCACTCCACATGGATATCCTATCTCCCTAATAACCACCCTGTGGCCTGCCCTGCCCTGACAACTCTGAGGGGGGTGGGGAGGGGGGTTGCAAATAAAAGTCACTAGCTTTAGCAAGCACAAGGTTGAGTTACAAATTGATTCCAAAGAAATTTAGTCAGCCTAAGAGTAATTCTGAGACCAATGATGTCAGTCCCCTTGAAACAGTTGATTACCAAAGAGGGGCTTAGACCAGGCTAAACAGAAAGGAAACTACTGCAAACTGATGTTACCAAAGTTTACCAAATGATGTTAATTCTTGCCTGACCTGTTAACAAGATCTTGCAGAGTAATTTTGTAAGGATCCTCAGGCTTGACCATATCAAAAATCTCATCCTGAAAAATAATATGATCAGTAGGTTTCAGCAGGCAGTAGAATGACAAAAAGCTTTTCAGAAAAAAAATGGAGAAGTCACTCCATGTAATATGCACAAAAAGATACCACAGAAAATTTCAAGCATGCAAATCAAACACAACACACTGATCTCATGGTTGTTTTCCAAGAGAAACATTATATTATCATAGTAAGTTCTTCACCCTGCCAACAGACTAAACAAAAATAAAGATTGAAGACTATAACTCATACAGCATTTCAGCTCCCAGAATCTCTTACATGTTACTGGTACAGTTTGATCAGCATAACTTGAAAGTAAGCAGTAAGTCTTAGCTCAAAAACTCTGTTCTCCATTCTTGAAACTGATTCTTGCAACTGATTCATGAAAGTTGCAAGAATGGAGAATTAAAAGAAAATAATTCTTTCTGGGCTTCACACCAAGGAGGGATGATCTAATGTACCAAAGCCTGTGTACTGCTGCTCCCTACTCTAAACACTGAAGGGTAGGGGCTTCTGTACAAACTACATTACCATGACATCTTTTTATGGTTACAAAAACTACAACAGTAATATCAGTCACTCATTACCTTAACATCAAGAAACTTCACTGGCTCATGTCCATGCTTTTTCATCTCCTCTTGAATTTCCTATAAACAAAAGATGGCCTGGCTGAAGTCTGACTGGCAAACCCATTCCTTAAAATATGATCATTAAATTATTTCCAAAAACTCACCCTAAAGAAGAAGTTTAATGAAAAGATGTTGAGATGTCCAACAGCCTAAAACAGAGACAAACAAGTGGATATCAAATAAAAAGCCACAAATGAAGCATTTTAGGGGGCTTAGAGGCCCCACATTATATTATTTTTAGGTTTTCATTAAGTTCTCTTCTTATGTACATCCTCTTACATGCATATGGGTATCCCTGAAGTTGTTTCAATGCTACTAGCACTCATCAAAATTTAAGTGCGCACATAACAGTTAAAGCTGTAGCTATGATAATCTGATATGTAAAGTAAGAAAAATACTATAACATGTTTTGAAGCAGTCAAACTCTGACAACATGCAGTAAATAATTCATAAGAACTCGGTTAAAAGCCCTAACTACCTTATATGTCTAACAGCATGAAGTTATATGTCACAAGACCTCTGTTTAAAGGCCTAACTATGAAACAAGTCTTCTTCAGCATAGTCAGAGCATGTGATTGCAAAGTCACAGGCATGACACATTCTAGGCAATCAAAATCTGGCATTTCACATACATGTGTTAATTGACTGAAAAAATGTTTTGTACATTCAAGAAAGTTGGGTATTTGTTTCAAATCACATTAATATTATTAGCTGATTTAACATCATGTACATGCAGGTGGGAGGATGACTGGGCCAACAAAGCACAGGTTGGCAGAGCACCACCTTTAAAAAAAAAAAAGTTGATGTTGGGTATACCTGCACATCCAGGATCCTAAACATGTACTGCAGTGCCTTGTGGAAACAAAAAATAGAAAGTTATACAAAAATCTCACTGATGCTCCAAAGGAAATATCACAAAACAGAGCTGGTGCATAGTTCTGAGTGTGTTTATACAAAGTACAATAAACTGTAATGAACACTTTGTCACAGATGACCCAATCCATGGACAAGTTGTCTGTAATTCAGTGCATAAAGTATATCAACTGTATAATTACAAGGTCTTCAGTTCAAATTCTAGCACGGGTCATGGAATTTTCCTTGTCCTATGCTAAAAATAAATCAATAACTAAGCTAAATGTAAATGTACATGTATATCACGGACTTGTTTGGATGACCATTAGAGCAAGCATTTCTCTGAACATTTTTGTGTGTAATGACACCAACCTGTGGTTCTTTTCTGTTTTCTAATGCAAGCACAAAATCCAAATATGTTTTGTAGTCCTGTAACAAAAATATCATCCACATTTCATTACGGTAGCTTGTTAAGTAAAATTATAAGTGGAACTAAATTTGCTGCATAGCTGAAAATGGTGTTGGTGTACCTAATTTTCCTGGTAAAAACATCAGCTGTCCTGCTAAAAACTGCATCAACAGGCACAAAACATTTCCTTCTTGATTAGGAATATCAGCACAGAATAAGACTACTCAGACTAAGCCATTACAACACTGCATGTCCAAACACACTATAAAGTACATAATGTAAGTGTCTTCAGTTATCCTAATGGAGAGTTTAAGAAAATCATGACGGTAATGGCAACAGGAATGTCATTAAATAAAAGGTTTAATGAGTAGAACAATAGCTGTGCTCATGCGTTCAACATCTTTGTAAATTTCTTTGTATCCTCTGCAAAACAACAACACGAAATGACTTTGTGTTGTCTGGAGAATGTGAACAACGACGGCTAATTTTGTAAATTTCTATTTCTAATTTAATGCTGTGTTCCATACTCAGTTTCGAAATAGTTTTGAGAGTAAGCAACAAACTAAATTACTTTAGGTTATCACGAGATTCATAGGTAAAATATAGGTTCATTTTGTAATTGACAATGTCCATGGTGTCGCTGTCATTTCCTAAACTCCCTGATGAGATTGACTGGAAGGGACCTTTATTTTTCTAGTCTTCACAGGGGGTTAACCACATGTTCAAATAAGTCAAAGATTACTTTGGACAACTGAATTAACAAAGACTAAATATTGATGGACAGCATCTCATGAGTACACATACAGATGTAAGTTTCACTTTCTCAATTCTGATTGACAACAAGCATAGATCTTTTGGCTGGCTAGCACTGCTTGTTTCTGACAAACCTATTGTAAGATGATGTCATACTTCCAAACAAATTGTTGTTACTCCTTTCAAGAGTGTGATATGTATCACCCTCAAGTGAATAATGCTCCTTAAAGTAGTCAATGTTGTCTTTTTATCAATGCTTACTCCACCATTAACTAACTCACCATTTCACCATCGTATGTCAAACATTCCTGAAACACTCTGTCCACAAACACCTTGGTTAAGGTTCCTGAACCATATCTACAACAGTAAGACTAACGTTTATCAACATTAAGATCATTCTGAGATATTTAATTAAAATTAGTGTTAATTCAAAGTGTAACAACTTCAAATGTAGCCATTAACCATACCTTGCTAATTCTTCTTTACTCAACATTCCATTATGATCAGTATCAAGACTTAGATATTGCCCTGGAAAGTAATTAAAACAGTTTTTTTTAATGGAAATGAAATAGCTGAGTTGAGTTTAGAGGTTATTAAACATTTTTAATGAGTCAGGATATTAAAATTAATACATGTGTGACTACCAATGCAAAACAATCTTACCATAGACTCTTAATGCCGAGGGTGCTGAAAACCAGTTTGCATCTTGTTGTTCTTTGGATAGGTCTTCATCTCTCAGCTACAACAGCACAAATAATTACTTGTCTACATTTTTCTTACCTCAATTCAACTACACAGATACAAATAATAGTTTGTAATGAAAGAAGAAATATCTAAATTTGCCTAGTTTATAGAGGTCATGATTCCAAGTAGGAAATACTCAAGTCACACACACATGTGCAACATATCAATAACAATTATTAAGGTTAGTCACATTCAAAAAATTACTGAAATTACATAATCAAAAGACACCATGACCAGAGGCAATAAGTACATTGAAACCAAGATTATGGTATTTTCCATTAAATTTCATAGTCTCTATGTTTTCATCTTCTTTGTGGCATTTCCAACACATTATTGTCACTGTTGTGAAACAGTTAATAGTGAGTAGTTGATATTGACAGCCATACCTCAAGGAGATCATCCAGAAAACTACAGGCAAGGATGTCTTGAATCTTTATTTTTCCTGTTGGAAAAAAAGGGTTTAACAAATTATAGAAAATTATTTCTATACTCTCTCCAATAGATTGTCAGATGTTTGTAAAGACCACTTACTGCAGAGGTGAAATAGTGTTCTTCTTCAACAGATTACAAGGGTGAAGTCAGTTTAGAACTATATCATCAAAATGTGTATTTTTAATTGGTTTCAAGTCATGTTTCACCCATGTGACAGAACTAGGGAATACATCCACTATTTGTCCTCTGTGTTTTATTACAACACTGCACCTACAATTACTGGAAATATTTGTAGAGAGGGTCACCTACATGTACATAACAGTTTCATCATGTGAAACAAGGCATTAAAAGTTCACAGACTGTTCAAATTTTAATGTTCCAGTTAACCCTTTAACTCCTAAGATTGACTAACATCCAATTTCTCCTTACAACATCACCCCTGAATCAAACATTAAGGTCATGAGATTCTCCTTGTCAGAACCCTCAGAAATGTCTAGGGAGTAGTATGGAGGATATGCATATTGATGTTAGGGAGTATGGGGTTAAAAGCAAGATTTGTATGATTCACAGTAACTTGTATAACAGCAATGCCAGTGACTTAATGCAATAACTTATCTCTTCACATACTCCAGTTTCAGTGGGAACATGAAACCACAACACAACTGTTTAGGGGGTGTGTCTGCTGCTGTCTGGCCTAAGCATTTTGTGGAATTAAGGGTAAAGAGATATTTTCAAAATTTAACAGGCTTCCCATCCACCCTCCTTACCTGTCCTGAGGGGATCCAAAAAGAAGAAAAACTTTCTAACAGCAGTGCACACGTAGAAAGAATAAAATGACTTCTCAAGGCCATCCAACTACAAAACAAAAGGTATTGTGGCATTTTTTATTGAAGATAAAATAGCCCTCTGCCTCCATAGGAAAACAATAGGACCTTAAGCAGTCAGGACAGCAACACCAAAGAAGAATTCAATTAAAAAATGAATTTCTGCCTTTAATTAGAATTTCAAAAATGGCTGCATTTGTTAACCATCTCATACATCACCACACCTCAACTTCAGCATAACATGTAAAAGAAGCTTTGGGTTTTGAATGGAAATTAAAATAATTTGCTGTCCCAGTTTCAGTTTGCAGACACAAAGTGTGGTGATTTCATGTTGTTGTTTTGCATAGGACAGCTAAGAAATGTACAAAGTTTTAAAACACACATGCTGAGCTATTTTTCTTCCAATTAGATATTTTGTTTTTTCCATGTCCTCATTGCCCTCACTGTCGTGGTTTGCTTAAGGTCCCCAATATGATGTACATGTAAGAACCTCACTTTTACACCCTTATTGAAAATCACTTGTTCCTTGAATAATATTATTGGAAAGGAGTTGTCTGACTGGACAATATCACTCAACACCACCAAAAAACAAATAGCATTTCAGTGCTGGCTGTAATTATTACAAAGTTACATATACTTGATACTTGTTTATTGTGAAGTATTGTATATTGTGCACAACCATCAAAGAGTGTGAAATTAAGTATTTTTTGAAATATTCAACATTGTAAACTTAGCACAGACCATCTGTGATATGATGTGGTACACTGTGGTGCACTGTTGTGATAAAGAATAACCAAGTGATGAACAACAACTGATTTCCAGAGCATAATATATATTATTGCCCAAGTACATGTGTATAAAGATAAAAAAAATACCTGAGGTAAGGTTGGGATTAACTCCAAAATATAATTTTCCAGGTCCTGAAAAATATAATAAAACAATCATATCCTGTAACAGTCATGAGTAATCTTCAACAGATGCATTGCAATTTTTAGTTATTCAACACAAATTTATGATTTCTTAATCAATCTCTTTCCCACACTGAGTGATACTGGCACTGGTTCTTGGATAAGCAACTCTTGCCCATATGCAAATATGTGAGCTTGTCAACAGTGGATCCACAACTAAAGCTCTAAAAGAGAAGCCAAGCAAGGAATAACCTTGCAAATTAAAACTAAGACACACTGTTCAGTTATTAATGTCTTTGAAAAACCATTACATTTTCGGATGTGAGATTGACGAAAGCCAAAAATTAGGAGTTACTAATCAATTGACAGAGAAATCGCTGTTTAACATGTAATGAAAAATTGATTTGTGCTGGGAGCATAGTTTACCCTGATACCAGTATTTACAAGCTTACCGACTCTTTCAAGTATCCTTGTCCTGCAACATCATACAAACTGAGACCTATTCTGGTTTGATGAAGCCAAACTGCAAATATAAAAGACAAACTCTTTTTCCAGCAATTAGATAACTATGCATCATAACCAAGCAATAACCAATTCACTAAGTACATGTTGAAAAAGAGCTTCATAGGCAATAAGAATCTGGGTTGAATCTTGCCAAAGCAGATGAAGTGCACTTCAAACACATCCTTTGAGCCACAGTCCAACCATTTCAAAGATTCATTTTCTTTTTGTAGTAGGGACAATCACATTAATTGAATTTAAAAATTTTAGCCTACTCAAACTACTCATCTACAGCTACATGTATGTGTATATCAATGACCAGGACAGAGTAACAGAATTCAGAAATTCAGAAATACAGAAATTTAATTCTTAATAGTATAAATCTGTATAATATCCACTATCAAAACAAGCAAAACTACCCTTACTAATACTACATATTTAGTTCAAGTAGGTACAAAAAAATATTAAGTTGATGCTTGGTATTTACAATAAATTAACTGTAAGCAAAGGGTAATTGTAAAGAACAAATTTTATCCTCATATATTTTATCCTCACATAGGCCTAAAAAGTGTGTTGTGAGCTCAACCATGAGAGATTGTTGCTCACAGGAAGTTGAAGTTGATGTCACCCAAAGTGGCTTCAGCCAGGTAAAGGAGGTCTCAATATCACTGATCACATGAATAAAAATCCATTAGCTAACTCAAACTTACCTTTACGCATCACATAATTGAAAAACTGCATGATTGATATCCTGAAATAAACAGAACACCTTCAAATTAGAAGACTCTGTGCATTCTTTCATGTTTCAAAAAATGCAAGTACATGTAAAATCCACAACTATCCACTTAACTTAATCCTAATTTTCAAAACTTATAAATTTTAGTTGATGTTTGTTCTTTATTAAAACTAGCAATGACGTATTCCAGCTGTTACCAGTAAGTTTGGATTGGTTCACAGGTCATGATATCTGATTTACCTACACACTTGCCAACAATTCCACCATCATTGCTGAATAAACAAAGCATTTTTTTTTGGATCAATGACCAAAAAGAATTATTCCATTTGCACTTATTGAATATGAGTAAACTATGCACTTGCAGGCTTAATTGTTAACTAATGTGCTCACCTTCCAAAAGGATCCTGTTGAAACAGCTTGGCAAAAACAGTTGCACTAAAAAATGGCCTAAAGAGTATTCAAGAAAATGAAAAATTATAAACACTGCTTACAAAAAAAATCTCTATCAATGATAAAGATATTTTCTCTGTCTGGAAGGATCTGTATTTGTCAATGTCTAAGGAGTACTGTATACCCCTCATCCAATCCAGTAGGTCTATAGTAAGTGACCATTCTTTCTTTCCTAACAAGAGGAGTGACAGGTCTGTACTTACCATCACACACAATGTTAAACAATTTCTTTATCCTAGCACAACAAGGTTAGGTCAAGCCTTACCAGCCTAGTTTCCAATAACTGCTGAGTATTATCTAAGTTTCTATCACAATAGGTAACAAGGAATTTGTCTTTTTCTTTTTAATTGAAACCTACTCCATAGGTAATTACAAAGGTAACTAATCAAATTTCACACTTGGCAGGCCTTTATTTGTATTCCTAGCTGGGGAGAGATACAGTGGGAGCAAAACATGGAGCACATGAACAAAACATAAAGACCAGGCTAAATTTTACACCATGACCACTTGGTAGAGAGTCTAACACAATTACCAAAAGGCCAATTTGTCTCCCTGTATGTCTAAATAATGTTTGGAGGATGGATTTTGTTCATGTTAATTTTATATTCAAGGCTATGCTCTTGCACAATACAGGTACCATGGGCTACTTAATCAAGCGTTGAGGCAACCTTAATGAATAACTTTTATGAAGTAAACCTTTTAAGATCTGGGCACTCCAGATCTCTGAGAACAAAGCCCTTGGGTCCCTGTGATTTTTCTATGGGCAAAGCTATAATAATAAACATATAATACTCAGATAATTAAAAAGAGGCTAAGAATTCCTCTATTTTACCTGCATTTTTCACCAGCCTCTCTAGCAACTTTCAAGAAATCTTCATAGTTGATCATCTATTTACCAAATGCAAAAGGAATAAACATGTTGTCTACAGGACAAAACATAAAACAACCCACAAAAAATTTAATCACTTTTAATATCAAACACAGACCATAATGTTTGGGCAACACAGTTATTGACTGCCAAAGCAAGATGCTGGCACTAGAGATTTTTAAACTAATAAAACCACTAGGGGTTGTGTGAGCAGGAAAGCATTGATTAGCTTGATATTGGCTGAGCTTTAGAGTGATCTGAAAGCTGATACAATAAAACAGCTCAGACTACCTGATCATGGGCATGTTCCCTACAGTAATTACCAATCATCACCCAGCCTGATCTTTGTACACACATTACCTCACTTCAGAGAAGCTTGGATTACTATTAACATTTAACTAACCTTCCTAATTTCAAAACCCTTGAATGAAATAAGATTCATATGTATAATGTGAAAAGACAATATTATATTTCTGACAAAAATTCCTTTAAATGCATGGTTACAATGAAAATATTTTTTACAAGTAAATTATGCCACAAAGATGTAGCACCATCACTGTCTCACAGAATACCTGTTCATCTCCAAACAAAGGTGGTGTGTGGTGCTTATCAAGTAAAAACCACAGGTTCTATAATGAAAAAAAGAATAACCATCAATTAGTAAGAATGCGTGTATCAAGAGATACATGGCTGTGAGGATTATTCTGAAGTTTATTACATGAAGATCTTACGAAAAACATAAAAAAATCAAGCAATCATTTCACCTGCAGTTCATCATTGTCGAGGAGCTCTCTACTTTTTCGCTGGAGAAACACAGCTCGTGATTCCTCACGCAGTTTTTGCAACAAAACTTCATCTTCTGAAGGAAGCTGACCACCAAGAGAGAAGAAAATAATTTAATTAACTTGAAAAGTTGACAAAATAAATTCAGGAGGGATAGAGACTAAATGCATACTCTGTATACAGACTATACATTGACATGATCAATGCTAGAATTATCATCCATCCATCATCGTAAAAATGTCTTTTAAATTGTTCAAGCTATCATCTAGGTTCCGAATGGAGAATATCACTTTGAGCGCATGAAGTAATTCCTTTAAGTTGGCAACTTTCTTGTTGAACTTTTGGATGGTACGAACGAAACTGAATTGGACTAGATAACTCTTAACTACCACAAAAAAATTTAAGCATTGTTTGTACAAAGCGCACATAAAACAGGCAGACACCTTGAAATAAAATCTAGGTATCGCATCATAACTTTTGGTTTTGCCTTTCCCTGCTCCTTTCCAATCGTTGTAATACTTGGTAAACAGCTCTGTCTCGCTGGGAGACCTTTTTGCTACATTCTCAGCATCTAGATTTTGAAAGAGAGGAAAAGAAACAGCGATTATAACAGACAGACAAGACACTTTCCGGGAGTTGCATTGCGACAAAACATCATACCTTCTTCTTTCTCTGCCTTTTTCCTCTCGTTGAACCTTCGCAATGTTTCAACCCATCCTGCTGCACTCATTTCAGTTTGCGAAACCTCTTGGCATTCTAAAGTGATGGACTAAACTGGAGAAATTTTTCTGCCCACTGTTTCCGCCATGTTTTATTTCAGACGATCACACGGCCGTAAAGGTATCATGGGAAAGAAAACGCACACCAAACTCGTTCCTAGTCTTAATTAGAGTTCTCATATTGAGGGGCAAAATAGCCCGTCACGATCACCATTGCTAGTTTTGAACCGTTCAGAACAATTGATGAGGTCAGTATAATGGGCTCCTGATGAGGTATATTGCTAAAAATATACCGATACCATAATGAAAATTCTTCATCCGTATGGAAAAACCTGTTCGAAACTGAAAGTTAGTTTGCGGGAAAAAGAAATTCTAACCACCTTCCACGAGTTTTTCCTTGGGAAAAAGATTCAAGAAATAATCAATGATGTAAGTTTTGACCAATCAAGACCGGAGCAATCATTTGGAGAATATCCATCGAGAATGGCTCGACCAATCAAAACAATCTGCTTGTTCCAGTTTCGTGCTTTCATAATCATTGGTACAAACAACACAGAACTCTCAGTCTCATTAGAATAGAATACATTTCATTCAACATGTCTGGTCGTCCTCCTTATGGAACCCTTCCCCTCGCTCAACAGGAAAATAATGGGTTTAGACCACTCTTAAGGCCTCGCGGTAAAACTGCTACAATTGCTTCAGTTGTCATCGCTGTAATTGGAGGAACGATGTTGCTGTTTGCTGTGAAGGAGAAGGAAGACAGAGAAGGAATTCATTTCATTTTGTTTATAGCAGCCTTGCTAACCCTAAGTCTAGTTCTCGGAGAACTATTGCGAAGATTCTGCCTGGTGTTTGAAGAGATTCGACACAAATACACGAGATATGAAGGAAAGTGGAGGCTCATTTTTAAGGCAACTCTTACTTTCGAACATGGAAAGTGTATTTTGGTCGCAGCCACTGCTTCCGCTCTGACATTGATTTTCTTCTTGTTTGAACATTACGAGGTTTTCTGTTGTTCACCCTATGTCATCTTGTTTTCACTCAACTGTTTCGTCATTCCGCAGTTGCTGTTTCTGTTGGGTCTCCGACAACCTTCTACTGCTGAGAGATCGGAAATCAACGAACGAGAAAACAAGAACGTTGCTGAAGGACTGGCCTGGAGCTACTACTTCGGGTATCTAAAGCTGGTGCTGCCAAGGCTCGAGCGTCAAATAGCAAAATCGGAGCAATTCCGCTTCAAGATAAAACACAAAAGGCTTTTCATTTTGTTACCCAAATCGTGCTACACATATCCTGAAATCGCAGAAGCAGATTACAGGGTGAAATCTGTTGGTAATCTCCCGGGGAGCAAAATAAACAGGGGAGGAATCAAGGATAGGATTTACAAGCACACAGTACATCGGGTAGAGATGCTCCGCCCAGATGGAACGACAGAGGAATACTACTTTGTACTGGAATACGCCACCGCTCTGATGTCCTTATATCAGATGTCTCAGAATGCGGCTGCTCCGCTGAGTTATCAGGATCGAACAAATCAGGTAAGTACATTACCAATCAAAGTCTAACCATCCACATTTGAAGCGATATAACGGGACCATTTGTAAGAGGAAATTGAGCCCCGTCTAAAATAGGACCCCAACGCGAAATGGGATTTTGCGCACAAACGTGGTTGAAATAGGACGCAAAGTGCTCTTATTTAATGGTCCGTATCTTACTTGCGTCTTAAGTTAACCGCAATCTTTTGTAAATCTCTAGGAAGAAAAAACTTTTTGCAATCCTCAAATTACCAAGAAGTTGGCGAATTCTTTCTTTCGCTAGCACGAGTTTGTTCAGTTACTCTGTAAGATTGTGAAGATTAAAAGCAGAGCGCAGTTTCTCTAAGGAATTTACCCGTCCATTTATCTGTTTTTCTTTAAGGAATAGAGAGTTATTTAGAGTGATGATGACGTTTTCAATATTTACCCTTCGTGGTGCGAAAAAGTCCTGACGATAAAATAAAGTGAAATTTTCAAGCTAGTTGGTTCCTAATAAATCGAAATTAGTTTACTTCAAGGACTGACATGCATGAGATATCTGATACTTCATCACTGATTTTTAGTCTCGCTCATCCTCGGGCTCTACTGCCCTGACTTGAAATCGACTCACAGCCCTTGGGTCTCCGAGGATGAGTCTGGCTAAGATACTGTTTTACCTACAAACTTAAGGTGGAGATGTTCATCTCGAAACTGACGGATATTCTGAAAAGCTGCGAAGAATGTAGAGGGAAATATGAATTGGTGCCAATTTCAGGAGATGAATCAGACAAGATTGCAGACGTCCTGGTTGGAATTCATAATAGAAAGTTGAACGAGGAAGTTGAATTACTCTGAGAGACACTCTGAAACGTAATACTGGCTAGTTTTTTCATTGTATAAAGAAAATGCAGAGAGGCTTGTGTTCAGGCTGCCTGCAAGGAATGAAGTGTGTTTGACGAAATGTACGGATTTGTCCGGGACTGAAAGCGGAGCTCCTTAAGTTTTTTTTAAAGCGGAGCTCTATAAGTAATTAAAGCGCAGCGCTTTAAGTTTCTGTAAAGCGGAGCTCTATGTAGTTTAAGTTGAGCTCTGGAAGAATTTAGTTACCCCCGGCAAAACCCGAATAAAAGCTTATCTAGTCCGTCTTTTCCCTGATCATTAACTCCTAAATCTACAAAGCCTAATTTTTTGCTCTTAAGACTTTGATGCCGATTGTTTTAAAAATTCACATATTTTTAGCTAAATCATTTTCATTTTAATATGAAGCTCTAGAGAAAGATGAGGAGCGAATTTGGTTTTTATAGGGTCAATTCAAGCAACACAACGTCTTATCCGTCGTAAGTCCATAATTCTGACACCAACGCATTATGCCAAATACAAACTTTCTCGGTGCTATCATAATTTTTAAGGTTTGTAACCCTCGGTGGAAATGGAAGGGATGTTTGCCCATCATAGACCTGTGCGTTTGTTGCTTGAACATTACTTGACCGCTGAAATATGCTACTTTGAAACGATTTTTTACGGCAGTTGTAACTGAGAACATTGAATTTAGCGTTTTCATAATATCAATCTTATTCCAACGACTTGCGAGACGGTGTGAAAACGTTATATGACAAGCACTTCTAAAAGATACAGAATTTCAACATCCTGCGTTGAGTGAAACCAAAATATATGGGTTTTTTTAACTTCTCTCTCTCTCTCTTTTCTCTCTCTCTCTCTCTCTCTCTCTCTCTCTCTCTCTCTCTCTCCCTTCGCAAGACCAAGGATGACCAAGGATGTACACCACCGTAATTTTCATGGAAGAACTCTATTATCTTTTTCTGTCAATTTGGTAACTTTTAGTCTTTAATTTATTTATAGTTATTAACAGGTTTTGGCATTTTATGTTTTGGCTGTTTTGTTATTTAAACCTTGGTAGAGCCTCATTTAGGCGTGTATAGAAAAAGGGTTTATCCTTCTTTAATTAACAAGTTAGCGTCATGTTTTGTTTTATCGTATAGTCCGGCCTCGCAGCGGACACTATCCATGACACATGCATTAGAGGATTATTTACTGGTTTATAATGAATCATGGTAAACGCTTTGTTTTAATCTAGTTTGCTTTTTCTTTCACATGTTTATTTTCTATGGTGTGATCAAATTGTTGGTTGTTGTATCGAACACTGTAAACATAGAAAGACAATCACCCGATAGGCGGAGAGCTTCCGACATGCATGACCTTCCCTTGTAAGTTTTTAACTTTAAACAAACACGTGTACCTGTGAGTTATTGGAGCATGAACAATTTTAATGCATTGAAGTTTTGAGCTACTTTAGTGGAAGTCAGTGGGGATTAAGTGCCAAGGATATCTAAATGTTTATATGGCAACGGAAGCGTAAAAATAAAACCGTAAGTACAACATTAAAATAACTTCTCGCTGTGCATAATGAAACTGATCTTTAGCGTCAAAGAAAAAAGGACGAAATTATTCCTCGAAGGAATTTCATTACTTTTTACGAATTAATCTTAATTTTGTTTTTCTTTTACCTGTCTGACCTTTGTAAAGACTATTTATACAGCGTAATGCCCCGGTTTTAACCGTTGGGAGTTAGCTCTCCATGAGCAGTCCTTACAATGTGTTAGAACTACCAAATCTCCTCCAAAGGACTTCCTGTTATCATTTAGACTGCTATGTTGTATCGTAATTCGAACATTATTGAGGACTAAGAAATTTTTTTTTTGGAAAATCTTGACAATTTGAAGAATTTAGAGGGCACTTGATGAGTAATTAGCTCTTAATTAACGAGTCTCGTGACTAAAATGATTTTTAACAGTTTAGGAATGAAAAGGCGTTTTTTCTGTTTGGAACCACACTGCATTAACACCTTCAGTTTATAGAAAGGTTCTTTCCTTAAATATTATGGATTATTTTAAGGTTTAATTTTTTTTGTCGCATATGAAGACCTTTCATGCAATGTAAGCCCCCTTACGTTTCACTGTGGATTAAGGTATTAGTTTTAAACCAGTGGCTATGACATGGAAAATATCTAATAAATCCACTGGAAAATGTCACAAACGTGAAAAAAATTGTTAATCGTGAGAGTATTTCGCCAGAATTGAAGTAGAGGTGTCTCTTTTGCAGACCTTATTATGTCTATTCGCTGGATAACATAACACAGCATCAATAACCGGTAATAAGCGATGAATAGGAAACATTATTTACTCTCTCTAGATTATGTTGTTAATCTTGAAAAAGAATACGTTAAAATTGATTGTACTGAAACCGATAACTCTATATCTTAAAAAGAATAAAGGGACTGACCACGAGGTAAAAAACTTTTGAGAACAATAGCTTTATTCGCCAAATTGCTGTGTTTCGGCTTGTTTTATTCCTGCAATCTTTGCCGGATACAAAAGCAGATTAAGTGACAGTTTAAACCAGCGCACTAGGATACTGGCTGGATGTGCAACAAAACCCGGCTTTACTTTGGTATGGACCATGATCGAGGTCCGGTGTAATTTTCTAATTTCCGGCTTCCAGATTCTTAGCTGTGACTGAGATAAGTTTTTAATTTTTTTCCAATCCGTTCGAAATTACGTAATGAAACTTGTGATGAGTAAGTGCCTCTTAATCGTCATTGGTTATAAGAAGTGTGTTTATTCAAATAGTCCTATTAAAGTAATTGTTGTGACTTCAAATGACTCAGTCGCTTTTGACATTTCATCGTGGCGTGTGTAACTTCAACCTCTCAATGTTACGGGTTGATGCGACAAATGGTTTGCGGGATTTCGGTCACTGTTAGAAGAGTAACTTATACAGAGAAATCAACTCTTCACGAAAAAGTTCAGTAATCCCATAGGAAGTTTCAAGGTAAGATCTTAGCCATGTAGGACTTTTTACGGCATGCGGTAAACGACAAAAGGATTGCCTTTTCCATAGAGCCGTTGCTCACGAGAAGAAAGTACTTGCAATTACTGTGAACAAGACATCTTCTAGCACTCGTGAAAGGTTGATTTCATATTAATGGGAAAAATCAGTGATTGTGTTATTTATTTGCCATTGCCATAAAAGTCATACTTTAACTACCTGTTTAATATTCAGTTTAGTGCAATGTCACGGCTTTGCTAAAATTGCATGGGAGAGCAATCCTTAACTTAAGAACACATCCAAGTCTACGAGGATGTTTGCAAATATTGATTTTTCTGACCAATTTCTTGTGGTCACTGATTGTCTCTGCAAGTAGGACGTGGGCTGAATATTAACTTGGACATAGTTTAGTGACGCATTTTCCATAGAGAGTGAAGGAAAAAAAAATGATAGAAGCATTCCGTAGAATAAGAGAGAGAGGAATGACAAGGGTAACCGGTAATAGACTTCTAAGTGGCTACATACCAGATGACTCAAAAATATAGCTCTTATAGCTTAAAAATTTGTTATTTCCACTATTTTGCCTCCTGTAGCCTTTGTCGTGTTTACAAAGTAAAGGACTGCAATTACTTAAGCTCTTTAACAACCCACATTCATAACCTTCCCATTTCCGTCATCTGATGACCATACCTCAACGCTGAGATTGCGGTACATTTTTCTGGTGAAGCATTTTCTTAAAATCCTTGGAGGTCGATTCCAAAATTTGATATTGCTCTTAAAGCTAGTCAATTATGCGCATAATTTCTCTAAAAGAACCACTCAAATTATGAATTAATTCTCATACACTTTGTTCAGTGTAATAGCCTGGAGCTACCTCACGCAATTAGTAAAGGTTCTCACGTCATTAGTTCAGAGCATCTTAGTCAGTCGTCTTTCGGTGGTAGTTTTCGTTTGAGTGTATTGAACTTGTGGTTAGGAAGAAATTGTGATGAACACGAAATATTTGTGCTTCAGTGATATCTTTGTTTGTTCGTTTGTTTGCATTCCTACTCTTCTCAAGAAGCCGTCTGTGTCAAAATATCTCACAACTTTGGCTTTCCGGCGAATTATTAAAAAAAATTCCCCTAATATTGTGGATGATCGTCAGCAGCGAAAAGGAAAAATCTTTAACGGATATAGTATAAAAAAAAAAAACTGACACACACAGCATGGGTTTGGAGAAATTATCGGATTATGGCCATAAAAAATCGTGGACTAATTTTTCACCTTCCGTAACTCGCCGATTGTGAGTTTGTGTTTATTTAGAATTTCCTACTTCCTTTGCGTGTTGTCTGAGCACATGTCTAAGAACTATCTCCGCCATGGCGCTACACTAGTTGTATGGCTATGCACTGTCTGTTCCCTTCAAAGAATTAACACATTCCCTCAGAATTTAATGTGTGACTGATCAAGTGAATAAAACAAGGGAAATCTAACTACCCGGCCTTCAGGTTTTCGTGTTGGTGGTTTTTAATTAGATACCCTCTTTTTCGGGCCAACGGAGGCTAAAATCGATATAAAGGATGTCGAGCTATGTTAGGGCTGAATAACTCGGGTATAAACGTCCGTTGTCAGAAGTGCACAGGATTACCGGCGCTGAGAACATGCACGAAACGTTAAGGTAAATTCTTATTTATTCCAGCCTTATTTGAATTGTTTTTAGTAACACTAAACAGTTTTTATTCTTCTAAATTTCAAATTCTTTTTCATCTGATTCAATTCTGTTGATAAGCCAGAGATCCTTCAGGCCATGTCATGTCATTTATTACGCTTAGACGGAGAGACTATTTACTGATCACTGTGTCAATTTGATTGCTCTATGAAGCATGCGATTTATCGGCGTCAAGGAATCTTTTCTTGTTATATTCTCTCAACATCTGAGGGTCTAATATGCAGTGTCCAGTCGGGAAACGTTTTATAAATAATTGGATAGTAATTTCTTCGAAAGGAATGTTTATTAAATTCGCATGTGGACAAGTCAGTATATAGCTGCGGGCAAATACAAGTCAATTAGTCGGCCACAAAATAACAGTCCAACTAAAGTGCTTCCTAATTCAAATTCACTCGCGAACATAATCACAACTCCTTAATTTGGCTTTTGTTGCACAGTGTATATGCGGTCTTAACTGAGCTACCGGATAAACTAGGAAACTTTTCAAAGGCATTTATTACATCAACTCATGGTTTTAATTTCCTGCAAGAGGATGTATGTTTTAATTCAACCTAAAAGGTAAGGCAATGACTGTAAAAGGAATAACAAGAGTTTCACGTGTATCGGCAAAAACTTTTGAGTGCTAAATGATAAGACTGAGATTACTTTTAGAAAAAAACATTGCATTTGGCGCGGATAGCTATTGATTCGCTTTGCAGTCAAATTTTTTTTTAACAGAATGAGTTGTAGCGCGTAGAAGCAAACTATCAACAAATGATATGTTACACGTGAAACTTTTTCAGTTCGTCATCATAAGTATATTGTTACTCTTTAAATGTGTCTTCAAGCATCAATATTCGTATGCGACCATCTTTCAAAGATCGAAAAAAATCATGAATCGGCAATGACCCACGATCTTAAACGTGGGTCGTTTCAAATACACCCCACTATCTTCCTTGCTCTCTTCTCTTTATGCGCTAAGGTAGGCCAGAACGTTTGCCTGTATAGGCAAGTGTCTACATCAGCTGAGTACCAGGTGGAAAAACTATGAGAAGGGCATATTCTTAGCGGGTGAAGATCTCACAGTCTATAGTGCTTGCAGTCGCGGTTTTAAGGTGACCTTATCAGCGCTATATACTTAATGTGTCCTTGCTAATATTAACCATTCGCGAGTTAAGATATGGTAACCGCATCAAGAGTTTAAAGTGTGCTCATAAGAGCCCATTCTCCTGTCTGAAATGAATTTATTTGTCCAGTTAAGCAAATTTGTGCGCAAAATAAATTCAGAAAGCTCAGATTGATGATAGTCGAAAACATGTGAAAAGACAGAGAAAGGAGATCTAAAAGAAGAAAAAAAGTTGAAAAGAGAATATTATGCAATAAGTAATTAGCTTGGTAACGATAATGAATTGCGATTGTCACAAAAAGGGCAGGCGTCCAAAAGTCGGCTTTCATTCTAGCACATTCGCGGATGTGTAACAGGCTAGTGGTTTTCAAATGTCTTTCGGCATCCACTAAACTCTTTGTAATTCAGAAAACTCATATATAGTTTTCTACTCAATTCGTCAAAGCCATTGTTTCTCGTCCAATCCAGTTCGATGCCTAAACCATGCAAGCCACGTGACTTAACTGCGCTTTCATCACGGCAACAGATCTTAATAGACTTCTAATTGGCTCAAAAGGAGGCTATTTGCGGCTCGTGTGATGGTTTATTATAGAAACCCACTTTGTTATATCATTAAACAAATCTTATTATATATGTCTTTGAAAATGATTTGGAAAAAAGATAACCTCATATCATTGCACTTTTTAGTTTGTCGCTAAGTTGACAGCTGACAAAAATTTACAAGCCAGAATGGAAAGAATGTTGCTCCTATATGCGAGCCGTGTTCTCGCCGCTTTAATCCTGAAGATCTTTGATCGAATGAGTAAGACCTAATCAAACGAGCTTATACTTCAATGGAATCTGATACGAATTGCGCTTAACGAGGAGCATAGTGCTCGCAATCGTAAGTTGTTCAATCGATAAGAGGTCAAACTCGACACAATAGGACCATACGATAAACTACATGTTGACTGCTTGAGCCGGAAAATCCGCCTAAAAGTCCTTGACTCTCGGTCAGCGCTGATCTCAGTTAATTGAATATCAAATAGCTCGATCGAAAATAAGATCCTATTCATGGTCAAGAATTGTATTTTTACCAGTATGCTGTTCTAATCTTTCAAAGTTTTGTTCTCAGTAATCGGTTTAATAGACTTTATGGCTAAAAACGTCTCTTGATTACTGTGGTTTCTCTCACACGGGAAATGCTTTCTGTTCCATCCCGTAAGTGGCATTTACCCTGAATGACACCTGTTGGAATCATCACTCTCGACGGAAATATCGATCTTTCAGATATTACCGTTTGAGATTCTGTGGTTATCCTGGGATAAATTCACGTCAGCGCAAAATTTTCAATGGGAAGTCGGCGGAGAATTTGACAGAAACGTTCAAGTAGGTGGTGAGGTCGCTGAAGCTTGAAATATTTCACGCCCATAAAGACATAGCTTTTCGGACCGCCTCTCATGCTTTTTATTGCCCATTGGTGTTTGTCTCAAAACTACAACTATAAACTGAAACTCTGGAAATTTTAAGCAAGGTTTTTCTACCTGTTTTAGATCGCAAACACGTAAGTGATATTTAGGGGCTCGCCGGTGATGACTGTCGTGCAATCTGTGTGACTGATTTCAGATTCTTTGATGACGTAAATGTCAGTCGCTTAGTCCGGCGCTCCGTTGGTTCCAGTTACTATTTTAACAGTAAATATTTTGTCGCAAATGTTTATTGATGTATTTTGTTGTTAAGTTGTTCCCATATTGTATTGGTGAGTATTTCTTATCATCCCTACCATCTAGAAACTTTAGTTGCAGCGAACACTGAAATCATTCCCTCAACCAAGGGTAAAATGTCGTTGATAACATTGTTTAAAATGTTTCTTTAATGCTCCTCGCAATATTCCTGCAATAACAATTTTTAATGATCTTCTTTTAATTGAATGCACAAATATTGTGTTGAAAAATCTGTACTGCCCTATTATCATCATGATACTGTTTAAAACACATTGAATCCGAGTGGATCTCATCAATACTTCGTTGTATCCAGCATCCGTGCAAAACAATGTAAGTTCCGACAAAGCACTTATGTTCTCAACATCTCATCGTGCGCATATCGGAAGATACCTAAATTGATAAAACTCTCTTTTTCAGAAAAATGATCGACGGTGGAGAACATGATGCCTCCACGCATCCACAGAGAAAAGCAAACATAATTTCCTTTCTGCTCTTCTGGTGGACAAACGATTTGTTCAAAACTGGAAACCAGCGCCCTTTAGAACAGTCTGACTTCTGGCCGTTGCACGAAGAAGATACAACTTCTGAATTGACAAAACAGCTTCAGTCACAGTGGATGAAAGATCTCAACGACCACAAACTAACTGAAAAAGAACCCAAATTGTGGAAAAGTGCTTTGAAAGTTCTCTCTCTTAAGGACCTGTTAGTAATTTCCTTTGCTGGGCTGATAGACTCCGTGGGTCGATTTCTACAACCTTTTTTCCTGGGGGTATTTATTTCTACACTTATGTCGGACAGGCCAGAAAGAAGTCTGCTTTGCGGGTGCGCTGTATTGATGCTGATAATTGTAGTGATGAAAAGTGTCGCTGTACATCATAGTAGCTTCAAACTGTACGTAATTGGCATGCGAATGAAGGCGTCTCTCAAGGGAGTCATCTTTAAAAAGGTTAGTGACCTCACCAAAATCTCAAAAAATAAAGAAAGAAAGGGTTGACCATTCAGTTTATTGAAGAGAGTATTTCTTCAGGTGCAGCCTATCTTCCAGAGAGAAAGATCAGTCAAATTTGTACCAAATGAGAGAAATTCGTATTTGAATGGGAAGGAAATTAGTTATATCAATCAGTTGTAATAATTAGCTGTTCTTTGTCTATTCTCGTCTTGATTCATTTTGCTGTTGCCATATACGAGAGTCAAGTGCCCTCCCCTTCCAGTTTATGGGAACTGTTGATAAACAGAAAAAGAGGACTTAAGGTTGTCTAACGACAAAAGAAACTGTGAGATTTAGGTTGTGGAGTCGTCTGGCCCTGGTTCGGACGTGAACCCAAAGAGGGCCGACCCATTTTGCGAGGAACTAACCAACTGCAGTTATAACGTGTAGATAATGGACGGAATGATAAGTGACGTTATTTTTCAAGCGAATACATTATTTTGAATCCAGGCGCACAGACGTTTTAGCTAATGGAATAAATGACACGTGGCTAAAATCAAGGTTCTATCGAGAAGCATATTGATGAACATTTTTTAGAGAAAATATACTTCAATTTAACACCTTCGCGTTTTTCCTTGACCGGTTAGTACATTATTGTCCGGAAACCCAAAAACCAAATTTTGAAGAAATACTGCTTTTTACCGGAAGGATGACTACGAAAGATTGCTAAAGCTTCTCGCCAAATATATCACGCCTAAAATGAATGAATCGAATACTAATCGATCACACCACTCAGTAAACATCGTGTAATCAAGGTGCTAGTTGTTTGTTTGCCGGGAAAGGATGAACATGCAAATATATCATTTTAATATTTCATCCAGACAGAAAGAGTTCGTCTCGACAGGACATTGTTACCATCAATTCCGTGTTTTCCGGAATTTCCGATTCATTCGCAACGGAATGTTCTGTGTAAATTTAGCTTATTGCTGTAGTACGAGGTCTTCTGAAAGATTTTTGGAGGAGTTCCATCTGTCAATAACGGCACGGCAAGATAAAAGAGCATTTTTTTCCGGATAACTACGGTTTTGTGTGCATCAAAATGCAGCAGAGGGAAATCACATTCCGCAGAGAAAAAAAACCCATGGCAGGATAATAACTAGTCCAGCTGTGCAAGCCAGAGTTATAAGAATACAAAATAACATGCTCAAAGATTAACAAATTCAATTAAGTTCAAGCAGATCTAAGTTTTCAGTAGGGATTATTGAAAAACCATATTTATATACTTTGGAATCCTCTTTGAGGTTATCAACTTGATTGGAAGTGACAGCTTTTGCAACATCTTGATTTTCGATGGGATACAAGAGGATTTGAAATACATTAAGACACAACTGAGATTGAGTGAGGGTTTGAAATGCAAATTTTGTTTATCCTGTGAATTCTCCTACGAAGTCTGTGGTCTTGTCTGTTTATTGAAAACTTCCGTCGCAATGATAAATCATTGTGGTGACAATTTACACCTTATCGATCAACATCTTAAAGCGTTTCATTCGAATTTTCTTCTATCCTAGATTCTACAACTAAGCCAACACACGCTAAACGACTTTACCAAAGGTCACGTGGTCGATCTGGTGTCCAATGACGTTCAAAGAATGGAACAAGCTGCCAGGCAATTCTTCCGCCTTCTCGTCGCCATCTTTGATGTTTGTGTAGTGGTACCTTTGTTATGGTACTTCATAGGTTGGCAGGCATTAACGGGGATCATCTTCTTATTTCTTCTCGTACCGTTTGGTGGCTACTTGACATACCTGTCAGGAAAGCTTCGCCTGCAGACCGCTGTCATCAGTGACCGACGAATAAATCTCATGACTGAAATAATCGCTGGGATACGTGAAGTTAAAACCCATGCGTGGGAATGGTTCTTCAGAGATCATGTTAAGGAAGCTCGGAGGTTAGTGGAAAGAATCAAATCAAATGGGAAATCTTCGATCAGTGTCTCACTACAAATTCAATTAAGGGGAATGAAATTCCAATTAGCAGGCTACGTGACACTATCAAAGTTCAAATAAAGGAGACTCGTGCACGTATCGATAGAGCTGAGTTAATACAAAAGTTTTCCTTCGTCATGTAAATCTTAAAATATGCCATTTTTTCTATTGCCAAGTTCCCTAGTTAAAAAACTGACACGCCTTTCTTAATAATTGGACTGTTGTTGTAGACGGCGTTTGCCAGTAAGATGACTTGACAAGGACCCTTTGCCTGGAAATTGTAATTGTTCAAAGGAAAGTTCTCCTTCGGCAATAAGTTTTCCTTGACAGATTTCATTGACAAATTTCTTTAGTTAAATGGTAGTCAGCGAATAGTTTTCTTTTCATTGGCGATGTCAACTGACTTGGAGAGGCGTTAGTATTAGCACGAGTTTAAAACAACGACGTACGAAAAACTTGCTTTGTGTTGATGTAAATCATAGCGAAAGTAGGATTAACCTTAGCCAGAGTACATGGTATCCTGTAGTACACATGAGATATCTATTTCTCCTCCTGTAACCTGCATGAAAGTCTCATACATCCTCTTTACATACTCTTCTTTGCAGGAAGGAGATGAAGGTAATTCGTTGCAAGAGCGTCCTCCTATCATGTGCGATTTCTCTTATGTATACCTCGGGGATTGTAGCTTCCTTCATTTCTCTGTTGACCCTCGCTCTTTGTGGCCATCACTTAACACCGTTCATCGTTTTCACTCTCTTGTCCATTATCAACGTTCTTCGTAACAGCGCACTGAGGTCCATAGGGGAAGGAACAATGTTCGTTTACGAGGCTTACGTATCATTTCAAAGGATACAAGAATTTCTGATGCTACAAAACCTATGCAGCTTGACTGATATAAAACCGTTAACCAAATTAACGAAAAATGTAATTCCTTTTGAAAATGAAGAATTTGAAGATATCATCAACGAGCTCGCATGTTTTGAAGAGTCATTGAAGAAATCTAATGACATAAATATCTATAGAGATGATCTTGAAAATAAAAATAAACATAATCTTCTTGAAATAAAGAATCTGGGAAAAAATCAATCTGAAAAAGCACGAATAATCAAAGACGAAGACTTGAAAGGAAAGCCTGAGAAAACGATGGTCAAATTATCCAATGTGACTTGTAAGATTGATTCCAATAAGTGCTCGGTAAAGTCAATCTATTTGGAAGCAAACAACGATCACTTTGCTATCATAACTGGTCCAGTGGGCAGTGGAAAATCAACATTACTATCTATAATTACGGGAGAGATTCCAGTCACTGATGGACATGTCCAGTGTTGCGGGACAATTGCTTACGTACCGCAGGTTCCTTGGGTCTTCTCTGGTACCCTGCGAGATAACATCTTGTTTGGTCGACCATTCGATGTCGAAAAATACGTCCGAACCATCAGAGCTTGTGCATTAGAAAATGATATTGAAAGATTTCCTGATAAAGACCAAGTGGTTATTGGAGAGCGAGGCGACACGTTAAGCGGTGGTCAGCGCACTCGCATCAGTTTGGCTCGTGCTGTGTATGCTGATTGTGATATTTACCTGCTGGATAATCCACTCTCAGCTGTCGATGCTAATGTTGGCAATGACATCTTTAATCATTGTATTCTTGGCGTTTTATCTAACAAAGTTCGTCTTATGGTTTCTCATCAAGAGTCCCACATGAAGTTCGCAGATGAAATCATTGTTTTGCATAGTGGCTCAGTGATCGATCGAGGAACTTTCTCAGAATTCAATGAAAAAGAAGCACTGACAGACATTCTAGACCCTCAAAACAAAAGTTTCCATGAAACTTTTTTTGAAGAGTTTATCACAAAAAATACCAAAGTACATTGTTCCGACAACAAGCAAGTCAAAAGCATACAAATCCCGGACGAAGACCGCATGACTGGAACAGTGTCCTGCAAGCTTTACTGGGATTATTTAACGGCAGGAGTGCATCCAATCCTCTTATGTGGCATGGCCTTAATGTTCCTTCTTTGTCAAGGTAAGGAACTTCGCTAAGGTTCTTCTGTCTCTTTAATCCGTTTTAATCTTCGCCATCCTTATATGTCTTTGGTTCTCTCTTGCCTCTTTATCTTTTTTGTTCCTGAAACACGATTATTTCATAGCTTTACTCTGTGTAAATGCCGTTCTCCAAGACTCTTAATACGACTAAAACTATCGTAACGTAGCCTCCTTTAGAAGGACGGCAGCAAACCTTTGGTGCCGATTATTTGGTGAGAAATCGACTAAAAAAATTTCTTTCTGCTATAATTCCTTCTTAGCAAATGTGTTAATAACGTAAATTGGCAACGGTAAAGAGTTTCAGCCCCTCGTCAGGGTGAAAAACAAACGAAGAGCTAACGCTCGAAACGTCAGCTTTGAAACTCTTCACGGTGGCGAATTTACATTATCAACTCAGTTGATAAAACAAAATTATCTTGATCACATTTCAGTTTCCTACATCAGTGCTGCAAGTTTGCAGTTATAGATACTCTGTAAATAGAAGCATAAAATAGACACAAAACTCGCTTCGTCGATAGTGTTCGCTTAGTTAATGGTCTATCGATTTGAACTGCTCTAACATTTCATATTCACTGCTTTCAGGAGTCATGATTTCACCGGACCTATGGCTTTCCTTTCTTACAAGACTCCCTAGTGAAGACCAGACAGACAGAATTAACATTGGAATCTACGCCAGTTGTGTCACTGCAGCTGTTATCCTTGCGACAATTCGAGCTTACATGTTCTTCCAGGTGGTACTGAGATCCTCAGAGAGCCTTCACGATGACATGGTGACAGCCCTCCTAAAAGCACCGGTGTTATTTTTTGACTCGAATCCAATCGGCAGAATCCTTAATCGATTTTCTAAAGACATCGGCTGCATGGACGAAGTTCTGCCGAAGACATTTCTGTTTGCAGTCCAGTTGGTGTTGTTCGTCTTGACTGCAGCTCTCGTTCCATTAATCGCAAATGCGTGGCTGGCAGCAGTTGTTGTTCCTATCATCATACTGTATGTTTACATTGCAAGGTACTTCATGAAAACCTCTAGAGAACTTAAGAGGCTAGAATCTGTGTGCCGCAGTCCTGTGTTGTCACATATCTCGGAAACATTAGATGGTTTGGACACCATTCGTTCCCGTGGAAGACAACGCGAGTTTGCTGATCAATTACACAGGTAACATTGTTATTAACAAGAAATTACTGCTATGTCTTCTTTTCATTGTCGTTTTGAAAGAAAACTCTTTTTCGCATTTTTTAAAATACTATCGAAATGACCTGGAGCAGCTGTATTCCTATCATGCTGAATTTTTTTCGTGTGAAGACTGAAAAAGTCATGCAAATTGCTGAAAGTGATGATAGGAAATCTAGGGAGAAGACTCAGAACGGCTGTACGGTTATTATGCAGAATTTCTTCATGTCAAGGCTGGGAAGTGAAGTGAAATACTCAAAGTGATAATAATTAATAGCAGAAGAGAGACTTCTTCAGTGTATGCAAGCTGGCTTTAAGTCTAACGAACACCTTAATGCATGACGACAATCATGCATTAACCTTTGTGATTTTGTGGGGATGATATACTGATATTGAACTGAAATCAGGCATAAAGAAACTCTGATTTCAAACGAATGCGTATAAGAGGACACAAGTAACCTGAATAAGAAAAAAAGAAGACTCTAGAAATGTGCTGATCTAAATTTGTTTTGTTATCTCATTTTTTCCAACTTGGCAGATATCAAGACGTTCACAATCAAGCATATTTCATGGTATTGGCTGCGACTCGTTGGCTTGGAATAAGATTAGATCTCCTATCTGCCATCTTGATTGGCGCTGTTGCCTTAGCTGCTGCTCTATTTTGCCATGACAACGGTAAGCGAGATCCCAACAAATCGTGGGTTCTCCTTTGCTCAATATAATTACAGAAATTACTCGTTTTGTAACAAGAAATATTTGGTGTGTTTCTTTGGTAACAACTATATTTGCTTTTCCCATGGGTAGTTATTTTTGTTAAAAAGGGGCCATTTGTCGCGTTAAAAGAATGTCTTTTGTCTCCAGTAATAACTGATTAGCCAGCCAATCGTCTTAATCCAGATTTCGCAAAGTTATGCGATCTGCGGACACAGCTTCTTCCTCTTAATGGGGAAACTAGGCTCTTTCAGTCGAACCTATGGCATTCTCAGGAAGACTCCTGAATGGAAAGAATGACCATGAGAGCGGGGATTTCATGCTCTTTTATAAAAAGCAAAGTGACTCCATTACGCGTTCGCAACCGCACTTATCTCCACAAAATCAACCGAGTGTTTGAGTTCAACCAGTGCTTATGATTCACTGCGCTTGTGCACATGATTTATAACGCATCAGAAAGATAATTTTATGGAAAGGTCTAACTGGGGTGCTATATTCTTAATTTTCAGCTCTTGTTGGTCTTGCATTCGTGTACGTCTTTGAAACCTCTCACTTCACCCAGGTATCAGTTCAACAGTCCTGTGAAGTCGAGAATTTGATGACATCTGTAGAGAGAGTAATGGCAATCACCAAACTTGAACCTGAAATGGGATACGATACACCAACAGAAAAACCAAAACAATGGCCATCAAATGGAGACATCAAATTTACCGAGTTATCTCTCACATACTATCCTGAGGGACCGGCGGCACTCAAGAAAATTATTATGTACATCGAAGGACATTCCAAGGTTGGAGTTGTCGGTAGAACCGGATCCGGGAAATCAAGCATAGTATCTGCTCTTCTGCGCATGCCTGAAGCTGAAGGGTCAATCACTGTGGACGGAGTGGAGCTTACCAGTTTAAATCTACAAGACTCTAGGAGTTGTATCTCTGTGCTTAGTCAAAATCCTGTAGTGTTCAGTGGATCCCTTAGAATGAACCTCGATCCATTAGAAGAACATAGCGATGTTGATCTGTGGGACGCATTAGAAACTGTGCAATTGAAAACACTCGTGGAGAACTTTCAGGGAAAATTGGATCATACAATGACAAACAAAGGAGCGAATCTGAGCGTAGGAGAGAAGCAGTTAGTTTGTTTAGCTCGTGTTTTACTACAAGGGAGTAAAATTGTGGTCCTTGATGAACCCACTGCTCATGTTGACCCCAAAACAGAACAAATCATACACCAAACAATCCACGAAAAACTCAAAAACTCAACTGTAATCACCATCGCCCATCGGCTGAAAACCATTGAAGAATGTGACAAGATTGTACAGTTAAACGACGGACAATTAGTAGTAGAGTCATGTTATGTTTGAAGTAGGTAGGCTGCGTACAAGAGAAAGCAAGCGCCATCATTTCCATATTCGTTTCCGCCATTCGTACAAATTAAACATAGCTCTTTTTCCAATATTTGTAAATAATATGATAGTTAGGTTATTTAATTTGATTTTTTTGTATTGATTTTTACATCGACAGGAGTGCGATGTATAACTGCCCCTATAAGTCATGTAACCGACAAAGCAGCTGTGCTGTTCTGAAGAGCGAAACGAAATCTCTAAGTTGCGCTTGAATCCCCAGTCCATATAAGAGGGAAAGTGGCCATGGCAAGAAACTAAGTTTCTAGAGATAGTTCATCTGAATTGAGCAAGAAAACTTTGACCTTAGATATTTTTCAATTCAGATATATTTCTTCTTTTGACTGACATCAAGATCAAAACAGTTTTTTTTAATAAAGAATGAACCAAAAAACGGTCGGTAACTTGAAAACGTTTCAGTTTCCTCTAGTCTTCCAATGATCGAAACACAAGCGTTTTGACCAATACGAGCGCACTCAGCGCTACACTCATTTCTTAATCACAAAACTTCTCGTATTATTGACTTCCTTTATTGTCTTCTATCGTACAATACAAACCAAACTAAACCCTAAGAGGTGTCCCAGCACCCAGTACAATGAAATTCATTTTCATATATCGTTTAATATCCATATGTACAATATTCTATTCATTAGAAGCTATAATTTTCTAATTTCATCCCTGACACTGACCTATCTACATTTCTTTTGATATCCTGTACCAAATATAAACTAATAAAACATCAGTGCTTGACAGGCTAAACTAGAAAATTCATTCATGATTGACGTGTTTACTCGGATGCTTAGTCTCGATTACAAACGGGCTGTTGTACCGATATAAACACTGACATCCCTTGCACATTATATTTATGAGTATCATAGCACTATGGCAAGATAAATGGCTGTCTTCATAACTTAAAATCCTTGCTCAATGCTTCAAGGATCTAAAATTAACGGCACCAGCGTTCAAGCGAGGAAACATAGCATTTCCATTAGCAGTAATCTTACTTGCGGTCAAGAGATTTCGGTGTAAAAGTGTTTTGCTCACTAAGCAATCAATTGTTACATCATAAACAGCCGAAATAACATTAGTACCGATAAGAACTACCCTTGCAAGCTTTAATGTCTAACAAAAATGTTAAAAAGGTCTCTGTATCTTTGCTAATTAAGCATTTCGTTTTTATTTAGATGTTTAGGTCTGTCTAGCAAGCATGATATCTTTCCCACCAGTTCTAAGAACAAGAGAACCAGTCTGCAGTTCGCTCCAAGAAGGTGCTATATCAGGCAGGCGCTCCTATTCTTAAGGCTGAACTTCTTGTTAAAATGGAGAACACCCTGAATTCAAGTAAAATGAAAATTTGCCAGATCCAAGTCCAAATTGCTTTCCTACTGTCCTCATTAATGTGAAAAGGGTTACTAATGACAGTAATGTAAAAATTGGCTTGTCAATTTGCTCTGATCCCTATCACACTTAATTATATCTCCAAGTAAATACGTGCGCTATGATTGATAAATTAAACGGACCGATTTCACTGTATGGTGCGCTAAGTTGAAAACTTTGTATTCACATCTTACTAAACTCGTTTTTCTCGGTCCGTACCGAACCTTGTTTTTTCCGCTCAGATTTATGGCCCGCGCACTTCGCGCTTGGGTAATAAATCTGAGAGGATAAAACTCTGTCTGCACTTACAGTATGGACTTCGAACTCGATTAGCAAGGGGTAGTGATTCATTTTTTCGAAAAGTAATGGTGTTCATAATTTTTATCGTGAAGTAAATACATCAAAACTATTCTCTATTTACAAAAAAGCGTCCTATCCACTTACTAGTATATTCAAATCTATTGTACATCCCGTGTTAATCTAGGCTAGTATCTACATGGTAAAAGTTTATGATACATGCAAGTAAAAAATATTTCCAGCATTAAGCTATAGCCGGCCAAATAACCCTGGAAAGACAAGATGAATCTAACAGTGTTCACTCACTATTATTACCATTACTCTAAGAAAAAAACAAAAAAAACAGCAAACAGGTGGAAGAAAAATTTAAAGAAAACTACTGCAACAGTTTTGTCCTGCAAACCACCCACCCCCCCCTCAAAAAAATAAGATAAACAATACTGACGACACAGACGCAAATAAATAACTTACTTTCCAAGCCCCTGGGAGAATGATCAGCTCTCAATTCCCCTGATTAAGTAAACAATGAATAGAAGTGAGTTTTTCTGTTGGTATCCCATACCAAATGCTTAAAAAAATTACAGCAAGACGAAATATTGATGTATGTCCCCATAAATATCAGAAAATGGCGAAATAAATCATAAGTTGTTGTTGTTACAACATAAAATAACTCGAGAACCATAATAAAATTAAATATTTTTTCCCAAAACATCAAAATAACATTCAGCCCTATGCAGGACTCGTCGCATGAGCAAGAAAAATTTGGAAGATCGAGTTAATAACTTACGTTACATTAAACATACTCTCACAATTGTTTGCATCAATTTATACAACAAAAAGAATGTTGAAATAAGAACTTTCAAAGATTCAAACATACCTAGACACCAAGACTATACATAGAGTTTGTTTGTGTTTGACGATCAGTATTTACAAGTAAGATTGGTTACTGAAATAACATAAGATCTAACATCATTTCTTCACTTGCAAGTTAAACATGGCCATGAGCATGTTGGTACCTCCGCCTGTCCAGTTCATAATCACACAAGTAACGTAAACTATGAAAAGATTTTTGTTAATGTATGTCTGCGACAAAGAGTGAGGGAACGAGATGTTCTAGCATGGCAGGTAGTGGAATTTTCTACGCAAAAAGGAATATCCCAATGAAATTAATAGGCAGCAATTGGATGAGGTTGAGCATGGTATCATGAATTATCAATATAAAGGTTCAAGTGATCTGCCTCAGCCTTCGGCTTTGGCAGATAACACAGACACGAGGTTTGATAATTCATAATATCATGCGAAAACCAAATTTAACAATTGTTTTATCATAAATTTTTTTAAAATTTGCAAAAGGAGACATAACTCTCTGAGTTGTAAAATACATGAACAAGGGGGATTGAAAACTAGATAGACTTTGAACTCGACGTGATAAACCAATATCTGCAGCAGATATTGGGCTATCATCTTAACTTCTCTCGTTATTGTATATTGACTTAATGCTCTGAAACAATCCCAGTTTTCATAGGCTACTGTATTATAATATCAGATGTAAAGTAGTATTCCTCAGGAAATGTGCATATTTGATAATTTATTTTCTGAGCCTAGCTCACAATAATTTCTCTCTAAGTTTTTTATTGTGCTATGAATTTTATAGTGTAGTAATCTTTTGGTGGATCAACCAGCCCTTTTTTTAATATATATTAAGAAATATCTTGTTCATAAAAGATCACTGATCTAATCTGTAGTGACTAATTACCCCCTATGTAATATAACATATCTCTGCATAATTAGAAATAGCATATCCTTTTAAATTGTCCAAAGTCAACCCTTAAGAACAAATTTACAATAGGTCGCTTAAGCTGGAAGACATGAATCATCCAGTGAAAGCATTTATGATAAACCAAGTTATAAACACACAAAGCAGCCCATGTCCTGAGTTCAACTTGATTTCTGTGGCATCCTATGATACACTTCTAATCCTTGTGGATGGGACCTCATCCATATCAGGCTACTCACAGTATTTCATCAGGTTCATTTTCAGTTCACCTGTGCCTACAATTTTGTTAACCCTTTACACCCTAAAATCAGTATGGATATTCTCCATACTGTTCTCCATACATTTCTTAAGGTGCTAACAAGGAGAATTTGTTAAACAATCATGGGCCTATTTGGTTGGTGGTCATTTCCTTTATTCTCATGACCTTAATGTATGATTCAGAGGTGATATTGTAGGGAGAAATTAGATGCTAGTAACTCTTAGGGGTTAAAGGGTTAACAATCCTGCTTAGGAGAGGCACTGTGAAAGTTAAGACTCTTGCCTTAGAACACAACACAGTGAGACAGGCCTAAGTCTCAAATTTGCATCTAACCAGCTAGCCGACAGATTGCCAGCCCTGTCAATTATTAGGCCCTTATGTCTCCTATCCAGTGCTGTAACTATTTTTTTAAAAACATTTTATAAGGGAACATTACCTTGAACATGTAAATCATGTCTAAAGACAATCAAGGCATTTAACAACATTAAAGGTCAATGTACAAGGCTTCTTGTATGTTAAGTTAATGACCCCTCCTTCCATGTTAGCTCCACCCACCCTTTTTTCACTCAAGACAAGTTTAATAAATATTGCTGTGCAAAAAATTAATCAAGATTCTTCCTGAGCCATGCCACAGTTTCTGTATCTATAAAAATCCAAGCTGCCTCAGAGTTTTGTTCAAGTTGTTCGTTGCTAATTCATTCCAAACTATCAAATCCTTCAACATCCAAGTTCCCCTTTCATCTATTCTGATAACTTTGGTCAGAAAGTGAAAGAGAGATTTGATGGTTCTCTTTAGGCTAGTAGTAATTGTGCATGTTTCAACTTTACATGTGACTCCAACTATTGTGCTGTAAGCACCTATTAATAAAATTATAAGTGTACAGATAAAATTAGTTACCAACCAGTGATAATTTAGAAAAGACTGCACATGGTGGTTAGTGTCGAATTGGAATTGTTGGCCTTTACTTCCTTCTGGGTATTTGGTCCATTTTTCATGTCTGATTTGTTTTGTTTCTCTTCCACAGCAGGATTGTCAACCTCTATTAAAGTATCTTCTTTAAAATTGACCTGAAAAAAAAAGAAAAAAAAAAAAAAAAAAAAAAGAAAAGAGAAATGGTAAGTTTGCTTTTTCTTGGTGAATGTAGCATTAAAAGGTATTACTAAAGTGTAAGTCACAACTGCCTACATCAATTTTTATTAAAAAATCAGATATTGTTGGTTCTAGTTTGGCATTTTTTCCACACCTATTCATTGAAGCTCATTGGAAATGCAAAACTTTGTGTAACTATGGCACAAAAAAACTTATTTTCCCACCTTTTCCCATTGGAAGAGAACTCCATTATTAGAGCTGTGTGGTGTGTGAGGAACATGACCATAGTAGGCAACTGGACAGTCTTTCTGTGGTATCACTACATCATCTTCTGTTTCAATGAGTTCCTCCTCTTCAGGCACAGAATCAGCCTTGGGCTGAAAAGTATGGCTCCCCATGGTAGCATGAGACATTTCCCCCTGATGGTGTCCCCCAATTGCAGTAGTGTGGCCTCCCACCATAGACATATAAGACTGGACCGCTTCTCCTCCATCTTTCTTACCAACAAGCCAGAAAGTCTTCATTCCTCCCTTTCCCTAACAGCAAGTATACAGAGAGAAGTCAGTGTCATAACTAAAATGCATCTAATTTTTCTTTTCCTGTACTGTCCTGGCCAGGGTTTACCAACTTTCATTTTCATAACCAAGCTCAAACTTTAACATCTTTTCTACCAACTCTCTGCACAGGATTCTTTCTGTATTGCTAATGTAAGCCAAGTTCATACATGTTTATGGTAAGTTCTATGTAGGTTAATGAATAAAGGGGGTAAGTTTCTATAGAAACTGTGGTTCTATAGAAACTGTGCTGCATCATTTGGAGAGTATAACAAGGTAATTTGGTATTAACAACTGAAATAGGAGTTTGCAAAAATGAATGAGTACCTTGATATCAATACTCCCTCTTTGCTTCATGAGATAGTTAGCAGCTTGTAAACAACTGTAAGTTGTCTCACTAACATGAATTTTCATGGCCTAGACAGACAAGAAAACATTCCGAGATATTTTAGTAAATCACAGAACAGCATGCCATGAAAATGAAAAGAAAAAAGTAAAACAAGTTAGAACAACAAAAAAACAAAAAGGAAAAAAAAATTAGCACATTACAATTATGTCTTAATCTTGCTTTTATAAAGTGTAAGCAAGCTACTATACTTCATTCTTCATCAAGGTACCTTCATGAAAACGAAAATTGTTTTAATAGAAGAGATATTTTAACGTTATAAAAATTGCACATCTAAAATGTCACCAGTTTGACCTGAGCTGTGACTTTTAACTCAGCTTTGAATTTTGTAATTGTATTCATGCCTTCTAATCTTACTTTTCTTAAAAAAAAAACAATGATGTACTTAAAAAAGTAAATATGTACCAATCCTGTAGACTCCATCCTAGAAGCAGTGTTGACAGTGTCACCAAACAAACAATACCGAGGCATTTTCAAACCAACAACACCTGCTACAACCATACCAGTATGTACACCTAATATGGAATTAAGACAAGCATTAATTACTGTTTCGAATTCTTATACGGACCAAATGATTTGGCTGAAGAATCATGACCTTAGAATAGTACTTCTCATGACACAATAACCATGAAACACAATGACTTCATACAAAAACACTCATCTTCACCCTTCACACTTGCATTTGATGTGCAAACATCATTAGGATCTGCACCAATACATGTCTGTTTATTCAGATTCAAAATATAAACTTCAGATTCAAAATATAAAAAACACACACAAATTTGAAGCAGAAGTTTGTATTCAAGAAGGATGTTAAAATTAATGGTCAAACATGGTGGTAAAGTGCTAATTGGGGGTGCAATCACATCATGGCCAATCTTCACTTGACTCAGCAATATGGCTCTGCAATTCTTTGAATTTTCCCCAAAATCAATGGATCACTATTATTGTTATTTATTGACCCTACACCTTCCCTTGTATTTGCATTGCATTTGCACTGCATTTGCATTGCATCACCTAAGTAAGTCACTCTTGTAGGTTTGACTGTTACCCCTGGTTTCAAACCATTCGCTTTATTACATGTAACCTGAGTGAAAATGTAAATGATAGTACAGTTAATTAATGAGAACTTTACTGCAAACATTTCCTTACCTATCCTTATCTTAAGGTATTCACTTGATTTTGATGGATCACTGAGTGTTGGCATGGCAGCTATCATATCCAGTGCAAGGTCTGCAACATGTTCTGCATGATACATACTCCTTTCAGGGACACCACTCACCACCATGTATGCATCACCAATTGTCTCCACCTGTAACAAAAAACTCCTCAGAGTTATTCTGCTGATATCATTCACTAAGATCAAAAGAGTAGAGAAAATTATTTCCAACCCAAGAAACTTTGATTGTTAAAAATTCTCCTTGTCAAGACCAAAGGAAATATAGAGAACAGCATTGACAATGTGGATGATGATGATAAAGGTTTGACTCCAAAAGAAATCATGGACTAAGATTAGAGGGGATATAAGCAGCTCTAATGAGGCCATTTCATTGACTCTGATTTCTCCATATGGTAAGGTAAAATTAATCCTTAAAACCTTCCAAACAAAAACTAAGGGGAAAAAAGACAATACTATGCAAAGAAGATGGGAAAAGGTGAATAACATTTTTATGAAATGGAATAACAGAGAGAGAGAGAGAGTGAGTGATATTGAACTGTTTTAAAAGGGCAATTCCAAGACTATTTCCCCTATTCTTTTAAATAAATAGAGTCACTGAATTCCTGTGAAAAGATATTTGTACATTCCCAAGTTTGATGCAGAATCAAGAAGCTTGCTGTCAGCCATAGGTTATCACTCACTTTGTAGACATTATGCTGCTCACTGATCTGGTCAAACACAGTGTACATATTGTTCAACATGGTCACCACTTCCATGGGGCTAATAAGTGAACAAATGTGTGTAAATCCAACCACATCACTGAACAGCACAGACACATCATGGAACATCTGGAAAAAAAAAAGACACTCACACACTCAGGATTTAAGGGATTAATTGCATAATTGTTTGATAATGCCCAGGTACTGCACATATGGAGGTATATATTGATGTTAACAGAGGGTTTCTTAAAAAACAGCAAATGGGTGATGGCCACAGGGAAGGGATAAACACACAAGGCACACAATTTTGCCCAATAAAACCTTACTTGGGATAATTAATTGCAATGTCCAATCAATACAAGTAAATGGCACGGTGTTGTGAATTTGCATACCTCACAAGTATTCAGAGCTGGTTCACCCTGCCTGAGGCGATCTGCAACTGTTCTGGGGATCATTTGATAGAGCAGTGAGTCAGTGCGCCTCTTCTCAATGTCTAGTTCCTTCATGCTCTCCTCAAGCTTCGCACTTTTGATCAATTCCTGTAAAATAAAATGATCATTAACAAATAAAAATATATTTCATGGATAGGGTAGTTGAGTTTTTAAACATTCATTGTATGTTTTCCCTTCTTTTATAGGAAGGGGGGTACTCCATATGCAGAGAAACAGGTAAGGAGAGGAAAAAATCACATCACATGTCTTGGAGCTCATGAACTCCTCACAAGAACACTGGGATTAATATTTATCATAAATTAAATCAATTTTTCAAGAATATTAAACTTTCTGCAGGAAAGTGCGCATAAAGATTGTAAAGATTCAAGAACATTTAAGAACTATATCAATGAGATTCCTTCAGCAACAAGCTGCATGCCTTTTTAAGCAATAAAAACACTCAACAATATTGAACACACCAACTTGAGCTTCAGATTGTCTTGATAATGTACTAGTTATTGACTTATAATGATTTTGTTTTGTTATCTGACAATAACAAACTGTGGAGAGTTCAATGCTAATATACCTATGTGATCTATCAACTTAAGATGGTTAAAATTGTTTGCATACTGTATTATCATGGAGCAATATGCAGGCATCTAGCAACAAAGTGAATATATGACTGATCCACCCAGTAGGGGAACAGGAAAAAAAAAGATTTAAATTTGCATTAAACATACTCAAACTGACAGCTGCCAAAATACTCAAATTTCTGCTATGCTTCCACTTTACAGATTCTCATTGATCAGTATAACCAGCTAAGAAAGACCACTAACGAAGTTAGCAATGTATATTTACAATGCAACTGTTGTTAAAATATTATCAACAATCTGATCTATTTGCTATATATCGAACACTTGAATGTTAATTGTTTTCTCTATGTTTATTCAAATGCATCTACTGGTCATTTTGCAGGCTACACCCCACTACATGTACACAGCATGCATTTTGAAAAATGTTGTAAAAAGATATTCACTTATCATGCTCTCAAATACAATTTTTTTGATAAGAATCATTCCCCAGATCTGTAGAAGAACTTCATAACTTCATTCTGGCATTTAAACACAAATATTTAACATAGATAAATATTATCTTGTTTTCTATGAAAGCATTCCTACAAGTGCATGTAATATTATGCTACATTTGTGAAATCTTGTACATGAATACATTCAAAAAGAGAAATTCAGAAAATGCAATTTTTATTGTCTAAATTCATGGCTCAGCTGTAATAGGGTGTTAATGTTATCCACAGAGAAGGCTTAACCCTTGACACCTTAAAATCAGTATGAATATTCTCCATACTATTCTCTACACATTTCCTAGGGTGCTGCCAAGAAGAATTTGTTTAACAATCAAGAGTTTCTTTAGTAGGTGATCATTTACTTTATTCCTTAGAACTTGTTTGATTCAGGGGTAATATTGTAAAGAGAAACTAGATGCTGGTTGCTTTTAACATAAGGGGTCAAAGGATTACCAGTAATATTGTCTAACAAACCTGATCAAGAGCCAGCCTGAGTTCTGCTGACTGCTGTGTTCCAGCAAGCACAAGGTCTCTGCTTGAATCGTGCATGCTCAGGTCATTGATGTACAATCCAAGGGAGCACATCACATCCAACTTTTCAATGCTGTAATTAGAGCACAAATTAGACTGCATGTCTTCTAAGATCCTGTGACTTTGCTAACAAAATGTATTCCTGATTTTAAAAACCCCAACAAGGTGTAATATCACCAATTATAACCCAGCCATTAATTTTTGCATGACATTATTGGCTACTTTATGTGCAAAATCACTGGACAGCTATCTTGCAATAATCCCATCTTTGTCTGCATTTTCTAACAATTATTCTTGTAAAAAGGGGATATAAGCAGTGGAAAAAGCCAGTCAAAGAGTTTCATGATTCATCTCTCCTATTTTACATGAGAATAAAACAAGCTTGTTTTGTAGAGTCTTGAGAGATAGTAATATCAAAAAGTTGGTTACAAATATGCTTCTGCTATCAATTCAACCTTACTTTTTTACAAGCAGTTTTTGTATGATATAAAAATTAATGGGAGGGTTATAAAATATACAACCTCCCTTCTGGCTTGCTAGTATGTTGGCTGATAGCATCCCTTTCTGAGAGATTGTTCTCAAAATTTCACAATTTGCCTCAAAGCTTCACTTCTTAGCCAAATATTCATTTTTCTCTCAGCTGTGGACAACATCAGCCAACATAACAGCTGCCAAAAGGGGTTTAATTACTAAATAAATATGCCTATTGGTAATGACTACAAATAAATTTCTTAATTTACATATTGATAGCAAAGCAACAAAGTGGTTTATAATTGGCTGTAGCATATATATTATAGTTTGGAGTTTGTTTGTCATCAAGTTATTCACATCACATCACACTGAAACTTAAAGAGTTTGATTTGGGAGAATTAGGAAAAACAAAGTTTAATGAGAAAGGACTTTCATCCAAAAAGTGACTATTTCTTGGAGAATTCATTTGCCTTACTGGGGAGTAACTCCAGATCTTTATTAAAATTTCTCACAAAAATCTAAAAATTAAGGCACTATGAGGTTTCCATTCTAAATGACTCCAAGGGGCCAGTGGTAATAGTTCCCTCAAGTGGTAGATCCTCTTATTAATATGTTAAAGTACATTTAAACATCTGCCCTTTCATAAACTTTCAGTGACAGAAACCTTTAATATCCCAGTCATGATGCATTAAGTCAGATAAGAACTACAATTATATGTTTCAACATTATCTTTGCCTTAAATTAACCTATCTTGGAATACAATTTATCTACCTCTGGTTTCCATTTACTTAATAATTATCTGTATGTGATTTACATACATGCATACATCCCTGACCATCACATGCAAAAACTCCCATGTGTTATGAATGCCTGTGTGCAATTGATCTTCTGCGCACCCATACACTTTAATGTTATGCCGCTCCTTCAACAACTTCACTGGCTGCCTATCCACCTATGTATCGAGTTTAAAATTCTTTTGATCACCTTTAAAGTACTCCAGGGCTCAGCTCCTAAAAATCTCAGCCATTTGATTTCTGTTTTACAGCCATCCCATCATGATTTACGGTGAAATAACAACAAGGGAATTTTTCTGAGCACCCAAAGCATTTCATGAAAATTACCATGGGGGAATTGATCCTTCATGGCAGCAGCGCTACAGCTTTGAAACAGTCTTCCCATAAGCATTAGATCTGCTTGCAACAAAAGTGATTTTAAACAGAAACTTAAGACATTTTTATTCACCAAGGCATTTTTTTGGTACAATTAGTTTATGTTTAGATTTTTATAAAGTTTTCTCTGCAAATTACTTTAATTTCTTCTGGCCAATTGTAATAGTATGGTTTCTTCTTTGATTTCGTAGTGATTGTAAATAGGTTCTTATTTTGTATTTATTGTAATGTTTGTAATGCCTATTTGATTATTTTTCAATAGAAAATGCGCAATATAAATATTAAATATTAGACACGTGGAATGCAAAATGAAGGCCTTCTATCTCCCAACTATGCATTGAAATCTCTTCCCATGAAAATTCAGTATTTCAGGAAAATAATTTTAAACTTCATCTGTCTATGAATATCTATGACCCACAACATACACAAAAATATGGTCACCTTGCAAAGTAACACAAAAAATATATAATTCAAACTCACAGATTCCAAAATCACTTACATCGGAGTAGCAAGGTATACCATTGATTGCCAGTCTTCCATATACAGCATCTGTCCCTTAAGATGGATGTAACATAATTCATTGGAGACACCTTTATCAGTTCCATTTAAAACCATTTCTCCATTTGCACCATTCTCCACAAAAGCAGCACTATTCTGTAACACAGGCTTGATTGACTGTAATTCAAATACCACATTTGTATGCAATGTAACCTGTGAATGAAAGATGTTCAAGTTCACTTCTTTTCAATCAACTGTTCCTGAATTATCTTTCTTTAACACAAAAATGTAAAGAGATTTTACATGGTGACAATTTGTGGGTAACCATCAGATCTTTATGTGATCTTCATGACACCACAAATTGGAAAATATGTATAGTGATTAAAGTATTGTGGGAAAGTGTCAGAATTAATGAGGAAGCAATTATCCCACTTCAGATATACATAATTTTGGAAGGTTTGTCAGAGGAGTATATTAGTTGACAGAGTAAAAAAATTCCAGCTGTAAAATCTTGCCTTTAAATACACCTGTACTCACTACCATAGATGAAGTCTACAACCCAAGGAAAATATCTCTCTATTTACTTCCCAATATAAAAAAAAGCCCTATAACTCAGTTTTGCTTCAAAATTTCTCTCTATTGAAAATTTTAGCTTCATCCCTGGTGCTAAAATCAAACAATATTTGAAAATCTATTTCATTTCATATAGAAATGAGCAAAATTTCAGACTTGTCTGATTTATTGTTTGCTTTAACTATTTAGAAGTAAGTGAAAATTCAGAGGCTACACTTGAATACTAAGAGACTCTGAATTCAACTCAAACTCAAAGTCAAAATGATGTTGTTTATTTTCAACAGGGGAAAAAATTTTTCATTGCATCCATTATCACTTAGACATTGTGTGATAGCACTTATCTATGGAAATTCACTTCGTTTAATGAACACGCAGGAAGTATATACATATTAAATAAAAAGTAAAAGGAGACAAAACTATGATCTACCTCAGAGAAACATATTTTTTAAATATTAAAGATGCAATTCTTGTTCAAAAAGAAGATTCTCTACAACAAAATTCTTCCTCACAAAAAATATATCATAACCAATTCTGATTTTCTTTTTAAATCTTTTCTCAATCTCATTGTTTGATATTGAAACAAAGAAGATGCAATTATAATGAAAGTGAAAATACACATGAACAAACTAATAACTTTATTAAAATTTCATCTTGACTTCTAAAAATAACTCTGTCTAGAAGCTCAAAATGCAAAGAAGTTTGAATTATTTATTTGCATGAATCAGGTTAAGGTAATTGGTACACAATTTCTCTGACTGAACCTAAACTTTTTTAACATTTACTTCTCATGAAAAAAAAGCAGCATTTCCCCTATTCAAACTCAACCTTACATCTTGCCATTTAGAACCAAATTATAAAAAGTTGCAGCCATTCACCTGAGTTTTCTACATGATTAGCAGCCATATTTATAATACACACTTCGACAATATTGATGTGTGAAGAAAGTTTAAGTATAGCACAAAGCCACACCAAGTTAATGAAAAAAGGAATGAATCTTTCAAACAGAACTGATTCAGTGGTTGAGTATATTAATAAAATCTGTTAACTATGCAGGGTACAATGAAAATGTTCTCAAATAGAAAAATTCAACTCCTTTTGTAAGCGAGACACAAGAGATAGCTGCACCTTAGCTTTGAAACAAATATCTCCTTTAAGGCTCACTAAAGCAACCCAAACTTCTGAGCTGAGCCACAAGTATTTGTTAAATTCTCCTGTATCAATTTGAAACAAATGAATAATATTCACACTATATTGCAATATGTCCTTTTCATCCCTTCCAGCAAAACCAGAAAAAAATGACAGCACAAAATTGGTTTATAATGAAACAAAAATTGGAGATATTTAGAGTGTATTTGATTCTGTGATTGTTAGAGAGATTTAAGGAATTACTTGGATAATATTTTGGAAAATTTACTTTACATCTATAACATCAGCCCAAACATGAGGAGTTAAACTGCAACAGACTAGCACATTCTATCCCTAGCAGCAAGCTATATACACCTGTATCTGAAGCTGTGGACCAAGATAGCTCTATTTTTAACCGAAAAAAACACTTTGATAAATTCTCTAACCCTTTCAAAATATTCATTGCATGGAGGTCTCAAAGTAAAAAGTAAATTATGTTTTCCAAAAAAGGGTACGGGGACAATGTTTTGCATGTAGCGACAGTTGCCAAGTTATGAGTAAAGCTTTAAAAATTTGTTTAATAAAGTAAATCGACACATGTATTTTTAATTTGCAAAGGGACTCAGTTACAATATTATAACTAAACCTCAAATGAGTAAAAGATTGCGTTTGCCCTTAAAAACTTACTTCAAAATAATTAATGTGGCAATTTTTAAGGGAACGAATCCCACAAATGATCAAAACCATATCATGGTCACTGAAGGACTAAAGGTTGGATGAAAAATGAAGTAAATAAAGCTACTTAAGAAAAAAAGAGATCACGGCAACCTACGTTTTCCCATGTAAACTGGACGAAAGGTCGAATGATTGTGAACTGTGAGACAATAGTTTTTCCAGGAAGAGCGGGCAATATAGCTTCCAAGCTATTTCCAGTGCTAGAAATTGCCATGTCTCGATCAAAGACAATGTGAAATGGAAAAACCTCGTAGAAAATTTCCATCGGTATCTTCAAGCTGCCGGTGTCGCCATTGAGGGATATGACAGAGTGACGTTTAGGTCGTCGACGTGTTTCCATATAAACACTGTTGTCGAATGTGAGTTGAAACAAGGCGTAACTGCCTTCTTTGTTTTCATTGTACTCCAACACTTCGACGTCCACTTCAATGTGGTAGAAGAATTGACCGACTGCTTTTATCTGGCCAATCACGTAATACAGAAACCCTTTCCTTGAGGATCGATAATGCAACGTGAGGCCACTCTCTGTCTCATTTTCACAGAAAAACGACGGTGCTTTTAGCTTCGGGTAAGTGAACCGCAAGTACTCGTGGAGATTATCCAGACCATTTAGGAAATCTCTCATATGCCGGCCGAGGACTTTCAAAATCCTGTCGTAACCGTACTGACCTATGAATCCGAGAAAATGAAGGCCGATTTCTTCGGTAAGTGTTTCTCTGCTTGCATTCGTTACTTCCAGAGCTGCTTGTACAAGACGTACCATGATATCCTCGGAGTATACCTTGTGAGTGGCAAATGTATGATGCCGTGTTCCAGACTTCTCCACAATTTTGTTCCACACCGTTTCACCATATTTCTCTAGCAAGACACTGCGAAAATTCTCCAAAAGCAAGCCGTACATGTCAAAGGTAGCCTCCGCGCAAATTCACGGGAATATTGACAGATGGCTCTGATCAATATAGTCAAACCATGAGCGGAGCGTATTAAAAACAACCAAAAGCGTCACGCTTACCGCCGAATTAACGTGAAGCAGATGGATCTAATTGATTAGCGATGAAGAGGAAAAAGTCTAAAGAAGGCCCGAGGGACCTTGACGTGTCGAACGCAAACGGCGACAGATGACGTGAAATTGGGATGCACGAAAAAATGAAAGCTTCGCGATTACAAATCGAGTCATTCTCGCAACATCAAGATGTTATGTGGAATAAATTTAAGTGTCACATAATAGTTTTCATCGATATCGGCAGAGATCACAAAGGAAATACGTAAGCCGCTACCAATTTGCGATTCGCCCCTGCACTTTTGCGCACAATAGATCTAACCAAAGCACTTGGATACGATTAACAAAGAGCCCGGAAAGAAGAACATTAATGAACGACTGCGAAGCTTACTGGTGTCAACTTGGATTGCACTGAATTCGTCGTTTAACTAATTGGCTCGCCTCCGCTTCAGAAAACTTAGTTTTCCTCGTAGCCTAACAGCGCTCGTGAGCCCAGTTTGAAGTCAGCGCGCGCACAGTTTGAGTGAAATTAAGGCGTGACATTTGATCGCGAAAGTTCAGCTTCCCGCCTTCTTTAGCGAAGTTCGCCGCACGAAGTCTGATTGGGCATAAATTATTCAGGTGTCGACTCGTCAGGTATCGGTGAAAATTCCCAAAGTGAGATTTAAATTCGGAGCTGTCTCCTTAGTCTAATTTCTATCCGCCTTTCTAAAGTATTTTTTGAAAAAAATGAAATGTTTGTGACCGAGAATGTGTTACAGTAGTGGAGTGACATATTTTGCAGCGTGTCCTGACGACCAACGAAATAAAGAAGAAGACAAAAATCCAAACAAAAACAAACAAAGACGTAAATGATAAGCGTGAGTCAGCTTTGGGAAACCTTTTTCTAGAATTAAAATGATTAACATTAAAATGGAGTTTTTTCTTGATGTACTTTTTACTCAGTTTTTCAATTATCTGTCTATCTATCGATCTATCAATTTATCGTTCTGCTCATTGATCTTCACTCATTTAGTCATTCATTCGGATCCTGTCCTCTCTAAAGTGCAAGACTGATGCAAGTTTTGCTTCTTCTCGAAAACAGCAGGGACACGCCGAGGACAAAGATAGAGTTCTCCGTGTGAACAGCCAAAAGGGCTTCTTTTATTACATGTACATGCACGTATAACTTTGATCTTTATTCACCCTTTTGTTGTATCCGTTATCATAATCCAAAACAATGAAAGTCAAACATAAGTGAAATTAAAACAACACCGTCAGTCTAGCTAAAAATAGCCTATCGACATGCGATGTGTGTTTTATAGAACTGATTTAAAAGGTAACTACACAAAGAGAGGAAAATTAAATCACCAGGAAATAGTAATCAATCGAATGAGTTTCGATGGAACCTCAACTTGACATTGTTAAGAGATAATCAAAAGAAATCATTGAGGTATGTTTGTTACAAAAAAACTCTCTCCCTGAAAAACAAGACAAAAGCTCTGTTGGTTCTCTCAGATTCCTGGAATTATTTACCGAGACCTTCAGAGATGTCCTGACAGCTATGTTAACACACACGAGCACGAACATTTCAACAGCTTTGTTCGTCTCCTAAATTACTCTGTTTGTTCGGTCGAATCCACAGAAACATAGAAGGGGTTTATCAGTACTTTGTTGTCAGACGTAAGGCATATTATGTGTTTAATTAAATTAAACGTAACCGAAGGCACAAAGTGAATAGGTCACGTCCAGCAGTTATAATATGATTGGCTCTATCGGATTGATGGCAACTTGCGTGTTGCTAGCTACGGCTGGTTTGACGCTCGAGCTGTCAACATAATAAATTCCCTGTTAGTGGAGGCCTCTTTTCCTCGTATGCTGGATACAAGGAAAGAGGCCTTTGCTAGTAGAGAAATAAAAAATTACACAATATCTGCTTTCACTTCACAAAATAAGTCATCCAAGAGTGATCTCTATCATGTTCGAACTTGACCACGAAACAATAAATTAGTAATCAGATACCCACATATGGCTGATATAGCGGCAAGCACGTACTGATTGTCTTATCACGAAAACTGCGTATTTTGAGTGGTTTGTATGTGCTCTCTGTTTCTGGCGAAAAAAAAAGTGGAACTCTCGATCCACGTTCTATCGTGAAGCGGCCAACTCAGGCATCCAATTTGATTAACAAATGTTATTTCATCTGGTGTTACAATGCAAAGCTCTAACTTTTACAATTAAAATTGTATTAGGCCAACGAAAGAGCGATATCTAACAGAGCCGTTAGTGGACAGCAGTGAAGTTTCTTCCCACAGAATACCTTATTGCCAACCTTTTTACTTAGTCTTATAATGAATGAAACAATCGCTAGATGAGAAAAACTCCAAACGCTGTCTATGGGATCCAAGAAATAATGTAATAAAGTTTACTACAGTGAGACTGGAGGACTTAATTTGTGAAAGTCAGGCAGAATTCAGGACGTTCACCAAACCATCATAGTATCTCTCCATACCCAGAGACCACAGCCGCTTTTCTTCACTTTGAAATAAGATAAAGTTTGTTGATCGTGATCATTTTTCATCTCACAAGCCGGATCAAAGAGGCGAGTTGCATAGAAACTCACTCATCATTATCATCATCATCTATGACAATGGAGTAGAAATTACGGTTGAAGGGGGCGGATATAAGAACAGAATTTTCAGGGAAGAATTCACGAGGATCGAAATGCATCCATCGTGAGAGTTGTAGAAAATCAAACTTGTCTTGTCATCAGCGGATTATTGTACCTTAAAGAGCGACACGTAACCGAGTCAACCGCACGACCATCACCTCACGAAATTGTGACACAAATGAAAATATTTTATAATTAGTTTTATCTCTTTGCCAAATACCGTAAGGTCGATGGTCATCATTTCTGGTTTGATATGTGCTTCAAACATTATTATGTAAGCCTTTATTATGTTGCTAATGTGAAAATGTCAAATAATTATAAAATATGGCAAAAATCACTTCTTTGAGGGAAAAATGTTTAGAAATTTGTCTCACTGTGATTTCATTATTTTCCCATATTTTAATCCCAAAATATTATAAATACTTGTTAACAAATGATCAAATAAAAAAATAAAGCAAATAATTCATTCCACCTCAACGATCGTACCCTTGTGTAAGTTCTCAAACTTAAGAACTAACAGGAGAAAAGAAAGAGAATTCTACTTTACGGAGCTTGGTTATTAAGACTTTGAATTCAAACTTGTTATTGTGGCTACAAATTATCATTGCAAGCAAAAAAAGCGAGTTTTCCTATACTTTAAGATACTTAATGTTTCTTTATCACACTTTCGCCTCTAGTTATAAAAAATAGTTCTAGACCTTTAGAATTTAACTTAGCTCCATAGGCTTTTTTTAGCTTCTTCAATAAAATTTATGCTCTACTGTTTTTTGCAATTCTAAAATGTCAACATTGTTGGACGCCGATGTTGGGTCAATTCTGAATTCGTTCCATTACGACACAAAAAGTCTTTGTCCAACTAAATATTTTCAGTGAACTGTTTCTCATTTTTCTCAATCATGCAACAACTTCCAGATCCTAGAAGTCGCTTCGTGAGCCTAGAAAGACCTCCTGAAACTCCAAGAGTCTTTCAATTCCTTCAATTTAGAGCGAACTACCGCCATCAATTCGAAACACAACCATTCTCAAGTGGTAACAATCTTATCTGTACCCTCTCCTTCCACCTTTCTGAAAGCTTGTCATTCGTTCTTGCAGCAAGTCCTGTTCGCGGTTTGAAAACGACAACTCCTGCTGCAGGCGTTCGATCGTTTTTAATAGTGCATCGCGCTCTTCCTGCAGCGACTGCAAAGCAGCACGAGAAACAGCCATCTGCGACATCAGACTCTGTTTCTCATTCTCCAGGCTCTCAGTACGAGAAGAAACTGAGGCTGAATCTGATAAGCTCAACTGACTGGCAGATATCGATTCCTCTCGTGTGATAGACACAGACGCTTGTTCACTCTCGCGAACGATTGATTCATTGCTCATCGGTCTGACGTGTAAGACGCCGTCGTGGGTTCGGCTGACGGAAATGTTCTCAACAGTTAAATCAACTGGAATGGGCACAGGTGCTGACACCAACGTGGGCGGAAGATCGTTGTTGATGCTCACGCGCGAGTTGTTTACTTCGACTAGGAAAGGCATTGGTGGAAGCACGACTTCGTCCTCGATCCACTCCGCCATATTCCCGAGAGTACTGACCAGGAGGGAACCGTTAACACCATTCAATTTGATGTGCATGAAACCTCGTTCAGCCGCTGTCCGCTCGTACCGCTCCGCACATGGACCAAACTCCATACGCATGCGCATCATGGGAGTTCCCTCTAATGCCGTAGGGATAGTGGTCTTTGTAGGAGACTTTCTAAACGACTTTCGGTTGAGATATTTCTCAAAATTGATAACACCAAGTTCTTCCCATTTTAGCTCAGGGCATAAAATCTTTACAACTGTGTCATTTCCTTGGAAATGGATTCCGAGCTCCACGTCCTCTCCCTCGATGGAGAAAACCGAGACCATCTTTGGTGGATCTTTATGCTCGACTTCAACGTCCTTGCTGCTAGAACCTTTAGAAATACTGCTACCCAACTGACTACTGAAGTTACTTGCTTCGCTATCTGCCCTACTCTTAACACTCCCTGAAGCTAATTTGTCGCAAGCTGGAACCACCAGCCAGCCATCGGAGTCGGGTGCCGAAGCAGCGCTGGTTCGGCCTGAAGTGTGCGCTGAGCTGGCACGAGGTGACGGTGGGACCTCTTCGCTGGATTTAGCATCGCGACCATCAACACACACCGATCCATCCTTCCGCATAGCTTCCTCAGAATCTGGTCTTAAAGATGTTTTAAAATCAATGACGTCAGGAGATTGGCAGCCACTGTCCAACACAACGCCGGTGTCTAAATAGCTACTTAGACTACTTGCGTTACGACTTGTGCTTTCAGACGGCGTTCCCCCTTCACGAGAACCATCTCCGTCTGCGGCAGGAGGGAGTACGACATTTAAGTCTACACCCCGGGTAAGAATAGAAAAAAAGAGAGAAGGTTGGGCGTTTTTAGACTCATTTAATTCAGAGTCTGCGTTGTTTCGTCTTAAGCGATCTTTTTCCAAATCTTCTTGTAGCTTTGACAACTTCTCCTGCAAGCGCACAAGGAAGAGAAATTGAAAGTGGTCCAATTGTATTTTAACAGTTTGGGGAATGTGGATTAGGAAGCTCAAATCAGCTTGTGATCCTGAAGGCGGCTCCAGACAAGCACTTCCCTCTGATTCTGATAAGCCGTTCGGAGTGTCCCCAGATATAGAAGCTTTCCTAGATAACGAAGACACTTCCTCTGAGGGCGCCCCAGCCAAATCAGGTTCATGATGCGTCAGAGTTTCGTAAGGTGGAGGAGGCTCACTTACAACAGGGAATGGCTTGCGAGGTTCATTTCTAGGCTCATAAGCGGGTGGAGGTCCATCTCGTGTAGTATTAACAAGGGCCTCAGAGGGATTGGAGCTAATATTAGGGTCACTACTGTGTAAAGCATTCGTGGCCGTTGACAACAGAGTGCCTGTATTTGTTCTGCTCTTCATGGTTATTACTGGCTCCGAGCCCTTCCTTTTGGGAGAAAGAATTTCCGAAGCTGTTCTCCGGTGAGTAGGTGAGGTTAACCAGCTGGTTCTCTCTATTCCTTCCGCTGTCGTATTCATTACTGTGGTATTGTGGTCATGAAACGGTAAAGGAGTAGCAATCCAGATTTGAACCGGGACAGCGTCTATAAGTGAAATCGGTCGGTTCTTTATCTCGTCAATGCCAAGGAAATCAAACCACACTTGCTCTGCTGAAAGGCACCAAACCTGTGTACGATAAAAAAGAAACAACTTAAAACTAAAGCTGCACTAAAATGTGCATCACACAAAGATCAATCTAAGTTTATCTAAACAGTTGTTGCGCGAGGTACATATCTTTTAGTGAACCAAGGAGCATCACAGAAGGACGGGATTTGGTACAAAAAACCTGTCAAAACTTGAGGAAAGAAAGATCATCGAGGAAGGGTTTATACATGCGACACAAATATAAGTACACTCTAACACAGAATAGTCAAGTCTTCATCATGAGTATCAGTGCCCCTACTCCACCCCTTCCCCTCAGACAAAAGTATTCAAGAAGATCAAATGGCAGGTGTTGAAAATATCTACCTCAGAAAATCTTGAAAGGTCTTATCTCCTGGAGTAGTTCTGACAAATAAACGAAAAGATACCTGTGAGGGCTGATGAGTTCCAGAAATATCCTGACAAACGCCATTTAAATGTTTATCATTCTTTGCATCTTTTGACAGCAAACTGCAATCATTTATCCATAAAGAGTTAGGCAAAGGTTGCACATCAGCAGGCATGGATGGGAAGTTCTGAAAGTCTGTGTAAGTTTTTGCGCCCAGGAAAGGTTGAAGGAACATCAACATGTCTGTCTGGGTAGACTTGTTTCCAATCCTCGAATTTGTGATAAACACCTGAGATACTTGAACTTGGAGACCCTGAGGCCGAGAATCTTTGTATGCTGCACAAGGGTCACTTGGGCAAGGAATAACTAGCTGTAAAATAAAAAGAGTGTATCTCTGCAAGGCCATAACATCACATGATCCAGGCTAACTTGATAACTTCAGGAGATTAAGTCACTGTATGGTGACTTAACCTTTCAACTTCCATGAGTGACCAAGACAGAATTTCTCCATACAACATTAACACAAAATCTAGCAAACAAGTGATGAGAACATGGAAAATTTTCAATTAGGAGATTATTAGTTGATCCAAGACTAATTTCTGCAGACTTAAATCATGAAAACTATATGGCAAACAGTATGGAGAATTACTAACTAAGACCTTAGGAATGAAAGGATTAAAAAATTTTGAGCACAGGGCCTTTAGTCTTCCTGTTAGGGTGTCACAAATGAAGACCACATTTTGTAGGCAATAGTGATTTCTCCACTACTTCTAATGCTAATCTTTCAATCTCTTTTAAAAATGACTTTTATCATTTCTGCTTAACAACACTCTCAATTATTTTAACACTTTAAGCAATGTATCACGCAGCTATGTATTTTCTTGTTTTTGCTCCTCAACTAGTAATCTTTTAAAAAAATGTCACATTACTGTAGAGGTGCATTTAAAAATGCCACAAAGAAATTACTCTGTACAAATTTCTACTACCATTTTCAAAATCATAATCATCATCATTACTACAACTATTGTCATGATTATGTCGCTACAGCAACTGTTGTTGCTTTTCAGAATGCAACAAAGTTAACAACTCTGTTTAGAGAAGTCAAGACCAACCTTAGGCATAAGGGCTTCAATTCTGATATCAATATGATCTGATGGTGAACTACATGTAGCTTGTTCAGGTGGACCCCTGGACCATGTCTTCAAACAAAAGAATCAATGTTACATTGAACATCATATATACAAATAGTAGACACTGGCTTTTTTTTTTCCAAGATGTAATTCTCAACTGAATGTCAAAAGTAATCCAGGGTGGAGTGGTTTTGATTAATAACATTCTGCGATAAGTCTTGAAGCTTAGGCGCCCTATAAATGAGTAAGATGCCACACTAGAAAAATTGTAACCTAGTCACTACCATTTTCCTGTGCTTCAGGCTCCTTACACTTATTTAAGTTTCCCTTTATTGGCTCCTTCTGAAATTCTCCTTTCTTCTGATTGGCTGCTGTAATTACATTGGTTTCAGTTTTACTCAATAAAATGCATTGCAGCTAACATGTACACTTACTGTTTGTCCTAGAATGCTTCTCATGAAGCTGCTGAACCACAGACATGTTGCAGTGTCTAGTGTCAACTGAATAGGGTTTAACTGAATAAACAAGTTTGGAGTAGGCACTGAAATGGTAAATTTGTGTATTGTGGTGTTACACATACTTGTACATCTATTTCAATGACATTACAGCTTTGCTAGCCTGTGTGGCATGCTTTTCTGTTTCTGTTTATCCCAGTGGGAGATGTGTTAGTAAAGTATGGTCTGTGGGAGGGAATGGGGCAAAAGCAAAGCCCAGGGATCAAATAAGATTGGTGCTGATTTCAAGGAGAATCATATTTGCTCCCCAAAAATTTTTTTGACATTTTTTTTTCTCACAATCAGAGCTTATCTTATCCACTTATCAAAATCTTATCCATACTTGAATACAGAGATAAAAATAAAGATCTAACGCTTTCTCTGTCAGTGCCATAAGTTAAGGAACCCTGTTTTTTTTTCTGCTCTGATTTATGGCACATACTTTGTGTGTGGGCCATAAATCCAAGCAGAAAGAACTTGGTCAGTAACTTACAGTACAGACCTTGAACTTGGCTAGTATGAGGTATTTAACTGACAAATTACCTGCACTTGTAACAGATCCAGGGTAATAATACTGAGTAAAGTCTAACTGAAATGCTGGCATGTCTGATGGTAAAAATAATGCTTTTTTGTCTGATGATAAAAATGCTGGCAGTTCCTCTTTAGAACCATTGCTAGTAGTCACAGGCATGATAAAGAATTCCTCACAACGAATCACAAAACAGCTCTCAAGCATAAACACTGGACGCTGTGAATTGTTTTTGATAGAATGCGCTGTTTTTCCAGTGTTTGCAGAATGTCCTGGACTTGAAGGGTGTGTTCTCCGGGAATTTACATGAGGAGAGGAGGGAGTGCTGGGTGGTGAAGGATGTAAAGAACCATCTCTGCCACTCACATCAGCAACAGAACCCTGGAAAAATTTACAGAAATTGCTCCTCAATTGTTTGTTTTCATCTGATAGCAACCATCAAACATCTTAGTCAAACAAAGTTGTGCATATAAAGTGTGACTGCACACCATCAGTTGTTACCTAACTAGACGCACATTTGTGTTCACCCAGGCTTTATGTTGGAAATAAAATTTGTTTTTTGTGCTTGCATTTGCCTAAGTTTTTTTTTAATGCAATTATTGGTTTATCCTGTAACTTTTTTCTCTTGGTATGCCAGAGTATGTCACATATAAATACAGAGCTAAAAAAGGCATTTGTTATGTAATGTGAAGGCCCTTTTCAAGGGTGGGGTGGGGGGAGGTAGTGCCATATAGAATTGGCTACTATTTCAATACTTATTACTAGACACTATAATTTTCATTTTTTTTTTTTCAGAGTATTGACTTGATTAAGTTTCATTTTGCAGGTTAAGGGTTGTAGCAGGGCAAGTCTTTTGCCAAACAGGCTGTCTTCTTACTTTTTCCTTTTTCTTGGTTGACAAAAGTTTCAGGTTGAGATAGCTTTTAATTATGAACAGCCCTAAGTGCTAGGGTGATGACATTTACCAAAATAAAACAAAAAGTCACCACCAAAGGTTATTACCAGATGAACTATTAATTTTATGGGGTTGTTGGAGTGGTTCTCGTGAATATGTGAAATATACTTTAGTATATTTTGTACTATTACCTCCCAATTTGTTTTTTTCCATTTGGAGATACTGGGTTAGTATACTTTAGTTAATACATTTTGGTTTATTGGTTAGAGTGGTTTCACTAAACCTGTTGATAACTAATTAGCTGTTGTGTTTAGAGTATTTTTCATTTTCCATGAATGAATAGGGTAATCAATAGTTAGTGATGTACTGTGAATTTTTGTTTTCTTTTGTTCATTATCACTACTATAAACTAAATAGTCATTTCTTTTTTTCATGGGCAAATGATTATCACTCTAGAAGATGTAAAGAAACAAAAGGTCACGAAGCATTTAGCATCTAATAACATTAATGTAATTCATCAGCAGTACCCAGGCTTATTGAAATCACTCTAATCAAAACCACTATTTTCATTTGCCCTTGAATGAAAAATGACTATTTAGTTTGTAGCAGTTGATAATGAACGAAAAATTCAGAGTCTACTAACTACAGTAATTGCAAATTTTCATTTGCATATGAAAATTATCTATAGTAAGTGTCTTCATTCTGTTTACATGCAGTGCGGTACTTTGAGAAGAATACATGTACCTTGAGGCTGCCCTCTACCATACAAATCTTTAGCATGAGAATCAAATATTTTGAACCCCATATTACTATTACAATAGGTTGCAACAGCAATACACCTCACTGTTAATTAGAAATTGGTGTAGCTTTCAGATATGCATTGGAGTCAAAAGGTTATGCATGTGTAATAAGGACTTGACTGCGATTTGCAACCAAACAAAAAAAAAAAAACGAAGCCAGAATTTCAACTCGGGCGTTTCCATTGGAAAGCCTGAGTAAATATTTACCACCTACAGTAACTCTAACGATAGCCTAAAATATCACAGTTAAAGTCATTTGATAATACACCAAACCTATTTTGAGAGTAATAGAAATTATATTTTGCATATATTACTATATTAATAACAATGATGAACTAGCTTAAGTTGTAGTTTAACTTTCATTTTGTTTAAAATTTCTAAACAAGTTTTTTTTACTTCCTTTGCCTAGTATATGAAAATATTTCTACATCTAAAATAAAAATGATCGCAACATAAAATTGAAGTCAACTATAATTACTTACATCACTCCTTGCTCGATGAAGGCTTTGTGTTGCTTTTTGAGGTGACAGTTGTTTGTTCCTTTGAGAGTTCCTAAAAGCACTCAAAAGGTCATTAACCCAATAAGCTCGAGTCAAAGATGCCTCATTGTGAGATGGCCAGTCATTACGAGATGTTCCAGCCAAATGGTATGGAAAGTAGTCAACAGATAACTTATTCATCTTAAAATGCATTGCCCCACCATCAGCACCCCTGTCTTCTGAATCATCACACAAATGCAGGTCAATGCTACCAGTCCTTAAGAGGTAAGATGTTTCCCGCACATCATGCCGTGTAAACAGTGCATTCAAAGACTCAAAGTCAGACTTTTGTTCATGAATTGTAGAACCAGTGTAATGTGTTTGTTGCTGACTAGCCTGGCCTGAACGTTGTGTTGAATTTGTTCCAGGTTCTTTCTTAACTTTTGAATGCGACATGGCCTGGTTAACAGAGTGTAAGAGACCAGATAAAGCCTGTAACTGTGACTGAGTAAGAACCCATAGAATGTCATCCAAAAGAAGCTCCAGCCTTGCAGCCAACACTGCACAGTCATCAAGACGTTTTTTGATTGTTAGGTGTAGAGATGATTGACTTGTAATAAGTCTCAAGGGATTTGACTGCTGCTGCAAAGTTTCCTGAATAAAAACAAGGAATGAGAAAGGTTCATTATTCAGTAGCATAGCAAAACCAGCAAAAAATATAGCCTCTAAACAAAAATCAATTTGACAAACCCAGCTCACTTACAAACAGGAGGCCATAAAACTCTGGTTTTAATAACAAATAGGGACAATCCACACCATTCTGAAATAAGCTACAGTTATACACCCCACTTCTCATCACTTTTACTTTTATAAAACCCTTTAACTCCAAGATCTAATTGCTAATTCTCCCCTAAAGCTGCTACAATTCATAGTAAATTAATTATGAGAATTTAATTTTAGATCAAAATAAAAACTTTTACCTGATATGTACAAGTATTTTTTATACATGTTGGCTGGATAATGTATAAATATTGTGGGCAGAAGTTACATGTTAATCACTTCCGAGAGTTAAAAGGGCAAGTAACACTGAAGGGTACATGAAAATGGCCTAAATGAGACTCCTGATAAATTTCTAGATTCTCCTACCAAAACATGTAATATTCCCTTGTCAAAAAAAGGAGAAGAGAAAATATTGCATCAAAAGTCACCTCAAGCATCAACTTCATGACCCTAATCAAGTATATCAAGTCACAATGTTTCTAAATTAGTTCCACTGTTTTCTTTGTTGAAACAACTCTAAGTTAACTGTACACGTAAATTGTATTTACATTTCTTACATTGTACAAAGCATTAGCATCTATCCTAAGTGTTTGCCATGTTATTTCTTTAAATGTCAACACCTCTCCTCGAGTTTCATCTTTCACCCGTGTCAAGCGCAGATCATCAGGCTGCCACTTGGGTGTTGTGCTTCGGACAACAAGACGTGACATCTGGAATTTGGCAAGAAAAGCTTGAAACTTGAATGAGATGACAACAGAGTTTATCTGAACAAACATTCCATCAACCACTTTCTCAACAAAACCATACCTATTTGGAGCTTTCTCTCTGTTAAAAATAAGAAGAAATATCCAAGACATAAATCATTGATCAAACAAAATGTACGAGCAGAGTAGATCATTTTAACCCTTTCACCTTAACATATGCATTCATATTCTCCACACTGTTATCTTACATTTCCTATGATGCTGACAAGAAGAATTTGTCTGATGATCACAAGCATCTTATCATTTCTGCTATTCTCATGGCCTTCATATTTGATTCAAGGGTACTACTGTAAGAAGAAATTAGAAGCCAGTCACATGCAGTGGTTCAAGTGTTAACTAACCTTTATTAAATTTCTAGTTGTTTCAAATTGATATTTTTAGTCGATAACAAGTAAATAAATAGATTCCATACATTGAATGTATCTGAACATTGATTGATTGATTGTTCATTATTTGATTGTGAAGTCCAACTTACTTTATAGGTGGCTGATGAGGTGCATTGGGTGGGTGTGTCTGAGGGGAACTAGGAGGTGGGGTGTTAACATCTCCATCCATAGCTTCCATATCCACTTCAACAGAATCTAGGTACTAAAAAAAAAGTTATTTCCTTAGTAATTAATTCTGGTAATAGATCTGAATGCTACCTAGAGGCAATGTCTTATGAATGTTTTCATCAGAGATTTAACCTTTTCAAATTACTAAGGTACACTTACATGATCAAAAAATGTGATTGCTTACTCTGAAATAAAATTTAATTATGAAATGTAAATGCAAAAACCTCTGTTTGTTCCAATCTCTCTTAGTGGCAAAATAGCAAAAATTCATCTTAATTTCACACAGCACTGTGACTAGATGCAGCTTTTTGATGTTACAAATCAAAGTGTCTCACTTCAGTGACAGTTATGAATTTTCTTGATTGTGTAGAAGGGGTTTATTATTACAAAATAGTGTTTAAACCAATTTAAGTCTATTAAATTATTAATTGTTGTTTCTTAATAGATCAAATCATCCAAATAAGTGAGGTTTGATGATGTCTGACTGTGCTGTAAAATGGCCAAAGCTTCATTCAAACTTGTAAACAAAAGAGGGCTGTTACCTACTAACACATGTACATGTAAAAAAACAATTTAATGAGCTAGGAAGGAGGCTATCAAGTTCTAGGTTTTCTAGAAAAGGGGCTTAGTATTTAAAATTCACTAAGCCACAATGAATTATTTCTTTTATTTGGATCATTACCATACATAGTGTATATAAGAAGTATTTCTACAGTTGAAAACCCAACTACCAGTATTATCTTAATAACAGAAACTAAAAGAGGCTTTCAAACACTATTAATGAAGATTGTCTATGAAATGGTACTCTGTCCTAATGATTCAGAACAAAATGGTATAACCTTGTGCAAAGAATTTTGCGAGAGATCTCAACTAAGGGAACTGAACTTAATAAAGAAAGTGAGCTTCTCAGAACATAAAGCTTTAGCCAGGAGGTATATCATAGAAAGGGGGCCCACTTAAGTACATATGGTAACTGAAATACTTCCTAAAATCTTCCTGAAAATGAAAATGAAGCTGGAGACACATGCTTACCAGACATATTGGGTCAGTCTTGAGTCGAGTCCAATGAATCTATGAATTAAAGAGATACATTTAATTTTTCACAAAGCACCTTGTTTTAGGAAAGAGCTCTGAGCAGATTTTGATCTAGAAAATCCTCCTGAGTTATACAAATAGCCCCAACACAAATGCCATAAAAATGCAAAAGCTTGCCTGAGGATACTAATTTTTCACTATCCCATGACCATTTTTCTTATCCAAATAAAAAAGGTTATTTTACGAAGGGCTAACAGTTCTTTACATGTTGTTAAGAATGCCAACAGTGAGTGAAACTTCATGTTTCCATTGCCATTTCCATCACTAACCAGACAAACTCAAACATATTATGGTACTTGGCATATGTGACATACCCTCCCTTAGCATAGCTTCTAACACCTTGATTAAAATTTATATCCTCAGTAACTAAATTTCTCTGACAGATTGATTAGCACTTCTGTATAGCTGACTGCTTAATTGCCTCTTTTCATTCAACCTCGAGTAAAAGGATTTTTAGAATTTGAATATTCTTGAAACATTGCCAGTTCTTGAATATCTCTATAACAACATTTGGAATTCACAAATATTTCTAAACAGGAAATTCACTTTGCACTCAAGATGTGAAGAAGTCTGACAAGTGCAGCAAAAAAAGATTATTTTTCTTTCAAGAGTAGCCTTTTTATCAAATATCATTTCTATTGCCTAAAAGCTAAAATACTATTTATATGCAAATCATTGAAACAAAAAATGTTGAACTCAAGGGTCCAGGAATTGAATTTACAATGATTACTTTTTTGTTGACACTATTTCAAGACAATGACGGGAAAGGCTTTTGCAGTTTTCAAGAATTGAATAAGTAGAAAACTGTCAAAATCATTGACCCCTTTTTTTTTTCTACTATAATTATTTTCAAGGCTGGTCTTGGCCCATTCAAAATGGATTTATTTCCATCAAAAGGAGTCGTTCAACTCAGACCAATGATATGAGTGAACAAAAATAAAGGTAATAATCACTCGCAAAAAAAACCGTACTCTGCCAAATGGCATAATCTATAGGCTAAGAACATCCATCATCTTTGCGTAAACAAAACGAAAGAACACACTCTTTCACATCTGCCACGAATATCCATCGTCAACAATATGTAGAATCACTCCTGATTAGCACTTACAAGCTTAAGCTCAAACATAAATCCCCGTTGAAGTCATACAATATAAAATATACATGCATTTACGTCGAGATGCGATCTTTTCGAAATTCACCAACACACATATTCAAGACTCTATCACAAAGAGAGAGAGAGAAGTACACCTGGAAAGATACTTTAAATTAAAAAAAAAAAGTAACAACAAGGGCTAGGCTGAAACTTTTTACCTTGGCGGATATTCTGTTGCACGTCGCTTTCGTGAGACGAATCCATGGCGGCAACTCAAGAAGCTCGGCTAGTGTTGTTTCGTCTAGCTCTAGGTTATGAAGTTCTCCTTCTCCCTTGAGAAACTTGACGCTAATTTTGTTAGGGGAGAGATTCTTCGTGAACCTGACAGAATTAAAGCGAAATAAAATGGACAACTCGTTAACAAACTCACGTGCGCGGCCCGCGTCAAATATAGCTTCGTTGGATCAATATAGCACTTTAATACCTGGCGAGTTGCTTGACGATCTGGTTCTTAACCAAACCAGACATTATGTCGCAGTGTGGGAATTAAATTGGAAGCATTTCTCCCCCATCTCTCTAATCGCTTTTCATATGATTGTTGTTCGAAGTCATAACGCGCGCTTGCGCAACACATTCCTGAACTGGATGATGACGTAACGCTTGCTACCGGCGACAAGTGTGAAACGTTTTAGTCATCGGTCTCCGTCGACTTTCATTGGGCCTCAGAAATCATACCTTGTTGAAGTATCCTAAAATACTCTGGCAAGCGTAAACAATTTGTCGACAGTTATGGGATCATCCAGCGAAAGACCTCAAAGTGTGCAGCCCCCATGTGAATAAGAACCTCTGTCTTTCTGTTCAGAGCGATTTTCAACAATTTCCATTTTCACCATGGCGATGTTCATCTTTGATCGTCGTTTATGCTAAAATACTCAGATTTTTTTTCTTTATCTCCTCTCCTTGCCACTCTTCCCTAATATATAGTTTGTACGGGTGTATGGGTTACTTAGCAAATTGAAATAGAACACTTCTCTCGCCATCCATATTCGTAAGCAACTGAGAGATTGGGCTTCACAGTGACGTGTCTCTGTCATTTAATTTATCAATTTATTTTAAAAATTGGTCATTAGCGTACTAGTGGGGCTAAAAAATCTGGCGTTAGTATTTTTTTATTAGTTTGGATAGAGTTGTTTCGATAGGATGTGGCCATTGTTACCTCTTTTCTTGCAGGTAGAATTATTTTCGCTTTAGATGGTGCTGTTCACGAACCCTTGAGAACATTTGCTGAACACAGCTGAATACAATACAATTGGGGTCTTCCATCAGATATCTTGATGGAAAGCCTGGTTAATATTAACATCTGGCCCACATTGAATAATTGCTGAAGGACTCAAAAGTTGTGTCACGCAACACTCCTGTTTGTGGCTCATATGTTTGTCACGTATCACGTTTGCGTTGGGTGGGAGCACTAAGCTTCCACATCTTAAAGCAATTACTCTTTTCCGATTGGAAAAAATGTAGCGATATTGGAAAACAGGAATTTGTTAAATTCTAAGATTTTTGGCCGTAAAAGTATCGAAATTTCTACGAACACATTATTATGATGTAACATGGTCTGGTCGAAAAACCCATAAGTTCATATGTCGAGAACAATTTCCTTGAAAATATATCGGCGATGTTCCTTTAGGAAATTAGTTTCAAATGAAAGCTGTCAACATTCATTCTGGTGATACAGACATAACATAACGAGCACATGTCTTTGCTTACCTGAACAAAGTATGTAGAACTTGTAGCTTCTTCGTGATATTTATGTTCATTGCGACTGCTAGATTCCTTCGCGATAATTCCTAGACGCCGCCATTGTCGAGAGAAAGACCACTTTCAATTGAAGTTCGAACTCGTTTGACCTCACAAACGTTTTTTTCCTGCGTATTATTACTTTTCCTCGAATGAATAATAAATGCACACCTTCCATAACACTCAAGATCATATCTTCCGAAAATTGTGCGCTATTAGCCGTAACACATGTTTATTGCAAGGTAGTGAATCACATAAAAGTTATAAATCTTTGATGGTTTTCGTCCTCAGAAACTTGGCTGTAACCGCATTTCAAATTTATAAATATTTTGGCGTCGGAAGCCAAATAGATAAATACATTTGTAGACTTAATATGCACAATATTTATTTTTCATCAATGGTGTTTCATGTTTGTATGTGTTCCACAGTTATAACAACAATTTAGCGACGCTTGCAGGAATACAGAAGCCAACAAAGTAAATTATACATGAGATGAGACTGAAACCCAAATAATTTCTTTCGCTTTTATTGTTCCGTGCTGTACATCCCATACGTAGCTTAAACATGCATCATTCAAAAACCGCAATCTTTCATCTGCATACACGTAATTTTTATAATGCATTACCTTAGTAATCAAGACATCAAACGTTAAAACTCTACAAGTAAGAATTGATTTTTATTCGAACGATCAATCATCCTTTTTCCAGTGGTTTTATGAATTTGAATTAAAAGCCCGTTGACATCATATTTCAAAGTGAAAAATGTGAAACGACCGAAAACAGAAAAAGCTGATGAAAGACCCAACGAAGAACTACCGCTAAAAGAATGTCGGAAAAGAGTAAAAAATAATATTAATACATTGAAAACTACTTCAAAAGTGAGAAGGTTACTGGGCCAGGAAAAGGAGGAAGAGTATCTATGGATTTTTTTCTTTAAAAGACGTCCATTAGAATACGTGGTACCGCCAAAGGGATACAGGGTTTACAGTTTCTAAAGAAACTGTCGTTAAATGCAGTTTTTAAAGAAATTGTGACACTGCGTCGGTGGAAAGTAACACTTAATGATTTGGTTTTATCAATCGAGTTCATAATGTGAATTGGCCACCGTAGAGTTTCTAAAGCTGATCGGAGCGAAGAGCTTCTGACGAAGGGCTAACACTCGAAAACGGAAGGAAGAGTATCTATGATTTTTTTTTTTGAAAGACTTCCATAAGGATACGCGTTATCACCAGACTGACCAAGGGATTACAGTTTCTGAATCACTGTGGTTACAGTTTCTACAGAAACTGTGGTACTGCTTCGGTGAAGCTACCAATGATAATTTAATATTAACGATTGAGTTTATAATGTAAGTTATAACATGGCTAGTAAATTTGTCTCATCAAATTCAATTGCGCGAGCGTGCTTCATATTCCTATTGAGCAAGCTCTCATGAGCATGAAAAAACTTTCCATCGGGTTGAAAATGTCATAAAACAATTGGTTCATACGTCAGCTGTGCGTTCATCGAGATATGAAGCACTTGGGAAGTTAAGAGAGCACTCAAGAAGCTAGAGTTGCTCCTGGCTACGCCTCTTAAGCATCTTTCGTGCTCTCCAAACTTCCCACGTGCTTCATATCTCGATGAACGCACGCTGACGTATGAACCAATTGTTAATTGGCCACCTTAGAGTTTCTAAAGCTGACGTCTCGAGCGTTAGCCCTTCGTCAGGGCGGAGAGCCTCTGACAAGGAGTTGACACTCGAAACTTCAGCTTTAGAAACTCTTTACGGTGGAAAATTTACATTAAGATCAGATAGGACCAGATTATCTTCTGCCACCGAAGGAACATGTTTGGAATGGAATGGTAGTGAACCAAGCCTGATTATTATCCTCCTTCTCATAGAAGAATAAACCCAAGCAAGTATTCCGTTTTGCCGTGTGTCTGTCCTGTTATAGATCACTTTTGGTGAGTACCACCAATACATCTAGTTCTTTCCAAATTCTGACGTCAACTGCTACCTACACTTTAACAGACAAAATCGAATCTACTTGTCACTTAAAAAATGCAAAAATGTTGTCGATTTGTATTAATCTACCTTTTCTTTTTTTAAAGGTTTGGAAAGTTTCTTATCGATAATTCATTCCCCACACTAAACCATTTCGTATCAGCTGTGTCCAGCAATTTCTTGTCACAACATTAACACGTTTTCTTTCAGAAAGGTGACCATGAGATGTCAGGAAAATATCCAAAAGATAGCATTTTTGGAACTAACGCAAATTTTCCGAGCTTAACCTGCAGGAAATATATGCCAAACAGTGCAGAGAACTCACAAAAAGGGTTATAACCAATTCACTAAAGAAAACGAAGCAATTCGTACGTTGGAGAGTTAAATTGGGTGATGAAAAGTAAAACAAAAACAAACGAAAACAAAAACAAAAGAGACAAACACATCAACACAGCAATTCGAAACAAAACAAAACGAACAAACACAACAACAAACACGACAGTTCAAAACGAAAAACCAAACAAAACTAAAAGGAGACATAAACAAACCCAGAAGGCTTTGCTAAAGAGAGTGAAAAGTTTAGATGAGAAAAAGTTTAGATGACAATAAACGGAGAAGTGTCACCAATTGTGAACGATATATTCTATTAAATTCGCTGATTGCATCCTTTGCGTAATACAAGAATATCATCTCAATGAGTAATTATCATTTCTCTCAGTTTGTTGTTGTTCAAAAGAAAAAAGGAAAGATGTTTATGTTTAGTAAAGGATTCAATTACATATTACAACTTGACGCTAAACAGCTTAAATAAATAAACTGCCTTCCCTATAAAAACTCAGATGAATATTAAAACTAACCATTTATCACCCTCACACGAAATACTCATCGCCATATACTTATGTATTAAAGCAATGTCAATTGAATTCTTGTCATAAATTCTATTGTTGTTTCCACGAATTTTCACTTTGAAAGAAGACCCACCGTCACCACCCCTCTTCTTCTTAAATATGTTCCCTACTTGAATTGCAGGTCAACTGGCATCAATTTGGTTTTCAGTTCACTATAACTTAACTTAGAACACTCTATAAATGTCACATAATATTCTTCAAAGAACGCATTTCAAAGATTAGCGTTATTCATATAATTGAGTGAAATAATGAAAAATTGGCTCGGTACCCAGCTCAACCAATAATTTTGGTCACGCCGATGTTGAAGAGATAGTGTGACTCATCGCTGAGAGAATGCGCTACAAAAAATCGACTGAAGTCACGATGACTAGCATTAGACCGAGTCACTAATATTACTAAAGCGTAGTAGAGACCTTGTTTTAAATTTTGTCTGGATTTTAAGTTATTGCAGGAATACTTGTGCACGCCATTTTAGTATGTGAAGGAGAGGTTGCTTATTCATACTGAAAACCATTCCCGTAGGGAAACAGTTTAATCACTGAAGAGTCGATGCTTTGTGTCTTCTTCATCTTCGCCAGTGTCCGAGCCACATTCGGAAGCGACTGGAGATGGTGGTTCCGAGCTTGGGCGTGGATAAGTGAAATTCGATTGCTGAAAAATAGCATCAAATGTTTAATGTCCAAAAATTAATTGACAGTCATGTGATCAATCACAAATCAACTTAAATGGTACAAAAATGCTTTGCTTCGCCAACAAAAAATAAAGGTTCAAACGGTCAAAAACTAAACAGTTATCAAGCCCAGCTTTGTTACATACCGATTACGGGGTTCAAAAGTGTCCTATATCGGTAAATAGTGCAGAAAAAGTTATACAAAATGTTAATTTAGTGTTTTGTCAGGATACAGGAACATTTGAGGAATGCTTCCGTCAGCTCTACACAAATCATCTTTGTACACCTCCCGTGCGAGGCGAAGTCATGACATGCCATTGTTAACCGATCGTGTAGCTTTAGAAGTTTTCAATTCAATGCTGTAAGTAATTTGGGACAGTTATCCATATTTGTATTTTCTTTAATACTCACACCACCCTCCTAAGGTCGCTTAGTCCTTCACTTTGTTATAGATACTGTAAATTCCCATCAGCAGATTAGCTCCATGTGATATTTAATTTTGTTCTGACTAGCTGCTGTGATCACTGACTTTGATAACTGTTTTATAATATTTTGGTTTCAAAAGATAGTTAAGTACGGAAATCAGAAAGAACTACAGGTCGTAGAATGACGCTAGAAGAAGATTTTGCTGAGTTGTCTCACATGCAAAACAGAAAATCCGCCGCATCCCACATATTTATGAGTATTTGGCTCGAGTTCATGACGTACAGACCGAGCACAACAAGGTTCATGCGTCGTGAATGAGAACCAAGTATTTTCCCGTCCGGCTCTCTCACTCAGTCAATAAGCATTTTATCATATGACCACGAAGTCTTGAAAATTTCGAAAATTTTATTTTAAGTTAAATGGGACGCGGCGTATAGGGGACAACGCCAAAAAAAGATTCTACAATATTACTTTCTGTCATTTAATTATTGGTTGAAAGTCAATTTGACAATCTATTCTTAAATCATCTTTCTCTTGCGGAACAGGATACTCATAAATATGTAAAATGCGGCGAATTTTCTTTTTTGCATGTGAGACATGTATTCTGCAACACTTCCTTCTAGCGTCACTCTACCTCAGTAAATAAGTATACAAGCTTGAAAAGAGGACAGCATTAATTACCCATTAACCAACATCACTGGGAGCTCACCGCTTCCTCGGTCATGTTCGGCTTCTCGTATTTGTCCGGTTGAAGATGATGCAAGGCAAGTAACCGTGCTCGGGTGTAATACTGAAACAAGAAACAGGAGTTTTAGATCAGTTTTCACTTCACAGTACACAGGTTTGCTGCCGGAGCTTATTCCTAATTCTGTAACACAAAGCCACCAGAAGTATTATCACTCCTCCTGGAAAGGAATCCCTCGCAGGACACTACAAGGAATAAAGTTCCCTAGCGGAGTGCTGGTATCTAGTTACACTTCTGGATGGAGAGATGGTCAGTCATAGCGAAGTGCACGGTCTGAAAAGATAAGCAAGGCTGGAACTCAGACCTTTCGACCAATGGGTCATATGCAGCATTCCGCTGGCCAGTTGGTCGGCAACGCAAGGTTTTTTCTGCCTCATTGAAAGTGCTGCAACATGAGCGTTTCCTTGCCCTAGAGAAAGTTTGAAGCCTTGAACAAGGCGAGCCTCGCAGGTTCGCCTTAAACATAATCGTGGAGAAAAAACACTCGTGCTGCTCGCAGGTTAAGTTTTCACGAGCACTGATTGTAACAAAGCAATCAGTTTTTAGTTTTCTCCGGAAAGTGAAAGGGATCTCACCCGGTGAAGACTCCTCCAATCCAATAATTCACTAAGACGCTCGGTCCTGTTCCTCTGAATGATTCGCTGTCTTCTTGTCAGTTTGCAAAAGCTCATCATGTACTGAAACAAAGAGCGTACACCATAGAATCAGTTAGAACTGAGTTTAGTCTGGATATGACTCGCACAGCAAAAAAGAACTTACTCCGAATTCTGTTGCATGAGGTGACTGCTGGTCTATTGAAGGCTACCCCCTACATATCGTCAGTTTTCCTAACAATTTGCTTGTAAAAATTTGTTCATACTACATGTGGTAGAGAGACACTGTGAGAGGAGAGTTTCGTGACCTTGAACGCAACAGAATGATCCGGACCAGGGGATTGTTTAATTGAATTTGGGAAGTAATCCGGGCTTGCACTGGTTTCAGTTAGCTTATCTTCACTTTTTGATTGTTTGCGAAAATTCAAGTTTTCTTGCGCCTCAGTTTTGTACATCTTGGTTTTCGTTTTGCGACACTCGATTTTTAATAGCTTTACAATAATAACTTGCCATCCCCTTATAACATTCATGCAATTTGCATCACAGATTATGGTGTGTTAAGATTCACAAAACGCAGCGGAAACAAAACAATAGACAACAGGCCATCTCTATGGATAGAGTGCTGAAAGATTACCCTGGTTGTATTTTTTTTCTCTCTCACGACTGAATGCACTGTATGCGCTCTCATAACAAGCAAAAAAATTCCGTGCACACCATTGCATTAGTGGAAAATAGAGGGGGCTGCTCTGTCAAATGCAAGGTTTCATTTAATTATAGCAGAATTTTCAGTTGAGATTACGCGGTGGATTGGGGTTAGAAGGACTCAAAAGGAATTTTAGGGGTTGGCAGGGTTGTGGGCAGTTTTTACCTGAGGCAAGCTAGCAACACAGATGGTGCTCAATATGACTGGGTGTTCCGTAGTTAAGCCGAGTAACGCAAATCAGACTGACTAACCTGCGTGAGTTCGTCAATTGACTCTTCAGCTGACTTGAATCTCCTGTCCACAAGATAAATGCCGTAGGATGTAGGATCAGTCACGTGTTCTGCCATGAACCGACCAAATCCTGACAGATTAGTGGACACGGAGGGGATTCCCATCACAGTACACTCCGCTGTGCAAAGGAAAGTCAAAATATTGTGCCATCGTCAACCAAATGCGACATCCAATTAACAACTTAGAAATAATCGGCAAAACACAAGGAAAAGCAAAAACAAACAAAGATATCTAACGATGCGACGAGCCATTTATGTCTCTCATGAGATTTATAAAGGAACAATGTGAGGAATCGCTTGACTTCAAATGCATTTCGTGATTTGAAGGCACAAATTAAAATATTTGAAAGATTTTTAGATGCACGAGTCCTACGTAGTTCAAATCCTAAAGATCTCAAAATTACTAACATAGTTTCTTTGAACTGAATAGTAACGATATTTTTGACAGGTAAATCAAGCCAAAGACTGTTTCCATATCACTTTTGTGTTCATCCTAAAATAAAGTGCTCGATTCAGAGCATCACACTTCAAGAATATGAAAAGTAGGAATTAAAACCCTGAGCCTAACCATTATCCAAAAGCAAATGTGTATATAACATTTGATAATTCATAAATGGATCCTATAATGTTAGAATAGAAATAGGTTGTTGTACCTGGAGTGTAACCCCAAGGCTCATAATAAGAAGGAAACACCCCCAAATGGCAGCCACGCACAAACTCGCTGTAGTCAATGGGAAGAAGTGGACTAATGGTGGATAAGAATTCAGGATGGAAAATAACCTAAGATAAGAGAAGAACAGCAAAACAAAAAAGTCAGTTATTTATCACTGTCCTGAGTTCAAGACTGCAGGGAAGGGGAGGAGAGGGGAGGGGGAAGGGAAGGGGGGGGAAGGGAGGGGGGGGGGGGAAGGGGGGGAGGGAGGGGAAGGGAAGGGAAGGGAAGGGAAGGGGGGGGAGGGGAGGGGAGGGAAGGGAGGGGAGGGGAGTGGAAATGTAGGTGCGTGTTTCGGAAACATCTCGGCAGGATGTTGTGTAGAAGACATAAACAGTCTCATCCACGTGTTGCAATGTCAAACGTCAAGCAACGCGTTTTCTATGGAAAGAATGCAAGAATTAAGAAATGACTGCCAGGAGACTGTGAACAGAGAAATGAATAAAGACTTACCTTGACTCTGTCCTCAGGCTTATTGAAAAGATTTGTCCTTCGAAGGTGACACAGAATGGGGTCCACAGAGTCTTCTAACATATTGTGAGTTACAATGGCGGGAAGGTTTGGACGCTGCAAATTATCAACCAAGCGTCAAATATTTTAATTGAACTAATTTAGCAATGATTATCCATGTCTCGATCTATTAATTTCGTAGCTGAGCCACTAAAGTCGAGAAACGCGAATGAAGTATTGAGAGACAGAGATGGTTACGAATAATAAGATTAACACAGTTTATAAACACCAAGTTTAAAAAATGAATGATGCTGCCCGGCTTTATACCAGAGACGTATTTTGTGTTATCATAATTTTAAAATGAAATAAACTGTGACGAGATTCCTTTGCGGGAAAGATGACCTCTCTCAAATCTACCTCGCTCCCAACATGAGGCTTCGTAGCTCAGTTGGTAGTAGCGCCTAACTAGTATCTGCTGCGTCCGGGTGAGAGAGTACAACAGGGTAATTTGGTAAATTAGCTACCGTAAAGAGATTCAAAGCTGACGTTTCGAGCTGTGGCTCTTCGTCAGAGCGAATAGGGAGTCGTGGGTTGTGTGTGTGTTTCTATGCAGAAAATGGAGCTACGCTATTAGTGGGAACATGGTAACAAAAAAAAACCAAGAATAAATCAGTGAATGAAAAGTGTTCGTTGATACGGGTATCAGTAATAATCTAAAAATAATCTAATAATCAATAATGATAGCGTAGCTCCATCTTCCTTCATGAATCGCTCTGACGGAGGGCCAACGCTCGAAACGTCATCTTTGAAACTCTTAATGGTGGCCAATTTACGTTATCAACTCAGTTGATAATATCAAAATACCTTAGTATCTGGAGCCACGGGTTCGAATCCTGTCGAAACCTGAATTTTTTCAGGCTTCTTTTCCGCAGTAGCTTAAATTGCAGTTCACCCGCAAGGAGCACTTCCTTTCGTGTAAGTAGTCTTGTTGATTATTTACGACTGATAAGTATTCAATTGCGACTTGGTCACTGGCGATTTCTCGCGCTTGAGGTTGTTGACGCACATTTCTGATAAGTTCCTTTTTACGTCAACCCTGATTGGTTGATGTGACTACTTGGTTTCAAGACATTACTGTGTCAATAAATGCGCCATTTTCTTGCTCGAAAACTAATTAGAGTGTTTTTTGCACATGATAGTACGTTTTAATTATTGTTTCAAATCTTGTATTGTTGTAGCAATTTTTTCGGCCAAGAAAAACCAGTCAATGTTACCTTGGCGCCGAGGATGCATCTCTTCAGCTTGATGATCTCATCTGCCTCTAAAAGCTTATTGCCATCTGGAAGCTTTCCCCTGTGTTCAAGATGAAAATAGTTATAACTAAACGGTTTACAACTAAAATATTTCAAATTCTTTAATCATAAGAGAATTGAGGTGAATAGTGGCGAAGTTAATTAATACACTTATTCGTTCCTGCGGTTCTCGAGTGGCCGATTTCGATATAGACAATCGACCTCTGAAGGAATATGGGCGGTTGATTTGCAAATTCTTCCTACCCCTAAACATATATATCATGCGACAGGATGGAAAACAAACTTTTTCAGGGTTCATTGCGACTATGATAACCTCGCAATCTTGCGCAGGGATCAGATATGAATGCAAAAACGACCACGCAATTTTTTTCCCTCCTACAATGAATGAAAGAAGCTTTGAAACAAAATGACATGATCACCACCGACATAATGCTACAGGGACTTACCCAAGACAAGACTCGTATATCCGTTTTCCAATTTTATCTTGGATTTCAGAGACTGTGTCACTAAGAAGAGGGAACAAATCATAGAAGTGAATGAAAACAGAGTGTTCATTGTTATCGTTATTGTTATTACTAGTACCATTATCACTACACTTGTCATCGGTATTACTTTCATAAACAGCATCACTATGATCATTCTCGTTACAAATTATTATCATAATAAGTATTCTCATTATCAGATTAATCACCACCACTTAAATTAGTAATTTTACTACACTAACGCACGAAGAGTAATAAACTATTAAGTTACGATTTCACGGCAGATTTACGCACTAGTGTAACGGAAATTTTCAATTGAGTGTCGAAAGTAATCTGCGATTGCATTGGTTTTTCTTTTCTTCGCTCTATGATTGGTCCAGAAAACTCGCACGACTTTCTCAACCAATCAGATGCAAAACTGAAACCAATTAGGACTTGGACGCCCGCGTTTTCCCGCGCTTTAGGTAGTTTGGTTGTTCTTATTTTGAGTTCTCATTGGCTATCTTAAAGATATGTTCCTTCCTCCCGATTGGCCGTTGTGATTACTATGTCGATTACTATGGGTTTGGCCGCGCCTGAGTAGTATTTCTATGGCAAGTGAGTGCGTTTATTTGCTGCAGTATTAATCATATCCATTTCTAGCCGTGAAAAAATATTCAACAACCGGAAAAATTTATAGGTTAACACTACATAGCTTACAATAAATCACCAAACCAAGGAACAGTGTTTTCACCTGAGCTGTTTAGTGACAGCTTGTCCTTTCAGTGAATCAACATTGAAGTTGCTAGTCCGCGCGGGAAAGATTAGAAATGCGACTACAGTAACATCACTGCCACTGGACTGAAAGAAAACAAGAAAAGCCGCACACTCACGATAAAAAATCGGGGAATTTCAACCTTGAGAAAGTGTAGGCTGCAAGGTAACCGCTAAAAGAATAAATCAAAAGTACCCAGAGATAGGGTCAAAGTAGTTGTTGACTCCACCTGCTACATAAATCAAGTGATTTATTTATTACTGTAAGATCGCTATGAGTAATAATTTCACATCTATCTAGCTGACGCATTCCTTTTGATAATAACAAGCTTCACAATTCTAGGAAGCTATCAAATCTACAAATACACCTGTTTTTGCTTTGCAGTTGGGTAATTGTCTCAAAAATATACAAATAAATCAACATTCATCATTTTTTCATATACATCATGAACAACCTACCTTTTTCTTCAATTTTTAATTTCATACTAATTTATCTCTAGTTAGAGGAACACTGTTGATACAATTTTTATCTCCTCTAAAAACATGAGAATATCATCATCAACATTGTTGTTGTTATCAATATCATGCAACAGCATCAGTGCAAAAAATACCTTTAACAGGTGATTAAGCCTGGCTAATGCTTCAATGTACAAGTCAGCTCCTTTGTTGAAGTACTCGTACCTAAAGAGAAGTTTTGTATAGATAAAGACAGCATATATCACAGGGTTTCTCTTGACCCGTATGTAATATTCAAACTGGAACTCCAATATATATAATTAAATATATAATTTCAACATGTAATTCTCATTTATACATTTCCTTGTCAGTCAGTAAGGAGAATTTGGTTTTGGATTTGGTTAAGGATAACACTCTCTGGCTGATGGTTTGGTTCATTCCCATCACCTGCTTGTTGAATATTATATTACAACAGTGTGGAGAAATTTAATACTGATCACATCTGAGAGTTAGGAAGTGGTTGATGAATGATGGCCTACCTCCCAGCACTGAAGAAGAACAATGTCTTGTCCATATCAAAATCCAGATGTCTGAAAATGAATGTTATTTGAAAACGTTGAGGTGTTAAGCTAAAAACCACACTAAAGCAGGTAATGAACAAAAAGGTTAAACTGAGATGTCAATAATCAATTAACTCAAAAATGTTCCATGTTACATACCCATGAAAATGACCTCGCACAAAGTTACAAATCTTCTCTTTGGAAATGGCATGAAGATTTTGGAACTCATGTAGAGCTCTAAAAAAAGTTGAAACAAATAATAAAAAATGTTAAAAAATCTGGTTTCCTTTTTCAAGTAAATAAAATCTAGAAACAAGTTTAATAACCAAAAGATGGATTTTAATGCAGTATCTTTCACATAACTAGTAATTTTTTACTTGTACTGTTGTACACTGTCCATACTATGTGTTCTAAATAAAATTCCAGTGACAAAATCTGTCAAAACTATGGCTAATCAATATTAACCCTTTCATTCCTACCCAAGTTGACTGTGGGGAGGAAAAGTGTTGCTGTAACTTTTGAGTTTGATGCTAAAATATTTTAGTAATTAACATTCACACATGGTCACCATCTTTCACAGCAATTTTACATGTCATTTTCATTTTCCTTTGATTTAGAGAACGACATTTAAGGTTTTTCTTAAAGAGTTGAATTGTAGCTTCTGGTGATTTTGTGTTCCATTTAACAACATAGCTAACAATTGGTTCATATGTCAGCGTGCATTCATTGAGATATGAAGCAGGCGGGAAGTTTGGAGAGCACAAAGATGCAGAAGAGTTGCTCGAGGCATAGCCAAGAGCAACTCTAGCTTCTTGAGTACTCTTCAAACTTCCCAAGTGCTTCATATCTCAATGAATGTACAGCTGATGTATGAACCAATTGTTTTATAACATTTTCAACCAGATGGAAAATTTTTTTTCTCGAGGGATTTGTTTGCTGACATCATGAGTGTGCACAATAGGAATATGAAGCATGCTTGCGCAATTGAATTTGATTACAAAAATTTACTAGCTATGTTATAATCATATTTAATCAGGTACTTTAAAAAGATCTAATGTTCATTTTGAGGTCAATTACTTTTAATTAATACATAACTCCATAAATGTTTGCTTTCTTATGAAAAAGAGAGAAAACAAAGATTTTTAAATAAATACACCTTGGATGAATCACAAAATAGAGGTGCAGAATGAAGAACAAAAAGAAAATACTTACGTGTATTTGATAACATTTAGACCATTGGGTAGAACAATTTCTGAAAAAAGAACAAAAAAATTGTATCAAAATGTATCCTTATTGAACTATATTGAACTTTTATCACCAAAAAAATTTTAATGTTATCAAGCAAGAAAACACATCTCTGAAAATAACTAGATAAGGTTTATCTTTTCCATTACATCCATTCAATTTGATGCAGAAATTAAGAAACAAAATGCCACTTTCACTAACAGATAGTAAAAGCTTGAGGCTCTAGTCAAATTTCTCTAGTGACAGCCATAAAAATGTGGCCACATGACTTACCAGCTCTTCTTTTAAGTAAATGCTCTGCTTCATCTGCTGTGATGTGTGACACAGTAGTGAATACATGGGCATTGTTTGCAGCTGCTCGCTCAAGGCAGTAACGATGATAAATCTTGCGATCTCCAGCTTCCTGAAATCAGGATGAAGAGACAACCTATCAGGTCACTGCTGCAGAGCTTTAAATTTGAAATAAAAATCAAAAGGCTAGTACAAGGAAGGAAGGAAGGAAAGCAAAGAGACCCAAACATAGGTTTTACTCAATAATGAAATACATTCCCTACTAACCTTGTCAACATCAAACTGATGAACACAATCAGCAAACATGAAAAGGAAAAACAAATTTAGGATAGTTTCAAGCAAGTCACATAAAGATTTCTTTGGTTTACAACACAGAGCAACCTTTGGCAATAGATTTGAAACTCTACTGCTAAAAAATGCAATGATATTAAGTGAAATGAGAAATTCAGCCAATAGACGACTTGTGCTCAACTGTGTAGAATAATTGTGAGCTTTTTAATGTATGCGGATCATGACAAGTTCTTCTCAGGTGATGATGTCAGCTGGTTATAATCACCTAAGAGGAACTTGTCATGATCAATATGCAGTTAATTGTGAAAACTGACCCTTCAATGCTGGTTTTCAACAGCTGTATTAATTACATTTGCACACTTCACAGCAAAAGCATTATATTTCAAGAGGTGAAAAGTAAGAACCTGAGTTCATCATCCAAAGATGACTATAAGCAAGTACTTATGATGTTGTGAGGCATATTGGAAGTGACTTCATCAAGCTAAGCAATACAATTCTACCATTTCAATGCATTTTGTACTAGACCAAAATAAAATAACACATCTGTTGCTGGCAATCAGGCATGTTGATTATATTGTACCATACATTAATCTAAAAGCATTATCCAAGTTTTTACAATTTTTGATACCCTATGCTCACAGAACACTGAACATTCTATTACTAAAAGTAGTTACCAGTAAGTTAACAAATCACAGAGTAAAAACTTGGTTGACTTACCCTATCTAAATTATTATAGAAGTCCACATTGGCTGCACAAAGGTAACGGCCCAACAGCGTTGCATGTGTTGTGAAAATTGTTGCCACAGCTACATTTGTCATGCGCAGGAGAACCAATCCCACCCCAGCCTGCCACTCATGGAAATGTGCAGCTATAGGCAGGTCAGGTTCACATCTAGTGCGAAACTGAGAACAAAAACATTACTGCATCAATTTATTGACCATTCATAATTAAACTACAATATGGTTAATTGACATTTTGCCTTGTAGAATTCAGCAATCAAACAGATTCCATGTGTCTGCACCCATATATTAATTTAATAGATCACAGATGATGTCAAAATATGGTAAGAACAGGACAATCGCACACAAGGCACAGATGAGTGTGTCACTGATGTTCTTAACACATTTTGACATTCCTGATCTATTACTGTACAGACCCATGGCCACATGAAATCTATTTGTTTTATATGACCAAAAAGCAAAAATTTCTAAATAGTGATGTCATTTATACCTATTTCCTTTAATAGGTCACGTGTAAGAACCAATCAAAATCTGTTTCTAATTAAAAAGCACACCAATTTTATCCCCCTGTCCCTTAATCAAACCCCTTTCCCTCAACAATTTTCCCCTTTGTGTTCTGTTTGTCTCCCATTCCTTGTTATATCTAAAGAAGAATCTTTAAATTTATAAAGCCATAGGCACTTATGCTCCAACATTACTGCACCTCTCCAATAAACTGTGCAACCAGGAATCCCAACACAACAGCATCATTAGACTCTGTGTCAAGGTCAGGGATACCAATGTGAGTTTTCTTCCAAAAGTCATTCTTCATTTGACCCAGCTTGTGGTAAATTGAGCCAATGTTGAAAAGAACCACCTAAATGTTGATATTGTATACAGCATAACTATTGAATGCAAATTTTATGACTTCCATAACTTGTAATCATATTAATAACTAAGAGAAATCTCTTCTTTTTTCTGGAATTTGTGTGTGTGAGAGAGAGAGAGAGAGAAGAGCATTCAATTTTTCATATTTATCAACATTTCCAATGAAACTTGAAGTCCATAATTATCACTGATAGCTGTTCAAAAAACCATGTATGTTATTTTAATCAAGTAAAAGATTTCATGATATGTTCACTTTGATAAACAAATAACTATTAATCTATTCACCTTGGGATATCCATCAATCAACCATCTTCCAAAGTGAGTCTGCAAGAAAAATGACAAAAACATGAACACTCCAATTTTATAATCACTAAATGAAGTTATTTGGGGAGATATGGTACTGTCGCGACACAAGGTCTAGGTTGAAGACTTTGGTAGGTCATTGTGCTGTGTTCTTGGGCAAGACATTTCACTCTTACAAGCCTTGTTCCACCCATTAGTGTACAGGGTACTGGCAAACTGCTTGGGAAGCCTGATGAAATTCTGGGGGGAAGGAACCAGTGATACACTGGGAATTCCCATCTAGGGGATGTGGCAATACTCCTAGTGGTTTCGTGCCAAAGAAACTATAATGAGCTCTCAAAAATTTCTGCGAATGGCCAGCATATGATGCACCTGTTCAATTTTTTTTAATTTTAAATCCATCTTTAGGCTTTTAAAGGATTTCCTAAGAGCATTCTTGCAAAGAGAGACAGGTAGAAATACATTGTTCTGTCCATCTGGACAAGGCTGATGAGGTCCCATGTCTAATGATGTGACCTGACTTTACAGTGCTGTGCAACAATTTAGAAAAGTAAACCCAGATTTGTTAAAATCCAACACAATTAATGACTCAGTTAATAACCATTCACTTAGTTTTTTCTTTTGGTTTAAGTAATAAATGTCTCATACCTCTACACCACTGTCTCTCATGGCCTGAATAGCACCTTTAATGGCAGGGTCTTCAGGTTCCACCATTTCGACCTCAGTCTTGCACTGCAGATCATTATAAATTCCTATCAAGCAATACTTGTTTCCTAGTACATCAACTGCAGCAGGTGCCTTAGATCTGATCACAGTGTAGATCCCACCAACTAAATTCAAACACAAAAAGCCACATATAATTTTTTGCATTGTACAAAATATATGCTGTCATGGTAGCAAAAGGCCCTTTAAAAATTTGTTGTAGAGAAATTTCAACAACATTCTTACAAGATGAAACTCCCAAATGAAAGGGACAGGAATGAAATTCCAATATAGTTGGCCACGAAGGCATTGCTCAGCTTGCAGTAAAGAAAATAAATTTTAAAAAAAACCATGATTTAGCTGGCTTTGTGATAGGTCTCTATCCAATAAAAAGGAAGCTAATAACCTTGTTACAATTATCATAAATCATTTTGCCTCCTACCAGCTGTCTGCTGTTTCCAGATGATGTGTTTGAAATGAACAAGGATCAGATGGCAACCAGATTTGCCTCTTTGAGAAATTTCATCAAAAATCCAAACTTTTTTACAGCAACTACCCACCCAACCAAGATCAATTTCCCAGGACATCAAACAGGTGCCAAATTAGCTCAGAGCTACTTTGGTGTTATGAATATCTCACATGTAAAGAGAGATCAGTTTGGTAAGTATGTTCTATTTGTCACCCTTCTCAAAGGGATACTGACTATACCCATCCCTGATATCTATTGTTCTCCTTTTCAGGAGGCAGCCAGTAAAATTTAACAACTGTAGCATTTTTTATTACCACCAAAATTACTTAAAATTCTTGAGAATTTAACAGGTGCAAGGATTACTTGGAAAGAAAAAAGGGGGGACACTGAGTATTATCAACTTTTTCCTCAAACCATAATTTCCCAAGCAGCAAACTTGCCTCACCTACATCTACATTTGCATGTATGTTGTGCCAAGTTTATTGTCATGCACAATTTAAGAAAACAATACAAAAAATGCTAACCATTAAGAAATTAATTAAAAGTTATGATAATAAGTTCCTTTCAGTAAATGATGAAGAAAGAGTCAGACGTAATTCATGAGATTAATTTATAGCATCAATTTTTCACGATGTTCAAAACAATAGCACCAGTTTTTTAACTATAAGAATACTCCCTAGTGTCATTCGATCATTAGAAATTAAACAGTCACGCACCTAAAAATAAACAAATTCTGACGTCGACAAACAAGAACATCAGCTGATCGAATTGGCTGCGCTTTCGAGCCTTTCGTGGCAATCGGGGAAAGAGACTGTCAATGGTAGCAAAGAAAAAAGGAGGGATTTACTACTTTAATTAAAGCAATAATGAAACCAATCGAGGTCAAAGTAGGAATGTCTGTGCTAAGCTCGCTCCGTCTGTAAGCAGCCTCTGAAAAAAGTCAGATTTCTGACGACTTGGAAATTACAACAATCACTAGCGAACATCACAGATAGTCAGTGCATGAAAGATGACAATGCTTTGCAAGGAGATGCAAAATATTAACGTTACTTATTAACTTTAGTTCTGGACCAAGTCAAACAGCGCAGGGGGTGGGAAGCAATTAGCATCCCTGCCGTCTTGAAAAAGTGAATATGTAACAAGAATACGTGAGACTTACCTTTGTTGGCAACCTCCCACGAGACTTCAAAGGTAAAATAGTGAGGCTCCTGATTCGGAACTCCATCCCAAGGGCGCACTACGATGTCTGAAGCCGTACTTAACGTCCTCTCCATACTGCGCTCACAACCAACGCCGATATTACTCACAGGTATTCCCGCTGGCTCTAAGGATTGTATACCTGATCTAATTGTTTCCATGTCACCATCGGTCTGATCCCTTCGACTCCTCATCAGAGCTCTTTGTTTTTGCAACTTCGAGAAAAAGGAAACCAACGGGATGCTTTCCGTGCTTTCAAAGAACGAAGTAAACAAACGGAAAATCAGACGGAAGCAAGATGATGGGTCGCACATTCCATGTATTCACAGAACATCCACGAAAAGTCTGTTTTTTTCTTAAATACGAAAAAATAGAACGCGATATTACCTTCGCTTTCAAAGATCTATTGGAAACTGTAAAAACCTTCCCTTTTCTGTATTTTATGTTTACGCTCACATGATGTAATAACAACTGAAACGGTTCATCGATTGAATGTTGGCATGTGCGACCCTCGTGTTTAGAATGGACTTACAGACTTAAAATGTCACCCAAACGCATGTACATCAAAGTCAATTTCCGGAAGTTCCCTGAAATTTGTTATTTCTCCATCACATCAGTGGGAACCTGTTTCAACCCCTTCAATATCCTTTAAATTATTTTATGGAAAAAAGTTGCTCAAAATTAAAAAAAAAAAAAAAAAAACCGAAGCAAATTACTCTTAGCGCTTAGCTAAGTGGTATTTCGTCGTCTTAAAGGATAGAGCACTTATTCCAAACACGATATTTTTTTTATCAAACGCTTTCATTTCTGACTTTAGATGGTGCTCTACATTTTTTTGGCATTATGAATTCTCCTGAGAAGGTTGATAACTTTGTGCAGCTGTCACAGGCATCTGAGGTTCAACCAGTAAGATAACCCACGGAGGTACCATAGATATTGTTTATCCTCCAACCAGACACTGTTACTTTCTCACCCTTTCTTCGAACTACGAGCAACTCATTTAGTGTGCATCAACTCCCAAAAGCGATTTTTTAATGTTGCAAACGTTACTTTTATGCTGTTTTAAGGCTTTGTTGTGGTATAATATGAGAAAGAAATACTTACAACACGTCCATATGGGCATCAGGCGTGTGATGCGTGCAAGGATAGCCAAGATTTTTGTTTGTTCGTTTGGAGGGTTTGTTCAAAGTTTGCGGGGAGGTTTGATATTCAGCTAAGGACAAATCGAACTGCAATCTCTTCTCGAATTTCAAATCTGTTCCCTTGAATTGATCTTTTTATAACTGACAAGCCTCCGGGCATTCGAAGAATTTTTTTGTGAACTTCAATCTGCTGTAATTCAAGTCAAATCAGATTTGCTTGTAAAGTCGATCTTTGAAACCAAGCTGCAATCAGCCCGAAATTCTTCAAACGCTGTGTTTTGAGGTTTTCTCACGTTAATCTCTTAGGGAGCCTATCATCCTATTTATGCTCTACTCGATGTTTCCGAAAAATGCTCGTACTTTTCCGTATGTTCAAAAATATTAAATCCTTTCCTCAGTGATTACGGCTTCATCTTATTTAGTTTATTCCATGACAAAAGGCACGTGCTAAGTCGCGTGATAAGATATGGGTACGTGCCGATTTCCGAGCTCGAGGATCAGACATTGATCACGCTACTTCTAGCACAGGTGGCCCAAGCTCCAGCTGTGATATAATCATCTTGCAAAATAAGAGTCATGGCGAAATAAAGTGTTTGTATGGGAATATTTACGACCGCTCTTAGGAATAAAAAGTACGATTAAATTCTTGATAAAAAAAACCTCACCTTACTTCCACAATGCATCGCTTGTTATCTGACCGCTTGCCATATTAAAAGGAACTCATTTTAGCGAGTTATCCATTTCTAGCTTTATTACGTACATTTGAGAAGCCCCCTTGGGGCACCTGTGATTCTAGTCGCTTCATGCTGCAGAAACTATTATTTAGCTCGCGGTAGCAATGAACCAGTCGACTCTAAATATTCAAAGTAAATGGACCCTAATTTCAAACGTATCGAACAACATATCACAATAACACGAAATGTTTTATCTTTACTTTTATTACGTTCTTGATGGTTTATTGCACCAGGCAAACTCGACTTGAAACTCCTCTGGTTAATTGACTGCTCAATCTTCTGTCGGCGCCTCAAATGACTGATGTGTTCCGTAAAAAACCAGCATAATGCGTCAAAGATTTGTTGACTATTTTTACTGGCGATAAAAACCAATGTCACAATGACGGGCTCTTCCTCAGTTCAAAGGGTGGACGAACACGTGACGTTCTGTTTCGCGAAGCAGAGCCGAAAGCGCAAGGACTGCAAGAGCGCAAGCAAGAAAACAGAAAATACCACCATTCACCTTTGTTTTAGGCCTTAAAACCATCTTTTCCAACTGATTCTTTAATTAAGGTCTTATGCTACGTCCTTTCCTATCTCCCTCGTTAACAGAAGGAAAGGCAAAACGCAAGACATCGGTTTCTGTTCACGGCTCATAGACCTTCGACCCTTGGTACGGAGATACATTTCTGCAAAGGTCGATGTTTTCAACAAATCCTTGATTTCTATCATTAAATAATTTTTGTTGTGAGCGAAGATGGTGTTAAAGGAAGTTTATTCCAACACCAACTTGAATTCCATGGTTAACACTGAAGAAAAAAAAACAATGATAAAACTATTGGTATTTCATTAATTTTTGCCATTTTCAACAAACTGAAGAGGAAATTGATTTATTCTGTATCTAGCTACATCATCGTGAGTTGTCACTATCAGTCAAACCTTTCAAAAGTTCTTTTTAAGAGTTTTGTTTCAGTACAGCACGTTATGTCTTGTTGTTTCATTATCTTGGCTTTTTCTATATTCTTCTCCAAGTTTCAAAATAACGTTCCCATGCTTCAAATGAATTATGAACTCTATATATTGCATAACATATCATCTGGCCATTTTTTCATCAAATCTTGCAGGCCTTAAGTCAATCAATCAATCAAAGTTTATTGTCTAACGTGAGGCATGGTTGCCCAATTGCCCGAGCCAGAGGCTCATGTATAAAACGGTAGACTAAAGTCGTTTAGTCGTTTAATGTAACGTCATCTCACCTGTCTGTATTTTGTGCTGCGATAGGAAAACAGTAATTTAACTCCACCCGAGCAATTCCAAGCATGAAAACCAGCCCAGCTCCACAGGACCACCGGATCTTTTCTCTTAACGAATTAAATCTGCTTCTCCACGGAAGATCTGAAAAAGACAGGTCTTTGTTGAGGTGTTCAAGTTTGAAAAAGTAACAATTAAAACCCCCTCCCCTTTTCCCCCGAGAAAATACACCATTCACAAAATTGTTCCTACATATACTTGACAGTAGCATACACTTATCACACAATGATATCAAGTCCTAATTCAATCTGGCACTGTTTAAGGAACGTGTTACCTGCAGTTCTAAGTTTTTAAGTATCAGTAAATTAATGGTACCTGTATAAATCTCGTCAAACTTACAGGCGGTGGTGTTTTGGGAATTCAATGACAGACAATTACAGAATTCGGTATTTACAAAGAGGCGAGAATTATCAAGGCCTTGTTTTTTTTTTTTTTTATCCGCCTAAATCTTCGGCTTCAGCAGATAACACAAACCTCAGTCTTTAAAGTTCTCGCTATCGCGTTCAAACTTTCATCCCAAATTCGGTTTTTTTAGCTACTTGGACAAATCCCTTGCAAATATTGCGACCTTCATAGGATTGTTAAAGTTTAAGTTTAACTCTAGTCATACTTGTGTCAAGTGTAATCAGATTTCCAGTGTTGACAAATAAGTGTGTTTTGATTCTGTCGCTCAGACCACCCCGTCCTGGTCTGAACGGCAAGGGCGTGTATACGTGAAGTCCTGCTGCCCAGTAAGCATCCGCTCCCAGAGAATCATCTACAAACAAACATACTGTGCATGAAGTTCCTCAAAGGATATAACGGGGCTTAAAACTACACATTAGGCCTGATAAAGTTCGTCTTCCTTTTTTGAATGACAGGCGCTGATGATAGCCAACGACCGACACTGGATTAGCATCCTACCCAGCGAAGCAATACTCCTGGTGGCTTCGTATTTTGTAAAACGGGATAACCCTACCCTTTTTTCGTACCACATCAGCTTTTGGGAATGTGATTTCATCAAACACACTATTTATCCTCCTTGTGCGATACTCACTTTCACTTCTCGGCCCAATCCCTTTTGAGTTAAATCCTCGTACGGACAGTGGACCTCCAAGGAATAACCTACGTAAAGAAAAAAAAACACGTTTGCAGCATACATATTGAGTTCTAAATAATTCACCAATTTGATAATCAACTCAAATGTAACTTCACTTTTGAAAGACTTACTAAAGTAGCAAAAATTAGCCTAGGCTATAATCCGTTGCGCCGTCTATTCTAAAAAGCAAAACAACTCTAACAACAAAACAAACAAATAAACAAAAGCAAGACAACAGGCCCTTCAGTGTAAATAAGCAAGCGACAAGGTTGAGCCATCTTGCCTTCCCTTCTTCCCTTTTCTGCATAACATGATTGATTTAATGAAGGATTTTTCGTCTTGTCACGACCGTGGGACAAAGAAAAAATTCTGAGTCCCCATGAGGAATCGAACCTCAGACCTTCGGATTCCACGCTCCGATGCCCACTGAGCCACAGAGACTCCATGGTGAGCGTGGTCTATTAGGAAATTCACATGACACGTGTCCTGCATACCGCTAGGTTCAGCAATGTCGATAGCGTCATGTTTGTAAACAGAATTTGGAACTATCTTTCACTATTTCTTTACCGAGCTCAAAATTTACCATCTTTCTTCTTCTATTTACAAGATCGATTTAGTCTGCCTCTTTACGAATCACATGAAGAACTTGACGACCACATCGAATTTTCTATTCCAATTTCAGACCGAATATCGTTGGGAAAGAAATTACATATCTGTAATACTGGTCGACCTAATACTTAACTGTTGTCAGAGTAAAGTAAAGCGTTTACTGTCATTATGGACAAATGCCTTGTCGGTAAATTGCATCACAAATCAACCCTACCGATCACTTATTTTTGATGGTGTATTAAACAATGGATGTAGACTTCCTCCTTGAAACGACCAGGATAAAATCTGCCAAAATACAAGTAAACGCAAACTCAAGGACTTGAATGAGTGTCGCAAAAATCAGGGCTGTGCTATAAAACAGCATGGGTTCTCAGGGGAATAACTTGTGTCCTTTTGTAAATTGTGTAAATTTGTGTGTAAGAAAGATTTTAATCCAAAGGGAGTGAGAAATAAGGAACAAAAATTAGTGCACAAATTTTAATCCCTTATAATTAATACTCTACTTGAAGAATTTATCTATTTATCTATTTATCTATGTATCTAGAGACTATATCTATATCTAGATATCTTTTTCTATTTATCTACACTGCCTTATCTATGTATACAATATAAAAACTTCACCAAGCAAAATTAAAACTTCTCTCCCTCTGTAATCCAATAGCAAAGAAAGACAAAATATATACTCACCACATCTTTCAGAGGTTCTACACTTTGCTGATATTCGAAGTTGTGTTTTAAGAACATAACATCTCCACCCAAGCCTGCAAATTCCTTACACAGAGAAAATGGAAAAGAGCATATTTGACTGTCACTGATACTATTTACTTTGCATATAGGCTTGTGATTGAAATCACACAAATTACAATTTTACTTGGAAGCTACCTCCCTTTAAGCCACTGACGAGTCCTCATATTCCTAATGGTTATTAGGGAGGTTTGTCTGTACCCTAAAAAGCATTGTATATACATGTTTACATTAATTTTATATAGTAACTTTTTTGTAAAATGTACCTGTGCAAGCTTTATGAAGTATCCATTTGTTGGAAGTGCAATATTGTTTCTTTTGTCCATTATTACAGTGTGCTGAAAATGTACCACAGACACATAGTCTAATAAGTAGTTAAAAGTGTATGCAAATCAAGTCTTGTCCTAAATACACCTCTAACAGTTGTAAATGATGAAAAATTTAAATTTGATTTTTCACCTTAAGGGCACTCTTTATTGAATGTCCAGCCTGTTCTCGAATTGCAAAAGAAGCGTTTTTTGCCAGTCCTGTCACTTCACGCCATGTTCCCTCCCAGGAAACACAGTGCTGTCCAACAATGGAGGGAAACTGAAAGAAAAAGTAGATGTTCAGACTACATCTATGTTACATTCACCTGACAGTTCTGGGTTAAATGCATGTTAACCAAACCCTTATACTCTATTTAACAAATAGATTCTGTGTTCTCATGTGTGTGTTCAGTCATAGATCAAAGATGACATTTAAATGTGGTAAGAACAAAAAAGTAGTACACAGGGTAATGCTGAGTGTATTATTGATGTACAGCATGGATAGACGCACAATTTTAAATGGACTGTCATTGTTTTGTATGATAAAAAATATTATAGATAATGGTGTCTTTCCTCCAATAGATTATTAATAAGGACCAGTCTGATCCATGTATAGTTCAGCTTATCATAAAAATTAAATTTACCATATAATCCATTGACAGTCCCTGTGTTGCCTCCCAGTGAGAACAAAATGGTACATCTGTGGTAGATTTTTGAGCTGCAATTGTAAAACTATCCAATATTGTATTAACAAAGGCTCTCTTCACAATTGAATAAAACAAAATTTTGAGTTATCTTAGAAGTAAACTCACTTTCTCCCTGGTGTTCCTGGCGTAGGCTTAATGAAAGCAAGCTATAATGATATAAAAATTTAAATCAAGATTAAGTTTCAATGGGAACTATATTGCAGTGTAAACCAATATCCATATGGTGGATTCCCACAAGATGTGGACATTCTATTTAAAAAATAAAGTATTGATTTCTCACACAGAAAATTCAAATCCTATTCCTTTGCCTCTCTTCCCTTTCCAACCCCAAATATAAAAGTATATTGTTAACCACACTTGAGAATTTAAAAACTTTTACAGTTCTTCCTGTCATTCATGGTCAGTTTTTAACAATACAAATTTTTCATTGCACTTTTAATTTGACCCCTTTAATACTAAGGGTGACTAGCATTTAATTTCTCCTACAATATAACCCCTAAATCAAACATGAAGGTTACAGGAACAATGGAAATGATCACCAGATACAGCAGGTTTTAATTTTTAAGCAAATTCTCCTTCTAAGAACCTGAGGAAATGTATAGAGAACAGTATGGAAAATATACAAACCAATGTTAGGGCAATGGAGAATTAAACACTCCTAGTGTTGACAATCTTCTCACATTTGTATTACCCCTGGATCAAAGGAAGAAACCACCCTAACTATCTTTGGTTAATGTCTATTCAATATGTGAAAGTTTTTTTTGTCTAGGAAGGTACAACTGTAGGATGTTCGGGGCTGATTACAGTGATGCTGGTAGGGGTTATATCCACATGCATCAGACACAAACAGATTTCATAACAATCCAAATGTATCAAAAAGTTACCTGATAGGACATTCTGGTTCTTGTGCCAAATGAAAGATCTGCCTTAACTTGTTCAGCACGACCAAACACATTATTGAGTGAACAACCAAACATCTGTAAACAAAACAGAGGCTATTGAGTAAAGTTTATGAAAAAATGAAGTTGACTCTACCAGTTACAGAGGACTCACTTTTGAGTGAGCGAGTAACAATAAAGAAATAATCATCATCATTATCATCATAAAATAGAGCGTCTAGATTTCTAATTTCTCTTTACAGTATCACTGCTGAACCAAACACAAAAAGTCATGAGAATTAAGGAAGAGATCATCACCTTAAGAAGCTCTTGATTGTTTAACAAATTCTATTTATGAGTATTATAGGAAACATAGAGATTAGCACATTTATGGACACGTATATTAGACTGTAAAGAGTTTAGGATTTTAATTAGGGCCAAGTCTACAGTAGATAAGCACTTGAAAAGCATCTACATGAAGACTAGTACAGGCACAAAAGTGGACAAGTAGCTATCCTTAGGCATGTGGAGCATGTATGAAACAGCTCTGTCATACTGTAGTTAGCAAATCTTGTAAAAAAATAGCCTCCAGCTTCATGGTTCATCATTTGTGATCTTAGTGCACTATCTCTGTTCTGTAAAACCCTCAATCCTGATTTCTTTACTGTCATCTCTGAAGCATCTTTTCCATCTTCTCAAACCAATATTATGTGGTTTGCGTTAACCACTAGGTTCTATGAATGTTGACTTTTTTTCCATTACCAGAAGCACTTTGTTTAATAAATATCAAATGGATTATTAACCTACCATATTGCCTTCATTGTTACCAATTTGAGTTCCTGTACTACTGGTAAGGAGTCTTTTTTCTTTTACATGGAATGTCACATCATACCCATTTGGGTTTATTGAGTGATCTACAAATTGACCCATAATCCAAAGTTATTTCCTCAATAATTCTCTATCAGTTAGTTAACCAATATTATGCCTAATCGGGAAATATAAAGGGAAGTGGGACTGAAAAAAGGGACTAAATTTGAGGACAGAGGCACTGAAAAGCTCCACTGCTTCACTCTATACCTGTGCTAGCAATGACTACATGGGCCATTCAGGCTAACTGTAGCTTAGCTTGAATGTAAACACTGATGCAGTTTGAAATTCAAGTTAAAGTTTAAGTTGTAGAAAACAGGGGAACTATGCATTACCTCACAAGGGTTACTGGGAATTTACAACTTTCCTGCTGATGGTAGATTATAATTTCTTTATTTAGCTTTACATTGAACATGCTTGCAAAACTGCTTTTCTCTTACCTTACCTGCTCCCTAGAAAGTAAAGAAAGTAATTATTGAACCACTGTGTGATGTGTGATGTAGAATGTGTGAATGTGTGATGTGTGGTGATACTGAGATAGAAGCTATTCAAGGGTTCTCATAGTTATCCACTAAACTTGCAAGCAGTTCTTGACTTCATTTAAGTCACAGGTGTCTCCTTCATAGTTGCTTGTCATGGATGAATTTGATTGTGCTCCTTCAGTCCTGCTATTGCTGCTATTTTTGTGTACTCAAGTGTGTCACAGTATAGCTGGGATTAACAGTCTGGTTGAGACAGTTGAGAAAGTCAAAATTGTAACACTCTTAATTCAAATATTACCTGCACTTGTATCAATGAGCATATCAACATCATGAAAAACTCCAAGACTCATCAAATCTTCTTTTGCTTCAAATGCCAATTCCACTAGCTGCCAAATAATTCAAATCATTTAGTTTCAGGTCCAATGAGTTTCAGGTCCATTCTTAACTAAAAAGTAAGGTTGTAAGTAATAAAGACGTAAATGCCTTCAAACAGTCTGAAGTGATTCTAGGAATTTCAAAATGTTGCTTAATTTTCTTGTTCCTGCTTTTTTTAAAATGTTTGGTTCATCAAACACCCACAGCCCCAGAGCTGCCTCATACTAATCATCTTAAATTATAAAATCCAGTAATCTATAACATTTAACTTACACGAATCCATCTTATGAATTTGAAAAGTTACATCTCAAAGTGAGAGGCTTCTCAAAGTTTTAAGTTGTGTCTGATTGCTTTATAACAAGAAGTATTACTTCACTAAAAGTTGTGGCCTCCAATAATCGCTTGATGCCAGGAATTAAAATGTCTCTCTTGGTTCTCCAGTACCCTTCAATGTTAATCTGCTCCACAGTGGCCTGAAGAAACAAAAACATCATATAGACAAAACAGTTTAATGTATAACAAAGAGACATGCATGACTGTGTCTGACTATTTTTTTTTTATTTTGTCTTAACATGGTTTTGATCCAATACTTCTTTTGATGGTACTTGTGAATGAAAACAAGTTTAATTTCAGCTTTCCTCACTCAATTTCAACTTCTACACTGTTTGGAATCAGATTATATGCTTTTACACAATGCACAAGCTGAAAGTTTTGCATTCATCTAATAATGATTAAAATCCATTTTAAACACTTCTAGAAACAAAATCTGTATAACCTTTCTGTCAAACTAACTAGTCTAAAGTGCAAATACTGTAACTGGGATAATTAACATAAAATATACAATAATTGCTATCACAGGAAAAATGCAATATCTTCACTCTTTAATTTCATCATCCCTGACTGCTATGGTTGAAGCTGTTTCATTTTCAGTTAAAATAATTGCAAACTTACAGGTCTTGTAAGAAATTCCTTGGTTGTTTCATTAAGCTGAGAGTTACTGCCATCCTCAGTCCCATCCTTCATAATTTGAAAAATCAACATTGTTTAATACTCAGTACAAAAATTTACACATCCATGAGAAGAGAACTTGTCATCTCCAAATTTAAAATAAACACAGTCTTCAGAACCACTGTTCATCACAAAATATCTCTGTCACTAATAAACCCTTTACACCTCTGAGCCAATAAATAAAATTTGCTCCCTGGTCTCAATATATCCTTTCCTTACTACCTTGAAATTTTGTTAAAGATCAAAGAAATTCTCTCAGGTGATCAGTTGCAATCAAAGAGCACTGGTATTGTAAGGAAGTGTTGGTGAGGTAAACAACTTATTTGTTTTGATTTTCCTAAATTTCCATCCCTGGGGATTTGTGGAATGCATGCCAGGGGCTAATTCTATCTCAAACCATTACAATTTTGATCACTGTGACAGATTTCATTCCACTTTCATTTACCTACTTCACAGTTAAAATGTCACTTAATCAAGCAAAATTAGCAGACAACAATCATATACCTGCTATTTATAAGGAAGATGCATAGTCATAAATAAACAAAACTGTGGAAGATCAAGTGAAAGCCTAAATATATTTGTACTGTAAGGAGTTGGCATTGTAGAATATCTCTTTGGCTTTTAAATATCAAGTAACAATTTTTCTCTTCCTCTCTCCGTGCACGGTGCACATGATTTCACAAATTAGCCAATCACATCAAAGAGCTCTTACTTCGGCATTGAAAAATTGATGTGGACATTTTTTGCATACTTTTAGTTTGTTTTCGTGGAGTTTCAGTCAGTTGCTTTTTAGCTTTTGTTCGCGTTAATTTGTTACTCTTTTCGTTTGGAATTCAAGAAGTTTTTGAGTTGTTATTTTAGCCAATTGTTGTAGTTCATTTGACAAGTTTAATACACTACAGAGTTTGGACTCTAGCCTCTTTTTCGTAAATGGATTTTTTACAGGCATAAACATGGTTATAATGGAAATATTAATATCAGCAGATTACTATAAGCCTCAACCAAGAAATCATAAAAACACGATGTATTTCCTAAGAGTACATTTCCCTAAAAAAGAAAATTTTCTCTATGTTGAGTAATTCATTGTTGTAAATATAAGCTTCTAGAAGTTAATCTCCAGACTGCTTAGTCATGCTGACATGAGCACCATAGAACTTTCTCGAACATGTCAACAAGTTACACAGTTATTAGGCAATACTACTTAAATAGTTCTTTGGTAAGCTTCTGGAATGTTCCAGAACACTTTGCGAATGTATATTAGGACTCAGTTATGTAGTAGTAATAGTTGTTGCTGTAACAGACTGTTTAGAAACTATACCGTGAGAGCGAGCTATAGTGGAAGATTTTTCTTTCTAATATAAAGAAACTTTGGAGGAAAGTGTGAGTTTGGGTCAGTGGTGAGCTAAGACATAGACTGTGTTGGGCTTAAGTAAGTTCATCGAGGATCAGTATCGTACTGCCTTAAGGAGTCGCTCCTTATCAGGAATATTACTCGTTGTTTAATAAAGTAGTTGATTTTGCAGGATTGTAGTGTTTTTCTGTCGGTTAGATTATACCGTAACATTTATTTTCGAAAAAAAAGGCCAAGAGATGTGCAGAGGAGCAAAAGAGATAGTATACTCACCGAGCCCTCGGCAGCCATCTTGAGGGTAAGCCTACAGTATTTTGAGGTCAGAGGTAAAAGCTTTTGCACATAGGATGTATTTAATCATACATGTGGTGTCTAACTCGATACTAGTTTCCAGTCCTACATATATGAGATTGGCGAAAGTGAAATTCAGTCTGTGCGAATCTGTTTTGAATTGTTGACAGTACTTTGTTAAGGATATGGCCGGTCGCGAAGAAGATGAAAGAAGATATCCACGCAACTTACAGGGAGTAATGCAGTTTGCTCTTAATCATTCAGATGATCCCACGAATTCATCTTCCAGTGCCTTCCAGGAAATGAGTAAGGAGGTACATGCTTCTAGATTTGAAGTACAAAGCCACAGATCCTCCCTCAGATCACGATCTGAAAAGCAGTTCTCCCTTCTAGCTGCTTTGCATTTGATTGCAAATTAGTTAAGAGAATTAAGTGTGATATCAAGGCAATATCCCTAAATGATGAATTCGCCTTTTCTACTCAATTGTTTCTATTGCACTGGACAGTGTTTTGAGATTGTGAGAATTGGCAAGTTTACCCTTCAAGATCTGATTGTTAATTCTCCCCTCTGGCTGCAGCGCATTTCCTTGTAAATTATTTACAAGAATTTGGTGTTAGATCAAGATAGAAACTTCTGTCTGATATGTTTGAGTATACTCATACCTGTTTGTTGGATAATATATGGATATCATTGGGAGAAGTTCCTTTTTTATCACATCTGGGAAATAAAAGGTTAAGCTTGGTTATTACTACAACATATAAGACAAATGTGAAGGGCTGTGAGCAGTATTAAACATAGGCATGAGCACCAGGAAGACCAGAACAGAAGGTTTTTCACTACTTGTGCTTAGGATCATGCATAATTGTTAAGTGAGAATGTGCGGCTACAGGCATAAGCATATATATAGAATGACACCAACCAAGCATTCTATGGATGGTTATATACTTGTGTCTGTGTTGCTCACTCCTCACTGCTGGTTTGTCTATGCTTGTGCTTGTACTTGTCATTATGAGATGGTGACTGGTAGTGTAGTGAGGTAGAGAATTAAGGTGATTTCTCCGTTTTGCACCGCACATCCTGTATTGCACATGAAAATCACGTAGTTGGGGAATAGGCTTATGTGCCTTTCGAGAACATGGTATTGTTTTTCAATCCATGGACCAAGTAAAGGGGTACGATGGTCTTTAGCTCATGGACAAGCACAGTGACCTATATTGTTTATGGCATAATTTTGGTGGAAAATTTATCCCTTTTAAATTAGAAAAAATGTTTAAAAAATTATTTGATGGGATAAAAGATAAAGATAAAAGTGTGCATGAAGCCCATTACTTGAGGATGCAAATTATGACTTTGTAAGAAACAACTCAAGAAACATTTTGAGTCAATGTCATTTAAATTCGTGTGATTTTCCCACAAATTACATATTAAATTGTTCCATACACTTGAAACTTTCTACCTATCAAGTGTTTTTTCAAGTGTTACTGTAAGACCCCTGACTGGTGATTAGTGCCAGTACAGGTATAAATGGGGTAAGTTTGGCCTATTACATCTCTTAAACAAGCATGATGGCCTATCTTTTATATTGTATTTTTAGAAACAGACATTGGTAAGGAACATTAAGGAAAGTTTAAAAAAATAGTTCCATCATTTTTTTTTCTGAGGAATCACCTTAAGTCAGTTATATTTGGGCCATGAAATTGTGGGTGGCCAAATGAACAGGGTTATAGAAATAGATGAAGACTTGACAGCTGCCATCATATTTGTTGCTATGGATAGATATGCATAGTTGTCCTATGCAATTGTGGTATTGAACACATAATTATGCACTTGCCCGAATATTAGGCCATCTGATAGGATTAATATGCAAGAATTTCTTTGAAAACCACAAAAATAGTCATACAGACGTCCTTCTTTCTGTGCCTTTATCAGTTAGAATCATTGTTTTTGTACTTTTGGTGGAGTCATGTCACTCAATAATTATGTTTTTCCTTTTAGAGAAGAGAATGGCTCCAGGAAGCATTATCATCTATAGCTGAGGACACAGATGTCAAAAGAATGATGAAATATTTACAAATTTTGGAAAAACCTTGTGACACAAATAATGCTGATGATGACCTTGGGGAGAAGGAAGATGCATTTGAGGAATTGTCCATGATTGTTGAAGATTTAGATAATGCAAATGGTATGTACACTCCATAACAAATCAAGTGTTGAGCCATTAACTCCCAACCTATAAATTTGCACTCACTCTGGTAATAGTAATATCCTTTATTTAAACATGATAGGGTTTAAAGCTCAAAGCTTGTGGGGTCCTGTAAAAATAATTACAATATGAAACTATATTAAAATAGGGATAACATTACTTACAAAATACAACTACCATTATGATAGTAAAAATTAAGAAATATTCTATAAGTTTCGAAAAAGAGAAATATTAAATGAGTTCATGTGTTTACATCTGAATAAATTGACTACAACAATTACGGTATAGAATATTTAGAAGCATTTAAAATCATGGTAGCACCTGGGCAGCGACTGGACCAACTGTACGCTAAAATCAAGTTCCTTAAAATAAAAGTCCTTCTTCACTTTACAATAGAAATATGTAAACTGGCCCGTAAAATGAAACGAGACAGTGTTCCAAAAAGAGTTAAAGAGTGCAGGGATGTCACATGTATGCCTGCACAAGAAACAGAAAAAATGAAGTCAGCTCTATTAGGGAGCTTAATGTAATAACATTGGTTACAATTTGACCAAGCACTAATTTCATTTGGAACTCTTTAAACCTCAAGAGTGACCAGCATCTCATTTCTCCTCACAGTAATTCTGCTGAATTATTCATGAATTATTTAATCCTTAAGAGTGACTAGCATCTAATTTCTCCTCACAGTAATTCTGCTGAATTATTCATGAATCCTTTAATCCCTAAGAGTGACTAGCATCTAATATCTCCTTACAATATCACTTCAAGTATGTATGCATGTGATTCTAAAGCTCAAACAAACAAACATGAGGTCACACAATACTCAATAACACCTTCAATAATGATATTCATTTGTAACATGTTTTTGAAACAAGTATACTGAGTATTATTCTCTGTGAGAAAATGTCATGCTACATTTACTATTGTAGAGTATTTAAGTGAGACTCTTCACTTATTGCAAGACTTGGTGACTTGTATTTTTTTTCCATTTTCTTTGAAGGCTTACTTTATTTTAAAAACTCAGATTATTGATTTTTATCACAGATTTTCACAAGATTGGAGGCTATCAGGTGATGATTAAATGCCTCTCAAGTGAACACAGGTACACATGTCTTGTCAAGAAAGCTCTAAAGTTGCAAATAGTAAGATTAATAAAAGTAGCTTACATGTAATAGTAGTATTGCTCACCAGTAAGGTAATTAACTAAGCTTCTTTATCAGTGTAATTTTACTTCATTAGAGTGTGATCATGCTTATGCCAATCCAAAACCTTAGAAGAGCAGCATGTGGTGCAACAATTTTAGATATCAGGGTCAAATAATAGAGAAACTCTGTCTTGACTGTTCCTGTGGAATCCCTTCCTTGTCATGGTAGGATAGTTAACATTTGTAATTGATAGAGACTGTGTCTCATTGACAGTAAGAAGTATGCTGGTGTAAGTCATTCTGCTGGCAGACAAGTCAGAGGGCAGGAGAATGATTAACACCCTGTAATTAAACCCCAAGAATGACTAGCATCTAATTTCTCCTTAAAGCCTACTGCTGAATAATTCATGAGAATTAAGGAAATGTTTGTGGACATGGGAAGCTTTGATTATTAAACAAATTCTCCTTGTCGGTACTAAAGCAAAAGAGAAGACTAGGAAGAATATGGATTCAGATGATTAGGGTGTATAGGGTGGGAACTGATCATCTGGCACTCTAGGTTAAGTGCAGGGCATAAGGCCAATAATAATACCCTTTGAGTAAAAGGATCCAGTCATTCAGTAATAGAGGAGTCACCTATAGTTGTGTGCTCCCTCACTTTCCACAGACTGCACTAAGTGGGCAGTCAGTAAGAGTAATGACATGAGTTCATACCCAGCCTGAGGCAGCACAAGAGGAAAAATGTCACCCTCCTCTCCTTCTCCTGTTCTCTGTATAATCATTCTGCTGGTTAGGTACAAGCTAGACCATACTCAAGGATACATGTGCCTGTAATTCAAAACAATGAGACTTATATGTACTATTTATTGTATACTTAAAACATAGCTAACAGTTACTAAAAGTGATTCTATTCTATTGATTTGTAGCTCTTTAAGATGGAGAGCAGCTGACATTTTGGCAGTGTGTGTTCAGAATAATCCATACTGTCAAAAGGCAGCAATGGAAATGAACATCCTTCCAACACTTACTTCTTTGCTTGAAACTGACCAGTTGGATCAAGTGAGAATCAAAGCTTTATATGCAATATCAGGTGAGTATGATGACCCTGTCAGGACTTAAAATGCTTGTTACAATTTTTTTTGTTTTTTTTAATTGAAACTAAATTTAGCAATGGACTGCACTTTCCATCAGTTTACCAGCATAATGACCCACACAGGATGTTGGGAGAACATGCCATTAAGTTTTTAAATCACAGGCCTCCATGGTCTATTGCTTTTATAAGAATTTTCATTCCAACTTGTCCCCCATATATGTTGCAATGTCTTATTATGTACTGTGTCAAGGCCTCTAAACAACTGAGATACATGTGCAGCTCAGAACATTCACTACACTGCACAAACTGTGACACTTCATTTTTACTTCCTGACAATTTTTATTCATGCTAGGTTTAACAAGAAGTTTTCCCAAAGCTGAGGAGGCATTTTTAAAAGATGATGGAGTTTCGATGTTATTTCGAACAATGCAAGCAGAAAATGAAAAACTGATAACCAAGTCTGCCTTCATGACAAGGAATTTGCTGATGACAAATCCTACACTTAAAGGTATTGTCAAAATACCTTTGTAAATGCTCATTAGTTCTTGTTTTTATAGATTAAAATTAATGAGCAACTATAGTAGTTTTCTTTCTGATTTTACAGTCCTAATTTGATTTGTGTAGTTACAGTTGTTATTTTATCTCTGACCAAGTTTTCTAAATTAAGTGAAAATAACTGTGGCTGTTGAGCTGGTGATGTTGCTTTGACCTGATACAACTCTGGTTAGGTTATTTACTTTTTTTAATTACTTTGCCTGCATTCTTTGCAGAAACTCTCTTCAAGATGGGCCTTACTGAGCAGCTTGTTGGATTATTAGGAGGTCCTCAGAATTCCTCTCGAGCACACGTAATAAATCTGTTCAAGACCTTTGTGATGGATTATCCACCAGCCATAAATGAGTGCCAAAGACCTGACTTTGATTTGGAGAGACTTCTGTCATCTATAATTACATCCAGTATGGAAGATGACCCAGATGCACATGAGGTAACATTGCAATCTTTCGTCACAGAAATGCATAATTGTGTTAAGTCTCAGCTATCAGCAGCCTACACTACTTGGAGTAATATTCTCATGTCCTTTGCTGTTCTACTGTGCTTGATCAACAAAATTATTTTTACGAGAGACTTAGGTTTTATAGACCTAAGAGCAGACAAAGACCACTTGGGTACTTTCTTTTACAAATTCATACTGAGAATGCAGTAATTCAAAGAAGGAATTGATGTTTGCATTAGGAAGTCTGTTTGAGCTTTTCTCATTACCTTTTGTGTGAAAATAACTTTGTGTGACCATCATCATCTCATGACAAGCGGGTGGCTAATTTCAATAATCTGACTAGAACAACTCCCAAGTGAATTTTTAACATAGTCCCCCATCAGTATCTTTGTATATTTCAATTTTACTTTGTATACATGATGCATTCTGTGGAACATTTGTCTAAAGATTCTCAAGCACAGTTATTTACTAACCCTGTAAAATATCATTTCAATGAAACAAATCAGTGATGAAATTCTATATGTAACCAATAAAAGTAATGGAAGTGATTGTCATCAAATAAAATTTGTTTTTCTTTTTTTTTTCTAGGATATGATCCTTAATTGCAAGGAATTGCTGAATATTTGCTTCAAAAAATAGAAACATTCTCAGCCCAGCTCTGGAAATAATTTAAGATGGTTTACTGTTAAATAAACTAAGTTCCAATCCGCAATCCTCTCAAATTTGTGTTTGTTAATTAGCTCTCATGTTTTAATAAGTAACTCCTAAGTAAACACTTTCATTCCAGTAAGTGCCCTGTACCATTAAGCACCCTTTATTCCACTAAGCATCAATAGAAGTGCCCCTATTCTGTTGTGTGTGGCATTTTTGTAGTTTTCCCTGCATTTGAATCAAGTTATTAAATTGAATAAAGTAGTCAAATTAGCATTGTTCTACAAATTAGGTTGTTTTTGTGACAGTAGATTTGAGATGTGGAATGAAATAGCAATGCACAAATAATTGTTGGTGGAAAATGTCAACTGTTTATGTGATGTAGGCCTGATTAACAACAACTGATCACATGCCCAGATTCAACTCTGCAAATAAATTCATTAAGTATATATGACACAAGTGAATAGTCCTTTTTGGACTCCCAGATTGGCTGGCTCCAAAGTGAATAGCAAGTACTATTCACCTCTGGGTAACTGAAGAAACAAAACCATGTGTCAAGAGTTTAATTTCCAACCTTTTGCAGTATCGTATCGTGAGAGAAATAAACTAATTTTTTTGGCATGTGTGGTATATACTGTAATGAAGGCTATTTTTAGTTGTGATTTACATAACTTTCAATACCCTTTTGTTTTGTGGACATACTTTCAAATTATCGTCATCATGTTTCATTCGGCCACAAGACACGTCTTACTTGCAAACAAGATTGAAGGATTGTCAAAATACTAGAATGATAGAACGAGGAAAGAGGTATGTCATCTTGTTTATTTTTGTATTTATAAACCAAAACATGTATAATCAAAGGTAGTATTGTTTCACTTGGGATATTTGTGTTGTTTGATTGATCTATACACACCCTGTGTGTTTGAGTGTTAGGACATTTCAATTAGCGTGTATCGTATGGTTATGGCCTATTCTAATGCATTTTATTTCAGTTTCAAGAAACCAGTTGAGATTTGATAGATGCTTGAAGATTCGTGTTGTTCAAGTTAGATTTGATTTATGTCAGCATCATCTCAGTGCTGGTGAAAGTGGTGGATATTTACTTTGCTGATTTATGGCTCACTAAACATCCACCACCATTCAACTTTACTTTGGTGAATTATTGTTAAATATTCACATCACAAATTTAACTGTGATGACCATCACGATGAATTGTCACGCAAGACAAGATTAAGAGGAAGCTGTTGCGTGACAACCCCAAAGAAATCAAGAATTTCTAGTCTCAATCTTCAGTCCACATTTAAAGTCTACTTTAAACAAAATTTTTCGATGATCTCTTTATGCTGTGGGAACATTTCAATCATCTTGTCGCTATCGCCAATTTCTAAGTCCTCATAGTCAAAGCCTGGGCCAGCTGCCTCACTGAACACGCATAAGCCACTCTTGTCTTCAAGCTCTAAAGCAAACCAGACGTTCTTTGGCACATGACAGTGAAATCTGGCTTTATTATCCCTCAGTGGGTCCCCAATAATTTTGGTCTCGTATCTGCCATCCTCATGTATCATGTGTAAGATGATATGGCTGCCCAAGTGATGGAAATATGTCTCCCCTGACTTCATTTTGTGCCACGCGTTTATGTCTGATCCCCTTAGGAGAAGATAAATTACCGAATACGCATCCCTTACTTGGCGCCCCGAGCTATCTAGGGGTTGAACTTTAGTTGTTGCATTTAGGGATTCCACGTAATAACCTCCTAATGGAAGAGGTTTAAGGTTCAGAGCGTTGATGTACTCGTCCGCCATTGCTAAGTCTAGTTTTATGCTTCGTATGATTATGAGTGTAGTGTCCTTCTCCTCAATCTACTTTGTGTAGCGTGCGCGATGTGTATTATAAACTATAGCGCACAATCTTAAACTCAGCATCAAGTTGAAAGAGTCGTCCGGTTGGATCTTCGCTCTCGTTCAGGTCTCACTCACACTAAAGAAAGAAGTCCCTCTAACAACAGAGTGAGGATTTTCTCGCAAGAAACAAAAAGAATTTGAGTGGGGTACTTTATAATACCATTTCATGACCGGTCTACACTTTTGAAAAAAATGGAAGACGAGGATGTAGTTTTGGAAAACTCACCCTTGCAAAAATACCTCAACGAAATCGGCTATGTTGACTTTGAAGACACGAATGGTCGGAAAAGGCAAGAAGAGTTTGAAAAGAGCAACCATGGTTCCGTTTGGACCTACAAAGATTGTCTCGTTGAGTTTTCACAGACCGTAATTGAGCTTGCTCGGTATATTTACAGCTCGTCTTTGTCGTGGTTTGTTTTAGTACCTTCAGTGAATGATATTGAAACTTTCAGGAATGACTACATCGTGGGTGTGTATGAATCACAAACACTGAAGAAGGATGACATCAGTTTTTTATCCCAGTTTGATCCGAAACTCTTCGTTAGTGCTAAAGCGGAAATGGCAAGTGGTTTTGGCGAATGGAAATCTTTTGCTCATGGAAACTATATTTTATCATTAATTTTGCTGGTTATTTCTCTGCTTCTGGTAAAGATTGACGGTCTTCTCTTTCCTTCTGTTTTGGCATTTTTGGTGATACTCTTTGCGTCCTCTGCTAGAGTTTTACTGCGATATTTCTTCATTCATCGTCATCAGACAAATTTAGTTGCACTGAAACGGTTTGCACAACAGACAAAACAACTGACTCTCCTGGTGAAAAGATCTATAAAATTCATTCAAGAAATAGAACTAACATCAAAAGGTTATACCATGGTAGGCCCAATGATGCCTGCATTTTTCTCAGGAGACAGTGAAAACTTGGCAGAATCAGTGATATTTCCAACATTAAGGAAGAACATTATGGAAAATACTGAGCCTGTGTTGTTGTCTATACAGAATTCTGCTAAGGAGCTACTCTTTCATTTTCCTCTCCCACCAGAACTTACTAAGATATTTACATACTTTTCAACAGGATCCATTGGAAATCTGCATGTAGGAATCAAGGAAATTGTGCCAGATGACTCAACTGAAAAAGTGTCATTGCAGGGCTTAAAAAATGTGGCTTCATTACTTTCAAGCCTGCAGTCAGAATTTCTCAGTAGATTCTTGCTTTGTTTATCACTTGAAGTAAATGATGGTAACTTGAATCAATTATACATCAAACTCTTTAAAAATATAGAGAAGATATTTGGAATTTCATTGAAAATGATAGAATGTTCTGTAGTATCAATTGAGAGATGTTATCATGTACATGAAAGTTACTGTTTCATGAGCAAAGAGTGTGAAAAGCCTCCTGTGAAGCCTTGTGTCGATCAGACAGCAAGGGCTCTTGATATAACTCTTCATAGCATTCAACGGCACCTTCAGGTGGGAATTTTGAGAGTAGAGTCCATTCAAAAGGAAAGATACCAATTGTTAGAGCCTAAAGGAGATCATGACTCTAAAGCCAAGAATTCACTCCCTTTGAATTTAGAGACAGCATTTAAGTGGATAAAAAGTGATCTTGAGTCTGCATTAACCTGTTGGCAGGAGGGTGAGGAACTCTTCAACAAACTTCTGGGTAAAGAACCTACTGCAAATCAGAACAAAGTTTCTTGTGACACCAAGAGTGATGAAATATTGGAAGAATCACAGAATATTTACACACTGGACCTGACAGAGGATGTTGAAGAGGGTGATAAGGTATATGAGGCCTTTTCTGATCCATATGAAGAAGTTATGATTGACCAAAAGGCTCTAAATGTTGAGGATGTTGAAAAAGAGCAGAGAGAAGCAAGGGAAAACAAGCGACTGTTACAAGAACTGAAGACTGTTTTGCTTTCAAAGGCAAAGGATCCACTCATTGGCACTGCAGGATTTGTCCAACCTGCAGTAAAACAACCTACCCATAATCTCCTCAATGTATCAAACACAGATAGTAAAACATGGCCTCATGGTGGCCAAGGTGGACTTACAACACTGAAAGAAGATGAAACAAAAATCTGTTTCAATCTCAGGGACTCCTGTCATCAAAAGTGGTTGTCCTCAAATGAGGCACACAGTCAGGTGTCTTGTATGCATGCAAACGAGCATTCCGTTAGACCCCCTTCGCTGTTGGGAACTTTCCCATCTTCAGTGGCTGTTTCAGTCGCTGCTGCAGCAGCTGCACACAGTAGGGCTTTGGGATTGAATGAGGAATCCTTTTTTAGTGATGACACAGACTGAAAAACCTTCCAATCAGAGAAATTGACATCTAGACCACTGTGATACCTGTTGTTTAGGAGAGTTTAGCTCTGGCTAGGAAGAATTTTATTTGTTCTGCACCCCTCAATATTTTTTTTGTTAAATTATGATACTTAACTGCATTTGAAATTCCAGAAAGTAACCTAACTATTTCAAAGTTGTCTTCAAATGAACTGGTGGCCATTTGTGAGATATTTAATTCTCATTCCATTATTTCCCATTTCTTGGAGATCTTTTTGGACAATAAAGAGCTGTGTAAAATTTGTAATCTTATGTTGAGTATTGATTTTTGGTTTGTTAGTTAGCCCAACAGCTGTTTGTGAAGCACACTTTGTGTTTGAGGCCATCTGATTTGTGTGCAGCTAAGTTACTGAGTTGTGAAATAGTGAAATAGTGCATCCATAGTCCGATTAAGAGCATATTTGAAAAAAATCATCAAACATTCTTTATGAGTGGAGATAAAAATTGTATGGTTTCTGAGACAGATATCTCCCTCCTCTGAGAGGACCCCAACAGGACACTTACCAAAGTCCACTTGACAATGGTATTGTACAAAGTTATACTGGCTTAGTGTAGAGAAAATGAGCAAGCAAAATTGGGTCAAAGTAAGGCTTGTGGTAATTATATATATCGGGTGCACTCAATACAAGTTCCATTATACCTCTATTACTAAATATGTCTGAAGGGCCTTGATGTGTTGTGTTTGTACAGGCTAATGTATCCTTTCATGCTCTTATATGTAATAAATGAAATAAGTATCCTTTTGGGTAGGCAACCCCTACCTCCTCATTTTTATTAGAGGAAGGGTTGAAGAGGGAAGAAAACAATCTTTCATTGTCATTTTACAATTATACAAACTTCAGTTGCTTTTGTATTATTTCTTTCAATTACTTCTCTCCATGTGCTTTCACTGAAAATTTAAATTAATGTCCCATAATGATTTTGCCCAAACAAAGTGCCTGTTCAGTGGAAGAAAAAAAATCCAATAAACACCCCCAGAACAATGAGCTCTCCGTCCAGCAAACGCTCTCCTCTTTTGCTCACCTTCTGAGCGCTGAGGACACTTTTTGAAGGAAAAAGGATGAATTCGTGCTGCGACTAATTTTCACGCATTAGACGCGTGCACGTTGACGCCCTCAAATGGCTGATTTTCTGGCTGGAGGCTCACTAGTGATAAAAATCGAGATTTTCTCTTAAACTCTGTAACCCCTCTTAATTATTTTGGTCAGAACTGTATCTTTATAAAGGCAGAAAAACTATTTCAGCACATATCGATGGCCAAGTTTGTGGAAATTTGATCATAAGAACGGATAAGCCCTGGCACATCTAACAAAATCATGCCGAACTCGGAGATCAATGACAAGTCCTATTTCAACGTAGACACAAGGGAAACAAACTTCGTTGCTAATTTCTCTCCTGGATTCTCGTCTTCAGGGCAGATCGTTTCTCCTGGTCGGCTGGGCTTGATGGCAATATTGTTTGATAAACATGACAGGCGATGGGCTCAAATGAGCCCATTGTTTCAGTAATTTGTACTTTCAATGAACATTTACAAAAAATTTATTCCTGAATTGAACAGATTAGCAGTTGGCGATCTTTGAAAAAGTCGAAGAATATGCTGGATGCTACCAGTCATGCTAATGTCATGTTCATTGCCGTCCAGTGAAATGGAGGTAGTTTGCCCTCTTTTAACTAGGAGCTAGCACTCCAGTTAAAAGTATGAAATAGCTTTCATGTTCCCTTCTTTTTGTCTCTCAATGCAATGACTCAGAGAGAAAAGATGCTTCGAAACATGGGGTAAATTTAATAGCTGCTCCACTAAGAAAACTATGAAATGGCTGCAATTTCCAGCTGATGCATGGCTAGGAGATGCGATAAGCCACGGAAGTCTTTCTGGTGTTGCGGCCTAGTCAAGTTCAGTACCAGTACTTCACTAGAGAGCATCGTATTCAAAAATGGTATCCGATCAAGTCGCCCACATACCAGTTTGCCCACGTCAACTCGCCCGTGCATAAAATCACTCCAATTAGCTCGTTATAGAATAAATCTTGTTTTAAGTAAAAGATTGATGTTTTTTGGAATGATAATAAAGTAACTGAAGTTTCAACAACGATTCGTTAACTTTACGCCGTTGCGAGTTGGCGTGGGCAAGTTGATTCGTGGGCGACTTGACTGTAATTCAAACAGCTGTAGAGGAACCTGGCACTCATATCCTCAGAAGAATTCCCGCGCTAGACATGTTGGCAGGTGTTACGAATTTTTCTAAAATAATTCAAATAGTACGCGCGCTCTGATTGGCCATAAAACCATTTTACACGAGTGTATGTAAACACGGTTTTCGTTCCTCTTTCATAAGTTATTTTATAAAAGAAATGTAAAATGGTTTTTCGTGTTTACATAGCCTGATGTAAACACTTGGGAGGTTGGGAGAACACTCGATAAGCTGGAAACCACTCCGCTTCGTCGTGGTTTCCCGACGGTGACGCTTATCTCGTGTTCTCCCAACCTCCCGCGTGTTTACATCAGGCTATGTAAACACGGAAACCATTTTACATTTCTTCAGCAACAACAGTGAAATGGAACTCTGCAGAGCGAGTTATTGATATTTGTACAAACGTATAGGTCATTTACTAGATAAGTATTCCTGATGATAAATTTAATGAAAGAAACCGTGGGATAAAAGTAGAATTTTTCTCGCCACCCAGCACATGTACCTCAGGGACTTTTGAGGAATTTTCTTGCCACCCAAACTACATAATGTTGTTTACAACAAAGCAATTGAAAAGTTTCACATATTCTTTATATGGTCTTTGCCCCAAAACAATAAGCATGTTGCCCTAGAAAGAAGCCTTTGGTTAAATTTGTTGTGCAAGATGAAACTGTTGCCAGAACAAGACCTACGCTGAACAGTATCGATAGTCTTAGGCATGAAAAAAGTAAACTAAATACCCCCGTAATACTCGGCGTATCACAATTAACTGCGACCCACGGTCTCGTTCGTTGTCAGGTCAACACACTGGTATATCACTCCTCGAGATTAAATTCCATTATATTAACCCAGTTGAGCCCTTCTTTAACTATTTTCCACATTTTGAAGACTAACATTTACACCCAAAAGGTTCCCGATATATATTCTAAATCGAATGCCATGTTTTTGACTTCCGATAAAAATTCAGTTTTGACAGTATTGAAATTAGAAGTGCAATAACGATAGAGTAAACATGAGAGACTATGGGGGTTTTGATAATGGAATGAGATGCGAGCCGCCCTTCCTTTTCGAGTCCGTTGCGCGAGTCAAAAATATTCCACGCGGCGCGCTAACATCAACTTTTTTCACACATTTTTATTTCGTAAACACAAAAACATCCTCCATCCATCGACTTGTTTTGTTATTTTTCGTCCTGGTGCCTGTTAGTGCAACCTTAGATCAACGTTTTCTTAAATTATTTGATACCCATAGCAAAATTCTTTATTCACGAATGCAAATAGTGAAAGATAAAAATCTAATATTATACGAATTCTTAGTCAAAGTTAACACAATCTACAAAAAAGAACGACAAATAACAGCAAAACAAAATCAGATGATTAAACATAAAAAAAGGTAGAGATTACGTCCGCTATTAGCTTTTCCGACGTTTTAATACCCTACTGTTAATCTGCCTGGTTAATTACGGCAAAGAGTTGAAAAATGTATATTTTTTTAGATCTCTCGGATCCTAACTTTTAATCTAACTAATGTTTCTAGACTCATCTCACTAATCCCACTCTAATTCCACTTTGCCTTTTTTTTTATGATAATGATGATAGAGGCCTGGTTAATTACGGCAAAGAGTTGAAAAATGTATATTTTTTTAGATCTCTGGGATCGTAACTTTTAACCTAACTAATGTTTCTAGACTCATCTCACTAATCCCACTCTAATTCCACTTTGCCTTTTTTTTATGATAATGATGATAGAGGCCTGGGTGCCTGATCCGCTCCACTTCCAAGGGTAACTGCATCACGCGGTCAAGAAGGTCCCAGTCTTCCCCACCCCAATTGTACTTGTATTCCTGAGCATTCATCCCTAGCAAAGACAATGAAGAAATTCCTCACAGAAATTACACTACAACGTTCGGAGACGTTCCTCTACGTCATAAAAAACGGACTATACGCATTGTTAAATTATAAAAGACCAAAATGGAAAAAGTAGAGCGATTTTCAACGCGTCTACGAGCTCCAGGATTCCGAGACTGCTTTGCTTTCACTGATTTTCGACATGTGATTGGTTTGAAAAGCTCGCGCAATCCTCAATGTGTTCTGAACTAACTTGGATTACAAAGCCGACTGAAAATGACAACTTTTCGTAGACTTCAGGCTAACACTTGAAATTGACTCTTACCATGAGCTTCGACCTTCTTTCTCAGACATGGAATATGTTGACCACACCTTTAGTCATAGAGGTTTTATGACAAATTGATCTCCAATTTCGGTCCATTCAGAAGGCAAAATATCAATTGTTATGAAGAACAGGAGTTTTTAAATTAACTGAACAGATTAGGAAGACTTGAGGATTTCTTTTCTTTGCACTTCACAACACTGCGCACGCTTCAACTGGACGGCATTCAACAGCTCACAAAGAATAAAAGGAATCTTTTAGCAGATACCCCCAAGAACAAGGCCAAACCATCGCATTCCAGTCTTTTAGATAACCTAATGGGTTTTTTATCTTCTCCTCATTCATTTTGCAAGATGGTGCCCACGACTGCTAGGTGTTGGAGCGGTCTGGAGCTCGAACCCACTCCCCTCTACATGGAAACACAGTGCTCCACCGACTGAAATAATAAACTGCCGGCACTTTCAATTATTTTAAAAAGACGTATGATATTAATTGAACTCACCCCCAAATCTCTCCCAATCAGATTTATACATTGACGCGATTCCAAACCCGTTCCATTGCCAAAATCCTTGATGTTCTTCAGAAGTACTGCCACAATTCAGTCGGCCAACGATTGGAAAATAAGCCAATCGACCAGCAATGGTGTTCTACAAATACAAATAACATCCTACATTCTCGTAACTTTTAGTACAATAGCGAAGTTTTGAGGAATACACAATGTTACAAGCAAACGCGAACACCTGAATGATTTGTATTTCTGGCTCATGTGATTAAAATTTGTTTTCTTACATGGAGAAGTCAAAGTTTAATCGGGTTGGTATTGAGAACTATTGCAGATTCTTTAATTTCTAGATATCATGCTATTAGACAGTCACAAGCAAAAATAGTCAACAGCCTCTATTGTTGTGTTTAGTATCCTTCAAATATTTTTGCAACGCGCAGGAAAAATGTCTACGAACAGCTTACTGTTTGCTGCGTGGGATGTTTACTTTTCATAGTTCTGTGGAACGACTTCATGAACAAACAAATATGTTCCATATTGAAATTAGGAGATCCTCGCAGCTAAGAACACTACTGAAACGAGTAGTTGTAAATAGGACCTGAAAAAAAAAATTTCAGGCCCGTACGGGATTTGAACCCATGACCTCTGCGATACCGGTGCAGCGCTCTACCAATTGAGCTAACAAGCCAACTGGGAGCTGGTCAATGAATTGGGTCCAAATAATTATATTATATCTTATAATTATATATTAATTAATTTCATCTTTCCACCGCAGTGCAAATATGTGAATTTTCATATATCTAAAATCTTCATTCACTTGGATGTTTATTTGGACCCAATTCATTGATCAGCTCCCAGTTGGCTTGTTAGCTCAATTGGTAGAGCGCTGCACCGGTATCGCAGAGGTCATGGGTTCAAATCCCGTCCGGGCCTGAAATTTTTTTTTCAGGTCCTATTTACAACTACTCGTTTCAGTAGTGTTCTTAGCTGCGAGGATCTCCTAATTTCATCTTTCCACCGCAGTGCAAATATGTGAATTTTCATATATCTAAAATGTTCCATATTCTCTAACATTGCAGGCTAAACGCTCCCTCATCTTGAATCAAACTTTAAGCAAACGATTTCATCTTAGTTGAAGTAAGGTTTGAAAATGTAAAATATCACTTGAGTTATATTTAACAATTATTCGCCGAAGATGAAGTGAATATTGTTGAATAATTCACTGAGCCTGAGGCGAATAATTTTTCAGTGAAATTGCTCAGGTGCTTTCGAATTCTGTCGTAAAGTAACGACGTTTTAATTCAGAGTTTGAGGGAGAATACTAAAAGAAAAACACTCAACAAAGGAAAAACAACTGGCTAAAAGTCTGACTTCCAAAAACGGATATGAAGGTATGAACTGGAGGAGTCTTACACGACAGTTCGTACGAAAGACGAGGAAGGTCACAAGCGCGATAGCTTTTGTGTGATGGTTACTGCTGTCAACTGATACCTTACAGAGAAAGAAAACAAACGTTTAATTATTCTCGAGAGAGGTTTTACAAGTTTGAAGCAAATTCTTGTGGAAAAAGTCCGACTACTCGAGTAAAAAATGCTAAGGCAAGCGGCCGAACTGGTGAGCCATGACACGAAATTTAAAAAAAAAAAAGGGAAACAGAGTCAAATTTTTGATTGTATATTATAAAGTAGCAATCATATGATTTTTCTCGAGCAATTTGGAATAAATCAGCATAGGTAAATTTTTCAAAGGATGATAAAATTGCACCAACCCGTAGAGCCCGTATAGCCCGTAGAGTCCGTAGAGCCCGTAGGGTGAGTACAGTTTGGCTGGCCTGTGAAAAAATTACTAGTGCTGATTTATCCCAAATTGCTTGAGAAAAAAAATCATGTGATTACCTATACATATTCCCCGATTTAGCTTAGGCATATTCGAAAATATCCTTACTCACCGATAGAAACAAAAGCAAGAAAGTACTTACCATTCGAACATGGTCCAAAAGATCCACGGGCATGTCAATATGCAAGTCAAACAGAAAAATTATATCGTTTGGGTTGGAAACAAGCTGACAGGCTACGTTTAGGGCCAGCGTCTTGTAGAATTTACCCTTTAGTGTAACAATACTATGCCTGCTGTGAAGTAAAGGTGTTTGGAAAGCCTTGGCTATATCAATGTCTTTACTTTCAAAATCAGTTACAACGACGTGAAAGTTATTGTCACCAGTTGCCAAGCTAGCATAAGTTAGTTGTTCAATAAAATAGTGCACCCAGTTTCCTTGTTCCTTGACAGGTAGAACGATATAGATCTTGGCGCTTTTATTCCAGTTCAATCCATCTGGAAGGCACAAATTGTGATTTCCTTTCGGTTGGTAAATGTGCTCCGACAGCCTAAATGTTTGACTGGTGTTCTTTGAGCCAAGTTCAAGGTTTAATAAGAAGCGATCGCCATTTTTTTCGTCTGGCTTTTGAGTCACTTGGTGTATTTTCTTCAAAAAGTATTTTCTGAAAAAAAAAAAAAAGAAACAACAGCAATTAGAACCTTAGCTGTAAATTCTTACGCATATTACACACTTAATTTCAACTCGAACTAAAGAACTAAAGAGTAAGCAATAACCGAGTTCATAGCAAAGTTACGGCATAATATTCTGGAAAGTTTTAAAACGAAAATGACTTAATCAACGACTAGTAGATAAGGGGGATTCTGACACATTTTGAAAACAACCTTGATTACAAGGCAACCCATGAATTTTAACCTTGATTTCAAGTCAACCTTGAAATCAATTTTAATTTTCAAAAATACAGCTTTTGCACATTTTCAAATCAACCTTGATTCAGTCAAGGCGACTTGAATTTTTCACAGGTGAATAACATTCACAATGTCTCATTCGTGAGTTCTGAAGAGGGGTGTGGATATTAAACGATTCTCTTCAACGGTTCTCTTGAACGATTCTCTTAAACGGTTCTCCTGAACGATTCTCTTAAATGATTCTCCTGTCACACCATCGGGGTGTTGATTGTTTGTGTGAAGATTTTCAAACATCAATGTTGTATCTTCTCGCAAAGAAGTCGTGGTGTCGTCTTTGTAAATGAGAAGAGTATGACACCTAATTCATCAGGATTGCGTAGCCGAAGGCCCACCTCGAAGGGTTTGGGCCTATTGAGAAACTCATTTTAGATAGTTTTTTTCCGAATCAAAGAATTCCTTAGGGAAGCAACTCAGTTCCAGGAGGAACAATCTGAAGCTCTTCTCTGACAAATCCACGATTTGGACCATCCTTCAGATAGTAGAGTACAGGCTCGCATCCATTCACAAGTGATTTTTCGATATCATGGACCTTCAGAGACCAGATTGGATCTGTTGCTCGCCTCTGACCACCTTCCAGCTCACCAGCGGCAAAGAGATATCCCACATTATTTGAGGATTCGAGTCTCTTTTCCTTTTGGCAAACTGGTCTTGAAAAAGTCGTTGAACTCTTTGCGTCAACCGAATTGTCTTTGACTGGATCCACAGGTTCCTTTCCAGTCAGTCTTGTCTCTTCGCTGTTCAAAGCCAATACAACTTCTGGAGGCTTCTTAACCCATTCGGTTGATATCCTTCCCTCTTTGAAGTCCATCTCAAGACTACACAGGGAAGGGAAGAAGTTCACCCAAAGTTCGATTAAATCGCTCGACGATTCCCTGATCTCTGTGAACGTTCACATTCCCTATTGTTATCCTCACATCATGCTTTGCCATTTCTCTAAGCTATAATTCTCAAGACAAATACTTCTCAAGACAAATACTTCTGAACTCTTCAAATACATCTGCAAGCAAGAGAACGTCTGTCTTGAGATAAAGGTCATGGTAATCACCCATCGTCTTCATTTTAAACTCTTTCCAGACCTTCTGCGCGTGCTCATAATCTTTGTCCAAAATTCCACAATCATTCAGCTGAAAGTAGAATTTTTCCTTTGGAGGTAAAGTTATTTCATCGAACGTTTCAATGCTATTCATGTAACCATATGGGTACACACCCTTTCTTGAGACCAACTCGATTTTTTCCTTGGATACCTATCACTTTCCTTCGGCTTCTCGAAACTCAATTTTGAAACTAATTTATCAAGGGGAACAAGCCATGAACTTGAAGCTGTCGATAAAACGAACGCATGCTTCATTTTAACTTCTTTGCCTTATTTGTTACTGAAATTCGCAATCATAACATCTTTGCTGAAGCTGATGTACTTTTCCTCATTATTGGGAATACATTTGATGTTTCCTCCGCTTTTGCCGAGATTCTTAACCAATAGATGAGAGTCAGAAGCAGCCAAGTTGTGAAAGATGACAGGAGTGAACTTCAGCTTTTCGAATTGTAGGCTGCATATATAGTGAGCTGCTCCACGATACTTCCCTGTGAAATGGCAGTGGTCCCTCGCTTTGTCTGCCTTCGGCCGGGCCGCGTAGCGGTCTTCATTGGGAGAACCCTTACAAATCCAGCAGTGTAAAGCATTGTTGAAATCACGCCTATCTTCATCCGTGGCAAAGTTGAATTCCTTATGAATATTTTTGATGCTTTCTTTAAGCATTTCAACAAATAATTGAGCAACATCTTCATCCTCACTCTTTACTGGCTCTTGAGAATATAGCTCATTATCGAAGCAGACAATGTGGTCGCAGAACACACATGGTTTTTGCTTTTGATACTGACTAGTGAAACTATCATCACTACTTGGCTCACAATTATTTATTGGTTTAGTACAAGCATCAAAATCAACATAAATCACAAAGGGTACTCTCATTTAGCGGTTGCGATTTTTGAATTTGATTATGCTTTCCTTATCTGGCATCTCGATCCTGACTGTCTCATTTCCTGAGATCGATGAATAGAGCGAATCTGTCTCCAGCATAAAAGTCTGTTGCATTTATCGCGCTGTTTTCCTTTTCAAATCTTCTTAAGACCTCTTTCCACAATTGTCTCCATTTCTTGACTGTAAAACTTAATTGGTAATTAAAAAAAAGAAGTCCCTTCATTGACTTCCTTGGAACATTGATGATCATAATGATTGATGATAAGAGAGAAGAACTTGAAGAAGGCACTTCACTCCGTGAAATGAGTGAGAGTAAGAAACATCTTCAACAAGTATTGTTGTCTTCAACGCATTGTTGTCTTGGCTAGTGAAGTACCAGCGTATTGTCCTTGGGACGGCACACTGCTCCTGACTTGCGATTTAAATGCCGACCTTCAGCGACCAGATATCCATGCAACTAAGGGGTACAGTGATATTCTTAAAACCATGAGTCTGCAGCAGTTGGTATCTAAGCCAACACGTACTACTCAACATTCATCAACCCTCATTGACCATATCATCACGAACATACCTAACCAGGTAACTCACACTGATGTCATTTCATCTCTTATGATCAGTGATCATGACGCACGTTACGTTTGTATCAACGTTCGCATCACTAGATTTGTCCCAAGGTATAAATTTATCCGAAACGAAAAGAACTTTAACGCTGATGCTTTCATTGAGGACTTTGAACAGCTGCCCCTAAGTATCGTGTATTCAACCGACGATCCTGACATGCAAGTTGATCTTTTAAGCTCCCTTATCCGCGAATGCATCGACCGCCATGCGCCCTTAAAACACACTAAACTCACACGTCCTCCTGCGCCTTGGATGAAGGACTTGGATAAACAAATAACAACTTCAAAAAGACTGTCTATCTCTTCAGACTTCCGCCCGGGTAAGTAAAGATGAAGTCACTTGGACCCGTTATCGAGATATGAGAAATGAACTAAAGTCTAAGGTCAAGAAAACTAAGCGCGAATTCTGTCAAAAAGCACTGTCTTCTTCCAAACTTAAAGAGATATGGCAAGATACGGCACCGACGAACTATGGAAGCTGATAGACTCTCTTCCTGAAGATGAAGGCAATTCATTTCACCTTCGTAAAGTCACTTGCAAATAAGTTCTGTCGGAGTTAAAGAGACTAAGAAATGACTGTTCATATGGTCCAGATAGCATTCCAGTCAAGTTCCTCAAGATGGCTGCTGAACAACTTACTCCGTCGTTAACTCACACACTGAACAACTGCATTGACAATATAACATTTCCATCCGCCTGGAAAACAGCCAGAATTAGCGCAATTCCAAAAGTTAAAGAGATCAAGTCCAACAGCGACCTCCGCCCTATTTCGATCCTTCCTGTTCTGTCCAAAGAATATGAGCGTCTTGTATTACGTCAGATGGTTAATTTTCTATTCTTTGGCCATGATGGTATTTTTAAAGAATCACTTGGAGCGTATAGAAAAGGACACAGTCCACCACTGTTCTTCTTGCTACGAGGGACAATATTTTACACTCAATGAAACGTGGCGAGGTAACCATGGCTATTTTGGCCTATTTCTCGAGGGAATTTGACACAGTTGCCTATGCAACTGTGTTAAAAAGATGCACAAGGTTGGTTTCTCCAAATCGTACCTCAGATGGGTCACTAGCTATCTTACCGAGAGAAAGCAGTTTGTTTAGATAGATGACAAACTTCCAAGTACCATTGAGATGGCCTTCGGTGTCCCCCAGGGTTCCATATTTGGGCCCGTCATCTTCAATCTTTATGTCAATGACTTGTCAGATAGTCTGGAGGCGTCCGTAACATCACACCAGTACGCTGACGACACAACCATCTACGCGCACAGCAAACCTGCAAATATTAAGCAGTGTGAAGACCAATTACAACATGCCTTGGATCAGCTTTCAACTTGGTCAAGTGAGTGCAATCTTCGTTTGAATACTGATAAGACAAAGGTGATGCTGTTCTCGACTCAACAACTGGCTCGTGTGCGTAAGCTTGATGAATACCCGATCAACCTGCATGCAAACGGTGCTAAATTAGAACGAATCAAAACCACTCGATTACTTGGCACAGAAATCGACCAAAAACCTGAAATGGAACGATGACATTCTTTCCAAAATATCAAAGTGCTACAATACTCTTGCTGTTATCAAGAAACTCAAGAATCTTGCCCCTTTTCATGTCAGGAAACGTCTGGCAGAGAGCCTTGTGGTGTCATTAATCGAGTACAACGATATAGTCGGTCATCCCATTCCTAAGTATCTGACGCAGAGACTCCAACGTGTCCAAATTGCCGCGGCAAGTTTTGTTTACAATCACTATGCGGAAATGTCGGACGTTTTGAAAGTGGGATGGCTGCCCATTAGTTATCGTCGAGACTATCACATAACTAGGACGATATGCAAGGCTTTATACCAAAACTGCTGGCCAACCTGCCTCAAACTGGTCGAATATAAATCGGCAAGAGCTCTAAGATCTTCTTGTGAGCGTCACCTTGAACCATCGACTGTTCCTGGAACACTACAAGATTCTGCTGCGATGCTATTTAACAGTCTACCCCAAGACATTAAAAATTGTAAAGAACTCAAAGTATTCGACAATAAATGCAGAAATCATTTTTTAACATTGGCAACAAGTAGTTCCTAGTCCCACTTACATATCCTGTACATACTTTATGTCTCATGCCAGTTTTACTTTCATACGCGCGTATCTATAATGTCCATAAATTTTACATCATCAATACTATACAATTTTACATAAAATATCCATAACTTATGTATATATATATTATTTATATATTATTTATGTAATTATACATCTTGTTGCACGTTATTTATTTATCCGTATATTTATTTCAACCATTATATTATTTTATTATATCCATAATGCATATTTTATCAATTGTATAATTTTTTAGTGAATTAGTACAGAAGAGCCACCATGTGGAGTACTAATAAACCATTATTATTATAATTTATTATTATTTTTCCATCCAGTTCTGGTAAAAAGAAGATCTAAAAGACCTTGTTTGTATTATTCTAATGCGTATGCAACATTCCGCCCGTTGATTGGAGACATTCTTTTCGAGTTAAATCCTGGTCCCGACACTAATCAAGTTAATCATCGTTCCTCTAATCTGAACTTTTGTTTGTTGAACGCTCGTTCTCTGAGAAATAAATCTGCATCCTTTTGTGATTATGGTTCAAGATTGCAAAGCTGATATTTTTGCTATTACTGAGACATGGTTAAACCAGAATGATGCTGCAGTCTGCAAAGAGCCCTCCTAATGGGTACAGATTGTTTCATTGTCCTCGCACTGAACGTAGAGGGCTGGTACTGCACTTTTATGTGGAGAGAGTCTCAACGTACGTCGACTGTCCGCCAGTGAAAAGACTTCTTTTGAGTTTTCTGAATGTATGATTGATGGTTTACTTGTGTACAGATCACCGTATTCTGCTGCCCACCCTGTTACTTCAAGTACTTTTTTTTCCTAAATTTAGTGAATACCTGGAATTATTGGTGCTATCTAAAGTGCCAATTTGCATATCTGGTGACTTCAATGTTAATAATAATAATAATAATAATGAACGTTCTTTAATACGCATTTAAGAATCTCAATGCGCTTACAATTTTTACTAAGGTTGAGATCGGACGTCAGCATAATCAGGCGCCTCTGGCAGCCGCTTTAGTCCATGTAACGACCTCACCTTTTCCCCCCCATCCCACCCCAGGGGAGGACATCCATCACACAGTAATCTCGTGCGTGGGAAATTAACGTCTCCTACCCCTAACCCTGCAGGAGACGGGACCTCCATTTATTCGTCCCTATCCGAGAAGACTAGAATATCTAACCATTTCTTGATGTTGAGAAAGGAAGCATATTCTTCTCAGTTAATTTTAAGACCCTGAGTGTTGGTCCGGCCGGTATTGAACTCTCGACCTCCCGCACAGCAGTCCGGCGCTCTCCCAATTGAGCTAACGCGGCGGCGGTTTTAATGTTCATCTTGATGTCAGTGATAATGCAGATACCATTGCGTTTGCGGATCTATTGGAATCGTTGTGTCTTACTCAACATGTAAAATCACCTGTGCCCGTAATAGGACATATTTTGGATCTGATAATTACTCGTAGCTCTGACAATATCATTAAAGGTACACCTTCCCCGGATAGCTTTCTTTACGATCATTGCTCTATTTTGTGCTGTCTTAATGTTACGAAAGTACTGGCTACTGTTAAACAGATCAGTTTCAGGAAGCTCAAGTCCCTGGATTTAGTTGCTTTTAAAAACGATATTGCTAGTAGTGATTTGTGCAACATCACTTCAAATGATTGTAATGAAGTTGCGGAGCTGTAAAACAACTGTATGCGCTCCATTTTGGATCGTCATGCACCGATGACATCAAAAAGAGTGTTCGCTCGTCCCAGCACTCCTTGGATGAGCGGTAATATCATAGAAGCTAAGCGTCAACGTCGAAAAGCAGAGAGAAAATGGAGATCTTCGAAATGTCAGTCTGATCTAGCTGGTTTTAAGAGAAAAGGAACCATGTGACTTTTCTTATGAATGAGGCTAGGCGGGTCTATTATAGTACTCTCATAGCAGAAAATAGCCACGATCAAAAACATCTGTTTAAAGTAAGAAAGAAACTCTTGAACGTCACAGGTACCCCAGTTTTGCCACCGCATGAAAATAAACAGAAATTAGCTAATGAGATGGGTATGTTTTTAATTAAGAAAATCGCCGATATTCGTTTAGACCTTGATAATCATGATAAACAACAAGCTTCCACAGACCGCGTTTCTCATGACATCGAAATTGATTCTCTACTCTTCAAGTTTAGTTCTCTGTCTCAAGAAGAAGTGCACGACCTGGTTCGAGCAGCCAGTAAGAAGTCTTGCGGCTTAGATCCAATTCCCATGAAGCTATTGTTGGACTGTTTAGATGTTCTCCTTCCAATCATCATTAAGATGATCGATTACTCCTTAGAAAACGGTGACCTTTCCTCTTTATGGAAAAATGCTTTGGTTCTGCCTTTGCTCAAGAAAGATGGTTTGGAATCTATATTTAAAAATTATAGGCCTATCAGTAATTTACAGTTTGAGTCCAAACTTGCTGAAAGTGCAGTTGCTAAACAACTCCATCATCACTTGGTAGCGAATGATTTATTTCCAGTGTTATAGTCTTCGTACAGAAAGTTTCACAGTACTGAAACCGCACTCTTGAAAGTAAATCTAAGTGCTCTGTGAGCAAGCTCGTGAATTGACCCATGATTTTTTGGGTTATATTTAATGTTATCTGGTTTAGGGAATTTTGTGGTTGATTGTCATATCTGGAGTACGAGCAGTAATCCAGTGTTCGCTAATGTAGCAAAGAAACAAAGTAACGTTGGGATAAGAAGGCATTAGAATTGAAATGATCATGCTATTGTATTTGACAAGGGTGGATGATGTCATGTTTTTAAAACGTATATCATTTCTGTTTTAAAAGAAAAGGTTGGAAGTAAATGTGGGTGAAAAGTGAAATTTACTGTCTATCATTGTAAATATTAGAAAATCAAGGCAATACTGTCTTAATGAAAACATTAACGATTCCCTCTTTATGAAATGAGACAAACGGGAACGAGTTTCGAGTGATATAACTAAGCCAAGACTGCCACCGTCATTTTGGATCTCCGCCTGGGTAGATTCTAGTCACATGCTAGGCAACGTATAATCAATAACAAGATAGAATTTCATGTCAGGCCTATTTATCAATTTTGTGGTGTATAACTTTCGCATTTCAGTACGTAATATGTATTTTGAATCTTCAAATTGTCTTGAAACTTAAAAGAAAATTGTTCTTTAAAAATTCACTGAAAATCGGTAGCTAAAATTGTTTTTTTAGGTGTTATTTGATTTTCGTGTTAACTTGTAATTTCGTTAGTCGCCGGCATCTTTCAATTTGCGGCACCTAAGCTATGGAGTAATTTACCAAGGGATATAAGAGAATCTAGTTCTATTAATAGTTTTAAATCGAAGCTTAAGACGTTTCTTTTTAAGAAAGAATTTTGTAATTGATAAAGTTTTCATGATTATTTATTCATTGATAAAGTTTTAAATAGAACATTTCAAGTTATAGTTAGTTATATGTTATATATCTTATTTATTATGAATCGCATTTAATTGTTATTTTGTATTCCAATTATCATTATTATTATTATTTTTATTTTATCTTTAAGTTATTGTAATTAGTATATTGCGGCGCATTTGAATATATATAAATAGAATTTGCGCCTTGGAAGTCAATAAATTATTATTATTATTATTATTATTATTATTATTATTATTATTATTATTATTATTATTATTATTATTATCATTATTATTATTATTATTATTATCATTATTATTATTATTATTATTATTATTATTATTATTATTATTATAAGTATGGTTTCACAGTCTCAGCTGTTGTCCTGGCAGTCGCAATAACGATTGGAGTGAATATGAGTGCACTCACAAGAGGTCTGAAGTCTGTTGCCAAAGGAGTTGGGGATGGGCTCAAGACTCTTGCAAGTAAGATCGCGGGAATTCTCCCAGGTCTCATCGGTTCAATAGTCGGCTTCATTTTCAAGACTGCTGGATCAGTGATCAGCTTCCTCGGACGAAATGCATGGCCTCTGAAATTGGGAGTCGCCATATTCATGGTTGAGCGCTTTCAGAAGAACAAGCGATGAACCAAGAAGGCCGAGACCAGTCCAGCTAAAATCAATCCGACCTTTACCATATCATGCTTTGTCTCGCTGTCGCTAGAAGAGCTTCGCTTTTCACCTGTTGATGATTTTGTCTTCACCTGAAGTTCAGTTGAAGTCGCATTACTTTAATTGAAGGGTGACCACCTCGCGGATGGGCTGAAGGCTTGATTTTTGATGAGCCCCCATTCTTGTGCCTTACTCCGACTGATTTCATCTCCAAATTCGCTGATTTGTTGACTCCGAGCTTCGTTTCAGTAGTTGCCTTCATCAGGCTGTTGTTTATACCCGACCGTACTCTGTCTGTTAAGAAGATTTGAGGGCATAAGCCAAGTGCCTGGTAAGACTGCCAGATCAAGCCAGACTTTTGCCTCATCAATCGCAAGCTGAAACCTTTGAACGCTCTTCGAAATGTCTGGCTTTCTGTTCGCATCCTCAACCACGAGATATTCCGCAACCTGTCGTTGCGCACCATACTGCGAAGTTGAGCTGTTGAGGCCAATAGCTCGTATTTGGCATCACGAGCCATCTCTGATTCTGCACCTGAAGAAAGCTGAATTTTCGTTCATGTGAATATTCCTCTGAAATTTGCATTGAAGTATCAATTTGGGCAAGCAAAGATCCTAATCTCCTCATGCAAACGACTATTTGCATTCTCATGAAATGGAACTGCTGGGACCTCCTTCTTTCCTATTCGATTCAGAGTGAGTTCGAGGGGAAAACCTCCAATTCCAAGAGCCTTCTTCATGCCATCATCGCAATATCTTCTGTCTGATCTTGAGACGCTCGACTGAACTCCATCTGATCGATTTAAGCAAACTTCAGTTGTTGCGTGTCTTTTATCATCGCACGACACTTGCGCTCTGAACTTGCTCAGGTCTGCATTTGGATATCGTGCTTTTAAATCATTCCAGGCTTTTGTCTTTGCTTTATCTGCAATTGTATTCGCTTCATTTGTTCTTAGCCACTCAATCGTTTTTATTAGTTTCATAATCAAAATGGTTGTTTTGACAATTATCGCAGATTCAAATGATTACACGGTTCGCTTCAGAGAACCTCTCGGTAAATAAAACTATATCAGACTTTTGACTTGTTCTCTCTTCAATTCATGGTATAGAGATCTTCCTTGACTCCACGGGATAGATCAGCGTTCGCAAGAGAAAAATCTCGTCAGCCAATTTACTTCATTCAACCCTTATCTTGTCCACTGCGATGTTCTGGACAAGGATGAAAACCTATTCAATGGGGAACTAAAAATAAGTATTGAAAAGTAAAACGCATCTGTCACACAACATCCACTGTGACTGGTGTCATTGCTGCCGTTTCGTCATCAAGCGGTCTGGCAGGTGCTCTGAGTGGAATTGAGATAATTGCAGGACCTCCTTTAGCAGGTCTCGCTGCTTTGTTTGGTTCCATATCAATAGCATTTACTGTAAAGAGCAAAAAACTTAATTCCAAAATCCCGAAACAGGATAAAACAATTTTAGTTGCTGAGCCAAAGCACCTATCAGTCAGCAGGTTGTTTTCAAAAGCAATGAAAGATGGATCAACCTCTGATGTCGAATTGGACTAGATTTTGCGTGAGATCGAACAATATTATTCGTTAACAAAACAGCTTAGGATAAAATTAAATGAGTTTGACGTTGAGGCTATAAGAGAACAGATCAAAGACAATTACAGAAAAAAACTCGATCACTCCCACACATCACGCAGTAAGATTTGAATTTGAAAAGACATGGAACAGGTTTTGTTTGCTAACCTCACGACATATGCAAATTCTAGCAGGTAATTTAGTGTTAACAACTGGGTTGAAAACGTAAATTAGCCACCGTAAAGAGTAAAAAAGCTGACGTTTCGAGCGTTAGCCCTTCGCCAATCGCGAGCGCTTTTCGTTCAGCTAATTTCTTCTTGTTTTCTCGTCACCATATTTCCACCAATAGCGTGGCTCCATTTTCTGCCAATAAACCCACACACAACCCACAATTACTCCAATCGCTCTGACAAAGGGCTAACGCTCGAAACGTCAGCTTTTTTACTCTTTACGGTGGCTAATTTACGTTTTCAACCCAGTTGTTAACACTAAATTACCTGCTATACTCTCTCACCGACGCAGCACCACAGTTTCTTTAGAAACTTACCCCTTTATGCAAATTCTACACAGCTTAATATTTAAGAGGGTAAGTCAGTGTTATCAACTGAGTTGATAACGTAAATTAGCCACCGTAAAGAGTTTAAAGGCTGACGTTTCGAGCGGTAGCCCTTCGTCAGAGCGATTGGAGGAATTGTGGGTTGTGTGTGGATTTATTGGCAGAAAATGGAGCCACGCTATTGGTGGAAATATGGTGACGAGAAAACAAGAAGAAATTAGCTGAACGAAAGGCGCTCGTTGATACCGTGAGGACTAAGAGTGCCGATTTGAAAGGTGAATTTTTGTTCTAGAGTTTTACGGCTTTTCGAACCGCCTAAATCTAGGGAAAGGCTGATTAAAGTGTCTAGCGACTGGTTTGGATTAATCCTTGTCAATTCTTTCTACGTCGCGAAGGTGTTCGCGGAATCGGTCAGCTAGTCGTCTTCCTGTTTCACCAATGTATAACTTTTTGCAATACCTTCGTCACTGGGAATAACAGTATAAAAAGAAGTGATATGCATAGTGAAAATAAGTTTGTTCTGACCATGGAAATAAAAGTCACGAAAAATTTCAAGTGCATGTAGGCTGTGTGTAAGATGATAAAGTTTTGACGATAGGTGCCGACTTGGGTTGTTAGGTTCGTGGATTTTAGGTAAAAATTAAATACACGCATAAAAGGAGGTGTCAGAAAGTTGCCGCAAGGCATCTTTTTGGTAGAGGTCGACTCACCAAACAACGACTGCGCCGCCTTTATCGGCCGCTTTAAATACTGTGTCTTTGCGTTTTCCTAGGCCCGGTTCAAAATTCGCATTACATACGTGCCGAATATAACTCTTATTTTAGTCGCAGATTATAAGTAAGTGGAATTTAATTCGAAACTGTCGAATTTAATTGATTTAAACGTCGAATTTCACATATGCATGCAGTTAATTCTTGAGTTATATTCTGCACATGTGAAGTGCGACGTTTGAACCAAATTTAGTGCCGACCACTTTTCCGAAGAAAGTTTGGAAAATTTGGTGTTACGATTGAATTTAAGTTTGTTGATATCGTGGCGACATTTTTTGATGAAAAAAACATAACGATGCGTAGTGGCCCTCTAGGGGAGTTCATTTCGAATCTGAAGTGTTTCGAAAGTAAAAAGAGAATCATTCAATTCATTCATTCGAGATATTCACACCCTCTTCAGAACTCATGAGTGAGACATTGTGAATATTATTCACCTGCGAAAGAATCCTGTCACGAAAGAAAAACGAACCGAAGCTATTTATTCTATTCCGTGCAATGACTTTGATCACGAGTATATCGGACTAACCAATTGTCAGTTTGGTGCACGTTTGGAAGAGCATCAAAAAGCGATCTTCTTTTGCAAAGAAGAAAATTCAGCTCTGTCGGAGCACACATGCCCAACCAACCGTACAATTGGGTGGGATAAGTCTAAACTAATTACCATTATTTGACGTTACCACCAGCGCCTTTGTCTGGAAGACAAAGGACCGCTTGTTGCAGCGACTAGATCACCCCTGATGAAGGCACTAGACAGGAGTTTCGAAAAGTTGGGTCTATGAATTGTAACTTCCCGGTTACATACATTTAATCTTTGAATCAGAGTAGCATCAAATAGTTCTCATGGCATCAACCTGGTTGCCATGAGAACTTTCACTTGTCCATATATTGTTACTAGACATTAATGAAAAGCTAAAAACATCACCGATTGGTTTGTAGTTAACTTCTTTAAATAAATAGAAATGTCGACATAAAAAGAAGAGGAAAACACATCGAAAAGACGAAATGTCACCATTAACCCTTTAACCTTAGAGTCACGTTTATCTAATTTCGCCTGACAACATCACCCCTGAATCAAAAACTAAAGTCACGAGAACAAAGAAAATTACCAGCAGCTAATAGAGCTTTTGATTGTTGCACAAATTATCCTTGTTAGCACCTTAGGAAATGTATAGAGAATAGCATGGAGAATACCTTTTCTGATGTAAGAGTGTTAAGGGTTAATATCACAGAGCACCGATATTAAAAGGACTGTATGGGAAACTGAGCTCTGACTCGCATATGCGTCAACATTTTGCGATCCGCGTACTTGCTTCCAAATTTGTCCCTTGTGGTTATACACAATCATCTGTTATAAAATGGTGTCTATGGTTGCCAAGAGCAAGCTACTTATCTATCCCCAAATATCGAATATTGAGGTGACTCTGCACCAAACAACCGATACTACTACAAACAAGTTAAAATACGGTTAACTTACCCGGACGGTAAAGATTTCATCAACTCGTCTACGACAGCTATTACTCGATCCTTCTTTGCAACTTTATTAGAATGCGTCCATTCGTTAGTCAAGGCTGCCTCGGTCATTACCGAATCATCTTGCGGGTACACGTTTGACTCACGTTGCAACCAAACACTTTGGTACTTCACTAGTTTCTCACGCACCAGAAAGCTCGGGCTATAAGAACAGGTCGGCAAAACGCCACTAAATTGAGCGCGGTCAATGAGAGGAAGACGATGAAAGTAAAACAACTTCCTTTTGTTTTCGAGTATCAAGCTATTTTGTTTACCCGCGTGTAGGGGAATATCATCAAAGCTATGTTCAACAAAGCTCGTCAAGTAATCCGAGGTTATAATTTCAAACTTTGAATTACGAGACCAATACACAGCCAAATGAACTGCCCCAGCTTCCTGTTTAAGTAAAGACTCAATGTAATATTTTTTACCGGTGTGAAGGGTGACCTCCTTAGATATTTGCTCCGCGTACTTTTTGTAGTCTCCATCTGAAGTCCAAGCAGATTCTGTGGGAGAATAAACACGAGCAATCAACTTACTTGAAGCAGGGTCCTCATTTGCACTCAACCATAATTCAGAAGTGTCATCGGATGATATGGCAAACTTGTACACGCCGCTTTCCCTCGGATGGACGAATCCAAAGAATCTGTATCCGGTGGATTGTGAAGCGGGATTTTCAGTAAAATGAAATGCAGATACAGATAAGCGCCTGTGTGGGTGATAAGGAAAATGAGGCCACTTTCGTAAATTATCGACTTTCGTGCCGCATACTCCAGACCAAATATGAAGATTCAGAGAGCCAATAGTCGAAGGGACATATCCACTATTCAGTTCCCGTGTAAATGTTGACAATGCAATTTGTTCGTCCGCTATAGGTTTTTCACCGTTCGCTTTCGGTTCTGATTGTTGACTGCTCGCACATGGACAATTGCACGGAGTAGTACTAACACGACGCTGAAAACCTCCATTCTTAGAGGAAAACAATAGCAGCAAACAGCCTGTGAGAGGAATACTAATGACCCCGACAATGAAGGTAAGCCGTCGCCGACCTAAAATCCCTCTTCCAAAGAAGCTGACGCCATTACGCCACATGTTGCAATACGTCTCGCACACTACACGAATTCGACTTCGTCCGCTCACTTTATTATGCGTGAGCTACATAGCACCTTCAAACGCCATCGTGTCGCTAAGTTTCCAAGGATGAAAGCGGTGTTCGTCGAACCATTTATATTATTGTTCCACAGCAACGAGGCGAAGAATCAGATCACGCGCTGTTCAAACCACAAATTTACTTCTTTCAATCATTAACATGTTTCCCTGGTTACCTTTCTCTTCGCGTCGCGTCACTTTTTCAAACCTCTAAACAGAGTAATGATATTAGTATTTAGTTTATTGGACCATAGAATCATTGATGTCATCATTTCCTTTCCTCTTTTTTCCTCATTACCGTCTAAAATTACCAGAAGGTTAGCGAACACTTTCGATTTCCATCGTAACGGTGTTGCCACGGGCATCTCACGTCACGTCTCGTTACTACATCACGGTCGACGAGCAGGGGAAGAAAAAAAGACCGAAATACGTCTGGCTAGCGGTAACACACAAACGTAATCTATTCAGGGCACAGCTAAACACACAGCTAAACAGGCTATATATTACAGAATCGTTCCAGCAACGGAAGACTATACACAGCTAGAAGATACACAGCTCGCACACTACACGAATTCGACTTCGTCCGCTCACTTTATTATGCGTGAGCTACATAGCACCTTCAAACGCCATCGTGTCGCTAAGTTTCCAAGGATGAAAGCGGTGTTCGTCGAACCATTTATATTATTGTTCCACAGCAACGAGGCGAGGAATCGGATCACGCGCTGTTTAGACCACAATTTTACTTCCTTTAATCATTAACATGTTTCCCTGGTTACCTTTCTCTTCGCGTCACGTCACTTTTTCAAACCTCTAAACAGAGTAATGACATTAGTATTTAGTTTATTGGACCATAGAATCATTGGTGTCATTATTTCCTTTCCTCTTTTTTCCTCATTACCAGAAGGTTAGCGAACACTTTCGATTTCCATCGTAACGGTGATGCCACGGGCATCTCAAGTCACGTCTCGTTGCTACATCACGGTAGACGAGCAGGTGAAGAAAAAAATACCGAAATACGTCTGGCCAGCGGTAACACAACTTTAATACTTCAAATAGAGACAGGTCATTTGTAGTTGCAGAAAACAATTGGTTGTAAAGTTTACTTCGCTAAATAACATGTTAAGCAATTTTTCAAATATGTTGATTGTGCATATATCTCAATTTACTGCTGTAATAAACCATGGAGGTATCGGAAAAGGCATCGGTGGCATCCGGAAAGGCACCAAGAAGAATTATATTGACGTTTTGTAACTTGCAGAAAGCAATCGTGTTTTAAAGCCGAAATGTTTCCAAGTTATACTTCACTAATTAAAAAGTTAAGTAATTTTCCAAAGGCTTTGACTGGAACAATATTTTTTACTGCTATCCTAACCAACGGAGGCATCGGGAAAGGCATCGGTGACACTGGGAAAGGTATCAAGAAGAATGATATATATACGTTATGTCACTGGTTGTGTGACGAAAAAAAAGTATCTTGACTCCTTCAAGGCTTTAATCACAGTTGGCTTCCTCTTCACATGAATTTTGCCATCTCGACTGTCGTTTCCATAAAAATGAACAGCTAAGCAACTCTACAAAAATTTCGTTCTCGATTTTTTATATTTTTAGAATCATTAATTGTAACTGCTTCCGTTGAAGCTAAGTGTTACCGCTTCCGAGAAAAGCTGCGAAATATTTTTTGGTCAGGTTGACGCCCCCATGATTAGTTCTTTTTAGACAGAAAATTATAGTTAGCGTTTCAGTTCAAGATAAGACCCTGTGTGATCAAGATCGTTTTGAATAGAAGACAAGTTAGACTGTAATCCTCGATAAAGTAACCAAGACCCGCGAACGTTGTTCACCGCCTCGATATAATAATGCCCTAAGGAATAGGACAAGGAATAAAGAAAGAAAAGATCCTATTTGGTTTGGTGTTTATCGCATGCGCGTGTGTCAACCCGGGAATCGAATTTGCAACTCTAGCTTGAAAAGAAACGTTTACATTAATAAATTTGTATCCACAGCCTAAGATAAGAAATTTAAAATTTCTATCAGCTGAAGTTCTTTTACTGTATATTATATATATTCGATCGCCCCAATTTCACGTGAAAAAAAGGCAAGTAGGAAAACACTGAGCTTCGAGAAACAGCCAAGTTAGGGCTTACGTGTTTACCATTTCTTAAATATTTATAATCATGGCCACTTGTTTACGAGACCTTTTCTCAAAAGATACAGACGTTAAATTAATTTCCGTTCGAATTTTTTTTCCTATTCATTTTAACAAATGCACTTGGGATGAAAACTTAATGTCCGACCCGAACAAAAATCACAAATTTTGAATTCTGGGATGTTCTCCACTGTTGGCTCCATCACGTTACGACTCTAGACCATTGACGCTCGCGAAACTCTATTTTAATTGACTACCGAGGACTGTATAACTTATCTTGGTAAATTAACATTAAATTCATCATCTGGTTCAAAGTTACAGCCAGCTTTTAAATTTTAACTCTACTTGTTCTGACAAGAAGTCGCCCTAGCAATCTAACGGCAGGTGAAATGTTATGTAAGCGTCTCCGTGAAAGGCATATCCAGACTAACTTGCGTGGAAAAACTGGCCACAGCTATCACACCTAGGCCAATCCTCTCCATCGTCGTCTTTGTAAACCTTACAGACCGCGGTATTTCTCTATATGCGGTATGAAAGTTGTTTCACCACTGACCAATCGTGTTTCGGTTCTTTTTCTTCCCCCGCTCGTCGCCCGGATTGTAGTAATTCCCTCACGTCTTGAGAAAATGGAAATATTATGTAGATATTAATGAAAACGTCACGCGTTGCGTTACGCGGTGTTGGGTTACACCAGAGGAATCGCTGAGAATTTGAACCCGTTTAAGGATTTGTATTGGAAACAAAATACGGACGATTTACAACGTTAAATATTCCGAAATATGAAGATTTTACGCGAAAAGTTAACATAAATTAATCATTCCTTGTGCGTCCGTTGTGGTTCCTTGTGATCACTATTGTTTTGAGCTTGCTTAACCATCACTGTTATTCCTGTCAAAAGACGCATTCAAGTTTTCACTCTATCTTATGTCATTATTTCAAGAGTATCACAGTTTTCTAAGTCATCACCCGCTGACCCGTTACCAGTGTACAGGACACATAAGACAATCGAAATTGGTTTGTACATATCATGGGTAAGCTGGATAAATACGAAAAAAAATTTTGTGTCTTGGATACTTTAATTCGTTTCCTTCAAATAAAAACTTCGATGAAATAAGATCCTAAAAAAACTGGCTAATAGAACAACGGATAAACAAGAGTTACGAATACAAAGAGGAGAACATCACCTAAATAAATGTTTTCCTTGGAAAATGATAAACGGCCTCAAGAGTCGTCACTTTAAATAATGACATGTCTTAAATCACTTGGCCAAGAGCTGGAGAAAATTCCCATGGAAAATTCCAAGAATTGTCATTATTCGCCGTAAAAAACTTTGATCTGTGATTTTTTTTATTATTATATCTTCACCACAAATCGTAGTGTACCTTTGCATTGCCCTCACACAGAAATGTGATTCCATATTATATTTTAGTTTTCAATAGCCATAGACTATCCAATGTTTTTCCCAAGAGGTATGCACACGGGCCACCAAAATATGACAGAGCTTTCATAAATGATATATGAAATAGATTATATTTAGGGATCATCAGGCAGTAGCGTGCTTCCAGCATCGGGAATATACAGGGTCAAGTCTGGCTTTGCGTTCTCCGGTTGTGCTCATTGCCGTGATACTGTTAAATGAATCATGTACATGGATTAGCTGGCAGTAGCGTCCTTCCAGCATCTGTAATGTACAGGGTCAAATCCGGCAAGACGAGACAAGACTTTTTACACCACACGCTTCACTTCAAATGCTTCAAGTACACCCTACATTAGAGGTTTCCCTCACTTTATGTTGAACGGACAGGCGGTTTAAGACAGCTAACACCACGGCATAAAGTTCTATAGAAGCATGGTATTTGATTAAAAGAAAACCAATTTTATGCAATCAACGAATTAATGACAAGGGGAGTTCCTAAAGTCCCATTCCAAATAAATTGGGGAACATAATTCCTTTGTGGTTATCTTACTGGCATAGATTTCTCCTTTACATAATACACTGATCATGATCACTGAGTCCTTAAAAGTGACCATCGTTTTTCATTAGCATCAGGTCTTGACTTCACGATAAATCAATCAGACATCAACAAACTAAGTTTTGCCCACCGATGCAAGTTCTTTACATAAGAGGCAAGTTTCTTTTCATCTTTACTCTGCACTTTGCGCATACTCTCTCAGAAAATTGTTCTGGTTTGTAAGGGCTGTTCCAATCGTAGCCTATGCAATGTTGACTTTTAATCTAATTTATTCAGGAACTAAAACTGATCTCATTTCTCGAGTTTCAAGACAATGAAACTTAAACACATTTGAACTAAAAGTGAAGTCGAACCACATCTGAACCAAGAACGGACGCACTCAAGGTGTGATGATGCAAAGGCTTGCAATAGTATGTGGTATCGTTTTATTCGTATTCAGCTCTTAACCATTTACAGCCTAACATCAGTATCCATACTTCTCTCTCCTTTTTTGTAAGTAATGACAAAGAGAGTTCGTGAAACAATAAACAGGGTCTTCGTAGGGTTACCGCTAGCCGTAAAGAGGCCAAAACATTTAGCCTTTAGGCGAAACAAATGACAAATTTTAACCGTTAGTCGTGAAAAAAGTTAGCCGAAACATTTCTTGTTTTATTAATTAAGGAAGGAGTTAACCATTAGCCGTAAAATGGCCAAAATCTTAACCGTTAGCCCCTCAATCAAAGCTACTTGGTTTGCAATCATTTCCTTCATTCTAATGTTTCAATAATTAGGCAGTCTCAATGTAAGGAGAAATTAGATGCTGGTCACTCTTGCGGTTTACAGGTTAAACAAAAAGTTCTTCAGGTTATTCTTATGGGTGAGTAAATTTCCTCTTTTACTTTTGAAATAGAAAAAGATGAACCGAACCAAAGAACTTCCATGAAATCTTAAACCGTGTGGTTGTCGTTCTTCTTTACTCGTGCATTGAGCAATTGAGATCAAATATCTGACACCGACCAGGTTCAATAAATAAGTAAAGAAATACGCATAGAGATCTGTACACAAGTTTGCCTGAGGCTCTAAAAGCTATCAAACTATTTCAGACAAGCCGGAAAACATCTTTGTTTCTCTTAGTTTAGCTGCAACTGGAAGCATGACTACCGACAGCTGTGCTCAGAGCCTTACAAAAGTAACCAAACAGACCAGAAGGAGCAGAAACAATGCAGTGTAGTTAGTTTACTCACTCTTTCTTTTCTATAGTGTTTTCAATCGTAAAATAAATAAGGTTGTAAGATTCTTTGTACGTTGTATGAACAGATTTTTATCTTCGTCATTGATCATCAGGGAATATATAGTGAGAAATTTGGATCATCTTGTTAGATGCATTTTGCCTGCCTAAACATGAACGTATTATTGTTGATTTGTTCGTGTATTCTAAGCACTTTTGCGCTCGCTGAAGGTAAGATTGTTTCCTTTCCTACAAACTCCTGTTAATAATAATTATTGTTTAAAGCGCTGTGTGACGATTTGGGCATTTTGAAAATTTCAGTCAAAGCTCGCAATTTCCTGCTTTTCATTTGCAACTGATCCGATTCTTAAAATGTTCTCCAATCTTGGCCACTCTGCTCATTATCTGCTTGTTTAGTGTTCTCTCTTTTAAGTTTTTCAATCCTATGTTTCTTTTGAATTTTCTTATTACTCGACGTAGAAAAATAGGCAAAATGGAACTGGGAAGTTTTATATATTTTTTGCACGTGTTTGCTTTGGAGATTTTGGAAACTATGGTACAAAACAGGCATGGTCTGCGTAAAAATTTGTTGTTGTTGATGAATTGTTAGGCTTGAGCTTTAAGCTTTCGATTTGTAGCGAGGAAGGCATATGCATTGGCATGAGATCGTAAGAGGGGTCTTAGGGTGTGCCGCCCAATTTCTCAAAAGTGTCTTTTAATTCGTCTAAAGTAAACAACAAGATGTTCAACTACGAATTTAAAGTTGTTCTATTGTATCGAAACTGAATAATTGCCAATCGATCCGTTTAAATCGAAAGCATACAAACCAGATCAGGAATATACTGCTGGTTTTGGTTCATTATCAACACATCTACCATAAAAATCTGCTCCACCACTGCCATGACCTTACAGATCAGAAATCCAATGATTTCGTCTGCATTTCACCTAAACCAATGGTAGATGTATAAGCATTGCATTACACGTATCAGCTCATTGAGGAAGCGGTGCCTGTTGCAGAAATTACGGTCCATCAGTGGAAGATTGAATGGGTGCTTCAACATAGTGCATGTATAAGCATTGCATTGCACGCATTAGCTCATTGAGGAAGCGGTGCCTGTTGCAGAAATTACAGTCCATAAGTGAAAGATTGAAGTTTATCTTTTCGATGATTTATGATTTATAAGCCCTATCCCTTAGATAGGCAAAAACGATCATGATTTACTTTATTTTATTTTATTTTTTTTTTTTGCGTTTTAGACCATTATTTCAACATCAAACCGAATTTCATGACCAGTTACTGACTTACGAATTTTCCAGTGAAACTGCTTCTATTTCATTTCCTATTTTTTTTTCCGTATACTTCTTTGGTTAAATGCATGCTTAATCTTTAAAATGTGGTAAGTCTGTTTAAGTCAATGGAAAGGTGCCTTTTTTGTGATTGTATCATGATATTATCAGGTTATTACATGGTAACTATTTAATTTTGTTTTACATGCTTGAGCAGGAAATTGCGGTTCTCGGCCAATCACCAGAATTGTGGGTGGTCACGAGGCTGCTATAAACAGTTGGCCATGGCAAGTTATGTTGAGGTATTCGTCTGGTTTCCCTTTTTGTGGAGGATCTCTCATCGATCCGAATTGGGTTGTAACCGCAACGCATTGCGTAACAGACACACACCCTTCTAGTGTTAAAGTCAGGTAATTTATCTGCTTCTTCAGCATCTTCCAATACTGAATATTCTATCAATAGTCTATAATAGTGTTTTTCTTACAAGTCTTTGAAGTTTATTTACCCGAACACATTCACTGCTAATTCAGTTCGAATTTCTTTAACTCCATTTATCTAAGCCCATCCCCCTTTATTTAAGTAATTTTATCTTCTTCTACGGCCTAAGGCCTTCAGTGGCTAAAAAGCAGTCCTCCTCTAACAGTTTTTATTGTAAAAATAGGTTGGGCGCTCACAGCCGCGTGGGTGAAACTGTTGGAACTGAGCAGGACATTGACGTTGCGGAGATTATCACCCATGAAAAATACCATTCCCCTCTGAGATATAGTCACGACATTGCCCTTCTCAGATTGGAAAAGCCCGCCAAGTTAGGCAAAGGAGTCGGTCTTGTCTGCTTACCAGATCTCAATATACCTCTTCCATTAGACGACCTCAACAAAAGAAAGAAGTGTTGGATCACAGGGTGGGGAAGACTATCCTCTGGTGGTGCTGTCCCTTCAGTTCTACAGCAGATTGATGTACCACTGGTGTCAAAGCAGCGCTGTTTGAAGGGGTACCCAGGAGAGATTCACGACTCCATGTTGTGTGCAGGCCTAGACCAGGGTGGCATAGATGCCTGCCAGGGTGATAGCGGTGGTCCTCTTGTTTGCGAGTTCAATGGAAAATGGTATCTGGAGGGGGTGACAAGCTGGGGATATGGGTGCGCTGCGCCAGGAAAGTTCGGTGTCTATGCTAAGGTTCGGAATCTGCACTCCTGGATCTCAAAAAAGATGACTGGGGTTGTGCCACCGAAGCCAGGTATGTCAACTGACCTCTTGAACCTCAACATTTAACAGCTAGATTTCTCCGCTGATGGATAAAAAGTTTATTTTGGAAGGCTTCGTCCAGAGAATTTGGTTTCGTATCCAAACCACATTCACACGTCTATAATTACGGGACAGAGTAATGGGAATTCATTTATTGATTACTTCTAGAAGAGAGAGAGACTTAAAAAGCTTGTCTGAAAGTTTTAGACCTTGAGATGACAAACATTAATCCCTCTACTAAGCCCTTCAAGAACTTGTCTTTGTCCATAAGGCAATCTATTGGAGATGCATTTTCATTTCAAGGGGTACTCGGAGCCGGAAGGATTGGTGGGGGGCAATAACAAGAACTGAACGTGAGTTAAAAACACTTTGGCATATGACGAAACTCACCCAGTTTATTTATTCTATACGCCAAAATTTCCAGTAAAGAATAATCTCTGCCGTATAAATAATGCCATTGTCACAGACAACTTTAACACTCCCACTGAAACTGTTGAAATGCTGAAGCGATAACAGGTATGTTAGGGCTATATCGCCCGATAATCCCCTTTCGAAGTTGTACAAAATCAATTTTTTAAGTTAACAGAGCAACAAAATCCTTTAATTTATAACATTCGACCTCACAAGTCAATCGGTTTTGATACTATGCGGAGGCACGTTCACTGTAGGTAACTCGAACAGAGGATTAATTTATGCCCCGATCAATTCGAAGCTTCAACAAACCCCGACCAACGGGTATTTGACTGTCGTCCATGCCAAGGGGATGGGGGGGATTTGGACCATGCCTGGGTGGTGTGGGGAATTTGAACCGGAACTGTCTAGTATTTCCAACGGAATAAACGTGTATCATCTTGTAATGTGGCCCAGAAGAAAAAGTCTACAAGAAAGTCATGGTCGCTAATCATGCTTTTTACCAAAAAATTGAAGATGTATCCGACATTTGAATGGGGCATTTGAACATAGAGGAGTGGGAATTTAAGGGAGCCAATCTTCAAAAGATCAAATGCCCCAGGGATTGCCGGGGGAGCAGGGGGGAGGTTGAAGCTTCGAATTGATCGACTCATTAATTTTCCCACCTGCCACGTAATTCTTTACACCTTATCAATTCGAACAATAATAAATGCCTTTTTCCTACCTAGATTGCAAAGACAGCGATGCTTTTGCCAGTCAGTGTCCAACTTTAGCAGGGTATGAAGGCTACTGTAAACACCATCATGAGTGGACCAGGAAGTATTGTGCCAAGTCGTGTGGCTGGTGTTAGTGTGAGTATTCATGAACGCTAATTCAACTTGAAATTGCATCTTAAAAGAAACCATCAAATTTTGAGGGAAACTCTTTCCAAAGACAAACGTATCTTGCACATTCCAGCAAAATTTGGATACTCAGCGTTTTTCCTCGCCCCTGTCCTAAAGGTTTATTAGAACAATTCAGAATCATTCCAAAGTTATATCGAGGTGTTACCCGAGAACTTTTATCTTTTCACTTAATTTAAATACAATTTGAAGGTTATACATCATTCACTCCCAAGATCTGATAAATAATTCTCCCCTCTTGCTGATACAGATTTCCGTATAAATAAGGAACGAGAATTTGGTGTTAGATCAAGATAACAACTTCTACTTGATAAGTCTGAGTATTCCTATTTCGTTTTTGCTGGATAAGTTATGGAACATATAGGGAGATGTTTCATGTCACTTCCTTTTAAGAGTCACAGGGTTAAAGCATATATTTTACCTCAGTCATCAGTTAGGTGATTGCCTTCATTCGGTCAAAGTTTTCCATATGATCAGCTGCAGTAGAAACAAAATGATACGGTCAACTAAAGGCTTCTTTTTTATATTTTGCAGAGGAACGCAAATTTGGATGCACGCTCAAGCGTAAGCCATTTTCTTCAACGCCAAAGTTGGGGTCGGAATAAATCCCGTATTTAAAAGTTTATAGCAGTGGTTGTTAGTTGTGGAAAATAAAGTTGAAAAACTTTACGTTGACTTTCTTTGTTTAAATATATATACATTTTTTCTAGTTAGCCTAGCATAGCTGCTTTGTTGTTGTCATCATTGTTCGTGATATGTCTTATTTCGTTTTTTATGCATCTTTTTCTTGCCAGCTCAAGATTGCCTACTTTCTACCCACTTAAAAAAATTGTCTTACTTCCCCATAAACATTTGATTCAACTTTCAATAACCCTGTACTCGCCCCTGGCCGAAAAACACATGGAGCACACTTCGATCGAGTGTCGTAAAACCAAAATAGTTACGATGGCAAATCAGAACTCAGAGTGAAAACAACGACAACAAACTGCCTGTAGCGCGGGAAAACGAAGGTGACTAAGTCGCGATTGATTTAGTTTTGCAGCTGATTGGTGAAAAGAGTAGCGCGAATTTTCTTGACTAGTCACATGCAAAATCAATGCAATTTCGGATTACTTTCGATACCAAATGAAAATCGCTCTTAATATTTCATGGGGTTGGCCTTACAAAGCCGCAAAAGCTCGAGGTTGTCCTGTAATTGTTTACTGGAGAGCTGAAATTTTTTTAAAGGGTTAAGCGTTCCTTGGAAACGACAAGAAATGACGCAGATGAATCATAATGAAAACTTCTTGCTGTCAGGCTTCAATATAAAGCTGGTAACCATTTCCCGGGTGGAGCAGGTAGAATTATTTGTGGTCATATAACTCTTGAAAATAAAACATTCAGCGAGATAAATATGTTTTATTTATCTATTTACAATCACTTATGCAAAATACGTAAGAAGTTATATAATTACATATTTAAGAGCTTGTGCAATGTTATTAAGTCGACGAAATAAGGGTAAGGAAAAATCTCCTAAGTAAAATACTTGTATTTAAGATTACAACCATCCCCAGTTTTTCACTGTTATAACCGATTACCTCACGTGGCCCGAATTCTTTGCTTAGGACCATATCTTTCCATTGAATATCTCTGCATATTCTAGCCATCTATTGTTGTCATTGAATAATAACATAATATTATATAATTTAATACAATCTTGTGAAACAAACTCCTAATGGGTTGTTTTTCGTGACTGGAATGTAAAATTTAAAAGATCGTAAATAATGTTGCTTATTACAGCAAATACATTATCCCTTGATTAACTGCGATAAATTGGGCAATAAATACATGCTAAGTGTTTCAGAGATACGCTTATTCACAGATTTTAAACATTTTTTTCAAAATTGCAGGATCGAACGGACCCCATCCCTTCCTTAACCTAAGAAAAAAGATCGAAGAGATAAAGTTGCGCGTAAATTGGCCCGAGCGACTGAGTTATTTTCAGTTTCAAGATTTCTACCATTTTACGAGAACTGAAGATTTTTCTCAGGAATTTTCGAAAGTTTCAATTTCTTCTTTCCATCAGCTATTTTCCAAACTCATAACAAATTGCAACCTTAACCCAGCGCACAACTTTTTCCCGCAGTATCATGCCCTAAAAGGCCGCTACTATTCTTCAATATAACTATGAAGCTGCTTTATTTACTCTAGCCTGAGTTTTGACGGACCGCTGAAATATGCCACCAACTTCTTACATAGTTTTATACATTGTTTCGCACTGTGTTGACTTGAATGTCAACTTAATATATTTTATCACAATGTAATTATAAACGTAAAAATTGTGCGAGCCTCGAGCAAGCTTATTCCACAGAAAAAGGTAATTTACAAGCAACTCTCTCGTGTTTGAAACACAGACAATTTACTAACATATTCGCTCCTTACTAAAACCCAAACCAGACAGGTTGTCAATGAACACAACTATTATATGTTGAAATTCATCTCATTGATCCACCATCCTCTCATAGATATACTATCTACGACCTAATAAAATAATTGTATGATACAATTTGTACAGTATTGATAGATTACACAGCATGCAATTGGAGGAGACATGATACAATACAGACTACGTTTGAAACACGCCTTCACCAGAGTTGCATGTCATGGCACCCATTCAGTTCTGAGGATCATTTAATCGAGTGCGTTATGTCAAGCATTTAGAGAACCGTTACTTTTTCGACAATGACCTCTTTCCTCACTGTCTCCGAACTCTTGCTATTTGCAGGTCTGCTAACCATCAGCCTCATGGATGGTGGAAGGGAGTTCCGCCGCTGCTCACGCGGGCGCAGCTTTGCTATCATACCTTCCAGTCCGTTCGATGAACTCACTTGTGAATTCCGCCTCATTTCACCACTTGAGTATGAGTATTTTCGCCTCGAACTTGTTATTTTAGGAATCTGAGAACTTTTTACTCTACGACACAGCGAAATACAGTCTCTCTTAAATTGTGCAGTAAAAATAGCGTATAGGAAAGGGTTAGCGCAACTGTTGAGAGGAAACACGAAAACTGTAAATATTTTTGCGTCTTTAAGGCTCACAAACTCTCCACCAAACGCTGCGGTGAGAGAAAACACAGTTATGGGTGCCCAGCACGAAAAGTCTGTAAATATGAGAATTGCCATTCTTAGTGCAGTTCTTGAGTCATTTGTGTTCCAGGCGTTTGAGCCACGGATAGCGCTGTAAATTCTACAGTAACAAGTTAATATGACGATGAACGCTGACCCATTTAGTATGAGCACTGATGTAACGTATACCAAAGATTTCGTGTTCCCAGTCTCAAACGGCAGACAAACGCTGAATTTGGTATAGTCGCTGACCCCGAACAACGGCAGTGTTGCAACTGTGAGAGCGAAACACCAACCAACAAGCATCACAAGGTACGTTTTCTTTAAGCTCATTTTTTTAGTGATGTCCAACGCATGCGTGATAGCAATGTAGCGTTCAATAGTGATTACAGTCAACGTGAAAACTGATGTTTCGCTTGACAATACAGCGAGAAACCCCGCTGTCCTACACCCTGGGCTCAACTGCCACTCGACACCATAGCTCCGAAAGTTTCCGAGGGTTGACGCATCGACGACTGCTAAAAGCCCGAGATACACACCCATGCACAAATCTGCTACAGCTAGATTACAGATCAGAAATCTAGACACGTCGATTCGTGAGCTGCGTGTAATGATCACAAAGATGACTATGGCGTTGCCAAGCAACGCAAGCAAGAACACTATCCACACGCCGATACGGAGGAGCGAAGAGTCCATGAGATCATCACACGGGAAAAAAGGGTCAGCAGGCTCAGGGGTGCACGTGACTTGGTGGTCGTCGTCCTCGTCAATGGAAATATCATCTACACGGCCAACATTGCTAACCTGACCCGAACCGACTGTTGTCGCAATTTCCGAGCTGCCGTCGAATTCCATTGCTGGGTCTATGTTTCCAGAACCGAAGCCTGACATTTCTTCATTGCTTGTGATGGAAGTTAAGTTATCCTCGGGACTATTTCGTAGAAAGGTGACTTCTTCACCCTCAGCCCAGGTCCAAGAATTCTTGAACTCGCTTGTTTTCAGCTTTTCAGTCCTGTCTGGACTTTCTTTCTTTTTACGTTGTTTTCGGAAGTCACAGCAGTGATAAGGGTAGTGCGCTTCCACAGTTCGAATTTTATGGAGTTTTGCTGCAGGTAACCCCTTTAGTTCTCTGTTGCCTCGCACCTTAAGAGTTTCAAGTGTTTCCAGCCCTTTAGCAGGAAGTACTGGAAAACAGTTGTTGCTCAGATCCCTGAAGACAAGATTTACAAACACACAAGTAAACTAATTAACACATGAATCGATGTTTTTAAAGAGATGCATTGTCTAAAAGATAGAACAAATCATTTTGACTCCCACTTCAAACAAAGTGTTTCAAAAGATTGCTGGTGGTAGTGGAAGCGCAGAAGAATTTTTGAAACCGTTTTTTGTTTTGTTTTGTTTTGTTTTTTTTAACATGCAGTTTGCTAACCGATCAACCCTAGTTTAGGGTTGGCAGGAGGAGGTTCCTACACGAGCGTCTTCCAAACATGTAAGGGGGAAATGACGCGTTGTTTTATCATAAAAAAATTATCACGTGGGTCAACAAACAGGGGCTCTAAGGCTCGACCCCCCCCCCCTCCCGCCTCTTCTCCTTCCATTACTCACACATTCCCTTCTTTCCATCCTAAGCTACAAATTCATGGTTCTTCTATTTGTACAGTCTGGCTTAGGTTTGTCCATATAACAATCGACAGGGGGAATCCATCAGTTCGTGACCATTACATCAAGGCATGCTGTTAAAAGCCACTGTTTTTCCAGACAGAAATTTTACTTTGTTCAGTTGTACGGTTGGTGGTAAAATCTTCCCCTTTCCTTTCTCCACTGAATATAAGTATTTGGCAAGTTTAATTTTTTTAAGCAATATTAATGAAGTTTCAGTAACTTGCCCATGTCGACAAAACTGAAGTCCATCGCATTTGAGCGTATTTCCCCACAAATGTCTCCTTATTAAAATTTCTTTTTCTTACTAAAAAATAAATTAATCTCCGAACGATGAAAGTTCACGAATACACGAATGTATGTACTTACAAGAATTTTATCATCTCAAACGGTGCAAATGCGTCCTCAGCAATGTACCTGATTTCATTTTCCGCAAGATTTCTACGAGGAGAATTTTAAACAACAAGATCAGCCTGACAGCAAAGTACAACTTTTTCAAGAATTGAAACAACAATTCAGAGCACCCTCTTAAGATGATGCGTATCGGTATCTAGCTGGATTCCACTTTGGGCTTCCATTGGACTGTGGTGTTTCGTATCACCCCCCCCTTCCACCCGCGTACCATCGTTCCCGCCGATGAAAGCCCTGGGTGTAATCAACACATCTTCCTTTGTAGAACACACGCATGGAGACCTTAAATCACTAAAATATAGTCAGTTATATGATGCTGTTTAGTTCCTATGAGAGGTCTTAAATACTTGATTGCAAATAAGCAATGGGAATCTCTAATGGCGTATCCACAACCCCGTGCAACAATTTTCAAATTTGTGTGATTAGGCGGTCTATATTACGAAATGCCAGTGTAAGTTTAATGGCATAGTAAAACGAAAAATAAAATGACTTGCAGAGGGTGACAATCCAGCTTTTCTCTGAATTTCATAAAACAAAACGATATCGATCAATTTGAAGTAAACTCTGTATGCCCTTAAATCAAGAGTCTTGATGGGCTGTCGCCTGCTTAGTTATGACGTACTAAAAATCATTTTGGAACGATCTGGTCGACATTTAGTACTTACAGATTTTCCAGTTTCTTTACTCCTTTGAACGTCTGACTCGGTAAGCCCTGGATTTTGTTTCCTTCTAAGCTTCTACAGAAAGAAAAGTTTCAGATACATTTTAAGGCATTTTCTTATCTCATACTTATATTAAAGATATCCATAATTCTATCTATATGTTCTGTAACTCACGAATTCGCTTACTTGTTAGGTTTACAAAAGTCGAGATCTTTTGTTTAATTGCGAATTATTGAAGGAATTTCCCATAAATGCCCATTCCAAAATGTGAGTAACAAAGTACACTTACAAATCTTTAAGACTTCCCAGAGTTTGGAAAGACGTTTCAATCGACGTGATTTTGTTTTCCTCAATTTTTCTGTTCAAAAAAAGAAGCAGAAGATTGCATTTTATGTCAATAAGTACACACATTCCACTTGGAGCTTTCCCATAAACTAGCAAGGGTATTTAGAAATGAGCTGGAGACCGCGACTTCGGATTTAGTAAATAAGTAATTCGGGCATGGATAATATTGGGTTTGGTTCACCACCCACCTACCCATCCCTCAACCAGTTGGTGTTTGTTATTGATCTATTATTGCAAAACAAAGGGAAGTATTATGAGAATGATTTTGATGCAGTTAAAAAGCTGTTATCAAGCTTTACAGACACCAACCTATATGTGGTTAATTGGTGTTCATTATTCCTTTTAATGATGTTTACACACCGAGCATCAAAAGGCCGTTTGGCTGAGACTATTTTGATTGATTCATAACCGAGAGGATGTTATTAGAGATGGTTGTTTCTCCAGTCAGAAATGTTAGGTACCTTTGACCTGGAATTTTAAACGAATTACAATGAGTTATGAAAGGAAAAGTTATGTACTTACAAGACTTCGATCATATTTGATTGTGGAAATGCGTCTTCAGAAATGTGTGTGATTTCATTTTTCGCAAGATTCCTACAAAGACAAAATACGATGAAAGGATAATAAATACGTTTAACATCAAGATAATGTCAGCTATAATTCCCAAATAGTAACGATAAGATGTAAAAAAATTATTTCCAGCGCCCACTTTTGCAATGGTTGTTTCTTTGGACCCAAAGGTAAAAGCTCCTGTTTCACATCTCCAGGATTTGCTATTTTTATTTAAATACTTACAGAACCTCCAGATACTCGACTCCTTCAAACGTCCGACTTGGCAGGCTTTGGATTTTGTTTCCCTTTAGAGTCCTAAGAGGTTAGTGGCAAAGAAAACAGATGACTTAAGTAGGTGTGCGTTTACATTCTTCAATCTTGTTCCTCACCAATCTGGTAAAATTCAGGACTAGTCTGGATGTATCCATATTCACATGGAAATTTCACTAATCCGTTTATTCGTTTTGTTCTTTTCTTAATTTATCCATTTATCATTCTAATCACCATTAGTGTATAACACACCGGTGAACGGTGCTTTTCGCGCGCGCTGATTGGCTAGGTCGGAGGCGATAAGCAGAGTCCCATTCACCTCTGAGGAGTCGATGAGATAAAATCGAGCGAGGAAAGTTTTTAAAATATCCCACCATCGTTCGGCATATTGACAGAAACGAACAATTTTTTAGTTTCTGTGTGGTATATACCAACACACCTATCTACCTCCACTTCGGTGAAAATTATTAATTACACATCTGAATGGCGTTACTTACAAGTCTTTAAGATTTTTCAGATTTTGCAAGGACCCTTCTATCGACGTGATCTCGTTGTGCTCAATTTTTCTGTTGGAAGAAAACAAGACATGCGTTAAGTAAGGTAAAATCCGTACAACTATCTCTCCATAAACTGGTCTATAACCTAACATGAATCGATAGATGCGAACAACTTTCAAACGAGTGTCGAAAAGATGGCAAGAGATTGATTTGCTTCACTGCGCAAAGTAATTGAATCTCTCCTTCAACCAATCAGCTGCAGAACCCAAACCAATCATGACTTGATGACAGGCGTTTTCCCGCGTTTAAGACTGCATACATCTTTTAACTTTGGTTTCTTATAGGTTTCCTTATATATCTTCCTTTGTTCTGTTTATGAACCGTTCTGATTACTTTGGTCTGAATTTTACGCAACTCAATCGTAATGCGTTCTAAATGTCATACTTACAGAACAGACAGCGATTTGCACTCGGATAGGTCCGGTAAACGCTCAATTTTGTTGAAATCTAGAGTTCTGTAGAGATGAGGAGAAGAAGCCTGATTATCCACGGTAGCAACCAAAGTTCATGGAACTACGGAACTTAAATCTTTGCTGAAAGCACCACGAAAAAAGGTTGAAGGTTTTGACAAAAGTGATAAAATCTAATGTGATGTTTACGTCCTCTTGAAAATCTCGTTAAACCATCCTTGCTTTCATTACAACGGCAATAGCAAAATCGTTGAAAAAAGAGGCAAGGTACCCAATCTATTATCTTTCTGTTATTTTGCGTTTCTTAATATCCAGGGGTGCGTTTAGAGTTGTTTGACAAAGTACAACTATACTCTACTTACAGTTCCACCAATTCCTTCAGATTCTGGCAAAGATTCGTAGGTAATTCTCTAATTTTGTTAACAGTCAGAGTCCTGAAACAAACAAAAGCAATCAGACCACCAAATCATCATCAGCTCATAATCCGTCATAAAGATTCGAAGTAGAAGACCAAGTCAAGAAGTTTTATATCTGACTTAATCCAACCAAAAGATATCTCGTTTCTTAATCATTTGCTAAGGTAGAAAAAAACATTATTCAGGAATACGTACAGGTACTGGAGAGAAGATGTGCCCGTCAGGTTTGGAAATTTTTCCAAACGTAAATTAACCAGTCTCCTGAAAAACATCGAAGTAAAACGAAAAAAATTAAAATATGAATAAAACATCATTTAATGTGTTTAATGCTGGAATCGAAGTAATTATTTCGATCGTTTTCTTTTCACATCCATACATCTCATCGATAATTCAATATCCACAAAAGGTTATCCATGCCGCCAATGTCTGTTAAAAATGGCACCAAAGGCGCTGGGTTTGAGGGAAGTGTGATGAACTAGCAAGTATTTTTTTAGCAACACGGGGAAGAAAAAATACTCCTCAGTCTTTTCAAGTTGGAAAAAAGGCTTTAATCAACGTTATGGGAAAATAAACTTTCACAAAAATGTGTCAGAACTTACAGTCGGGTTTTTAGTTTTGGTAGGTTGGCAAAAGCGTTGTGACCAACAGAGTTCAGCTTCTCCCAAGTGAAACGTCTGCAAAGTGGTAAAAATAAGTCAATGAACTGTGACAAGTTACAGACCTTGACTCTTTCACTCCCCAGGCTGACCAGAAGACAATTTATCCTTAGTAATCCAACAAATTTTCAAGCAAAAAGAAAATGAATTTGAAATTAAACAATGACGAAAATTAATAGTAACATCTTAGTAGTGATGGGGTTAAAAAAAGGTCGTATTTTGGTTCAGGTCATAGGCCAATGGTATGCTTTCTAAGGGCCATTTGGAAACACATCCATCAAGACTTCGCAAGGAAATTTTATTTGTTTAAAATTTAGACAGCTTTGATTCCAGGTCTCATAGAGAACGTTGCTTAAGAATTACAAAAGCAACGGAAACAAACTCAAAGAGAGGGAATTTGAAACAATAAGAGAAAAATGAAGGGGCGCTATCCGACAACAATACTTACAACGTCTGGAGTTTAACGAGTCCCTTAAACGCATGGTCGGGAATTTCATCGATCGGATTGGAACTAAGTTCCCTGTTTGGAAGGAAAAATAAAACTCAAGTTGCGAACACAGAGTGTGGACAACAGAATACTGATCCTCTCTTAAACTGCTTAAAGTTGAAAAAAAGAATTTAAAGTGCTTTTTTTCCTTGAAAGCTAGTACTCTTTTAAACTAAAGTCAATCAAAAATAATATGTGGAATAAATCCTGTGAGAACATGAGAATGTAGAGCAACTACAATTGGGTGTCGACAGTAATTCGGGTTTGCATTGGTTTTATTTTGCTTTGCTCCGTGATTGGTCCAAAAAAAATCGCGTCGTACCCTCAACCAATCAGATACAAAACAAAAACTAGCCGCGACTTAGTCACCCGCGTTTTCCCGCGCTTTAGTTTTCACTATGTTTTCACTATGAGATCTCATAGGCTCCTCAGGGTTTTTTCCTTTCCTTTGATTGGCCGTTGTGATTTCTTTGGTTTATGTTTTATGACTCCCAATCCAATAGCGCTGTATGAATGATCCTCACAGGTCAACTGCACTTATAGTAATAGCAGTAAGGCCTAGACGGAGCCTGACGTCATGACTACCAGATTGCAGTATGTAAGTCAAACATTGAAATGACGTCATTTGATGTTCAGCAAGTTCATTAACATTGTCCTCAGACTCACTTCATAGTTTGTTCCTGATCGAAGAATACGAAAACACTTACAAGTGGGAAATGGTCTTGACATCTTTGAGAGAAACAGGTACTTGGCTAAGGTTATTATCCATCAAGCTTCTAAAACAAAGAAGAAAAACAAAATTTACTGAGCTTTTTCCATTGATGGAGCCTTTTTTTTGTTGCTATAGTGCAAAATTACCACTGTTATAGAAGTGACCATACGAAAATATGCGCTCGAGACGGAAGTATGGTAAGTATCACGTTTCTTTTGGGTATATCTATACTTAGTTCGCTATTTAAACCTAGCATTGAATTTCTTAAAAATGACGGTAAAATCATAATAGCTTTAGCATATACTCACAAATACTTCAAAGAGTCTAGCCCTTTGAATCCGTCGTCTTCGATCTCCCTTATTTCATTGTTGAAACATATTCTTCACCAAATAAGAAAAAGGAAAATTAAAAATATTAAGTAAAAGGAATGAAAAAGGACACGAATGGATTTCATTCTTTGTCTGTACTTAAAACCAAAAACTATTATTGGTACATTAAGTGTCAGTTAGACGACAACCAGTTGCGAAAATGTTGAGACACCTTAAAATACAATTTAAGTTTATCGTGTGATACGCTTAGCTATTCAAGTGTGACATTACGTAATGAAATGACGCACCAGCTAATTTACAGGTATTCCACTCTTCAATAATGGGGATTTGGTAACGGTGTTTTGATGATAAAACTGAGGCGCGGTTTGCGTTGCTACCATGACAATTGCTTGGTAATTTGCTGGGTTTCTCTTCATATCATCTTCCTCGTACCATACGTCTACACGACGGAGGTCATTGAGAAAAAAGTGCGTTTACCGATTTCATCAAATGGCCAAGAAATTGGGTACCAAAAAAAAACAGAATCTGCCCTCCTTCCTCAATTCACATGTTGTTTATCGAAGTTTTGTAGATGTTATGTTACTGCTAAGCTAGAAACATTGTAAAGAGGGGAGGGAGTAGAGGAATACATTATGTTGGATCACATGGTGAATAATTATCTCTTGTCAAGGTAATATGTCTCAACTACTTTTGCAACTGGCTGTAGCTCTTTACTGCAGTCTCAGGAGCTGAAATTATGTACTTTGGGTATTCTTTCCATTCGAGACTTCAACTCATGAGCTTGTAAGTGCTCAGTGCCAGAAATACAGGAGGTTGCTTAGCCTTCTTGGGGAGAACCCAGCTTCCCACCCTTTGTAACCCTTTAGTCCTATTTTTACTTTTGACATTTTTATCAGAATGTTGAAGGAATAAAATACTCACAGCGACTCAAGCTTGGACTGACTTTGGAAAGAACTGTTTCTTATTATGCGAATCTTGTTTGACTCAAGATTCCTAAAAAAAAAGGAGAATTAAGTCAACCCTTTATTTATTAAACGGAGGAAAAACTAGTTACAAAATAAGTAATAGTGTAGTTTGATCGTTCGGGTGAGTGAAGTCCTGAGAAGGACTGTTGTCGGTAGTGGTGATTGACGTTTCGAAACCTGAGCGGAAGTCGTCATCAGAGTCAAGTAAATAGTTGTTGTCAGTCGAATGTTCCAAGTCCGGTTTGTAGAAACTAATTGGTCAGTTTTACCGTGATGTTATTGGCTGTAAGACTCAACTAGCGTTCGTCGTTGGTGGTGATTGGTCGGTCTCGATCCGTTAGTGAAGTTAGGTCGTTTTTTTCGGTTCGTTTGTAATGTTAATGTCGTGAATGAGTCGTTTGTATGGTGCCGGTAGTGGTTGACACCTGTTGAGAGGAGTCTTTTCTTAGTTAGTAAACCAGCTTTCCGGAGTCAGTCGTTGAAAGTAGTCGGTGCTGTTGGTTAGGTATTGCGCCGAGTCCCAGTCCATAGTCTGGTTCGTAAGTCGGTGATGTTCAGCAATGTGATTGTTGACATCGCCTTTCCTCGTCGCTCGCTTGTGTTCAGTCAGTCTAGTTGTAAGGTTATTGCCAGTCTCATTGATGTAGGAGGCGTGGCTGTCGGAGCAATTGATCTTATAAACTGCTCCCTGTCTGTTCCTCAGTTCGTCTTTGACGTCAGTCAGTTACTGATGTAGTGTGGTAATGGGTTTGTGAGCAACGCGGATATTGAAGGGTTCTAGGATGCAAAAGATGTTCTCAGATATGTCCTTTATGTACGGTATAGTCGCTGTAGTCGTAGGAGTTGCGTTGTCGTTAGCTTCGTTAGTAGTAGTAGTTCGGTGACTGTTTCGTCGGATGAAGTCTTCCTTGCACACTATAACTTGTTACCCCCGGGTTTAAACCATTTACTGTATGAATTAAAAATAAGTTGCATACATACAAATATTTAAGTTCTTTTAGACTTTTCAAAGCTTCCGCTGGGACTTCTGTTAGGTTGTTGTTATCAAGCCAGCTAAAAACAAGAATAGAAGGGTAAATATTTTTTAAAAAATGTACGTACCATAAAAAAACAATAAAGAAAAAGTACATACATTGGACTCCCGATAACAGGTACTTTGGAGAAAAACATAAAAAAGGCTTGAGTTTAAGAAAAGTCGGACTGTGGTCATGTTTACTGAGTATGGCCCCACTGACCTAAACCCCAATTGATGATTCTTTTGTATCTTGTCGGCTAAAATTTTGGAACCTCCTTCAAGTCTAAGGAAGTACTGCGAAGCGATAAAATAAGGACTCGAAAAAAAGTTGTGAGGCTCTTTTAAATCGAAACGTTTAAGTCATAGCCATGGGTAACTGTAACAGATCCATTATTAACATCAGGTTGATCCCTCTCAGTAAGGAACATTTAAAGAAAAAAAAACAGCAACAAAATGTATCAAAGGTATTAAAGGTATGAGTTAGCAATGTACTTCAGCAAGAATCGTGAAACAAAATAGCAAAAATAATGAATAAATGAATAAGTCAATAAAGATATCTGAATACAGGAAAGGGTCCAGATATAAGTATGTCATTGAAAACCACGTAACAGTCATTTTAGCTTACAGGTGCTCAATATTCGGAACTTCTTTGAAAACCCCAGCTTTAATGGTGTTCATTTTGTTCCCTGTTAAATATCTGAAAGAAAAAAGAAAGAAATCAGTTTAAATAATTATTAGGTGGATCAATATGATATGGTATTCAAGTACTTACAGCTCGTTTAAGGATTTCAGGTGAACTCCAAACTCTGGACAAGTCTTTAAGTCATTATCTTTAAGTGATCTAAGAGGCAAGATATGCGAGGTTAATGTCAAATTATTTAATTCTTGTTACACCTCAGATCATAGAGAATGCCGAGTAAAAGATAATCTCATTTGCCATTCAGAGGTAACGAAAACTCACAGTATCCTGAGATGCTTGAGTCCTTCAAAGGCATTAGGGTGAACATGATACAGCTTATTTCCATTCAAAGTCCTAAGAAAAGAGAGAAGCAAGAACACTTTTGTGAGCGTCATGAGCACGTCATTAGCCCCTTACGGCATACCGAAGCTTGACTTCGTTAGTATAAGGCGACTAAGGGCATTATTGGTCTTCCTACACGGTGTTGCTTATTTATCAAAGGTCACCGCTGAGAAACTCGTATTCCCGTGAGAGTTAGTTGGTACTCACTTTAACAATACATAAGCAGTGTGGGGTTTTATTTCAAAAGTTGTCTTGTTATAGTTATAAACGGCCAACCTATTGAAGAAACTTGGAACATTGTCCTCGTGAACGTACATCAGACAGTGGATAAGCTCTCGGAATCATATTCAAGGATAACTGAGGATTTACGACTGAAAAAGTAAAATAATTTTCCTTCTAACGTGGTAGGAAAGAGAAACAAAGGTAGGATACATTTCCGAGAGGGGTTTCATTAAAGGAATTACTATAGTTGGACGAGCATTCACTTGTATTTGAACTGACTTTTTAGAAGTCGTTTAGAAGTCGTTTAGAAACGATTTCTAAACAAACTGTTGTGCTGTGTCAGTGGGCGAGTAAAAGAATTTCGCTCCAACCATCAGCTTATGCTATAAACGTCGGTTTTTTAAAACTCGCTTCGGGGGCTTATCTTGCTTTATCCACCTATGATTAAGAACCATTTTCTTAAACGAGTATTGGTATGTTCTGTACACTATACTGGAAAAATTAGCCTACATCTTTTTAGTTTTTCACTTGCAACATATTTTACAGTTTTGAAATATTCTTCATTCTTAGCCATCTTTTTTCCATATTGGTTTCAACATTCAGGTCTCCTCACTTTTTTTCCTTAACAAACTGATATATTGTCATCTGAAGGTAACGTCACGACGAATGAATAAAAAATATCACAATCTTTCCTCCTTCAAACGCGTATCCACATTTTAAAACTTCGTAAAACTTTTCAAACAAAAAATTTTCCTTCAAAAAATTTAACTCGGCAATTGAGATAAAACCATTGCTGATTTCTAAATCTTGCCGATAACTGTGTGGGTGGTGAAGTCAATGCTATTTTCCACATTAAAATTAAAGCTGATTTTTTTTGCGGCACCTTATCATGATAGATAAATAACACAAAGTGTTTGAATTAGGACCACAAATCAAATTTTCAGACAGAAAAACTCCCACATGCAAAAGGAAATAAGGATTATACGCAGTAATTTTCTAATGTTTCAAAGTTGCCGCTTTGAAAGAAAATATTTTCATTTCACATTTACAGGATATGTTTGAATTTGAGCTAAAAGTCATTATTATTTTTTGTTCTCCACGAATCTTCGGCTGAATTGGTTTTGTAAAAAAAAAACTTCTTTTTTAGCGACAAAATTAAAAAGCGAAAGTTTTGCAAAAGTGCTCTTGGCAAATATCATTTAGGACAGTTTTTCTAATATGTTTCTCTTTGTAAACAATCCATTTGCGTTTAGCTCTCCTCCTTCTGGCCAGGGGCGATGTAACTAATAAGCCAAAGAAGACCCAATTCATGGCGTCAAAAGCCATACGCTGGCTTACAATATGAAATTATCCTGTTCATCAGCTATGTCTCAAGCGTCTTGTGTGGCAGAACACAACAGAGAGTACAAATCTAATAAACTGAATTGCTTTTGTCTTTCGACACGAGCTCTGATTTCTCGTAAGCCATAGTAATACGTACTTCCCAGTACTTTGATCATGCGCCGGCTTTCTGTGACCTGACTACCACCGAAATAGACCTCTTTGGTAAGGTTGTGGTCTGATGTGTTCATCCTCTTTCAACTTGGTGATTAATTCGTGTAAATCCTTATGTACCCTGTAATATATAACAGGTTGTCCCAGTAACTCTTTCAAAACTACAACAACATCGTCGACCTAGACGCAACATTATATAATCGTGTAGGAGCTAGCGGCCAAACAAACATCAGAGAAAAGACAGAAACATCGGGAAAAATTGGTCTCGCTCAGATTGATCTGTTTTTACCTGTCTTAACTAGGAGTCTTGACTCAATTATTTGTTGTAATGTTATTACACTACGGTACACTTCTAATTCAATTTGAAGACAATCATTGATTCTATATTTTCAATGACTTTTTTTCTCGCAGGGGGGTTTTCAAGTGACAATTTTAACATTGCAGTGTCCCCTGTCTCTGGATAAAATTTGATCTAATTAGTGTTTTTTTTTTTTTTTCGTCGCCGGATATGATTGTTTTGAATGTGATCTTTGACTGAGTTGATACTCTCCCTTTCACGTGATAACAACATGAAGAAAATTAGCATTCCGTCCATCGATATTTTTAACCCATCAGAAGCCTGTACGCTACAAGTCCTCTTGATAAATTCTCTCAAGAGCATGGCAAATTAATGACGCACAATAATTTCATTGTCTAAAATGAGAGAGTTGGAGGAACTCTCGAGATTACTGAACACGCACAAATGGGTCATCTTAAAAAAAAAACCCTCTGGATCACGGTTGGCTTAATATGCCTTTTAAAGTAGAAAAAAGACTGTAACGACAATTAATTATTATGACATTGTTTTCTTAAAACATGTTTAAGTCAATTCAAATGATTAAGTGCTTTCTATATACCTCCTGGGAGAGTGAAAGCGTGTGTGGTAGCTTGGACTTCAGATGACCTTAACTAAAAGCTTTGAGGAAGTTATCTGGCTATTTTCAGAAACGTTCAGAAACAAAAAGTTTTCTGTTGTCTGCATCTCTCATCAAGACAAAGATAATACCGGATGTTCTTATGAGTGCTATTCGCTACTCCATGTATTATTTCGTTTAGCTTGACATAATTAATCCCCAGTTACAGATGGGCGGCTTCTTTCAGCCGGCAAACAGTCAGCAAGTAGTTGGGTACCTCACGATATTTCGCGTACTTTCTAAGGCGAGAATAATTATCTTTTGTGGGAATAAAACCACGCATTATCAGTCTGGAAAAATAAAAAAAACCACAAAGGGAAGAAACACTACAACGGAAGGCAGTGAAGATGATTAATGCGATGGAACAGATTGACACAAATAGCAAATAAAGACATTGTGGGTTTTTTTAGAGTATCGAATTCATGTAAGACAAGTCAAGCAATTTGTTTTGCCCACGACTTCAGAGTTGCCTTTTCATTTGCTTTGTGAAAACCTTAGCAGAACAGTCACGAACAATGAGAGAAGACGAGAAGAGCACATAAAGCGCAGCTCCACCAAATCTTAAAACAAGTAGCGGAGGTTTGGTAAATCATGACACTGCAAATTTAATTTAGCCTCTTATGCTCAAAACACCCCTACTGGTAAGCTAATAATTTGAAGAATTGCATCTTATTTTTGATTAAAAAATAATCACATCTTTCCGGTTGAAAAGAGAGGATGGCAGAGTACACTTGACTCTTGGATACTAATTTTGTTTCAGAGCATAAAAATGAAGCCACCCTAAGTGAAACTATAACTCCATCTTACCCATTAGTTATCATCGTATTGTACTTATTTCACGCGCTAAAAGACGGGAGCGCGAAAAAGAACAAAATGTAAGCCAGCGGAAGCGGGATCACGGGATCAAACGTTCTTTCATTTCCCTTCTTACGCCGACTTTCCCCTCCCCGAGCTTAGCACCCCCGCCGGAAAAGAACGCCCGATAGCATGTTGCACACCAGTCGCCTTGCCTAAGGGTAAATCGATAGATCTCTACTAGAAGCATAATAAATTTCGCACTAGGAAAGTTTTAAACGCATCCTCTAGAATTATGGTAATCTATTTAGCATCCTCATGCAGGAGTTCATTTGGATTAAACAAATCTAATGTAATCTAGCTCATTATAAAATTGCGTGTGATTATGCTTTAATTGTAAAAACACAAAACAGCGTTGATAAACACTTTTAAACACGTTTTTTTCTCTGATGAGGCAATGTCAAAGCCCGACGGCAAAGAAACCCTAAGCCAAGAATTCCACAGATCATCATTATTTTGTAGGCTGACTGACACTTTGGATCCAACAATACATGTGCTCTTTGATCATCAGTTGGCTTAACATGCACTTAAATTAGAAAGGAATTTTCTAGGAATACAAAAAATCATAATTGAGCATGAACGAAAAGCTTTACTCAATAAAAAAAACTAATAATAACACGTAAAGACTATTATTAGGACCTAGATGTCTATCATAGCAGATTAAAAATGAAAGGAATGATACTATTTTCACCGCAAAATTCACACCAAGGTTCTCGTTAACCCAACCAAACCACAACAAATCACGTATAACGGTGAGGAGTTACACTGTTTGTAAAAAAAAGAACCGAAAACAAAATGATTTCTACATTATCATGAAAGATATGACCGCGTTACTTTTAAACTTTGCGTTAACAAAAAAACGATCGAAAAAGTTCTAGTAACAGGGCGCAGAAGACTTTATCTTAAATTGGTAATTTAATGCTTATCGGCTTCCTTTCATTTTTATTAATAATTAGAAATGGTCGTAAGCCGCCAAATTCTCTTGAAAAAAGATGAATTCTAATAACGTGAGACAAGTACAGGTGAAAGTGTTAAACTGACTGTCTGTCAAACATCTAACGTCTTTTCAAAGTTGTCGGCAACTTGAAGAGTAAGCTTTGATGCTCGGGTCAGTCTGTCCTGTAATCAAACGCCTTAATCTTATTTCATCTGTTTGGTTTATCATTTTTACCTGATTGATTCATAGATTAGCGAAACAAAATTTTGCGTTTTTTTTAGCTCAATTTGTACTGATAGTAATTTTGCAAGCCTGAGAAAAAGTCGATTATTATCATAACACAGTGGGGTCATTTAGCCTAACTTTGCAATTGTTGTACAGAACATTCCAAACCAGTAGACCACAAAGTTGAATATGAATTTCATCAAACTATCGTCTTTTAACCTTTACTGTCTCACACATTGCCCGAGAAGGATTTTTTCCTCAACAAGGCACCTGTCAAATCTCTATTGAATTATTTCGAAAAGATTCACAAAAATTATTTTATGAAAGCAAACGGAATAGTGTGAAATGATATTTAAAGAAAGTAGGAATGGGTAGATTGTGATTCTGTTCGCTCTAGGTACAGTGGACGAACAATTCCTGCCATTGGATTCCATTTATTTTTCAATTATTCTTAATCAATTTTTTGAAACGTGCTTTGACGGGGTTTTTCAAATATTGTCCAAAAACAATCTGAAGGAATTACTTATGGTATATTGACATTCAAGTTCGGATACTAAGTCAACAGTGGTAACAACCTCAGCCACAGAAGCCTTGTTTAAGAACTCAATATTACTCTGTGCACAAGTGCTTCAACTGACCCCGATCTCAAGTTTAACCAGTTGACTCCAGCTATTCGACCCCTAACGCCCTGGACCGCAATCATTAACCCTGTGCGAAACCACGTTTGGATTAACGAAAAAACAGCATGGCCAAAACACCCTGACATGTTTAAGAGAAAAGTCTTTCCTGGTAGCAATACAGGTTAACAGGAAAGTTCTTCGCTTCACCAACACGAAACGATAGTCTTTTTTCTACAATCCAAACAGGTCAGAACACAACACAAAATACACAAAGAACTGATTTAATCAATAGTTGCCTTATCGCAATCTCTTGTAGTTTAGAGTGAATGCCTCTTGATCCGTTAAAGATTACAATCAAAGCAAAAGCCAATATTAAATTAAGAATATGTTAAATCACGTTATACAGCAACTGAGCAGCACAAGAGAATATTCTCACGAGAAATTTGGGTCATTAAGATAAGTTTATCCGCCCAGCTTGGCCATAAGATTTCAGTAACCGCAACCAGTTTGATCTTCTCTCGAAGATCTTTTAATTAATTTCAAATATATCACTAAGCTCATAAACCAATTAAGATCGGTAAATGCAGGACAAATTTACCCTACGCTGACAAGGAAACCTATTGAGGTTCGGATAAATTTGCTTGACGATAACAGCTCTATAAAACAATTAGATTAAAATGCTCCTGATTAGGTGCCAATTACTATGATGTGATATCGTATTGTAATTAGGTATTTGTTCCATCACTTCATAGAATTCTAATTCTGGGCGAAAATTTAATTGTTGATATCATTAAAGCAGATTGAAACCCACACCAAAACGGCGAAGAGTGTTAAGGGAGTACATAACAGAACTTTGATCTGCAGTCATTGCGGCGAACTATTGGCTAATAAATGTATATCAATGATAGCTCAGCCTATCAGATTTTATATTCGCATTTAAGATTACAAATTGTGTTTGTAATAAATTTTTACCATTCCAAGCAATTAAAATATTCATGGTGTTCCAGTAACTCGGCGAGTTAATTCATGACAGACCGAAGGCAATATGAACTGTTTCTGTTTCCCTTTCGATCACACAAAGGACATCTTTTCTCTCTTGAGGACTCTATTTCTACACTCTGCCTTCTGTTAATTCATTTTTGAGGTTCTAAGAATTCAAATGTTCACTCAAATAAGAAATATTTAATTCCTTTGAGCCACTTCAATAAACAATGATAGGGGAAATCGTTACACGCCAAAACATTACCAACTTTGTCAATCGGACAAAAGAAAGACCAAGAAAGAGTTACGTTACGTGTCGATCATCAGAAACGATCACACTTCAATGTACTTTTTGGAAGGTCTTTTGATATTGAGGCATGAAATAAGTAACCAAATTTGTTTCTGGAGTGAGAGAGAGTTTCCAGATATGACTAATGGTGAACTAAGCAAGCTCATAGGGAAATTCAGTGCACCCCTCGAAAAAAATTATTAGATTCGGCAAGCCCGTACTTTATTTTTAAACCTAAATTGCATGACCAAAAAGTTTGATATACAGACTAAAAATAGGTTTGATTTCGTTTTTGGTATGTTCCAACGCGTTCTTCATTCAACACATAGTCAAAACGAATCCATAATGAACGGAAACGGGCGAGCGGCAGTTATGCCTCACATCAGGGGTCTTATCAATAGCAGATGTTGTGAATTGATCGAATTTTTTCTAAATATTGAACGTGCCTTTGAAGAAAATTTTTAATGGCTCGCTGGAAAATGCGGCTCTCTTTGACCGTAGAAATAAATGCATTATACGAAGAAGTCACATGGCAAATTGATAAAATTTTAACGAAGAGCTTTTATTCAAAATCGCGAGTGAATAATGAAACTAATAGAGAATGAATATAACGAGTGAATAATGAAATGCATCATGTCTTGTGAGAAGACCACTATCAAGTTGGTTGTGGCTGATTGAATGTCTACTAAGATGTAAAGAAAGAAAATGACCAACTAACCAGAGAAACTAAATACCTAAAGAGCATAAACAGAGCATTTATTAAAACTCTATGACAAAAGCCGGAGGCAAACCATTCTTATACAGTACCCAGCGGGATTTTTCAGTGGACACTCTATGAAACTTGAGTACAATCAATTTCTTTCCTTTATTCTTGGTATCTTTCTTCGTAATACGTTAACTGTCATGATATTCTTAGGCTGCAGCTACAGTTTGGACGTTTTCGCTGCAGTGAGCTTTGTAAGAAGGAGACCTAATCCCTGTTTGTCGCCAAAATTCCAACTCAGCTTCCTCTATATTGACGAAAGACACGATAGACACGATACGCGGTGACTACGCTGCGTAGTTTCTTGGGCGACTAGTCTTGTAACAACTCGAAAAAAATTACGAGACCAGATTTATGAAACAAGTTATGTTTTTCAGATACGCAATTCTTTGTCTCAAAGCCATTTGAAAATAGTGTTTTACGAAAGGAAAGAGTGAAAAGAGGTGGTCAGTTAATTTTTACGCTGATTATCCAAAAATAAAACATTGAGAGAACGAAAGACTCCTTGCTGCTGATATGTTTCGGTATTTAAAGATGGTGCGCGAAAAAGACTTTCAATTTTAGTTCGGGAGAACTAAAAAGCTTCGCGAGAAAAAAAGAAAGTATAAGATATGAAGAAACTTATTTCATTATCCTCATCACTGTTATTATCATGGTTATCATCATCCTGAATGAAATGATTTACAAATAAGTTTACAAAGTATCGTCATATGGGATTCGTTTCGTACCAAATTCGACTGAACAAAGCCTGTTGGAAAACCTTCAAAGTTAGGACGACTGTTGTATTTGCAGTTCAGTGTTATGAATATGGAATCGAAATATATAATAAGAAAACAGAAAAAGACATGTACTGAAATGAAGTAATTTTTCAATTGCTTTTATTATTTTTGCACCAAAATTCCACTGCGCAAATGAAAAACAGAAATAGGAACAAAGGTGAGCTCTTTGAACATCCGCGAAAGATTGGAATTCTTCATTCAGATGACAACTGTTATTCTGGACACACCTGCCTTAAAGCAATTTTGGTGTCTTAAAATTTTTAATTCTGCTCATAATTATTCTCTCTGATATAAATTATCTCTGATAATATTCGAGTTACTTTTATTTCCTCAGCTGGTGAAGAAATCTATCACGGCAAACAATTTTCAATGATGACCAACCTTGGCGAATTACTTTCAATGACAACAGAAAAAAATTGTCGACGACTATATACGAATTTTTCAGGGTATGACATTCTTGGAATATATTAAACAAAGTTTTGTATGAGCGTAACGTATTGCTCTCTGATAACTTAGTGTATAACGAGTTTGACATGCATGTTTATATGTACTTGAATGTACAAGGCTTTTTGGTTTGAACAACTGGGGAGAAGAACAATGTACGGGATCAAATGAGCATATAATGAGCAGATTCCTCGCCTGCTTTCAAAGCACACATGCTGATGACTGAGGAGGGTACTTTCTAGAACAGCAAATTTTGCAAACATTGTCCGTAACCCAAATTTTTATATCCGAATCTTTCTTATTTGGCAATGATTTAATACCCTGACTTTATACCAATTTCCTGTGTAGCTATGAAAATAGATCTGCCCTCCATTGTCTTTGTACTTTCCTATTAACACTCCACGATTGCGTAATAAGCGAACCTCAAGTACAAACAACTGAACTTCTAAAAGTACCAGCTAGAAATTATAACCCACAAATTTTGACTTACACTTTTTGGATATGGGTTTTATTTCATTGTGCGACCGTCATCTGCCTAATTGGGACAGAAATAATTTTTGAAGATCTTGATGCCTAATGATAATATGCAATATGTCATCTCCAGCATGCCATATGCATTATAAGTTGCATCGACTAATACAATACATCGGGGCATCAGCAAGCGCCGGATAACTGTTCCATAATTTTGAATCCTTAGTATTTTGTTATCAGCTGTAGACGTTTCACTTTTGTCAATTGAAAAGTTTTCCGCTTACAGCTGAAATTGAATGGAAAGATCGCGCACTTCCTGTCTTTACTATTTTATTTCTGTGGACTTAATCAAACTAACTACTTATTCATTTGAAGGTTTCCGAAAAAAAAAACGACCGCATTGCTTCTCTGGAAAATTTCTTTAATTGTACTGATATTCACCCTTCCGTCTTCAAATTACATCATAATTTGTACCTTTCATTTCCTTCGTGATTTTACCTAAAAAAAACTTTACTGAATATATATTACTACACCACTAGGCAATGCAAAACTGTTATAACAGATCATGGCCCATCCTCTGTCATTTCTTTTGTCTAACTTTTGACAAAGTCGTACAGATTACCGACCTTAAAAGCAAATGGAAATATAAATTGTCATTTTTCAACAACTTGAGTGGTCGTCAGACCTAAATTTGTCTGTTGCTTCGGTAGGAAAACAAAAATGCTCATGAAAAAGGCTGACTTCTTAACCTCCTCTTATACAGCCGTCAGTTCGTCTGTGGAGATTTGTCAAGTAAAGCGAGTATTTTCGAGATTTTAAAGCTCTTCTGAAACGGGGTTACCTTGAAAAAGCTCTTAAATTGTCGCATTAAACATATAATTCAGTTTAATGGAATTTCTAGTGTCAAAATTTCTGCCCAGCGAGATTGCGTGCAGTATAATTGCTATTTCGAGAACTTGCTTCTATGTAAACTGTTCTCCATTAGGCCGAGAAGCAGATTAAAGTTTAAAGCGTTTAGCAAAAATAAGATACCATCGCTTCTGAGCCGATAAGAGATTTGACATCCCACGAGGATCAGGCGAAAATCAACACTGGAAAAAGAAATCTATAATTCATAAGAAAACACGAAAATTGATGCTCAAAATGATCAGTATAGTAGAAATTTCTTGGTCCTCAAAAAGAAAGTTTTGAATCAAAATTTATAGCGTCGTTATAGCGTCTAAAGAGTAAAGATCCTTCTAACGTTAGTGTTGAATAACCTCCACTTGATCTCACACTTAAAGTTGAAGTTGTATACCGCCAGCTTGCACGCCAACGCGGTTAATACCAGCAAATATTTTCATGTGAGGATATAATATGGAAAGAGAAAAAGGTAAGAGCAGAATTTCACGTGTTTCTTTCCTTATGAAGTAAAAGTGCGACTTTTTTTCTTACAAAATTAACGAAATTCGTGATCTTTTTTTAATGAATTTTATGTTCCCCGACTAAAAGGCGTTTTTTGCTGTCAAAACAGAGAGGCGAAAGGCTGTCTGCGCTTCCGGCTTGTAACCTCAAGTAAAAGTTTAAAAACTTTTTAATGAGTCATATCAAACTGGCAGACAAAGTTAAGAATAATAAAGTGCTACATTCATTTTTCGAATATTCGAACCCGCTTTTGTTTGAAAAACAGTTGTCGCTTAAAAATATCAGTTATCAAACTTGTGGTTATGACAGGGTTTGATACTTCAATTCTACGATGATGTTATGCTGAAACCATTTCCTGCAGACGTGAGGTTTCCTTCACAGCGTATTTATAAAACTACAGTCCCATTTTGGAAGGGTTATTTTTAAACACACGTAAACCTTACTTGTTTACAGACGTTTTGCCGCAAAAAAAAACTAAAACCAAACAAACAAGTAACCAGAACAGATTCCTTAAATCGCTGTTCACAAGCATTGACAACCAATCGCACTCTGTTGAATCGCTTTGAGTTAAAAGAATATAATTGCGATCGCAAGCTGTTTCCCAATAACTTCTTTTTCACGCGGAAAGGTCTATAGGTGTGTATTAGTAAATTATATCCTACATCTTTCGTCGTCTGCAAGTATGTGCCATTGATAGTGTAGAGTGACTGTGGAATACTTCTAACCTAATGGAAGAGACCTGATCCAATTTGGGTAATCAAAATAAATTATACTTCTGATTATGTGATTTGACACGACAGAGAGAAAAAATGGACAGCAGATATTATTGTTATCAATAAGTGCATACCAGTTTCAGGCGAAAATCCTCGCTAGTTGAATCGGAGGTAAGAGATTAAAAACGCGGAAAAATGGTCAAGTGGGTAAAACAATGAAATTCGCAAAGTTGGAGACTGGGGTATTTATCCTAGGAATAGATGTTTTCTTTCTCCTTTTCAAAATAAAGTGGAGCATTTGAAAACAATTTTAAAAGCCAGAGGCATAGACGAAATTAAGCTCTAAAATCAACAAGGGGCTTCTAAAATTAAAAGCAAAACAAAGTTTCTTTGTCAAGTTGTTAACTTGGGGAGAGGGTGAGATGTTTCGGAAATTCTTAACAAAACAAAAATACGTCTGATGCACACAAAGTCATTTAAATAACTACACATGGTGAAATCGTCAAGATTTAGTCATTTTATATTTGCAGCTGAAATACTCTAGTACGTTCCATGCTTATTTGATCCATCAGCTATCCCATTTCACACCCTGAACCCAGCAAGAGGTCGTGAAATTTATATCTTTAATGTTGACAAAAGGAAATACTGAAAAACTCGGCTTTGCAAAAGAACGTTACAAAATCGGAGAAAGCTGCCATAAAGTCTTACCCCCAGTACTTCAGTATAAAGTAAAAGATTACAATAGGCTGATTGTTTAAATAGCTCGCACTTTTTTTTTTTTTTTATAAACGCATCATCACGAAACGCAAGCGCAGTCGGTATATGTCTGTTTAAAAGAGGCCGGACAGTTATTTTAATTTAATTTTCTACTTTGATAACAAAGAGTGCCCTATCAAGCTAAATAGACAAAGTGAATTAAAACAGCTGTACTTACAGTTTAGTCAGATTGGGAAACCTTGAAAACGTGAAGTTTCTAAGCTCGCTTATCATGTTGTCACTCATATCTCTGAAATTGAGAATATGCACTCGGGATTAGGAATATAAACAAAGTATTTGACGTTGTGACAATCTAAAGTGACCGAAGAGTAAATTTATCGAATAGCAAAGAACATATATAGACATGAAGACAGATGGAATTGCCTCGCTTGTTATCAGGAAGCTCTGTACAGCTTGAGTGCCGGCATTCAGGATACCACGAGAATTCCACTGCTTTTCCTAAAGATTTCTACCCCTTCCAAGATCAAAACAACAAAAAATCCTTGAGTAGCTTTGCTATTTCATAATTTTCAGCAGTGCCGACGATGTGTAATATATGGCAGACATAAAGTTGCTGAAAACATAGAGGTAAATGTCAAAGGGTAGAAAATCTAACAAATAATTCAGATCCAACTTAGCAAAGGCCGAATTAAACGATGACATTCGAACATCGCACAATGGTTTGCTTATTAAGATTTTTTTAAAACGAAAAATACCACAGAGGCTTGTGGTTATGAACCGATTTATATTTGTTTGATTCATGTATTTTTTATGTTCTGGATCGAAAAGGTTTTGACAAGCTTTAACGGTTTGCGATGTCAAAACCAGGCTCGACAGGACCTTTTAAAACCATAGTAAAAATTCAATAATGATTTTGGCTCAAGAGCGTGTTAAAAATTATAGTAACGTACTGATGCGATAACGTTTCATTCCAGGAGATATCTCAGTATTCGTGTAAACATAAAACATAAACCGAATTAAAATCATACAATGCTACGAATAAAATTTGTTCGGTTTGCAAAGCCTCACAGAGGACTCCGTCATTCTCTCCAGATGAATCAGCCATAAATTTATTACAATCGTGTTATCCTTTCTTCTGCGTTACCAGCGTCTCCTTCTAATTTTTTAGCTGTATCTATTTCATTCAAACAGTCAAACTTTCTTGGCGGATTGGTAGTTTCGAAAAATCATCTAAGTCCCTCTTTCATAAACACTAAATGGGGAGATAACTGCAATTTTCAATCTCTCTCGAACGCGGTCCGTGCATGATTCAGGACAACCATGAAATTATATTAAAATCTCACGGAAGTGTATGTATCGGTCAGCTGGACATTATGTTTTCATGTCGTACGGCATGCAGTTGACCTAGAATAGTAAATCAAATCCAGTACGTGATCTTGGGAAGACATCTTGCTATTTTTAACTTTCTTTGACACCCTCAAGAGAGACACACATGTGATAGCCTTTGAAACAAACATTCCAGATATCGCCATAACGGCGAGAGAACGACATAACATTTTACTTTATCACAGAAACAAATCAATCGACGAAGGAGCATGCTGTAACTTACAAGGCAATAACATTGCGAGGAATTTCAGCTGGTATGGAAGTAAAGTTACTACTTGTACAGTCAACTTCTCCCCGCGTGTTCATCACACATCCATATGGCCCGCGGTGGTTTTTCGAATATTGCCATCCTTCTATAATGCTTAGAAGCGAAAGAAACACTGCCACGAAATGCCATAACACAGCCATTTCTCAAGCTACACTCAGTGGCTTTGTCGCTCTCGTATATGATGTGCATCAGTTGTTACCGCTACTCGATACCCATTAATGTGTCAGGTTTCCCTTGGTCGCACAGTCGCGAATCAACGCGATTGAAAAACGCCAATCAAAACAATTGCTATATTTAGGGTCGAGGGTAAAGATCAAAAGCAGAAATGATCCCTTGGTGAAAATACTCTTCAGTCACATATTTCCTTTTTAGCCACCTTAACTGTAAATAAAATAAAAAAACACAAGATTTACGCTCAATTAGGGGATCTTTGGAAGATAATTCGATTACAATTCCTTGCCTAAATTCTAAGGCATGGATGTCGAAATGATATGGCTTGTACCTGGAAATCATTTTTTATTCTTTGTCAAAAATAACCATTTTATCACTAGGGGGTTGGACTAAGTTAACTCTTTGACAATTTCTGGAATGGCTTTGGTGAAAAATAGTCAACTCAAAACCCCATTATTGGAGTTTCTTAACGAGTTTTCAACCCCCGTCATCGTCAAACTTTAGTTCGTCTAGGACTTGATTCCCGTCTAAATCATCTGCTATATCAGTTCAACAAAGAGTGTCAAACCATATGTCAAACCATTCTCGTCCATGATGCTATTTTTAGACCCTAAAGGGCTTTGTTGACGGAAAAAATTGAAATACCTTGACGAGGCTGGTATTTGCCCAGGCAAAACTAGTTACTCAAAATATCACATTAAGTGTCAATAAGCGTGTGAGCATTTTGGCCAATCTTTCCAAGATCTTTTGATGACCTGAATAACTATTGAATTTATTAAAACAGTTGACATATCAAAAGAAACAATGAAGCTCACAACTGAATCCCAAGTAAACTCAACAGCCGTAATCTTGATTAAACTCAATTTAAAATGAAGGTAGCCAAACAAACTCGATAGTTTTAATTTATTTATCGCTGAAATTCTCTATATCATTTCTCAGAGACATTCAGGCCTCGTCTAAGATTCAAGACTATCCTGCAAGATGTAGGCGAAGATAGGTTAGAAATGCGAGTCCTATTCAGCCGGATGTGCAGGAAATATTTGTTATCTGTTTAGGTCTAAAGAGATTACCATTTGATTCAATATTGCACGTCCACATCAGTTTTAACCAGAACGAGGCCAGATAAATATATTTGAACTCTTAAGTATTTGAAAACTTTTTGTATACACTCGATGGAGTTGTTGTGCTCGGCTTCAGACCGAGGTACTTAAAAATGCTATCCTAAGTTCCAAACCCCGCATCATTTGAACAGTGATTTTACCGAAAGTTGGTTCTTGCATAAATCTACGATAGAAAAAAGCTCCCATTTGAATACCTACTGTGAAAACTACATGGATTCTCATTAAAACGTCATGTTATGACAAGGGAAAGACCAAATAATTGTTTTGCTTAAGAATAAGATTTAACTTTGCAATCCCTATGCTTTCGTGTAAGCCGCACATCTTACATGACAGACCGTGTTAAATACGTCAATGGTAATTTTTACACACCCCCTTCCACCTCTCATTCTGTTATATTCCCGCTTATCCTTTTTTTTACTTCTCAAGCCTGAAAAAGGTTGATCACTTTCGGATGCGTAATTCATTATAAAGTGAGCCTCCGTGATCTGGCAAAGAAGAAATAAAAAAAAAAAAAGGGTCGATTTACTGGACCATCCCTTTTCACACGACGGTTAATTGATGGGAAATCAATTTATATAACATTATATCCCAGTTTCCTTTATCAAACATAACTCAAACCGTGACAATTTTTGTCAAAGAAGTTCACAATAAGCCGCAGCCTAGTCTCTCTCCCTCTCTCTTTTTTTCCTTTTTTCTTTTAAGTTCTGATTTTTTCTCTTTTTTTTTTTTTACATTTTAAAATATGTAAACCAAACCTACGTTGGTATTGCTGACGTTTTGATAGTTATCCAATTGAGGACAATTGATCCAATTGGGGTTAGTTTCAAACAGCGCAAGGTCACCTCTCCAAAGCTGTGCAGAATCAGTGTAAAAAAAATTACCTCGGCAGAAATCAGGTACCTAAATGGTATTTGTATTTTTGAACATTCCCTTCTAGTACAATTAGCTAGTTATTCCATTATTGTCATGTGTTGCTCACGGAAGCCGTTCGTTTCTCAGATGTGAATTCTCATATTTCGTGATTTTCGTGAACCTCAACGTCGCTAATTCTCATAAAAGCAGCTGAGGGTCAACTAAGCTGAACCAGCTGTGTATAGCCGCCAGGTTATTGCGTATCACCCGTTAAAATCCTTTCAAAGATGTTAAGTCTGCGCGTCAGTTAAGCTCCTGACATACCAGGGCAAAGAATCAGCCATCGCTAAGTGATCTTGGCATTCCGTTAATGTCTGTTCTTGTTCGCGGCATTTTCCTGTTGTGTAAACTATTTCCAAGTTATTAGGAACATTTCTTTAGTGAACTTCGTTCGTTAAGTTGAAAGACAAGGCCCGTGTACTTGATTACGACTTAGGCTAATTAAAGAACAGATCATTCAAATTTCGAACAGTGCAGTTTTTAGTAGGAGTCCTTTGTCATCTTAACTCAAAAAACTCTTTATAGAATTCTTTATTGGCCCGTTAAGACCTGTAATATTCTTTAAGTATAGAAAACGTGAATATTTCTACTATTTCTACCGGCAGCTGAAATATTTCTTAATGCTCAGGGTTGTGGTCGAATAATGGGAAGTTTGTAACATTTCTACTTTATAATCAGCTTATTTTCGATTATTTGTATGAATTCATTCTGGTCCTTCACATTTACAGGGCAATTGAGGCAATCAATCATTTTTATTGTTTTGGTATCACTACTAGGCATTACGATAACCATCAAACGAACCACTCTAAGTGTGGCGCCCTGTTTTAAATCATTCTATAGATCACGGATTATACATTCCGCCGTGTAAATATCCGATTCTGTTCTCTTCAAAGTTCCTTACTCACTTATTTACGAAAAATCACAAAGAAAAACTTAAATCCGCTCAAAGCTTCGACTAGAAGCTGAAGTTTATAACTTGGCGAGGCAACTGAAAAAAAACACTGGTCGCGTGACTTCTTGCGCGGGAAGAAAAACATGTCCCCGACAAGTAAGGCTAGGAAAGGATAACAGAGCGGAACTGATAAATCTATTTTTACCTCAAAAAACATTTTTGGATAAACAATGATCAATCACATTAGCTTGACTTGTTCTGACCACTCAGCACTCAATGAAATTCAACGCTAAACTTGGCAAACAAGAACGCTATTAAAGCAGATCGTGGGAGCGGCTGAACTGCTATATTAAGGTCATGTTTAGAGCACTCTCATCCTTCGATTGCTTGGTTAATCTCGTGGGAGCATCCGTATAAAAATTCTTCTGGCAAATTTCTTGAGGAATCATCAGGCTTTCTTTTCATACCTCCCTCGAGTGAAATTTTGATTCGAAAAGGATTGTGGTTTGTACGAAAAATATATATTTGTCTATTTGTTGGCTTTGAATTGACGTTAACAACTGAGAAAAAATAAAAAATATTATCATTAAGACAAAAATAACTAAGATTTTAGATGTGTTGACAGAAGGTAGGATCAAGAACACGAGATTTGAGCACGGAAGCGTTGAAAGTGTGGTGTACAATGCGTGATGGTTTGGCTGTACTCATGGGGTGTCTTTCTCTTACTGAGGTAATGCACTTTATTTCAGGTGATTCCAATCCACTCCGCACCCTTCAGGCACAGAGACTTCTGACGAATTCGTGTAGCCACATAATGGCGTAAAATGACCTGGTGTACAGACCCTTGGCCTTTTGTATTTGCGCTTGATGGTAATCAATATTTGGTATCATTCAAGTTGAACTCGTTCGCACGACTCATGGCAGGAAGGGAAAATTTCATTGTTGTTTATTCTTAAAAAGTGCTGCTATTAGGGTACTGCAGTGTGTTAAAATAAGTATCCAGAGTGCTTGATATCAATTAAAATCGTACTGTTTCTTGATCAAAATATTTGGACTGATTCGATTCACACGAAGCGAGCTTGGAAGAGGGACGTGGAAAGAAGGCAAAAGTGATAAGGATTAGAATAAGAGTGGAGCGGGAATGCTAAACAAACTTTTATACGAGAATGTCTCCCCAAAGGATCACAATCTTAACGAAAACGATAGCTTTTCCATATGGTAAGAGACAATCAATCACCCTCACATGCTTTATTCGTAAGCCGATCATTCCCAGTCCTCTTAGGATACTTTTTTTGATCTGGGGAAGATCTACGAATGACCAAAATTAATCTTGTTGTGGTGAGGTTTGTTCAGGTGGACGTCATATATAGCGTCCATTTGTTTTTTCCCCGCGACGCATTCGAGCAACACGCAAAAACTTCAATTTTTTTAAAAGGGAATTCAACGAGGTTGTTCTCTAAGCCCTCTACTATTCGTGTTTGGTGTAGACCGGATCAAATAATATAAGAAGCTACGGGTTGTGAGGGTGCAATAAAGGGAATACAGCAGAAGCAAATATAAGTCAATTTGCAGATGATACAACCTTCGCCCGTAAATGAGCTCACTGAAACTTTGAAGGTCATGAATAAATCTAAAGTCCTCTCAGGTCTCAGATTACTCAAGAAAAAAGCTGAAGCAGTGTGGATGGGTTAATCCAGAAATAGTAAAGCTAGATCTTAAAGCTTTGAAGCTCATAATGAACCAGTTAAATCACTCATAGGAAATTCCAGTATTTTCTACTGCAATCCTAAATCAATAAAGGGAATAGCGCAGGTAACTGTTGTAACAAATAGGAGTGTACTTGAGGAATGAGGTATTTTCTGTTTTCCATCTTTCCAATGAAGAGGTAATCTCCTTGTGGATTTTTGGCAGAGGTTTAGTAACCAACCATTCACACTTTTATAGAGAGCATCACGAGTGTGAAATTCTATCAAAAAAATCTTATCGTTTTTCATTATCAGTCATCTGAATTTGTCAGCTGCAGAAATTCAATTTCAGACTGATA